CAGTAGCCTTCACTGCTCGGGACTCAGCTGCATGAGGGCCATCTCCCCGTCGAGCCCCACGGACTTGACGTAGGCGGGGGGGAGGCGGGGCCAGGAGTGCGGCGGCGGCAGCACTGGCGCTAGCACCTCCCGCAGCCGCCTCTGCAACACAGAAACCCAGCCACCGTCCCCTCCTGCCCCGGCACTCGCATCACGGTCATTAACCGGCTGGGTCGACGTAGCAGTCACCGGGCTGGTTAGCGCGGCCTCGGCCCGCCCCCCCCCACCCGAATGAGGGTACAGCGGATGCGGGTGGGATTGGGGTTTGGGGTGCAGCCATGTGGCAATGGCGTGGAGGAGGTCGGAGGTGGCGGCGCGGTGGCGGTCGTGCAGCCCGGCCGCGAGGAGGCGCAGGGAGGCGGGCAGTCCCCGGCGGCGCACGCTGGCTCGACTGGCCTTCACGCCGTCCAGGTGCGGTACCTGAGGGGGTGCGCCGGCCGGGGGGTCAGGGGTGCGCGTGGGGGAGGGGGGGGTTCAGGGAGCAGCAACGTCCCGGACTTTGTTGCGACATGCGGCGAAAGGCGCACGCAAGTGGTGAGACACACACACACACACTTACACACAGGGGGATATGCGGGTTGGGTGGGAGATCAGCTTCAGGCCTGTTAGAGCGTACCCATTAGCGCTGGTGCTAGAGCGCGCGCACATACACGCACACACACACACACACACGCATACACACACGCACACACACACGCACACACACACGCACACACACATACACACGCACATACACACGCACACGCACACACATACACACACATACACACGCACACACACACGCATACACACACGCACATACACGCATACACACACGCACATACACACGCACACACACACGCACATACACACGCACACACGCACACGCCACTGCCCCTTGATTCCCACCTCCCCCCGCCTCGCCCCACCGCACCATGGAGACGATGGCCGCCAAACTGCCCGGGGGTTGCTCGCCCGCCACCACCAGCACATGGCCGCCGGCGTAGGAGGTGCCCCAGAGCGCCACCTGCGGGCGGAGGGAGGGGGGTAGGCCGTTAGGTGCGTATGTGTAGGGGGGTGGGGGGAAATCAGGGGGTGGCTCGGGGGGCTCATCCGGCCTGGTGCCGGTGCCGGTGCCGAGGGAAGTGGAGCAGTGGACGAGCACCCCCGCGCACATCGCTGCCCCGCGGGCGATAGACAGGTCTACGCTCCCACCAGGCCTCATGACCTCCGTCTACGGCTGCATCTGCAGCCCTGCAGCCGCAAGCCGTCCTGCCGTACCTTCTCGATGTCGTACTCGGGACCCAGGTTGCCCGACTGGAGATGCGGGAGGGGTGGTCCGGGAGGTCGCAGGCCGTGATAACCCCCCGGTAAGGGGAGGCGGGAAGGGGCCGGGAGGGGGGGGGGAGGGGCGACGGGAGGGGATGATTGGTTGGATCAGCAGGATGAGCTGCCTGCTGCGTGAGGACGTGAGGCCAGCGGGTCCCCGCCTACAGCGCGATTCGGCCCAATGTTCATCATGCCATTGCCAGGCAGGAAGGCAGCCAGCCAGCCCGCATGACCGGAACACACACACACACACACACACCTTGACAAAGCCCAGTGCCGCCCTCCAGTCCGCCAAGTGCCGGCTGGGAGAGGCCCAGTGCCGGGGCTCCCCGTCACTGCCGCCAAATGTACGGTAGTCGAACTGTTGCCACATCGGTAGGGGGCGGTCGGGTGGAGGAAGCCGGCGAGTGGGTAAACAATGATGATAGCGGGAAGATGGGTGGCATTGGAGGGGGGGGGAGGAAGGGGGTGGCGGGCCATACAGACGCCCCAACAGACAGACGGACAGACAGACAGATAGTCAGCGGCACCACAGCGGCAACCAGCCCGACCCGAAGTGGGCACCGCAAGGTACTGGAGGACGGATGGAGGTGGAGGTGGAGGTGGAGGTGGAGGTGGTGGAGGACCGCATGTGAGAGGCTGCTGCGTGAGAGCAGCACCAATGGCAGTAGCAGCAGCAGCAGTAATATCAGTAACAGCAGTAGCAACAGCAATAGCTCCTGCGGTTGCTCCAGCGTCATCTATTGTGGTCCATGACCGACTGAGTAAAAGAAAGCAGCAAGGGTGGCAGTAGCAGCAGCGGCAGGTTAGCAGACCCACATTCCCTTCCGCCCGCTAGAAACCGGCTATCCCAATGTCAAGAAGGTTGCCACGAAGGAAGACATTATGGCGATTTCTGGCCTTTTCATGTCCTAGGCCGCCTGCTAGCCTGCTGCCTCTATGACACGACACGTGTCACCGGTGTAACGCTCACCACCAGCACCGCCATCCCTGCCCGCGCAAAGGCATCCGCGTAGCGGTGGAGCCCTAGATCCTTCTGAGCTCCGAGACCATGCGCCATAATGACGACGGGGAATCGTGAGCTAATGCTAGCACTGGCCCCGGCGCCGGGGGCTCGCGGCAGCAGCGGCGTGTAGAGCCAGGCGTCGCAGGATGTGCCGTGGCTGTCGAAGCGGATGTTGCGCCGGGTGTACGGCAGGCCGTCCGCGGGGGTAATAGGAATGGAGCCAGCCGTGGCAGTAGTGTTTCGTAGGAAACCGTACGACAGCTCATGGTCGAGGGGGACAGCGAGCAACAAGGCGAAGGAGAGGGCGACCAGCGCGCCCAGTAGGGCGAGGGTGCGCATCGTGCGAAGGGATGCGGCAGTCAGTAAAGAATCGTTAAGGAACGGGGTTTGAGATATTAGGGAGGATATCGGCCTGTGGGGGAATCGGCCTTGCAGCTCGGCTGCGGCGGTAACGCGTGCGACACCGAGGAGGACCGGCTCCTTGGGGCTGCTGGTCGGATGCGCAAATCAGAAATGTAGGGGAAATACGAAGCAGAGCTATTTACACAACTTCGTGGAAGACTGACTATGAGTTTATGATGCGCACTGAGGACAAGTCGTGCGCTGGATTCGTCCTGTGATTTGTCCCGTACCGTACCCGGAGATGGTGGACATATGGCAACCTGTGATTCAGTGTCGCTCCCTAAGAATGAATAGCACTTATTAAAGGCGTTTTAATGGTATGATAGGGCTCTACCGTTGTGATGCTCAAAACACGATGCGTTGTGTAATGAAAACGCTTCGGAATAGAAGTTCAGGTTTATGCCGGTAGGTTTGAAGTATGTCGCTGTTGCACGCTGTATAGCTGTGCCAGGTTCCTCATGTTGGCGAGCTTCTGAAAGGTTACGTGCAGAGCGGTGTCGTGTGTGCACAGAACGGGTGATCAACCGTGAAATACTCACCTCACGCCTTTCGTACCCAACTCACGGTGTAATTTGTAGAGCTGCTCATACCGCATCGCGGGTAGCGCCTGTGGCTCCCCCAGCGACTGATGCACAAATCTCGGAGCTGGTGTCGGCCTTCCAGGATAGCAAACGGCTCGTCGTGCTCACAGGTGCAGGATGCAGTACCGAATCAGGTTTGTTTTCTCCAGCTTCCTTCGTCCGTACCTCCTCATGACGTCCAAGTCCCCTCGGTGAGACTCGGCCATTTGCGTATGCAGGAGTGCCCGATTATCGTTCTCCCCAGGGCGCCTACTCTACCGGATTCAAACCGATGACGCATCAGCAATTCTTGGCCAGCCCTGCAAACCGCGCGCGCTATTGGGCGCGCTCCTTCTATGGATGGCCGCGCTTCTCCGCCACGCAGCCCAATGAAGCGCACCTCGCCCTGGCGGACTTGGAGCGGCGGGTGAGCACGGTGCAGGAGAGCTTAGCGCAAGGTCAGGTTGCCCGAGTTTGTCTATCCTTCTGCTGAGGTCTGGCCCGGTGCTTCTTGGAAGGTTGTTTTGGGCTATTCGTGCTGTTCGACAAGCCGAGATGAAACGCAAACCATTGACACAGGACGCTGACCTAGCGCCCCCTACCCACTCCTTGCTTGCCGCCCAGGGCTGGGTCAGCGGCATCGTGACTCAGAACGTGGACCGGCTGCACACCCGGGCCGGTAGTCGGGAGGTGCTGGAGTTGCACGGAAGCAGCCATGAGTGAGCGGCAGGGGGGAAGGGTGAGGAGCGAGGATGCAACTGTGGTTGCAAGCTTTGGAGCACCTAACCCGAACCCATCAACCGGGAAAGCACAAGCGTCCTTTTTGGCTTGCTCTGTCCGTCTCTCGCAATGGGTTTCACAATAGGTCTCACAACGCAAAGTGTTTGAGAGACCTTTTTTTTGGTTTCACAACAACCCGTATGGATGTGTGGTGGTCTTCTTTCGCGTTCTTCCTTTCGGCTCATCTTGCACCAACCTGCCAACCTTCTGACCGCCCTTGCACTGCCTCCTGGCAGCGTGGTCTGCTTGGACTGCGGCCGCCTTTCCCCTCGGCAGGCTCTGCAGGACGCACTTGCCGCCCTCAACCCAGCGGTGGCGGCCCACGTGGCGGAGCTGGGCGCCCGCCCACTAGATGCGGCAGCTGAGCGCCTCCAGAATCTGCGGGTGGGCACCGGCCAGGATGACATACGCGTGGTAATTGCTGGGAAGGGACGGAGGGAGCGGCGGCGGTAGCTCATTGCGCGACGGGGGCCGCTTCAACTTTTTTAGGAGGGATGCGGATGTCAGGTCATGTCCAGGCTTCCATGTACGGACTGATGTAGCATCCCGAAGTATGAAGCCTGCTGTGGAGCAGAAGCGTATCAGGGCTCGCCGTTCTTGGCAGCAGCTAGAGGCCTTGCTGCCCCGGTGAAAGTAATGGTTCAAGCTCCTGCGCCCTGCGGTCTACGGCCAGCCTTAAACCGCTATCGCATCCGCTTAATAGCCTGCTTGTTTCCTCCGTTATGCTTTACGGCCCCACCTCGCCAATTCCTAGTAGCCGCAAACCTGACGTGGTTTCTGGTGTGGTACAGAAGCCTAAAGACCGGCCGGCTGTTTTGTGCAGGCCGCTACACGAGCCCTCTCCAGCTCTCCTCCTCCTTCGCGGGGTGCCGGTGGTGCAGCTCCCATGCAGCGGCCAGACGGGGACGTGGAGCTGGTGGATGCGGGTCAGGGCTTTCGAGTGGCTCCCTGTCGTGACTGCGGGGGCACGCTGAAGCCGGACGTGGTGTTCTTCGGGGATAACCTACCCCAGGAGCGCAAGGAGAGGTGCGTAGGGGGGAGGTGGGCAAGGGGGGAGGGCGGGGCAGGGCAGGGGCGCGCGTGGACGTGCGGCATGCGGACGGATGAATCCACGGCTGCGGTGCTGATGTGTGCAGCCCGTGAGGGTGCGGACCCGCGCAGTGGTGCTGTATACCAACTGGCCACGAGGGCCTTCAGCTTTCTCCGTTTCAGCAGCGGCGGCAGAGGTGGGAAGGGAAGAGCCCTCGGGAAGGGTTCCCTGCATGAGAGGTGGTTCCCGTCCGCTAGGGGGCATGAGGATATTGTCGCAGCCCTGGCCTTGTGTGTGTGGTGGGGGGGCGCGCGCGCGCGTGTGTGTGTGTGTGTGTGTGTGTGTGTCCGTGTGTGTGTGTGTGTGTCCGTGTGCCGATGCAACTGACTCCTCGGGGACTAGGCCGTCCGATCGGCTATGGGCATTTTGCTGTGTATGGTATTTCTGTGCGACGTGGCCAGCAACGGAAACCGTTTCGAACGTTACCGCCCCGTCCCCAACTTGCATTGGTTTCAGAGCCGCTGCGCTTATTGCTTCGAGCGACACGCTTTTGGTTGTTGGGACTAGTGTCATGGTATATTCGGCATATCGACTTGTGGAGGCGGCTAAAGCTGCGGGGGCGAAATTGCTGATTGTTAACGTTGGGCATACACGTGCGGATAAGCTGGCAGACGTCAAGGTGGGTGACCATGTCATGTCTTTGCCGGCATTTAGCTTTTAGGTATAAGCTTTGGATTGTAGGTTAGTTCAGGTTGCGCAACTCTCTGTACGACTGCATAATAGCCTTCATATGCGTGGAATTTCCCATGGCCAATGCAGGTCGAGGCTAGGGCAGGCGAGGTACTCGTCCGCCTTGCTCGACATTCTGCCCTGCAGCTCCCGAAGTTACTTTGATGGCGTCTTCTGGACATGCTGGGACCTTTGGAGAAGTCCTAGGGGTACGAAAGCGAAGTTGGATTTGTACGATTTATATAGCTTTTCTGATGAAACCATTATGGGACATTTATCCGTTAGCCATTAGTTACGCATAAATTTCTGATAATGACTCATTTATAAGTGTTCATCTGTAAAATTATTCTGTCGCTCGCTAAAGGTTTAACAACCAAAAGCCATTGGTTTGCAACGATTGCTTGCTAAGTTAATAAACCTGGGGCAAATGACAGTAGGTAATGCGCCGGGGCCCCTTGCCAAGGGGCGCCCTGCTCCGCGGGTTCTGCTGGTGGACCTGGACGATACTCTCTATCGAGTACACCAGATACCTGCAATCGTAAAGCAGAGGATTCAAGGTGCTTTTTTGCTTCTTTGATATGCACTTGCACTTTACAGCCGCGTCATCATCTGCTTCAGCACTGTGCCGTTATGGATTATTATCGCCGTGCCGACGCGCCTCTCATCGATTGCAGAATATATGGTGAAAAAACTGGGCATTCCTCAGGATGAAGTTGCTGCCAAGACGACGGAGCTCTATTTGGCGTATGGCACCACGTTAGCGGGGCTGGTGGTAAGTACATGCGAACATCCTAAGGAGACTCGTGTCATCGCAGGATAGAGCCTTCAATTGATGCATCGTGGCAGGGCGCGCGCTAGCCAGCTACTTCGCTTTGGGGTCATTTTCTTGTCGATACGACGAGTAAGCGCCCAGTGATAACCTTCAAGCGCGACCAATCTCAGGTCGACGCAAGTTATCTAGATGCATGCATTCTGCCTCAAGCACCCATGTGCATGCACGCTCTTTCCACAGCTCCGTGTTTGAGGGGGTAGGGTAAGCCCCGTTGAGGGGGTCCGCCGTTTGTGACCAGCGGAAGCGCGTCCGTATTCACAAGTGCATAACACGGCACTTCCCCTGTCAAGAAAAATTGCACGGCTTTTGGCAGCCCCGTACTCCCCATGATAGGTGCTGCATGGCTGCCTCCAAAACCCTTGGTGTGGTGCTTGTTGGTTTGGTCCCTTCTCCAGGCGACTGGGTATCGCATCGACTACGACGACTGGCATGAGTTCGTGCACCAGGGGGCCCTGGACTACGACACTCTGCTTCAGCCCGATCCCTCACTGCGGGATATCCTGTGCTCAATTGACCTGCCCAAGTACATCCTCACCAATGCCAACCGTGTGCACACGGAGCGTGCACTGGCGCGGATGGGCCTGAGCGATTGCTTCCAGGTGAGTGAGCGCCAGGTGTGTTGGCGGCACCCTTGGTAGGTGGGCTGCATGTGAGCCGGTAGAGGGGCTGGCCCTGGACGGTGGGACATCAAAACATGTCGGCTCCCAAGTTGCTTGATAATATGTTTCCGTAAAGATTGTTACGAAGCTGAGCGACGGGCGAAGAGTGCCATGCGCCCTGCCATAATGGACGATTCTATGTAGATGTTGAAATCGACCAACCAGATCACGGTTGTCGACTATTTGTGCAACGAGGACAAAGAACTTGCCGATCGTTGTCACAACTTGTGTAGCAGTTTCGATTGACTGCAGATGCGCACGTTTAGGGTACGTGTGTGCATGCGCTTCGTTGGCGGGTCATATGCCATGTGGGTCGTAGGAACTTGAGCTCAGACCTGAAGCCGAGTGAGTTGATGTCACGACTTATTGGGTTTCACAGATACATGCAGCATGCGGCGAGATTACAGGCTCGAACACGCGGGCAGGCAGTCCAAGGATTTTACAATAGAACAGCGGATGTTCAGGGATTGTTGTTTCGTAGTAGCTTTTAACACGTTTGGAATTAAGGGGTCTTCTTATTGAGGCGCTGGAGGAGGCAACGTCTGGCAACAGGCCAGCGCATGAACAGGACCTCACCATATGGCGAGCTGTGCTGCAACATATCATGCCGTTCTTGCTCTCCTCCCCCGATGCACCTTGTAGGGCATGTTTTACTTTGAGAACGTCATGGAGCTGGCTGCCTCACACGGCTTCGATGTGGCTCATGGCGTGCTCTGCAAGCCTAACCCGCGCATCTACCAGCTAGTGGCAGAGCAGTTGGGCGTGGGGCTGTCCGAGATCATATTCTTCGATGACTCGACCCGCAATGTGGCCTCGGCACACGGCCTGGGATGCATGACTGTGCTGGTGGGCAGCGACAAGCCGTGCCCAGGCGCCGACCTGTCCCTGCCCACCATGCACGACTTACCGGCAGCCATGCCGGAGCTTTTGGATCAGCCGGGGCTAGTCCATGAACACCATAGTAGCATACCAGGAATGGCTCAGGAGCAGCATGCTGCACTGGCGGTGCCAACAGCGGTGGGTGGAGCGGCAGCCGGCAGCTGCAATGGCAGCGGGATAGCCGTCAGCGTGCCGGCCTCGTGAGCATGCGCGCGGCAACTCCATGGGATGCTGCTTAACTCGATCGCAGGCTTTCATAAGGTCAATGTGATGAGGATATCTATGACAATGCACACGTGTACATAGCGGTGGACCTTACCACGGGACCGAATATTCTTTCCAGACTTCGAGTGGTGTGTAAGGATGAAAAGAAAATGTTCGCGTTTACTGACGGCGAGGAACCCGCGGTTGGACCCTGCCGGTTGGGCCATGCCTTCATACCGCATCTTGATTCCTGATGCTCTGCTTGTGACCGCGCAAACGATATGGCCTGGACTGCGATGCTAAGCTGCGGTGGAAAGGCTAATCGGCACAGCTTTAGCTGCGGTGGAAAGGCGGATCACACAGCTGACTGAAAGTTGGCAATTCCTAAGTAGATCTGCAGCGATGTGGTGAGTGGAGAAGGTGAGGGGATGGGACTGGGTATCCAAAGTGCTTCTTGATGGTAGCTGGCGTGTAAGTCGTAAACGGATGACTTACGTTGGGGAATATAGTTTGGCGTTTGGGAATATACCTTTCTAATTAAATTCTATGTGGCCAAACGAACCTGTGCGTCGAGTAATTGCATGATTGCGAGTATAACGCGGGCGTCTGGGGTCCTTCACTTGGTACGACGTTGATGGATGTCCTACGTGCGATTCTTCTGTACATGCGAGCTGGTACGGCAGTTTGCGTTGACTGCATGGTCATGGACGGTGGACGGGACCTTCTCGAGTGGAAAGCATGGTTTCTCTATTATCGTGGAGATGCACTTACAGTTGTGCAGCCTTGAATGTTGTATGTTTCCAGGAGACATGCTATCTGATGCGCATCGTCAAAGGATGTGCATTCGCACGAATTGAAAGATGTGTTTTCGGCCTTGCATGGCATGACTATCTGTGAAAGGCTTGCCCCACAGCGTAGCAGCACAGTTGCACTATCGCATGGCCGCCGAGCCAGAGGCCCGGTGCCTGCAAGCCCCCGTGGGTTTTAACCCTGCATGTTTGGACATTCGAAACCAATGCTACCGTGTATCCAACGTGCGCCTGCTTTCCTAAAGCCGAGAAAGCGACGGCGGAAGGAAATCTGGTGTGCTTTGCAGTGACCCAGATCCACTGATGGTGAATTTTGAGGTCTGGATCAAACGGTGGTGATACCTGAGCTTACGCAAATGGACATGATCCAGGATTCCCAGCAGCTGTCAACACTCCGTCGCATTATGGAGTACTCCGCCCTATCGCATGTAACACATGGAATGGTAAAAATGCTATACACAAACGAGCCGAGCGAACCGGATCCTATATGCTGACCTGCGCTGTGGCCGAGTCGTCTGCATGCGTCACACCTCCGCCATGGCGTATTAAGTACTACCACGATTCAACACCAAAAGCAGCAATGCTCCTTTATTTTAAGTGAACCCAAACAACACCTCCCTGTTGCAGGAGTCAGCTACCCACAGCCCCACGATGACAAAAGATGCAACGCGGTCAACCGTATGCACTTTTTCACTTGTCATTACGTAACGGTGGCGGCCCCCCCCACCCAAACCTAGGGCAGGACACATCCATCCAAACAGATGCTTGCCCATGAATTGCGGCACTGCACGTCACGTAAGAGCCGTGTCATGCACAATGCTGTTTAAGTTAAAACCCTAAAACCAAAGTTAACCATGTGTGCATTTGGTGCCGACCCAGCATGCATACAACGGAACAGTTGCTGCCTGTCCTCTATTTCCGTTCGGGATTCCCGCAGCTTAATAATCTTGGCAAAAACGCCCCGCCGTCCATCTCGCGCATCCTCTCGAGCCCTCGACGGACTCTAAAAGGACAGACGGATCCTGAATAACACAACATCGGGACTCATCCAGGCCGAGTGGGGGTTCCACACCTTCACCGCAGGACACTAACCGCTTGGGGTCGTTGCTCTGCTGCTGCTGCTGGCACGCACACCCCTAGCCCCAGGCCCCCAGCCCCCAATTCGTGTGCTGTGGAGCTGTGGGGAGTCAAATGCCCATCAATGACAACAACGGCCCCACATCCTCGGTAAACCCTGTTACCGCCCTCTGCTGCGGCACACGAATGGACATCCACCACCTCCCACCCGACCACCTTACTCCGCCCCCTTGCTACGAAATAACCTAATGCAGTCATCGTCAACAGAAAACGTAAGCCTCCAGCCTCACGCCGACTCTCTTACCTACCATTCATATTTTCTACCTCGTTCACAGGACTCCGCCGCGCTGCCTCTAGTTCGGCTCGTGCCACAGGTAACTACGCTCGTCGCTACTTTGCCATTCACCTTCGCCTCCACCCAGCCTCTGCTTCTCCACAGAAGCGGCGTCCTCCTTCGCCGTTGTTACGCCTCGTCTATGCGACTCCTCATCATCCGACTGGGTCTTCTGCCTACCCGGTGCGCGCCCCTCTCTCTGCGCATCCGTTCCTCCGGCCCTCTCTTACGGTTGCCTACCTGACTGCAGGACTCGCCCCTTGCCTGTCCGGTGCCGGGTAGGCTTTCCTTGCCTCCCCCGGCCCTACTTGGGGCGCCCCTCCTTGGCTCGTCAACTACCTTACTTCCGTCCGTTCCTGCCCCTCGGGGGCCCAACCCCTCCGCCCTTTCTGTGGGCCCGATGCCCGCTCTGGACTTGTCTCACGCCCCCGGCCTCTCTGATGCTGCCCCCCCGGTAGGCTTGCCCCCGCGCCTGGGTCCTGTCTCTTCTTTCCGTCGCGCTTACCTCTCCTACCTTCTTCTGCCCTCCAGGCACTGCCGGAGCCTACTCTGCCCCAAATCTTGGCCGCGCGCGTCCGCCCCACTTCCATACCCTCTGCCGTACTGGACCCACCTTCCAGCCGTCAGCTTTATACCGTCGCCCTCGCGAAGGCCGCCACCGTCTGCGACAACTCGCTGGCTCGCGAAACCATTGCCCGCCAGGAAGCTGCCGGTCGGGACCTCTCTGCCTGGCTGGCCTCCCTGCCCCATGGCCGTACCCTGCTATCCTGCACTGATGACGACCTACTCGTCTACCTGGAGGCGCACTGGCTCCCCAACCGCCGTGTGGACGACCCGAGCCCCAACACCGTCAACAATCATCTGGGTCTACTCTCCGGACTGTTTAACCGCTTGGGCCGTGGCAGCACTTACGACCGTGAAACCGGCATCGGCAACCCCTGCTGCTCCAGCGCCTTGTCCTCCTACAAGACTGGCTATAGTCGTCTCGCCGCCGACCGTGGCTATGAGGAGCGAGCCGCCGTACCACTCAGCCCTAGCGACTTCACCACCCTCATGGACCACCTCTGGTCCGGATTCCAGGCTTCCACCACCTACCTGACCCGGCTGCTGTTATTACGCGACCTGTTGTGCTGCCTTGCAGTTGACTTCCAACTCCTCAAATCATCAACTACACCTCAGGGCGTACGTACGCACGTATGAATGTACGTATGTATGTACGTATATACGTATATACGCGCAGTTCCCACGGATGCCGGACTGCAGAGCCCCACTGGGGAGCAGCTCAGCAAGGCCAGCTACCGAGGAAAGGCCGCGGCTTGACGACGCAGACGTGAACCGGGAGCTGTGTACGCAGAGCCCCTGTGTGCTGGCGAAACGGAGGACGCTGCATTTTTTCTCTTTCCTTGGCGCCTCGCCTTGCGTAGGGGTGTAGATACTCTGTCGTAGGGAGGGCATTGCCTAGGTCCATACCTGACATCCACCTCAAATAGCGCTCCTCCCATATCTCCCCCCTCCAAACCTCATGCCTGAGTACCAATTCGTGTGCCTAGGGCCTAGGCACCATCAACTTAATAGCTCGACAGTCTAAGCCCTAGCCCGGCAGGTGACCTTGCCCCGTCTTACACACCGTGCCGAAAGGCCGGCCACTTCTGCATGTCCACCTCCTCTTCTGTGGTGTTCCAGATGTCAAGCGCCACTGTCGCAATGGGCGTTTCCTTTTTGACCCACTCTCCTAGGTTGGAGTCGCGGCCCTGCCTGATGCGCTGTTGTGACAAGACACGCTCATGATTGCCGACTTGCAGCTGCCGTTACTGCACACCGCGAAGGTCACATGCTTGCTGCAACAGGATACCGGCAACGGGCGGGAATGAACGGAAACCGATGTGGGAATCCCAACACGGGAAAAACAGTAGGCCAGTAGCGATCCACATTCAGAGCTCCGGTATGGACCTTAATCGCCATGGGCACCTAAGCACACGGGGCCCATCACCATTTTCAGGCATGATGTTTCTTCAATTGCGGCAAATGGCACTGCGAGCTCTTCGTATCGTGCATATTCCCACATAGCGAACCTGCTGCCTGCCTTAAAACGCACACCCCTACCCCTAACCCCAGGTCGTCAAACATCTCCCCGGGAGAATTCCAGTGCTTCTTGTGCTGCTGCTGCTGCTGCTACACTTTCCCAAAATAGGCAACCTTCGGCGCTTCAGATTTCATTATCCGCGTTGTACGCCGGACCTTGATACGCCAAAATCCCCTGAGCTTTCACGCATCCTCTGGAAGTGATCCACACGTTTTCACGGCACGCGAAGTTGATCATTTGCAAGCGGTACAGGTGCCCGGCAGGCAAGGGCTCCCGAGCTCCCAGGGTGCGGCGAGGAAGAGGCTGCTGAGGCTGGTGCGGGGTCTGGGTCTGGGGACCTTGCTGAGAATGCTGTTGGGGCCCAAGCCTGACACGCGAACGCATCACGGCAGACGACCAGGCCCGGCAACTACATGACTGCCAGATCCCCAGCCAACATTAAGCAGCAGGCCCGCACTGCGGCCGCCCGCCCGCATCCAGCCGCGTCCACTTTTCCCATTGTAGGGATAGACCCTTACACCTATACCTCTATTTTCAAGGGCCGCCGAGCCGCTGGTCGAGGTTGCGTGTCCTGGTGCGGCGTTTGCGCGCCAGCTTGGCCAGCTGCCTGTGTGTGTGTGTGTGTGTGTGTGTGTGTGTGTGTGTGTGTGTGTGTGTGTGTGTGTGTGTGTGGTAAAGGGAAGGCCCACCCAAGAGGTGCAAGTTCGTGCAGCGCAACGAAGAGGCGCATCCAAGTCTCACAATTCACATCACCGACCTTCTGCCGCTACAAGCTCATGCTAACGCTTCTGCCCGCATGCCCACCTACCCCTGGTGAGGGCGGACCCAGGCCGCAGGACGCCGTGCCATTCTGTGTTACCTGCGCGCAGGCTGGTGCTGGGGGCCGTCCGCCTGCACGGCAAAGGCTTGCCAGGGCTTTCGACCTGCATCCGCTGAACTGGTGGGAGCATATCCCCCTGGTCCGGGTTGCGCGAGTCGCTGGTGTGGTTAGCTACACCGTTGCGGGGCAGAATACAATGCGGCGGGGAACGGGCTGTACGGTGCTGGAAAAGACGTAAATCCGAAGCGGGTGCCGGAGCTGAAGAGCGGATGAGGGTGTCTGGGTGCACACATGAGGATTGATAGGCACATGGAGGAATCTTACAGCCTGGCTCAACTCGCACCTGCGTGCGCCGCATCCAGGACAGCCACGTGGCGGAATTCATACTAAAACAATTCCTCCCACCACCCGTATCCTTCTTCACTGGATATCTCCGACAACAAGATCTACGCACAGAAAGGCGAATTGGGATGTCCGAATGCCGAGCGTGCCCAGAGGGGCAATTAGCAAGGCAAGTTGTTACATGTCGTACCGGCTGTAATGCCGGCAACATGTGTCAGCTTATTGCCCCAGCGGCATGAAAGGCACCCACGGATTGTAAGGTAAGCGACTCCTTCGTCAATAGTGACGCTTTCGACTAAACCAATTTTCGTGCATCGTCCGGGTTGTCGAGCAACTCGGTAGGAATTCGTCCTGGACAAGGTTCGAAGGGAACTTCGGAGACATGGCTTAAATTGCGTAGTTGAATCTGTTTACAAAAGGGCTGTAGGCAACAACAAGGGTTCACAACAACGGTCGCACAGAATGCAACATGCACGGAAAGCAGTCTTGGATCTTCAGGCTGGATAGTAAAATTTTACTTTCCAACCTGACATGAAGACATTGTCTGAGTTCTTGAGCTAGGCCCTCTGCCCTTTTTGTTATTCGCATGCCAAACCTTGCACCCAAGCCATAGCTGAAAGACCCAACCTTATCAATTCATATGCAAGTTTTCAGACAAAAGCTGTTATGCCAGGAAGCATCAGGAAATGATTCTTTGTACGATGCATTTCACGCCCTCATTTGCCATTTCACGGCCATTTCGCACGGTTCCATGATTTCTTGCAGGGCATGAGTTGCAGCAAACGAGCAATCTTGTACCTACTGCCCACCTTACATGGTCCCACATATTTGTTAAAATCTTTTGTATGATTTTGGGGTCCGCTGCAGCGTGACCTTGGAAGACACCTTGTTACCTGCCCCGCGTTTTCCTGAGCATATTACTCTCCATGCTGGCTAGCAAACCCTTATACAGAAAGAACGCTAAAATTTACTGCGGCCGACGCGTCCGCAAAGCATTCTATGCAGAAGGACCTCGCCAGGAAGAGCAATACTTTCTCGGGACCGTCGTAGAGTGCCCAATATACGACGGTGAAGTTTGTTATACAATTGGTAAGCTTTGTAGTGTCTGCAAGATGCAATATATCTTCTGGCTATCTCCAGACGACTGTCAGGCGTTTGGACCTCTACTCCGTGTGGACGGGACTCTACCTTGCACATTGATGGGAGTGTATCAATCATACGAATCAGGATTACTGCATACGTTGCGTATCTTCCCGCCAAAAAAGCGTTCTTGCACTTCATTAGCCAAACCTATGTGCAACTTGTAGAATACGAAGACGGTGACGTCGAAGACATTGCATGGGAGGAGCTAGTGCAGATTATAATGGATCCTGAGCAACCGCCCACGTCCGGTAGGTTGGGCCGTGCAGTTTATCGGTGTCGGCCTGCCTTAACACGGACTTCACTGCTTGCCTTGCAATTCTTATCCAAAGGGGGGTTGGCAGATGCCACCAATCTCACGTGCCCCCATGGCAGGCTCAGCGGTAAGTGGTTGGGCAACAGAGACTGAACAGGGGCGCCGTAATATAATGTGACGATGCACTGACGGTATCGCGCACCCCATTGCTTCCGAACGGTTAATGGTTTCAAACCTGGGACGTCTCCGAGCTCAGAATAAGAAAACACCGATGCGGGATGGGGCGCGATGTTGCCCTCTGCACATAGGTGGTCCTGGTTATGGGCTTTGGCTCCCCCGATGTCCCCAATGAATAATGCAGCAGATTGTGCCCGTCTCAGCTTTCCCCCGTGTAGGGTATTTTCATGCTTTCCGCATCGCTGCATTGCCCTTTCCAGAGAAGCCAGCTGCGCGGCATGCGTGGCGGAGTCAGCCAGCAGGTTTGCAGACTCCCATGTCGGAGGATCCAGGAACGCCCGATATCGGTACTGCCGGGCAGCAGCCCCGGGTGCAGCGGCCAGGCAGGGCACGTAAACGCAATCTTGATGAGGGAAGCGGCGACGCTGAGGGCAGTGCACCGAGCGGGCCCGGCGGGGGTGAATTCGTTTCGGAGGGTGCTGGGGCAGGGGGCGACAACGCGGGAGCTGAGGCGACTGAGCGGCCTAAGAAACGGAGAGCTGTGCTGGACCCCGTCCCGGAAGTGCCGGAGGATGATGGGCAACAAGAGGTTAGAATGGAGGGGATTAATGAAGTTCCATATGGTGGAGGACGTCACTTGCATGGAGCCTCAAGGGCCACATGTTAAGCCGATGTTAAGCCGATGTTGTTGTGTGGATATCAAAATCGTCGACCAGTGGCTTAACGGTGTTGGACACTGAGCATCGAGACGGCACGGCGACGCGCAGTCTGATACGCATTACTAATGGGCTTGCAGTGCTTGTCTGAGGCGTATTTGGACCGCATGTCCCTTACATCACACGACTAGGTGCCGCGGGCTCCGATGGCACACGAGGATGATGACCTGTCCGGCTTCACGGCACGCGCGGTGGGGCTTGCGGGCCAGATTGCCAAGATCCGTGTGGAGAATTTCATGTGCCACAAACATTTTGAGATGGAGTTCGGGTGAGTGCTGTGTTGGCGATCACGTCATCTCATCACCAATTAACGAATACAGACGCCGAGGACATCGTTTGCTGACCCGTAGGATGTCATGAGAACTGATCATATCAGCAGTTTAGGGCTCGCAGCGCAGCATGATGCTGCAGGGCATAGGCTATTTGACGAGAGCGCGCTTTTTTCCCCGCTGACACCCCATGCTTGCCCCACGTAATGTACTCCGTTGTCAAGGCCGCACGTGACATTGGTCAGCGGCCAGAATGGCAGCGGTAAGAGCGCTGTTGTGCAGGCACTGCAGGTCTGCCTTGGCGTCAGCGCCCGCAATACGGGCCGGGGAACTGCTATTGCCGAACTCATTAACGCAAAGGCACACGACGCGAAGGTCCACGTGACTTTGTGGAACACCGGCGACGACGCATTCATGCCGTCTCTGTAAGTTCGGCTATCAAGGTGCTCTAATGCTGCTGTAAATGGTTTGCCATCATACTTTTCGGCATGGACATCTGGGTGGGTGCAGGCTGGAGCCATACATAGCCGATACACAGCCGATGGGAGGAAAGTAACGTTCTGCCTGCGCATTTGATTGAGTGGCGGAGCTTTGGGCTCCACCTGCATTCAGCTGTTGTTCCTGTAATGATAGAGCCTTGCAACCCTGATGGCCTTTTCCGAAGGGGGCCATTTCTCTAATCCTCAATCTACCCCTGGTTCGTTCTTCTCAGTTTCGGCGATCGCGTCACAATCGAGAGGCACTTGAAGCGCGTGGGCGCTTCGACATACGCGCTCCTGGATTCGCGTGGTCGGAAGGTCACCCTGGATCGCGGGGAGAAGGTCAAGGACGTGTTGGACCGGATGCTGGAGCACTTTACGGTGGACGCAAACAACGCGCTTACGATCATCACCCAAGACAAGTCCCGAAGCCTCCTTTCGGGTGAGCCGCGGGTTCTCGTCCGGCGAGAGTGCTGGGTGTAGCTTAGCGGTAAGGGAGGGAGGGAGGGAGGGAAGGCGCGTGTGCGTGCTGACAAGCAAAGACAGCAAGTGCATACCAGGGGGCGTGCATTAATGTGCATTGTGATAGCCGGGAGTGCCGGAATTATATGTTGCTAGTTTGCTTAGCTACCGGGATGCGCCAGGGGGAGTACCAAGTGCTTTCTGTTGTGGCCCACGATAAAAGAATTCTAGGGCAGTGGCACAGACCACCCACCCGGCCCATGCCGTGCATGACCCTGTACGGTGTGCCGTACAAAACGGGAAATTTGTCATCTTCCATCGGAAGTTCTTTATCGTTCGAGTTCAGTTTTTCGAAAGACTAGTAGATTTTGGGATGTCAAAAAGGATTTGCAACGTGTAAAAACCCGCATGTAGCGCATGCCAGGACGCGTGCAGGCGGCGTGTGTGAAAGGCAGGCAGGCACGTCTACTGATGACCTGATGTCAGGCAATGGGTGGCCCGGCTGGTGCTACATAATGCTAAAACCTCCTGCACGTCCATCGCTGTTCTTGCAGCACGTCCCCTTTGGCACCCTTTACCGTGGCCAGCTGGCTGCGTCCACGCCCCACCACCGCGCGGCCCGTGCTTCCTGAAGTATGCAACATTTACTACTATTAATACTATTACTGTTGCTCCAGGAATGTGGCAATGCCTAATGCTCTTGGAGTAATAAAACTTAGCGCCTAGAAGGTTGAAAGGTCGATGAATGTAATCGTTGGGCTCTGACGTAGTATTTACGTACGGCAAGGCTACGATCGACTTTTCGGAAGCCCATAGATTTTCCGTACACCATTCAAGTTTCAAAAGTGTTCTTTACATCTTGTCAAGATCTATGGCATGGATTATGGTGTCTGTCCCGGACGAAGCTGTACATCTCTACTCCGGGGATGCCTTGATTTGATTCGCGTGCTTATCTCGCTTTTGCTGGCTACGCTGACTCACGTCTAGTTGCGGTGCATGGGGGACGCTCGGTGATATCATCCACCTGCGAACAAAACACACCGAAAGCAAATGTCGCTTACAGTAATATTCTGAGCGACCTCGGGGTTATGGCAAGACCTGCAAAAGCCTGCAAGAAGCCTGCAGCATTCACTTCGTGTCTTCGTGTTTGCCGTTGGAAGGCTCGAAAGCTAATTTATCTCCTCTCTCCCTCTCCCCTGCGGCCCAGACAAGTCCAACGCCAAGGACAAGTATGAGATGTTCATGGCTGGTACGCTGCTCGACAGGGTGCAGGCAAGTTTCGACATGGCTGGATCCAACATGCCTCCTTCATAATCCGCTACAATAGATACTAGGCAGACGGAGAACGCCTACGTTCGGCGGGTTCCGCGCGCGGCATGGCCGTGTAACAAGTTGCACGCAGTTCCGGGAGCTCCTATAACTTTCAGTCGCTACATGAACAAGGGCTGATCAAAGTCTGGCCATGGCTGCATCACTGGGGTGCAGGACGACCTGAAAGTGGCGAATGCCCAGGTAGCTGCGATGATGAAGAACCTCGGGGAAACCGCTGCCCGGTACAACGCAGAGAAGCAGGAGGAGAACCAGCTCAGCAGCAAGGTCCAGAAGCTGCGCAGCGCCGACAAGTAAGCTGCTTGGATTGGGACTCTCGTGACTCTCGGTGACTGGGCGTCAATCAACGAACTCGGATCAAATAGTGCTTAATCCCTTCGTCGTCGTGTCGAGGGCGTCATCATTTGGCTCCTGTCCTTGCCGTATCGGAGGGCACTATCCTCCGCTACTGTTTTGCTCGTTTTACTCGTGTGCCCTTTCCACGGACTTCCGGATACCGGCATTTGTACGTTGACTCGTCCCGGCATCCTCGCAGGTTCCTCGAGGACCGGGAAATGTTGGAGCGAGCCATCGTCTGGCGGGCGGTTGAGCAGACGGAGGAGCGGGTTGCAGCAGCTAAAACAGCAGCAGATGCTCGGGGACCGGAGTTGGTGTCGATCTACGAGCGTCACATCGAGGCGATGGCACGCGCCAAGAGCGAGATGCAGAACCGCCAGCAGGAGCTGGTATGCTCGCTCACATTGCAACCTAGCACCTTAATCGGTTGATGAATATTGAACTATTCTTGGTTTTACCGTGTGTGTGTGGGAGTTGCCCGCCTTGCTGGGATCCGCACCTTATCCCGCCGTGTGTTTGTGTGTTCGAAGCTCCATACGCTATAATTTTATTACTGCGTCCCTGTCATCACACTTGCATGTGGCCCGTGTAACAGGCAAATGAGCTGGGGCGGCACACCGAGGCCATGGAAAACCACGACGCGCACATCCATGCCCTTATCAGGGCTGAGAAGGACTCGCGAGTCAACGCGGACCGAGCCAGGCGCAGCAAGCTGTCTGCACAACGCACTTTGGAGACGCTCGTAAACGACAAGAGTGTAAGCTTCTAAATTTTTTCCAGCTCGAAAGGCTTTATGCAACGGGATCAGCCCCAGGCACTTTGGCTGTGTTTGGCTCCTTGTTTTGTGTGGCAGTACATGGATGGCTGCTAGACACGCTGTGGTGGGTTTTGGAAACAACCTTGGACTAGCAACTATTCATCCACTGAGGCTCCCGTCATCCGCAAGCCCAGGTTCACGGATGCCCGTGACACTGCTGACCTGCGGCATTAAAGGAAGTTAGCCGTCCCGTGTACAACCCCCTGTTTCATTCTGCAATTTTCAGGCACTTGATGAGCAGCTGGCCAAGGACACCAACGGGAAGGCAGCAGAAGCGCGTCGCCTCGTGGAGGAGCACCAAATGCAGGTGAGAAGAGCTGCATGTTCATGCTAGTCACCATGAGCGGTGGCAACAGGCCCCATGAACCATCTCAATGACCGTCCTTTAGGATTGTCGTTGGCACTCTTCACAAGCACCGCCACCGTCCCTTCACCTAATCCATACGCCAGCCTCTGCCAAGGGGGTTGGTCGTGCCATCCTAGGACCCTCTTCATCCATCATTCATCCGAGCATCCATCCGTAAAAACAGAAAGTTCAGCATCCAAGGTGTTGCACAACAAGCAGTGACAATCCTGTTGTCGGGCACAGTTGTTCTATAGTTGTGCCGCCGCCTTGCCTTTCAGACTGGACTCGCACTTCGTCGCGTTGCGTCCATGTTCCGTAACGTGCGCGGCAATATCCGCAGGTTACCGCAAAGCAGGCGGCGCTGCACGAGGCAAACGAGGCTCTCACCGCTGCACGCCAATCACTCGAGTAAGTGCTCCTGCCAATAACCCCTTGATAACCTCATGAGCTCATTTGAAACGATCCGACATTTAAGAATGGAAATGGCCGTATCGCAGGGCTGCGCGGGCAGAGGCGGAGAAGCTAATTCATGAAGAGGCGGCCGCTCGCGACAACGTCAACGGTACGGCACGCAAGGTAAGCCACGGGAGGCTTGTGGCTATACCTCGTTACTGGGTGATGACCTCAGACACGTGTAGTTCTTAGCGCCTGACCGGCTCCCAGTATGTTGCCTGAGAATGATGAAAACTCCCCACGCAACACTTTGCAGGTCACTGACTTGCAAAAGGCGCTGCGGGAGCTGGGCGCTGGGCAGGACAACCGGCTGGGCATGTTCAAAGCGGTGGCCCTGAACGATATGATCAACCAGAACGTGCGCCGCTTTCGGCAGCGGCCCATCGGCCCCATCGGCGCGCTGCTCACCGTCACCGACCAGAAGTGCGCAGGGGAAGCTGGGCACCTAATCTCCTCTCTTGCTGTTGATTTCCCCTGGAAGTTGACTTTTGGGCACACCGCTTCTATCATGCGATGCAGCACCGTTTGTGCGTGGCACGACCGTTGTCGGCCCGCATACCTTTTGAAGGAGGCCCTGCTTTTCCTTTGTCTGTTTTCAGATGGTTGCTGGCCACTGAGGTGGCATTGGGGAACGCCTTCCGCGACTACCTGGTCTGCTGCTCCGAGGATGCAATTCTGCTTCGCGAGTTGATGAAACGTGTGGACTACAAGGGCGCCTCCGTCGTTGCGATGCCATTCAACGCGCCGATGCACAACATCCCCCCATCACGGCGCCCCGTCAACGGCTTTGTGCCGCTGCTGGACGTCCTCATCGTCCACGATGCTGCCGCACGCGTCCCCGTCATGAACTATCTTGTTGACAAGTAAGTCGTCGTCGGTCACGGCCTTCTCCGTGTAAGTGTAAGTGCGAGCAGATGTGTTTGGCACGCGCCATAACATCATAACCTAAGGAAGATCTCACTTGCTCATTTGCTGCACATTGTCATAAAGGCAATTGCGGGATTCCAGGTTTTAATGTCTCAATACGGTGTATTGTCATTTTGACGAGGTGCGTTGGCATACTGCTCTATCCTTATACGGCTATCCTTGCGTTTCCTCTCCTGCTCCGCAGGTTCCGCATCGAGTCTGCAGCTCTAGTGAACGGCCATCAGGAAGGAGAATCTGTCAACCACGGTTGCGCTGCAGGCCAGCACATCGTTTCAGCTTTTGACGCCGACGGCAATTGGTACCGCAGGAACGGCGACTTCAGATGGATCGACCGAAACAGAGGCGTGTGAGTGCATGTGCCATGTGCGCCATTGGTTTCCTACTGGGGTTTGTGTTGCGTCCTGATCCATACCGAGAATGGACGTCTATGACCTCCGTTGGCCACCTTCCGAGCGGCAAGTGACGTGTACTCGGCGAAGATGGGCGCCGTTGGGGGGCTGCGTGTCCGGGCATAACTATTGCCCTTATTGGGTGCACCCTGGCGCTTATCACCGTGTCAATCCATGCAGGACGTTGCGCCAGTGCCGTCTGGTGGCCGACGTGTCGCAGTACAAGGCCGCACTGGAACGTGACTTGGAGCAGACGGAGGCGCAACTGGGTGCACATCAAGAAGACCTCACCCGCCTCAGAAACCTGCTGCGGGAGGCGCGGGCGTGGGAGGCAAAGTGCCTGGCAGAGGATAAGTCAGCGAACGCCCTGAAGGTATGTGTGGGTTTTTGGATTCCGTGACCGTCCTCTGTTCACCCCTGGATCAAGTCGGAAGACTGGCCTCTTCAGCTGCCTGCCACGATGCGGGGTGTGACGTGTAATGGCTAGTAAGATTGGGTTTATAATTGTCGTTGGTTCATTGCCTGGGCCCGGCAGGCACGCGCCAATACAGAGCTGCGCCGGCTCATAGCACAAGCCCCGGAGATGCCCAGGTTCGAGGATGACGAGGAGGCTGGCACCGTGCTGACGCAGCTTGCGTCCATTCAGCAGGAGCTCGTGGGCTCGCAGCTTCAGCTGCAGACTGCGGATGAAGCGCTGGCTCTAGCTGAGCAGGTACACATGCGCTTGGGTTATGAACTCACTTCCGCGTGGTCAAAACAGTGCACGACTGCATCAGGTTTCCTGTTTGACTGCTAGGTATTAACCGGCCTAAATTTGCGAGATAGCCTGCGGTGTCGAACTTCACTTATTGTTGTCACTAGCGCGCGGCTCCTTGTAAGCTCGGGTGACTTGAGGCCGTGATTCCTGAGCGTGCGCCCTCGAGCCTTGCAGTCCCACAGGCAGGCGCTCCAGCAGGCTCGAGAGGAGAAGGAGCGCCATCTTCAGCGAATGGAGGATGGCAAGCGGTTGCGTCATCAGCTGGATGAAGTGGCGGACAAACTGAAAGAAATTGAAGCTAAGCGCAGCACTGCAGAGGAAAGCCGCTCCCAGGTCTGCTCCCAACTTGGAAAGTTGCGCGAGCGTGTGGTGGTGGCCGAGGAACGACTGCAGCGAGCGCTTCAGGCGGCCGACCAGGTACACTTCCTCCTGTCTTGTGCAGAGTCCCCAACAGCGTCCTTTTGGAGCATGGAAGGCTGGGTGCTGCGGACCTCACAACTGGACATGCATGAATGTGCTATCTGTATCCAATCACAAGGCGTTCATCATGGCAAGGGAGGACCTCAGGTCCCTTTTCGTTGCGGGTGGCGGCCTAGCTTAATCTGTAGGTCGCAGGATGCGCTTAGCACTGCGCCAGGGTGAGCTCTAGCTAAGCTCATATCATGCGTGACGCGTAGCATAGCCAGGGGACTTGCCTTGGCATATGAACCACGGCCATCCGCCAAACGCCCGGCAGGTCTGCAGCCGCGCGGAGGGCCAGCAAGCGATTCGGCTGGTGCGCGAGTCCATCACTGCCGCGGTGGAAAAGAAGCTCACCAGCAAGCAGCAACGTGATCGGCAGCTGGCAAACATGGCCCCGGAGGAACTGCAGAGGATGCTGAAACGGACAGTGGAGGCATCTATGGACTACGCGGTCAGTTTGCTCCTTTGTGAAAGCTGCCATAAACTGGTGTCGGTCGATACATGACCCTGCGGTCACTTCTTGTGCTGACGTGTGTACCTCGGGAGTTGTTGGCTTTTCGGCCCTTTTTGCTGTAACACACGGCGTCGGGGGTCCTATTTTCGCGCTCACTGTCACGTAGACGCTGGAGAAGCAACTGGCCACTGTGAACGCCAACATCGCCAAGGCGGCGGCTGAGGCTGGGTCAAGCGACCTGCAGGAGCTGGAGATCAGGCTTGCGGCCCAGAGTAAGACGGTGAGGCTTGCTGGGCCGGCTTGCTTTTAATGCGGGGTCGTGGCGCACGTAGCCTTGCTGTTTGGCATGAAATGAGTTGGGCTTTTCAACAGAGAGTAGACCGCAAAATGACAGCACACCCTGCCACTGTTGTACTTATGAAGAGGATTGAAACGGCACGTTTGCCTCGTTATGGTGTCCCATGGGCGGTTCTGCTGCTGGGGTTTCTTGACGGGAGGTTTAAAACTCTCCTTCAGCCTGTGACAATAGCCACGGCAGGTAAAGATGGATGGCAGCATCCCGTGCCCCATAGGTTAGTGCCTTGTATTACGCATGTTGAACGTATGCAGGTAGCGACACGGTATCGTGCATACAAGCGCATGGAGGAGATGGTGCAGCGCTTCCAGACGAGCTACGCCAACCAGATGCAGTCCTTCGAGCGGCTACGCACAAGCCTGATGGACATCACGCAGGCCAAGTTCGCCAAGTACCTGCGCCGCCGTGACCACGACGGCAGATTAGAGTTCAACCACGCAGAGCGCACCCTGAAGTTGCTGATCAAGCCCAAGGGCAAGAACAACCGGGAGGCGCAGGCGGTCGAGGACCTAAAGCAGCTGTCAGGTCGGTTAGATCTTATATTAGGGTTATTGCGTTGCTTTTGCTAGCTGTGCGGCCTGGCGCTCCCTGGACGCTCACCAGGGCGGGCGTGCCTATTAGACGATATCGGATGCTTGTACTTATGTGATGGCGCCTTTGCAGCTCATAGACATAGACCACAACAGGTGGCATGTACATCGCAGGTACAATGCATCATATGCATAATACCGATACCTGTGTGTGCATGACCTGCGACCTACAAGCACCCGATGCTGGCCGTAGGCAAGACCATAAAACCTTCATCCGTTTTTCCCATAGACTTTGTATCTATGTTCGTGGCTTTCAAAGTATTTTATGCTTTACGTAGTTTCCGCCTTAATACAATTCGGTGACTACCGCACAGCCAGGCTGCTCTAAAACAAATCCTTTTCGCAACGGTTTCATGTCCTTGGTTTGCAGGTGGCGAGCGGTCCTTTACGACTGTTGCGCTCCTGCTGGCGATTGGCGAGAACACGGAAAGTCCCTTCCGCTGCAATGACGAGTTTGACGTGTATATGGATGACATCAACCGCCGCGTCGCTACAGAGACGCTCCTGGAGTTCGCCATGGAGCACCCGACGTTCCAGTATATCTTTCTGACGCCGCAGGACATTCACATGGTGGAAGATGCCCGACAAAACATCGTAAAGCGCCGCCAAATCCAACTGCCTGCCACGTTTCTCCGTACGGTGAAGATGCATCCGCCCCGCGAGGGCGCCACACAAGCGTGAAGGCCTCAGCCAGAAGACATGAGGGCTGTGATGCCCGATTCTCGTGACTGTGTAATTGTGACTATCAGGGGTCGCTGCGGGTGGCTTGTGGCATAGTGGCAGTTGCCGCTCGGAAGCTGAGGTCACCCTGTGCCACCTGCATTGCTACCTCAGCAAGGTACAGTGTATTGGACTGTCCGGAAGACACACCAGTTCTATTTCATGTGACAGTGTGCGTGTGGTGACAGACTATAGCTTTACCCGCGGCCCCTTGTATTTCCGTGGACCCCTGCCTTTCCCTTCGTTTGGGGCCGCCTAATCCGTTCACCCTAGCCGGTTTTTGCGAATTCAGTGCCAGATTTGAGTCCGGCGCCCACCACCGGGTTCAACGTCGCAACGACTCCTGTCAGCCTGCAGGCCACTTTAACAGAGATCCTTCAGCGTCCCTGGGGAAATGGGGCGTCACAACTATTACCCTACAGTCTGATGGACCGCGTTCTGTCGAGTAATTGGACAAAGCAGCTTATTTGTGCGCATGCTGCGTCGGGTTTGAACATGTCAAGACTGCGTGAACGTGAACTTCGCTTTGCTGCGTCATGTCCGTATTACATGGGCATGCAGATGCGGCGAAGATACACTTGCGTATGGTTATATATGGTGTCGAATGCACTGATTTTGGACGGACGGTCAGTCGTGTCTGGAGGAGGGCACTACAGACTTGTTATGAGGCTATACGGGGTACGTACATATTCGACTCGTTTGGACCGCACTGAGCGTACAAACGGAGCCTTGCGTTGCTATTTGTTACTCTACCCTGTGGGCGTAATACGTTGAACAGAATGCCATATTGAAGGACGGGTAGATTGAGATATGTATACTGGCTACGTCCATGGTGTCCGGCGCTTACGGACAATACCCCCCACTTGTGCGGAACTTGCAACTTAATAACGACTGCCTTCTGAATCCTGGTGACAAATACGCGCATAATTGTAACACGGCGACTTCTCGAGCTGGCAAGCTACACGAAATTGAACTCGAGGCGAACACGAAAACGGACGACAAGCAAGTGAAATTCCTGGAAATCACAAACTTTTGTATAAACCCAACTGTCCAGCTCGTATTCTTACAGAGGAATATAAACAGGAGGCGCTGACAAGGTTTCCTCTCTTCCACCGCTACAAAAACCAGATCCATTGGAAACCCACTTCACATTAGCAGCAACATTCCAGCAGCAACCGGCACGAACTCACAGGCTCAGCCCCTCCACTTTCGCGCTGCGAGGGTGGCACTCCGGGGTAAGGGTGGCGGGTGAGGAAGTTGGCCAGAAAGTTTGATAGAGTCGTTATACCAATCAATAATTCGCTATCCAAACATGTTAGGCTATTTGGAGTATCAATTTGATTTTTTGAGGGACCGGGGCAGCAGGGTATCTCGAGCTAACACAGGCAAAATGTTACATAATGTTGGCTAGGATTAAGCTTGCTGAATGTTCGGCGTGCCACGGTTGTAACATTGGTATGTTCGGCGTGCCAGTGGTTTGTGCGGTGCGGATGGCCCTGCAAGGTTGTAATGTCTGAACAACAGCCTCTGGCAAATACCATTTATAAGGTAAGCACCTCACGTACCCTGTGCTCGCCACAAGAGCCCCCTGAGATCCTTATTGTATCGGGACACAGGGACAGATGGTGCAACGTGGAGATTGTACAGCGATGCACCGGCCACCACAACTGGCAATACCGTGCATTCAAGATCCATCCAGTGTGCCTCTCATTACACCGTCATGCATATTGGCAAGGCATTCCCTTCATCACAACCTTTGCCCGGCTTCGCTCTTCTTTTCCAGCTTAACAACGGTTCCCGTGGGCTTGTGGGGCCAGTTACCAGGCCCTGCTTCTTCACCCAGGCCCTGCTTCTTCACCCACTCTCTACAAGAGGGTTCCGGAGGCTAAAGGTGCTTAAACGGCAGAAATATTTTCTGCCAAACCAAAACTCCGGACCAAAAACTCCGGTAACGTCTCTAGGACAGGAGCGAGCAAGGGGAGCAAGGCAAGGGGGCTTCATGAGTTGTGTATGGGGTGACGCGTGGCGTCCTGTGTTGAGGCGACACGGCTCCCTCTCCGCACACGGACCGCTGTATGGAGGTCACTGTGTCACATCATGCCCTGTCGAATTGCCAGCAAACGTCCGCTCTTCTCGAAAGCTACCCGTAGTCTGGCAATGAAATTCAGCATCTCACCACGCCCTAGCCCCTTCGCACACGACGTCAGGACGGAGGGCGGCAAGAAGGCAAGGTCCTGTAGTAAGGCACGCTTGAACGCCGTCACGTGGGAGTCACACGCGGAGCTCGAGACGCCCTTGCGCCGTTTGTCCACTTTGGTGAACACCTGCACCGCAACAGCATCACAGACAGGAGCGCGCAGCACCAGAATCCGTGTCAGGATTGTCCTCCACGCCTGGCTGGTTGCACGCTGCAACATGTCGGCCGGTCCGCCTTACCCCCTCCCTTTTGTACCCCGAGGTTACGTTACCCATCCACCTCCTTACCAGCGACAGAGGCCCGCCGATGATATATGAGCGGAGCTTATAGATACAACGTTACAACACATGTTTTTTGGCGGAGACCTCCTGTAGCTGGGGGAACATTACCCTCCGGGCGCCGAATGAGAGGCACTCCAGTGCAGCTCGCCGGCGTTGCTACTCACGCACGAGCACAACAATTAACATTTCGATGACACACATCATACATATCGGCTGTGGCGCTGTTCGTAGCACCTCAGCAGCAGCTTACCAGCGTGAAAGGGACCTCGTTGTCCGTGAGCCAGTTTGCGTACTCCAAATCAATTTTTTGCGGTGGGATAGATGCGTCCACCAGCAAGAACACCATCGCCAGGTTGGGCCGCGTCTTGAAGTACTCCCGCGTGAAGGTGTCAAACTGCTGACGGCCTTGGACCCCCACCTGCAGCCCCAAGGGGAAAGGTGTGGGAAAGGGATGGCTTTGCCGGGAGGGCAAGAGAGCAAACCAAAGTTCGTGAAGAAGCTATTCCCGTATCTCTATTCCGAAGCTTCATTCTATTTATGTTCGGGTGACTGGATGAGGAAGGATTCTAGATGGCAGGATCAAACCCCCTTGGACTTTCAGTTCATAAGGCGTAGTAAAATACAAATATATATTTAGTCCATGGCCCCTGGGCTTTGACGGACACCCCCGCATTCACGCGGAACTTGTAAACCTCTATTCCAAGATCACGGTAGTGGCAGCCCCAGGAGCCAAGTCAATTCACGCCCAACCCAACCACTCCCCATCGCCCCGTCTGTGGTTTGGGTGGGACGCGACACTCCATCAGACCAACACGGTCGGGGTACTTTACAGCGGCCCAATGCCCCTCCTGGGGCCACCGCCCAGGACACGCTGTACCGGCCCCCACACGGCGGGTGATACGCGGGGCCTTACGGCGGGCGCACTGCGGAGCGAGACTGTTGCCACCCAGCTGCAGCTCTGCACGTACTAGCCGCTCGTATGCGGGCGGGGGTGACCGTGCACAGCTTCCACCACAGCAACCCGCAGGCTGCAGCGACGGCCGATGAGGAGGTTCCCACCTAGGCAGCTGACCTTTGCATCACTCCGGACCCTAGCGGTACCGAATCGTTTATCTGGATCCGCACTGCCCTAAGCACCGCCCGGAGCACAGGAAGGGAAGAGTTGGACAGCAAACTCTCCACCGGAGCGCTCTCCCCGGACTACGTAACGCGATCCACGCGGGGACTTTGTATGGACAGGACAAGGACTGAGAAGCAGCGGGCCTCCCAGCTTGGCACATCCTTCCCGCATCAAACCCCGATTGCAGAAAGGCTGCAGTGTGTGCGAGCTATAGTTGTTGTGCTCAGGGCCTGCTGTTCCAACCAGGGAGGATTATGAGACTCGGACACCCCTGGACCCCTGCACGGCTTCATAGCTGAGACATACCTACTATGGCGGTGAAGGACAGGACAGGACAGGGCAGGGCAGGAAGGACCCGGACGAGAAGACGATCAGTCCACGAGGTACTGAGGCTGAGCTCCCCCCTTTTGCCCCCCCCACACACACAGAGCCGCGGAAGATCCGGTAACGACTCCTTCTTGCACATGTCAGGCACGTGCCGCGCCTGAGCTGTGCTTCACCTGCGCTCACCTTAGCAAATCCGTAGCCCGGCAGGTCGACAAAGTACCAGGAGCCGTTGATCAGGAAGTGGTTAATGCACTTGGTCTTACCTGCGACAGGGAGATGTCTTTCGGTATTACTGCTACCTGGTTTGTCCTTACATCCGGCCAATCCGGCTGCTATACAGATGTGTGAGCAGGCTGCACGTGCGGTACCATTTGCCATACAGTGCACATGGACATACCCCATCACAGCACGACGTGCACTTTTCAAAAAAGATGCAGTGGACGTTTCCTTCGGCCAATTTCCAACCGCCATGCACAGGGTGCAGGTTTGATCGCACGTCGCGCGCTTTCCGAATTTGAGAGAAAATCAATGGCAGAGAAAGCCGAACGCTCTCTCTCCCTGCCCTCGCCGGCTGCTTCTCCATGATGGCCAGCCAGCAGCGGCCAGCAGCGGTTCAAGACACCAAAAAGTCCGCATACGAATTGGGGGTCGGTGGGAATCGATCGAGTGACCCACCTGGCTGCTTGGACACAAGCGCCAAGTCCTTTCGTCCGGTGAGCATGTTGATGAGCGATGACTTGCCCACGTTGCTGCGGCCAATGACGGCAAACTCCGGGAAGCGCGGCGTGGGGCAGTCGGAGACGGTGACACAGCTCTGGATCCGCGTAACGGGTGCGGGGAAAAGGACGGGTGCAGGGACGGGTGAGTTGAGATAAGCAGGGCCCGCGGAACCTGGGGTGTGTGAGGCGCTCATGCTCCGCGTGATGCATCAGGGGCATGAAAACAGCTGCCTACGTCTAAGAGGAAGGATGCTTTGCGACAGGCCATCGCAAAAGCACCGGCGGCGCCAGCCGACCCATTGCGTGCTTTGCATTCCCACGTTCCAACGCGGCAGGAAACCTTTCCGTCATGCCCGGACATCATCATGTCATGGCCGCTTATGATTCCAAGGCCGCGCGATGCCCTACCTGCAGGTATTCCGCGGTCTTGACTTTGACGTTCGTTGGGTTGGGCAAGTTGAACTGAATCTCCGGGAAAGCCACCTCATCATCATCCCCATCGGGATCAGCGTGGTCCAAATCCTGACCTCCCTCCTCGTTGACATCACCGGCTTCAATTAGGAAGCCGTCCCCGTCCAAATCGCTGTCGCTGTCCTGCTCTGGGTCGTGCGTTACCGCGTCCGGCGAGGAGGTCACCACCGGCTGGGCCGGCTCTGCATCGCGTTCAAGTGCCATTGTGCTACGCGCACTATCGTAGTTAGGGCCCCTAGTCGCCTGCAAAGCTGCTACTGATAAATTGGTATCAGCTGTGCCGGCACTCTTCACCTGAGCGCCGATTGGAGGGCTTGGCGTGGAGGCTGATGCGTACCCGGCAGGACGGGGTAACCGGGTGGAGGCGGCCGCAGGAGCTGGTGCAGCTGCTGGCTTAATAGAGGCTGGGCAGGGTTTGCTGGGCCGTTGAGGTTGTGGAGGTTGTGATGACGACTTGGTAGCCTGCTTTCCCTTGGCTTTTGGAATTGACTTCCTGCCCTTCTGCGCCTGCGCTCTACCCTGCCCGGACCGCGATGGCAGGGAAGCAGCCATAGCTACGGCGGCAGCACGCTGCCTTAGATCCGTTGAGAAAGTTTGGCGCGGTCGGCGTGCATGCAAGCCAATGAACACATAGCTGCAGCAAGCACTGCGGCCGCTATCGGCCCTTTCCACAATTGCTTGCATGGAGCACAACTCGGAAAAACAATGGGCTAATCCTTGCCTCAGCTTGTAAGCCCTGTTATATTTAACAATTATATGTTTAACAGCGATGAGACATTATAGGAAATCCTTCGCTAGGGATAGGGATGAAAACGTGGATAGCAAGGGACAACACGAACTGTTTATGCCGTGCTATACACACAGCTCGAGAGGACCCAGCCAGTTAGGTTTGCTGGTGGCATTGGTAATGATGGACCCGCAGCGGTTGTACGAAAGGGAGTGACAACTGCCGTTACAAGAGCTGGATCGCTTGTCGGTCGCGGAGGGCGTTTTCTCCTTCCTGTCTCATGAGCATTGGTGCTACTGTATTATGATGCTCTCTATCAAAGTTGTAATGAGCCATGAAGCCCCATGCTTTGACATGATGGAGTTCAACTGCCGATGTCGTTGGTTTCTAGATGGAGCCCAGCTGACACTCTGGGAAGCCTTCGGCGACATCGCACCCGCCAAACAGGATTCGCCATAAGTAACAGCATATATTTAGCTAGGCTGCGAAAGCCTCCAAGGCCTCCAAGGCCCCCGGAGGCCGGGACCGCTCAGCCGCACCAAGGCCCCAAAGCACCTTGCAGCGTTAGATGCTTGAAATGACGAAATGCTTACTGCGGTTCTCCGTCGTGGAAATCCGTGGTTCGTGACTTATCAAGGGCGCCGTGGTCGAGCGGGGCGCCAGTCGCTCCCCACCCGGTGACAGCGCCTGAAAACGATACCCCGCAAGGCTATGCATACATGTCTCGCTGACCCACTTGCGTGCCACGATTAACATAACTGGCACGTGTGATCGGTGCGCATTTCCAATCCGATCTGCTCTGTGCACGGGTCGCTCTCATCCTACTGGCTTACATTGACAAATCGCGCCTCGTGCGATGCAAGGCCAACGCTGGTCCGTCCGGTAAACGCACGCCGTCGCAAGGAATACTGGCCACGCCTGTATCTGCATAACCCACCGCTCGTATGGATGAGGAGGCCTGTAATCAGCATTCTTATGTATCTGTCCTGTTCCTATATTGTTCTAGATATGGAATCACACCCTGCTATGACACCCTGCCTGTCGTCTGCGCGCGCACTTCTGTACATTATCCACTACTCGCGAAGTACACGTCATATAGTCTGACAAAACACAACTGCCGTTGGGATGCCCCCAGGCCCATTTCCATCAGTGCCACTGTGCTAAAGAGAGGCAGAAGTACTGTACAAGACACTGAGCTTGTGAAAGAGAAGAACACAAAAGGGCCGTACAAAACATATAAGGAAAAACGCGGATAGCAGCAAGCGGGAGGAACGAAGCAATTGCTTCGCTCACAAGCCAGCATTTTCAACGATAGGGGCAGGTGGTCCAGGGCGACCTGGTACATTGACGCGTATCGTGGTGAGGGAGGTTCACACATGTCCACCGGGACGGTCCCAGTGGCCCCATTGTGGGCCATTTGTGCCTGGCATGAAGTCCCAGAATCTTAATCTTAATTTTAACCTGGGTTGAAAGTGCACATTGGACATGGCCGCGCTTGAGCAATTCGTGCTAAGGGGGCCGGATTATTCACCCCAATGGTCCTGGTGAAAATAATGCGGTTCGCAATACCCATTTGATCAACATAGAAGCCCAAACATCCCCTCATGCTTGGTGATACGCCATTACGCGCCGCTACAATGGCGTGTATCCATCAGGTGGGATCCAATCGCAGATATTTCCTTCCACCGGTCTGGCCCAAGAGCTCATTCGTTTCATCCTGGGCGAGTGTTAATGGTCGGGCTGGTTGGAAAGTGACCAACAGAATAGTGACAGCAGTAATAGGCCCCGGGGGTTCCGGCGCTTTGCTGTGTTTAACAGGGCGTACATTATTGACGCCTATCGCGCGGAGGAGGGCAGCAATGCCTCCGGACGGCGCTGGTGATAAAAAAATGGACCATGACGATACCCGAAAGGAGTCCGGTCATTCCCGGATATCATCACCATGATAACTTGGCCATTTCTGCGTGACTTTGACGGAGCACGCCTTTAGAGCAGACAATATCCGGGTGTGCTCCAGCCTCATTCGTATATTCCACGAAAGATACAGTCTCCTTTGTGCCTTGCAAGGTCTTGGTTTGCTTGATTGATCATTTGAACTCATACTCCATATCCGATGTTCACGTGTACGACTCTTTCTTAAGTTAGAATGGCACCATCATCTTAAGTTAAAAGAAACAATGACAATGATGTGCCCGAAGAGAGCCAACTATGCTGAAATGTGGTCGTTGCCCCTTCGCAACCGACAAGTGATCCAGCTCTCCGCTCTGGTCCCAACCCATTAGGGAAGATTCAATACTAGGTTACGTCCTCATTCCCAAAGCTGAAAAAATGCTTAGTTCATTTGCCGAACTGGGCAGCCTTCCTGCTAACCCACCAACGGTGACCCTATCCGACATACCAGACGCAGTTCTCCAACGAATCCTCACCCACCTGCTAGAAATGAATGACCTAAGATCCGTGTGCCTTCTGGCATGCACATTTACAGGCATGCGGCGCGCAGCCCTAGCAAGCCTCGCCCTTTGCACGCACCTGCGCCTTCCTGCGACGCTAGGCAAGGCCGACCTGGTCACACAGCTCCCAAGACTCCGCGGGATGACCGACCTCGACCTGAGCAGCTTCTTCCGTGTTGTGAACAATGAGGTGCTTGCAGCGATAGCCGAGGCGAGCGCCCTAACGCGCCTGTCCTTGCAGTGGTGCGACAAGATCACGACGGCCGGCTTAGCAGTGAGCCGGAGGCTGCGTAGCGCTGAACGGGGCGGTGTTGGGGCTGTGAGCGGGGATGGCGGAATCCAGGAGCCCGGGGGAAGGAGGACCGGCGCGATTGAAGCATTCGGCCACGCGCCCAGGATTACACAACGCAGCTGCCGTACATTGGGCTATCGGAAACCATGTAGCCGGCTCAGGCGCGTCCTTGTGGCCGTGTAGAGGTCCTCCTCTGACCCCGCGTCTCAACCCACCCCACCCCACCCTAGGTGTCCTCGAGGTGGCCCCGTGCCCAACCATTCGCAGTGTTGGGGTGCGTTGTCGTACGTTCCCAATTCAATTCCAAGCATTCTTGCTTGTGTAATCCACGACCGCTTTCTGCTTTCCGCCCGGGAGTGTATCTCCCTGGACAAAGATGAAGGGTCGTAATTGGCCTCCCTGGTCTCCTGGTGCATCTATAGCTTCGAATGGCCGCTATTCCTTACGTCTGACCCAGCCCCACCTCACCGCACCTTACACGCCGCGCCCTACTCCTCCTCTTCCATTCCCACCACCCAGGATCTGGGCCGCCTGCGCAATCTGAGGGTAGGTGGCCACAGATCAACACACGTCAGCAGTCGGCCCTATGTGGTGTGTGGCGTGGCGTGGCGGGGTGCGGTTACAGGCCGTTGTCGGTCCGTTGGCGGTGGAGGGTCGCGTCTTGCAAACAGCAAAGAGTGGTTTGCGATGTCCGGCAGGAAGGGCGGAGAGTTGGACAGGTCGGCCCACCAGCCTGCAGGGTCCACCCCATCACGCCCTTCATGCCCATCATGCCAGCCGGAGCCGTGTGGGGCGAGCCGTTGGGTACACGGTTCCTGTCTTGATTCAACCCCGCACCCAACTCTCCGGTTAACATATACTTGCAACAGTAAAGATTAGGAGAACTCCTCCCCACCTGCAATGTTCACATCTCCATCACTATCACCACCACCATTACCATTACCATCACTATCACCATCACAATTACCATCACCATCACATCATGGCGGGACCGCCGTTTGGCCGCAGGTGCTGTCGCTACACAGCGTACATGGCATTGACGACCTGTCGGCCCTGGCCGCACTGCCCGCGCTCCAAGACCTTGACCTGTCCTGGTGCCATCGTGTGCGCTCCCAGTCGGTGGGGACGCGGTGGGGGTGCGGTGGGAGAATAATGATTGGACATTTAGGTAGCTGTAGGCTTTCAAGGTGTTCTGTTCGATGTCTGTCTTAAAAGCTTGCTCTTCAAAAAACTGGTGTGTAAGCGGGCTGGTGATGGGTCCATTGCGCGCGTTTAGGCGGGCGTAAGAGTGTTAGGGGGAGGAGGAGGCTGTTCAGCACCTCCGCGGCCGTGGCCATGGTACCACCAGCGCCTCCCGACCGAATCTGCTGGTGGTTGTTGAGTCCCCGTCTGAGCCCCGTCTGGACCTTCTGGAAGGCAACGGCGGTGTCCCTTTGCCTAGGGGGGCTTGGACAGGGGGCAGGGGGGTGTTGTTACGGCCACATACGTGTTCATTCGATGTGAGGGGCAGGAGCCCTAGGTGGCTGCACGGGGACCCCCCTCACGGCCCATTTTAATAGACGGACCGCGGCTTTCACCATGTCATAGCGACAACCACTAGAACAGCGCCGTGCGGTGAACCTGCTGGCGCCGTTGGTTCCACACGGAGTGAGATACCCGTCTCCACCACTGAATGAGTGAATCCATCCCGTGTGCCAAAGCTTGACATCATGTTGGCCATGTTGGCCATGTTCCTGAGACTGCCACCTCACCCCTGGTCCTGGCCCTGCCCCTGATCTCATCCTCCGACACGCCATATTCCAGCTGCCCAACATGCATCGACTGCGCCGTCTGATGCTGCACGGCTGCGAGCTTGTGGACGACAGCTTATGTACTGGTGGGTATATGTGTGTGTGCGTGTGGTGTTGTGTGGAGAGGGCGGTATGAGGTCGGCGGGTTAAGGATGGAGAAGGCCGGATCTCGGCAAGACCTACCGGCGTACCAAGAGATAGAAGGATAGAGTGGGGGGTAATGGGTGATGGGTTTGGTTGGAAACCAACCAACCAACCAACCAACCAACCGTTCCATGGGTCACCTTACGGCCCATTTGCATCGGTGTAGCAAACACCGCACGTGCTAAGCGTAGTCGCTGGATGGCCCAGGGGTTGATGGCGGCATCGATTTACTTGAGGACGAGCTTCTACTGTACCAACCGCCTCTCCCGCCTCCGTACTGCAGCCTTGTGCACCGGCCCAGGTGTGGCCGAGCTGGAAGAGCTGGACATGGCCTTCACACAGCTCGGCGACCATGGTCTGTTGCTACTGGCGACCCACTGCCCCGAATTGCGGCGCCTAGTGGTGGCGGAGCAAGGGGCCAATATCTGGCGAACGGGCATGTGGACGGAAGAGGGAATGCAGGCGTTTGAGCGGCAGCGCCCCGATGTGCGAGTGCAACGGGTCTGTTGATTAAGGCAGTCTGTACTGCCGTTCCGATGCTGAGCCCAGCGCCGGCCTTCCGGCTGTCCCTGTTTCCGTCCCGGTTTATGCCAACGCGGGGGGCCTATAAAACTGTTCTATAGAACAGTTTTAGAGCATCTAAACACCGTACAGCCGTCCTCTTCATTATGCTGTGTAGTTTTAGGCCTAATCCATTAGGTTCCCTCTTTAGGGGGGCGTAAGCGTTAGAGGGCACGTGGAGGTATTATGTCTGTGATAGTATTTTAATACTGCGCTGCGGTAGCGGCATGGTAGGGCCGCTGGCTGCCGAGTGAAATAGAGGCGACTGGACAGTCTAATGCTGGGTCAGCTTTAGGATGCGATTTGGGAGCACGGGTGGAGGGCTTATGGGGCCGTTGGTAACAATGGGGCGTTGAGCAAGGGGGGAACTTGTCAGGTGCAGTTTGGTGGGGTGTCAGCTCCGGAGGAATTCGCAAAGTGCCTTCTTCCGCCTTTTATGTCTCTGGGACTCTCAAGCACTCCCGTTCGTAATCCGCGCCAGCTGCATGACTTCAACACTGGATGCTAATAACAATGTAGCTTGTGGGCCGCTAGCACGTGCTCTAGCGAGGCCCCGTGTTTTACATTCTTGCTATGCCAGGCGTCGGAAGTGAGATCAGTAAAAGCAAGAAGAACTCGTTCCCACAAGTATTTGGCCTGGTTAAACACACACAAAGAACAGCCGGCGCCCTACCAGCGACCTACAGGCTCCGGCCGCAACCCACGAGGCCCTACACGTAACAAATGTCGAACTCCCAGGTCAGGGGACGACGTCTAAACCTGGGATTTACGATATCAGCACAACGAAACTGACCAGCAAGATATACGACATATTAATAACTAGGCTTGTAAGCAATGCGCCGATGCAGCCTTATCTCCTCGCGCCTGTATTGCATTGTGGATTGTGGGGTGATCCGAGCCCGAACTAATCACGTGCTTCCTCCTGCCATCTGAAGTATGATTGGCGCCAAACCGCTCGGAACACGAACGTGAAATGCAGGCCCTGCAATACGCCCGAAGCTCTTTCCATGCTGCAGTGCCGCAATGCGTGGATTCGAAACTTCGGCCACCTCTCCTCGCAATAAAAAACGCAACAAGCGTTATAGAACCGCAAGCCCGGCTAAACACACCAAAAGGCAAAAAGGTCCAAGTAAAAATTTGAAAAACCACGCGTAAGCGTAAACTGCAAGCAGTTGGATATGAAGTAACACGCGCAGCGCCATGCAGCATTGTCCTGTTAGGGCGACTACCTACACACAGCCTTGCATGCATGAAACATAAATCGTATGGCAAACGGATCCTGCCCTAAAATCTAGGTCTCCTAAACGCTTCGGACAGCAAGAACATGTTCTACAATCAAGCTAAAGCACAGCATAGCCCGTCTACGGCTGAGGCTACAGAGCGCGCCATGACTTTGCCAGGGCGCAGACCATACACTGCGCTTAGATACTACGCCACACGACCTTGGGGTATCTGAACACAATCCTAACTGCATGCAACAAAGGAAGCACCCTCAGTTCAGCTGCAGGTAACCTACGGAAATTGTCCTGGGGACATGCTTTTGCATGTGGGCTTAACTGCACGGAAGCCATGTCAACAGCATCAGCCCCTCCCGTGCAGCCCCAACTAAGCGTTGCAAATATCGCTAAATGTCAAGGTTATGAATTGTCAATCCCCAGCTCTCGGGCATGACGGGCAACAGCTAATAGCGTGCCATTGCCCGTGCTGCCACATCAGCAACGGCGATGATGTCATGACTCCAGGACGTTTTTGAAACCATAAATTTAACGGCACACGCACACCTGGGGAGATGTGTGTGGCAGCAAGGCTAACACCATGGTGGCCGTGGTGGCACAGGGCCAGGGTACTTGTCACCCCCAAAGCGTTGCAAGCAAGGAGGCTGATCCGCGTCAAAAGCCTCCTCCTACCTCAGCACACGTGTCCTTGCCACAAACACGGTTCCCAAACGACATATTTACACAAACGACATGATTTGCGCCTGCTCGGCGCCAGCAGTAAGCCGCGTGGACATGCAGTTGCCACAAAATCCATTAGCCCCAGCGGTTCCCTACAGCACCCCCAAGCCCCAAGCCCTCGATCCTTTTTTAACGTAAAGCACCACACATCAACCGGCGGGCCGCTGACGGCCGACCAAATCAAATGTCCGAAGTCCCGAAACTAAGGGCCGCTACTGTCCCCGCTGCCAAAGGCGTGTCTGCACCGTTGGCACTGGCACTGGCTGGACCAGCGCTCCTTGCAGCCGACGGCGTGCCGCTCCCCATTGACACAAAGCCCGACTTGGCCGACAGCCCCGCCGCCGCCATCATCACCTCCACGGGTGCTGCCGGCACAGACTTCTTCGATGTCTTGCGTGTTTGCACGTTGTCGATTTGTCGCAGCATGGAGTCCAGGTCGATCTCGGTGAGACTGGAGAGCTGCTCCTGGAGTAGAGCCATCATCTCGTCCTTGCGCCGCACCTCATCGCGCAGCTTGGCGTGCTCGGCCTTGAGCGCCTGGTAATCGGTAAGCAGCTTGGTGGTCATCTGGGTATTGGTGTCGGACATCAACCCCTGGGAAAGAACCTCGGTACGCAGCTGCAAGAGGGAGGTAAGGGCGACAGAGAGAAGGGCAAGGAACAGCGTGGGTGCAGGGTTTGGTTCGATGGATGGCCGCTGTCCCTAAAGCAAACGAGTAGCGGGGCCCTGCGAAATGAAAAAGCAGTAACGAAAGTAACGAAACCACAATCAATAGAACCCAGGTAGAGGACAACGTAAGGACTCCAGCCGAGCCCGTTCAACATTCCCCGACCACCATAACTCTCATGCCCTTCGCCTTCCTTCCCTTCTTCTGAGCCCTACACCGATGCCACCAGAGCTTATTCCAACCAACCAGCAGGACAGCTCGTCCATGCGAGTCACGCCTTCGCCTACAGCAGCCCTAGTTGGCAAACTCTTTTCCGCGCCGCATCCATCCCAACCTGGCGGCCCCAGGAGACACTTCTCCTTTTTTGGGTTCCCTTCACCACACCTTGGCCTGCTCCACTTGCAGGTCCGCGTTGGCGCTGACCAGTTCCACCGCCCGCATCTGCGCCTCCTTCAGCTGCTGTTGCAGCTTGGCTACCTCCGCCTGGGCTTCATCCTCACGACTGCGCAACGCAGCGCGTTCCTGGCAGGGGTCAAAAGCGCGAGAGCATAGCGGGTGCGATGAGATGTTAGATGTTGAATTACGATGCCTGGTTGCTACAAGCCCGAACTTCAAGTTAAATGGACCAGACACTGTCTGCATTAGGAAGTGGGATATTGTGCCCACAATATCCCAAGATGCACCGCCTTCTCGTTATACAATTGCGGCCGCTCCGCCTGCTTTCCCTGCAGGCGCTGCTTTCCCCCATAGTACGCTGACGCGCAGACAGGTATATTCCTGTCATGACGGTTACACCTCATTTTAAGTTGCATGCTGACTGAAGTTACGAAAGCCCGCGGATCCGAACCCCAGGCTCCCGGGTCCCACAACTCGCCACCCACCAGCTCCAGCCCCGTGATCTCCAGCTTCAGCTCCTCTACACGGTTGCGAGCCGCCTCCAGATCGTTCTGTGTGGTGCACAGTTGGGCGCTGAGCTTGTCCTTCGACGCCTACGTCCAGAGGGTCCCGTGACAGGGCGGGTGTAACAGTACTATCGTGCAATACACACAACCAGAAGGCCTTGCGGGGCATGCGAACCCACTCCATCCAGGCCAGCACATACACACACAGAATGATGGAACTACAATGTAAGGGACCGCGCGGGGCAAGCCCACCCTCCTCAGCAGCAATGGATTGGGTCTTGCCGGCAGACACTTTCCGATGTACATGTAACGCAATGCAGCAGGTACAGGGTGGTCAGTAACATGTTGTTGAACACCATGGCACAAAACAGCGACCGTGGACTGACAGCCGCGCGCACTAAAGCCCTGCAGCAGAGCTGATTCGTGCCTGCGTGATTTCCAGCTCGCTGATCCTGCTTTCTGCAGCCGCCAGGGCTGCCGTGAGTTCTTCCACCAGGGCCTTGAGCCTCTCGTTATCCGTCTCCACTGCTTCCTCCTCCTCCGCGTGACGCACGATAGTGCGCTCCAGCTCCTTGCGCAGGTCAGAAGCCTCACTACGCGCCGCCGCCAGCTCTTCCGCCAGAACCTTCGCACCCAAAGCCTCCAGCCGAACAAGGTCGTCCTCTCCCCCGCCGCCGGAGCGCCCAGCCGGCCGCAATACATCCTCGATCCTTTCATTGTCCTCCTTTTGCGTCAAGTCAGCGTCTGCTGCCGCCGCCGCCGTCGCGGCTTCGGCCGCAGCCGATGCCGCCATAGTCGCTGCCGTAACGGCTTCCAAAAGGTTCGCCTCCAGCTCCTGTACCTGCGTTTCCAACCGGCTGCGCTCAGCGGCAACTTGCTCCAGCTGCTCTAGTAGCACCTGTCGCTCTGCCGTCATGCTTTGGCGGGCCAGGTTGGCGTCCTCCAGCTCCGCTTTACACTCCGCCAGGCGCTCAGACAGGTCACAGCGCGACTCTTTGACGGAGGCCAGCTCTGCCAGTGCCGTTGCGAGATGGTTCTGCGCTTCCTGCACCTGCTGGCGCAGGGCCGGGAGCTCTGCTGCAGCCTGTTCGGCAGCATCAAGCTTGGCCATCTGGGCTGCGAGCTCGGCTTTGAGGGTCTCGGCCTGCTGTCGGTTGGCGACAGCTGCCTTTTCGGCCATATCAGCGGCAGCGGCGACGGTTGAGGAGGCGGCCTCTTGCGCGATAGCTGCGGCGCGCTCCTCCGCCTCCGCGATGGCCTTGGACTGGTCCGCAAGGACCTTGGCGAGCTGGTCGCGAGCGCTGGCAGCATCCTCCCGTGCATGAGACGCATCGCTGGAAGCCACCGCTGCGTCCTCACGGGCGGCGGCTAACTCCCGGGTGAGGGCCTCCTGGACGGCCTGAATCTCCCGAAGCTGTTTCTCGTATTCTGCTATTTGGGTTTGTGCTGCAGCGGCAGCGGTTTGGGCTTGGTCCGCTGACCGTGCTACAACGCGCCCCTCCTCAAGCTGCCGTTTCGCGTCGATGGCTTCGTCTAGAGCAGTCTGGAGCTTTTTAGATGTCTCTGCAGCTTCTCGTTCCTTTGCTTGCAGCGCCGATGACAGCTCCTGGACCTGCTGCCGTAGCACGTTCGTGCTGCGCACTAAGTCATCGGAAGCTGCCCGTTGGACTTGAGCTTGCCGTGCAGCTGTCTCTTCATGTCGCCTCTTGAGGTCCGCTATCTCTCTGTCCTTCGCAGACAAATGTGCTATCGCCTGATCGAGTTGCACCCTGAGCTGCTTCTCACCTGATGATGGGCCAAAACATCCGAGAGGCATGGTGCTCTTTCCTAGGTGAGGCTCTTCCCAAATATCAACTGTTTCCCGGAGCCTATGCGGCGCCTAGTGCTTATTATAACGTATAGCGACGTGGTCAAGGTTTGGCCCACAGCCTCTTTCGCTCCTATCAACGATATTACATCAAAAGAACAAGGAATAAGCGAAATTGTGCCGTTGACGTGCAGTACGGAGCTCGTACATTATTCGGGCAGTTTGCTGCTTGGGTGCCAAACGCAGAGGTCACTACTGGTATTGTCTACAAGCTATTTGTGTTTCATTTAGGGTAGTAACATCAGAGTTGGAGCTTAGATGTAACTGCGATAGTGTTAAAACAAGCGAAAGTTGAAGTTTTCCTTAAGTGTGCGATACCCTCGGGCATTCCTGCTATACCTTTTGCCATATCTTGCGCATTGCCTTGCGGGCTGAGGCGGGACTTTGATAGCTCTCGAGTTCAGCCGACGCAATGGTGAGTGCAGCCGCCGGGTCAGGCTGGCGGACTGCCTTAACGGAGTGCTGACGGCGGCTCCCCCACTGCATGAAGGCGACATTTGTTCTGTATGAGTCGGCGGTGGGGTATGGCATCTTTGAAATCACTGAGTTCGACGAGATTGGGCAGGCTGTCGACAAGGTGCAGGAGGCGATCAGGTATGCCGAGAGCAGGCCTGCGTTCCTTGTAAACATGTTTGTACTATACATTCACCTGGTCACTTCATGGGGCTTCGCAGCGACTTGGCCCGCTTTGGACGCATCGTCAAGCTTGTCGCGTTTAAGCCTTTCCCTTCCGCAGCGGACTCTCTAGAGCAAATAAATGCCATATCTGAGGCGCAGCTCACCGATGAGCTGAAGGCTTTTCTGGAGCTTAATATGCCCAAGGTGGGGCTCTTGTCGGCACGCCGCCGGCGAGGACGCTACCAGGCAGAAGTGTACTAAGCATTCTATACTTCTTATGAACAGGTGAAAGAGGGTAAGAAGGCAAAATTCAAGCTCGGGGTTTTTGAGCCAAAGCTCGGCAGCGTTATCCAGGAGACAACCAACATCCCGTGCATCAGCAATGATGTTGTCGGCGAGGTCATTCGCGGTATCCGTGCCAATATTTCCCGCTTCATCTCGGTATCGGACGCCGATATGAAGCGCGCGCAACTGGGTCTGGCGCACTCCTACTCGCGTGCGAAGGTCAAGTTCAACGTGAACAAGGTGGACAACATGATCATTCAGGCCATCGCGCTCCTGGACACGCTCGACAAGGACATCAACACCTTCGTCATGCGTGTGCGGGAGTGGTATTCGTGGCATTTCCCAGAGCTCGTAAAAATTATCAACGACAACTACCAGTATGCGCGACTGGCGCTGGTTATTAAGGACAAGTCCACGCTGACTGAGGAGCAGTTGCCTGCTATGAGTGAGATCGTGGGCGAGGAGTCGAAGGCGAAAGAGGTCAGCACTGGAGCCTGGGTGTGGGGGTATGTACGGCAGCAGCGCTGCACTTTACAAGTGATGTATGAGGTGCAAAGAGTGTGGGCAGTTATCGTTATGGCATGGTCTGCCATATCCGCTTGCATGTCCTTTGCCTCACACCTGCGCTATGCATCGGGTTGCGGAGGTTCCTCCCGGGGTCCCGGGGTGTAGTGTGTAATTTGGGCTGTTCTGGCTTCCGTTTGGCCGCCCTCGTTGCCTGTCATCCAATTCTCATCCACCTTCCGTGTTTTTATCTCGCGGTGCAGATACTCGATGCGGCACGATCATCTATGGGGCAGGACATTTCGCCTATCGACCTTCTCAACATTGAGGTGTTTGCGCAGCGGGTCATTAAGCTGGCTGAGTACCGCCAGAAGCTGCACACCTACTTGCTGGATAAGATGCACGCAGTGGCACCGAACTTGTCGGCACTAATTGGTGAGGTGGTGGGTGCGCGCCTCATCAGCCATGCGGGCAGTCTCACGAACCTTGCCAAGTACCCAGCCTCGACGGTGCAAATCCTGGGAGCCGAGAAGGCGCTGTTCAGGTGCGTGCTGGGCCGCGGGAGCGATTGTGGCACGGCCGGGATGGCCGTTGTTTGCAGCTGCTCTGTCCACCACCCCGTACCTGCTGACTTCAGGGTATAGCGAAATGGGCTATGGGAAATATGCCATGACGTGGTGTCCTGGGTCAGCGGCATATAGAGCTTGTTCTAGAAGCATCCATTGTGGCTTTGATGGGCTCGGTGGGGTATAAGAGTCTATTGTTGTGTTTCCTTCACTTCGGCGTCGATTGCTTTTGCAATGTCGTAACAGCCGGCCCAAAGTGCTGAGCAGAGATGGGTTTTCTCGCATGCCACTTAAACCGCACACCGCACTGCCAGTTGTGCGGAGCGGCTGGGCAACTCCCTCAACAGTCCTCTAGTCCTGCACGGCCCTGGCTCGAGGAAGACAATAGTTATCCAACCATTCTGAGAGGACTTTGGTCGGTACCTCTTTCGGATGAATGTCCAATATCATCTTTCGGGACTGAGAGCCAGGGTGTAGACCAGCACGGCAGGGCGCAAATTGTCCTGCGCATGACCCGTACCAGGGGAAGGTTGTCGTCACTTTCAGATGCGGACTTGCACAAAGACTTTCAGTGCGACAGGAACAAATGCCGCGACCTGTATTCCTTTGGTGATTTTCCAGGGCGCTTAAGACGCGAGGCAACACGCCCAAGTACGGCCTCATATTCCACTCTTCCTTCATTGGGCGCGCCAAGCAGCGCAATAAGGGCCGCATTTCCCGCTACCTAGCGAACAAGTGCTCGATCGCCTCGCGCATTGACTGCTTCATGGATGCGGCTACCAATGTGTTCGGCGAGAAAATGCGGGAGCAGGTGCGGAGCTTCAGTATGGGGTATAGCCGAACTGGCTGGGAGCGCGTATAATATAATAGTAAGGCCGGGGTGAAGAAGGGCGTCCATTGGTTGGGAAAGCTTAGGATGGACGACGCGGGGTTTCGCTACGTGCCATGAGCAATCGCCTTTCCGCTCTAACGTTTGTGCTGTGCACGGCAGGTAGAGGAGCGACTGCGCTTCTACGAGGAGGGCGTGGCGCCGCGTAAGAACGCAAACGTCATGGGTGAGGCCATGGAGGTGCTGAAGACGCAGCTGGCGACGGAGGAGGAGGATGGGGCGGAGAAGAAGAAGAAGAAGGACAAGGTGAGCGGCGTTTGGTATCTTTTTGAGGACGGCCGTTTGCCCGTGCCATCGCTTGCCACGTGCGTCTTTTGGAGGTGCTGATCGGTCGATCTCGGTGTGCTTGATGAAGCTCCATCTGCTTGCGCGGGTAGCATGGAACTAAGGGTTTATGTCGGGGCAATTCCGCTCTCAAGACACCTTGCGTGGCCTTGCAGAAGGAGAAGCGGAAACGGGAGGCTTCGGAGCCTGCTGAGGACGTCCCCGCGGAGGACGGGGTGAAGGAGGAGAAAAAGAAGAAGAAAAAGAAGTCGGTAGCCGAGGCGGAGCCCGCAGTGGAGGACAGCGGAAAGAAAAAGAAGAAGAAGGTCAAGGAGTGATGGTGTACCTGCTGCGCTTCACGTGTATCCCTACATACAGTGACATATGAATTAACTGAACGACTTCTTGGACGCACGACGGAGGGGGTTTTCGCGTCAACTCGTTTGGGCGCTGTGAAGGAATCCCCCGCGCACAGCACTTCACCATGCAACGCGCCTCCCAACGTAACTCCTTACTCGCAGTCGTGTGTTGACCCCGGGGTAGAAGGGTAGTTGTGAATCGCGTTTCTTTGTCTTCAGATGTAGGTATGTTTGGGGTAGTGGGTTTCCGTGGCTTTAGGGGGCTGGACGGGGGCTTCGTAGGTTCAGGGGAGGTGTGGACAGTCGCAGGCATGTGCTGGTTCTCAAAGTCGTTTGGGACTGAAGTCTCGGTGGGTGGACCTCAGTTTGCTGACCACGCATGTCCAACTTTCGGCATGCTTTTGCAATATCCACAAATGGTCAGGCTTGGTACGGAGGTTTAGGCGAGGGGAGGCCTATTTCTTTGGCTTTGTTGACCGCTGCCTCTTACCGATGTAACAAGTTGACAACGCTGACGTTAGATGCGGGATCATGGATGTTGAGGGGTTGACCATTAAAAGATGGTACGGTATGTGCTACACTTCGCATGGAACTTATAGTCGCCGATCATCATAAGGATGTGCAAAATAAAGGCAGCAAGTGCCGCGCCCGTTTACTATATCGGCTGGTTTGCAGCGATGTTCGTAGCGACGGCGGCAGGGGGGTGATTAATTTTCTTCTACCCCGTGATTAGAAAGGTCAAGGACAGGGGCCCGGACCAACACCCCCTGCCGTACAGGGCCATGCAGTTGTAAATTTCGTCAAATCGCTTCGGAAGACCACCGTTCGACTTTTTTCCAATGACTACTAAACAGTACATGCTGAATAGCATTCCACAAGGACTCATGGGGGATGCATGGGCTCTCACGTTGCCTGCTCTGAAGAGCATCAATACCTGCCTTGAACAGTTGTTACCTGCACACTTTCTCGCATGCGCTGGGCGCATGGTTACGTTGCTTAGGGAGTCTCAAGTCCATTCGGTACGTCATCCATCGCTTGCCCGTGCATGTAGCACTCCCCCTTTATTTACACCCTTTGCCATGGCCACCTGGCTGCCTCTACCTCGCCAGCTAGTGTGTCGTCCGAACCCGATCTCCTGCTTACACCTTGCTTCCTTCCCCTGCCCCCTCTGCATTTGGTGGCCCTGGCCCCTTTACCTGCTGCACCCTTGCCGCTTTGGCTGCCCCCTGATCCACCTCAGCTATTAAACTGGAGCCTCCATCAGCACGATAACAACGCCAATGCGTAGAGGAGGGAAAATGTTAAAACTTGCATCGAAAACCAACCTTTCTTGCAATATATGATTGCCAAGCGTCCTTGGTTCAGGAGCTGAGTGGTACCTGTTATGACGCGGAAGCGTCTGCGTTTGTGCTTTTCGGAGGCTATCGTAGGTACGTAGCTCTAAGCCTCTTAGGGATGTTGCTATTAATTGTCGGTGTGTCCATCCCCTCCGCCCGCCTTGCATTGCGTATTATTGCCCCGGAAGTTGTACAGCGTGTAAAGGAAAATGGATTCGGAGAATCAAACTCGGGTGGAAAGCACACATCCTCAGCTCCACGTGCACATGAGACGTACATCCATGCCAATACTCGCCATCTTCCATTACTGAAGACTAATCGCTCGTCCACCGTACGCAGTCAAAGTAGCTGGGCGCACGCCAGCAACGAAGGCAGCATCTACGGTAAACTCCCCTGCTCCACTTCCTGTGCCGCCTGCTTCGCCACCCCTAGTTACTACAAGCAACCTCATGCACCACACTACCGGTCTGTTTCCTGCACACGAATATGAAATTGGAGCTTTTCCGGCCTATGAGGGAGCGGGGGGTCCGCCTGACTTTTCTGATTGATGACCATGCTGCGGCTGCGGCGGGCAAGGATCGAACCAAGTTCCTGTGCCGGACGGTAGTCATGATTTTGGTGGCTCTAGGTTTCACATTAAGCTTCAAAAAATGCCGCCTCATCCCGGTGCAGCGCCTGGGAGTTTTTGGGTTAGTGATCAACGCGTCTAGGCAGGCGTTTGAGGTTCCGGCGGACAAAGTGGCAGCACTTGAAGATTTGGTCGCGGAACTTAGAGCTCAACCGCACTGGACCATGCGGCAGGTTGCGCTCTTGGCAGGAAAAAATGTGTCAATGTGTCTGGCGGTGTCGCTAGCACCTCTGCATGGTAGACTGGTTAGCAGGGCGCTACAGGGCAGGTGCTCTTGGGAAGACGCAGTGGGAGAGCCACATCGCGTCCTGGAGGCGGCTGCAACTTTCCTGGAAGTACTTCGAACCAGGAATGGGAGGGTATGGTGGCGGAATGGAGCTGCGACTCAGCTACAGATAGCTGGTGACGCCTCGGAGAAAGCGTATGCAGCTCTCCTACCCAACAGGGAGCTCGGAGACGTGGTCATGCGAGTCCTGTTTCCCAATGAGGAGTTGCAGCAGTTAGAGGAAGGCCTGCTAAGCAGCACGGTGCGTGAACTACGAGCGGTTGCATTAGCACTGGAGTGGCTCCAAGAGCAAGCGCCAGAATTAGTCCGTGGATGCCGGGTCCAGTATCAGACTGATAGTCAACCCGCCCATTTTTGTGTACTGGGTCAGAAAGGCGCAGGCCAGTGCCTTGGAGGTGGCACGACTATACAATATCAGTGCTCGTTCAGACATGCAATTTGACACGGTGTGGTACCCCCGAACGGCGGCGGCACAGCGGGAGGCTGACCAAATCAGCGAGGAGGAGGATGTCACGGAATGGAATTTAAATCCGGAGGTTAAAGACAGCTTTTGCATCGCCCGTCACTGCAAGGCCGGCGTCCTGATATCGTCTGCTTTGCGGGCGCCTCCAACACCAAAGTACCCGGCCGTTTCTTTGTGGCCCGGTGGAATCCCGGATGCCTTGGGGTAGATGCGTTTGCACAATCTTGGGCTCCTCCCAGGGGAACGCAGAGGCCGCTCCTATACATGAACCCCCCTTCTCTCAGGCAGGTAGAGTACTGGCTACGATTCTGATGGACAAGCCGGACTGTGTGGTCATTCTACCAGTATGGCCTAGGTGGTGGGTGGCGCTATTCAGACAGCTCCCGGTACACGAGGTTTGGCAGCTACCTCATTGGAAGGATCTCTTCCTTCCGGGGCCCCTAGTTACTACAAGGCAACCTCATGCACCACACTACCAGGTTTGTGCGTACATCATCATCTGGGAAAATTCTTGCATTTCGTCATGCAAGACTGCTGCCGCGGAAGGCCTCCAATATACGCTGGTGATTCCCTCCGGGCGGCTTCTCGCCGGGTAGTTGGGGGAAAGGAAGAAAGGAAAGGGTGAGTAGGAGGGGTGGGGGTGAGAGGAGAGTGCGCACGGGACGCGGGTAGCTGGGGCGGTGAAGCAGGCGGCACAGGAAGTGGACCAGGGGAGTTTATCCTAGATGCTGCCTTCGTTGCTGGCGTGCGCACAGCTACTTTGACTGCGTACGGTGTATGAGCGATTAGTCTTCAGTAGTGTTTGGCGAGAGGGAAATTGACGACTGACTGCCGGCAACACGGCAGCTCCCATTCCTCGCATAACCCTGCTGCGTGACCTAAGTGCGTTCAGCATGCTGTGGAGCACCTGCATGCGCGGCCACGACTGTGGAGAGCTTCAGGTGGATGATCTTCGTGACCCTGAACATACCAGGACTCCCTTCCGGGGCTTCCCACTTCCTGTGCCTGGCGCCGATGGTCGAGTTCCTGCTAGTTGTCGGCTTCATCTTGCAAAGCTGGACACCAAAACCTACCGGGGAGTCTGCGCGCCCGGTCAACTAGTGGAGAGGTCCCCTGATGCCGCGACCTGCCCGCTCAGTGCCCTCTCTCTATACCTTTCCGCCTGCTCTACGTACAACGTTCCTGTGACTCAGTATCTTTTCCGGCCGTTGGACAGCGATGGACAGCGCTTCAAGGAGGCACCCCTTACAACCGAGGCTCTGGAGTCTCGGCTCAAGCGTCATCTAAACTGATGGCGGAAAGACCATTCACAGCTTTCGACGCGGCGCTTTGCAGCATGCCTTCCGGCAGGTTGAGCCCCGTAGTCAGCTGCTGGTTAAAGCGCAGATGAAGTCACTGTCTACCCTATGGCGGTATCTTCACCTACTCGCCACATTCGGCGGAACAACAATGTGGAATCTGAGAACGACAGCGAGGAGGACTAGGCGCACCGAATCGGGCGGGGAACTGTAGAGTGTCTCCGGGGGGGGGGGACGCGGTGCGCCTACACGCCAACAGTCTCTAAATGAGGACAAGGTTGGCCTGAAATTGGCCACCAATAAAGTTCCCTATATCTCTGTCTAGCACCCTAAATCTCTGTAACAACGCGACAATTTCGCTCTCGCCAAAAAACCTTGCCTCACTTTGGACTCGTACAACCTTAGCAACCACCTTCATAGTATCCGGTACTTCTGAAAATGTTATCTCAATTCCCTTAACTACATGCCAAAACATGCCTTCGTTGCACAACATCTCAGTCGCACAGAAGCAAGCACCTCAAGGCGTTCACAGCATACTGCGTGCCTGGCTTGGAGTTGACCTTTTCCTGGCAACCGCACAGCTTCTGCATGTGAAAATAGGCACCTATCGTTTGGGATAAGCCACCAGGGGAGGTGGCCTCTTGTTAATCCAGCAGCATACGAGTTGCACATTCGCGCTCTTGCTCGCACGCGTTGTCGCGCAACACGCGATTTATTACAATTATGGTATGTTATGTTGCAAGCTCGCGAGAGCTCGTAAGGCTCAGACGAGCCAGGAGGCTCATGGACCGCAATCACAGTGGCGGAACGCCCCGTAAGGAGTATTTCCGTAATAGGCAATGTCCTGAGGTACAGCTCAGGTTTACAATGACTTGAAGGTCAAATCTGCAATCTCCCAATGATAAGCTTTCCTTCTCAGCTAGGGGTCTCATCCGTCATGAAAATGCTTGGCTCATTTAGTCCGTACAAGCTTGTGAACACAGAACTCCAGAATGCCATTACTAAAGCGTCCTATCCAGCAAAATGAAGAGCAGCGAAAACATCTTCTAAAAGTATTGTTTGCGTCGATTTCGACAATCTCTCCGTAAGAATGTTTTCGTGCACCGTTCGTTCGAAAACATTGACGCGAACGACCGAGCGACGACGTGCAAAATGCGCGGTGGTCCCTGAATCTATACTTGCAATGGCATGTGCAGTCAAGTTGGCGTTTCTGCCATGGAACGGGTGCGAGGTTCCTGGATCCTTCTATTCAACAGGCGTCAAAGGTATACCCGGAAAGGACTGCCAAAAAGTATATCAACCAGCTATAGCAGCGGAGGCACAAGCTGTTCAACGGCTGCGGCAGCAGCAGGTGAGGGTACGGCACCTGCTGCAGAGCGTGCGTACATCCAACACGGTATGTGGCAATCCAGGTTGACGGATGAGGTGTGCGCTGCCGTTTGGTCCTTATAGGTTATTATTATGACGTTTGGATATGCCCTGGCCCTACCGTCCGCAGGCGAAGGCAGACCTTACCGCAGGGGCGAGTAGTCCCATTGTTGAAGACGGTCACGAGACCGTTCCTGCCGCTGTAAAGGCGGCTCGTGACGCCTTGAACGAGGAGCTTCGGCAGCGGAACAAGGCCTTAGTCGATAGCGCGTGGCAGTCGCTGGAGTAATGCTCTCGGTGGAGTCATCTAGCCAGAAGCCAGGGACTCTCGATCTCTTGGGACAATGGACTAGGTTTAAGACGCACGTCGGGGGCTATCTGGCCGTTGCACTTCCCGTGCGTTAGCTGTAATGGGACGAACCATTCCGATCGGAGGTGATTTGACATACTGAGTTCGGATGCTCCATTCCAACCCAGCACGGCAAGACGCAGGATAGGATGTCAAGCTGCTTCCATCATAATCCTATCCCTTTGCAAGCGCATTCATAGGCGGTAGTAATGCTACCACTCTGTACGATCTTCTTCGAGCTCGACCCCATGTGTCACCCCAGTCCCAGTAAATTAGTCAGCCTGCACCACATGCTGTAGCCAGCCTTAACAATACCCTCCGCAGGTAAGGTTGCCATGCATCAGTGGCGCCCAGTCATCTCCGCAAGCACGGCACCCAGCGTGCCAGCTGCTGGCCGGCCAAAGTCCAGTCTGTCTGCGAGGTTTTGCAAAGCCTCCAGATCCCACCCGCCCGACTCCGTGGACTCTGCCAATAGCCCGCCGCCCTGCAAGCTGCCGCCGGTGCTGAGTGTCCCCGCCATGGCGGTGTTGCCCGTCATGAGCCCCTCATAATGGTCTCGCACTGCCGCCACCAGGGCCTGGATTTGCCCCGTCGCCTCGCCCATGAGGCGCTGCAAATCATCTAGTGCAGTACCCACCTGAGCAGCACGCTGCTGCTCCGCGGCGATGTCGGCGGCAGACACCTGCACAAGAAAAGCGCCATATGAATAACTAAAAGACGGCTGTAGGAAGGCTTCGCTTAGTTCAACCAGAAACAGCGCCTTGGTGAGTACCCTGGCAAGAGCTCGCCATAGAAGTGCAGGCGCCATGGCTGGTGCTGACCCTATGGCCCCATGAGCCCGGAGTACTCGCACCTGCGTAGCGTTGGACGAGGTCTCTATGCCCGCCTGCAGGCGTTCCCACAGCGCCGAGATGTGGCGTGTGAAGCCCGCGGCACTCTGCTGCAGCGTAATCAGGCAGCGCAGCGCACGCGGCTGGTCCAGCAGCAGGCCCCCGGCGGCCCGGCGCAAGAAGTCGCGATGCATCTCAATAACCTGGTCCACGTCCGCTGCACGCTGCTGCACACCCTCCTCCAGACAATTCCACAATGGCTCCAACACGTCAAGCGTGCCGTAACTGCACGCGGTTTTTATAAGCAATGTCACCTCGCTTATTCGGCAAATTGTTCGCATGCAATGGCACTCCGAACGCCGAGAAAAACAGGACTTACCGCCTTCTCCCTGTATGCTTAAAACAGTTTGTCCTACAACGTGACATCCGCCTTAAATGACGCCAGCTATGCATGCACGCATGGACAAGGAAACAAACAAGACCATGCAACCCACATCGACTGGCCTTGGTGATTCTCAAAGCCAGTCACCTACCGTAGGAGTTCCTGGATGGTGAAGTGTAGCTGATGACACAGCGCATGAGCGACAGCCATTTGTTTCCGCCGCCGACCCGCAGCTTTGGGAGGCAGCACTTGGCCTGTAAACGGCCCGAATATTATTAGGTTCAGTTCGGGCCGTTCGGGCCGTTCGGGAATATTATTAGGTTCGGGCCGTTTACAGGCCCGAATATTATTAGGTTCAGTTAAGTCAGCAAGGCCACCAGAAGGACTGGGTTTTCACGTGGCAAAAGGCATTCATGAAAACATATCTCGTGACCATGGCTAACAGTCAGGACGGAACCCGCTTCGTGTCATGTCCATTCCGGCCGGGTCAAGCCCATAACGTACCCATCCTTTCCACTCGTTTTGTTCCTTGTAGCATCAGCCACGTGGCCTCCAGCTGCCGTTCCGCGCGCTTTAGCCCCCAAAGATGCTTGAACAGCAGTTGGTACTGGAGGAGCTCCTCGCCGCCCACAACCAGCGTAGCAGGCCAGTCCAGCTTGAGTGTCGGCAGGAAGAGCTCCCAGCCCGGCAGGTCCTGGTCGCGTGGGCCCAACAAGCGGCTACCACCCGGGGTGCGCTGCATGGGCAGCGGCCGCCCGCCTGTGCCATGTGGACCTGGCGTGCCGACCGGTGAGCCCACGGCCTGGCAAATGCATACACGGCAAGTCATATCCATATTGCTAGCAATTTGAATGTCGACATCCGAAATACCCATTGCCAAAGTCCAAACAACCACACGACTGGCCGTAGTTCCGGAACCATACCACAAACGTTGCCGACATCAGTTGGGGAGGCTCCAGTTCTATAGCGATAATAGAAGCGCGCGTTCACAGGGGTAGGATCGACGGCACGCCGGCAGCATTTTGCAGTCATGCGCTGTCCATTACGACGCTGGCAGCGAGAACCTTGCCCTTCGTTCTATGCTGCGGGGATATTCAAGGTCCTCTGGGTGCAGGAGCATTGGTAAGGTGCTTACCCCAGCGAACGACGCCGCTCTGCTGGCATCCAAGCCGGCTGTGACCAGTGCTGCTGCCTTTGCCAGAGACTCCAGAGACCGGGGATCCATTTCAAAACCAAGAGTGTCGGCATGCGGATCAGACGCCGCCGAAGACATTTTGACGCCTGAGGAAAGGAGGAGCAGCCAATGTTTGCACATAAAGAGGCAAGTTGACAAGATTCGTTTAAAGCAAATTTATGTTTAACACATGAGACCGTACCAACTTTACAGTGTACACCGAAAAGTGGCCGCACTTGACCAGTCTGTTACCAACGGTTCCCCATCCCCCACTTACCCATTTCCAAAAGCGATTGCAGGCGGGTACGGTTAATGGCCTTGGCGGGCTTGCAAAGCTCCTCATCTGCCACCTCCATAATGCTGACCAACACATCTCCCTGGGGCAAATGAAAGGGGGTGGAAAGGAACGACAGTGGATACGGCAAATTGTAGCTCGCACCGTGCGCCATCCAATTGGTCCCCTCCCATCACTACAATCACTGTCAGTCATGCGCCCATGGCAACTACACACCTGGTCCAAAAGGAAGAAGTGCTTAATTGATCGTAGCACTGCAATCAACCCTGCGCCACCGGCACGACCGCCAGCGCCGCCACCGCGCAGCAGGAACCCTAGCAACGCCGTACTAGCCGCTGCGTGTGCGGCGCGGACATGCAGCTGAAGGCCACCCGGCTGTGCAGGGTCATATGACAACGGCGGCAAAGGGGCTGCTGGTGCCCCAACTGCTGCCGCGTTGTTGGATTGTGGTATGACGGGCTGCGCCACGGGCTGGCCACATTCGCGTAGAACGTTTTGATATTTTCCTGAGAAAGGTAGTTCAGTGCGGAGACAGAAAGCATATTGTTAGTTGGCGAGAACTGCTTGTTCCCGAGCATCTTGCTTAAGCCTTGCATGCGGTCATCCAGCACATCCTTGCCCCAAGAACGCACCACCGCACACACCCGCCTAGCTATACTACACGCATCCTGACATAGTCGCGTTGTAACGCGAGTCGGCTGTTCAAGCACCATACCACCTACCCGTTCGGAGGATCAGCTCTCGATATGGGAACATGAAGGTGGGTACATCCAAGGAGGGGGGCACAGACGCGGGGCCCGACGCATTAGCCGCTGCGGCGTTGGGCCCCGGCGTCGACATGCCCAACTCCATGGCGGTGCGGGTCTCTGACTGCAGCACGTACCGCAGCGTGTAGCGGCCCCTCCAATAGGAGGACGCCCGACTCGCTGCACCCGAGTGGCTGGATCCTGCCGCAGGCGAATCACAACGCAGCGCCTGTACAGCAACATGAGCATGGCTGAGGGATGAAACTTTTTCCGTCTTGATATCATTCGACAGCATTTGAATGAACACGCCATTTAATGCAGGGACTCTAACAAGGGTATCCATAGCCGCGCCGCCAGCTCCACGACCAAAGACAGAGGAGTCACCATTGGTCTTAGTTCGTCATTCTTGTAAGCGGAAGCCGCACTAAGGCATATGGTCCGCTGCTTACATTGTTTGTTCCGTAATGCGGAGCAGTGCCTTCCATGTATGGCCGATGCGCTGCCAGGAGCCAGCGATGATATCAACAAGCCCAGACAGTACGCCCCTGCCCTTCCTTAAAAGCCCTCACCGGATCTTCCTGCACCATGAACTCATGGTAAGGGTCGTCCAACACACCGTGCCGTAGCCAGCGCTCAAGACAGGCGCAGTACGGCGCTGCCGCGGCGGTGAGCAGGTGATGCAGCAGCGAACGGCCAGGACCGTTACCCGCACATACACTGTATCGTGCGTGGAGCAGGTTGAGCAAGCCTAAGCGGGCGGGCAGCGGACGAGGTTGACAGGAAATGTCAGCCTCCACCTTGGACTTCCGAGTCAGCATCCGTAAAGCTACGCCGCATTTGACCGCATGCTACACGCTGACTCGCCAGCGGGAAAGCCCATCTCGCAAACATGGTGTGCATTGCCCTTCGAAGAGACGTGGTATCAAATTTCAATATGTATAGTCCATGGCCTCCCGAGTTTGGCAGACAACCCTGCACTCGTGCGAAACTTGTAACTTGTATCGCCCCGACTGCAAGCCCTGCCAACCCCAAAGCGCTTGCATTGACAAACTACATCACAGTCCCGCCGAATACAACCCTAAATCTCCCTACGGAACACAGGCCAAGCCTGAATCCTTGCCCATGCCTAGAAGGCTGGGTTTCCGGACCGACCTGCGGATGTCCGCTCAACGTTGGCGGCCTGTGCAGCAACGTCGGCCAGCACAGCTAGCGCTGCGGTGGGCTGCTGACAATAGAAAGTCAGCCGTGTCAAGTCCAGTGCGCCGTGCAGCAACTGATTCTCCATCATAGCCACCATGACCTAAAGCACGGAGACGTGCAAGGGGCCCCCATGTTGACGACACCGTTCAAAGCAGCTGCACACAGGCGCACGCTACAGTGAACCGACATGACGACAATGTGCCGCAACTGATGCGCCTTTTAACATCAGAGCACGCAATTTGTACCACCGGATAACCTGAGAGCAGCGATGCAGAGGCTGCAATCATAGCCCAACGACAATTGCGAGCGGTCGGGACCGATTGAAAGGACGAGCGGAAACGACCACACATCGTAAAGAATGACAAACTCCCAAGCCCGAGACAAGCTCCATAAGTCTTATTCCTGGTTACTAACTGTTCCTTACCTGCCAGTCCTCGAGGTAGCCCCGCAATGCCGCAGCCAGGGCATGGGTAACCATCCTGCACGCAAACGAATAAAGAGCCGTCAAGACGTGTCCTCCGGGCGGAATAGAAGGCGACGGTTAACGCACAATCCTGCCCCTCCTCGGCTCCATTACAGCACCTTACCCGTAGCAGTGCGCTGACCGTGTCTCTACGAATCGCTGCAACGCCGCTACGTAGTCGCTGCGGGGCAAACCATGCATAAGCGAACATGGCAACACAGACGATGAAATTAAAATGCTGACGCACACAGTCTGTCGCCGTGGCATTAGAGAACGTGGGGACATGTTTGCAAGGAATAGGTGGTAGATGTGTACGCCGAAGTTGACCCACCAAATGGGCAGCAGTGGCGCTACTCTCTCCCTCAGCGTCTCATGCACGAGGTCCTCCCGCACTACGAACGTCAGGCATGGCCCCGTGGCCGCCGTCGCGGCTGCGCCGACGGGCGGCACCAGCCGCGGTCGTATGAGCTGGCTATTAAATCCTAAGAAAGCTTGGAGTAGATCCGAGACCACTGCAGGTAAGAAGGTTGAGGCAACACGGCGAATACATTAAGGACAAGACAAGAAGCTTGCACACATAGCATATCGAGGGAAGTATTGTTCGGCATCCTGAAAAGTTTGTCGTGTTCTGATACATTGATCTGTCGACAATGGGAGGTGCCGACTCTATGGTAATGGTCGTAGGGAGCCCAATAAGTCGAGCTGCAGCGGCGCCACGCGAAGATCACCCCTCCATTTTATAAGCATGGTCCCAAGACAAGCGGCTGAATGTGCGCGCCAAGTACAATTGTCCACCAAGCTACCCACAAGCGCGCTCCGACAGCATCAGCTCCTGCGGTGTGACGTCTGCTGGATCGGGCACGGCAACTCCACCAGACATCGTTGGGGCCCCCGACCCTGCGGCCTGTTGGTCCATATACAAAGTGAAGCGGTTGGCGGAAGAGGGCGTGGGCGTTCGATAGCCGTATAAATGACTGCTCTTTCCTGCATAGGGCACCCTCCCCTTGCCGGGCTTGGAAAGTATTATATGCTAGACGCCATATGGATTTGAAGTGCAGTAGTGTCACGGACTCTCCGTGAGAAGCTTGGGTGTTTGAAGCTATAGACTAGAGTACACGTCGCCTCCCTCGATTCGTCCATGGCTCAGTTGAACACCCCTCACGCAGCAATGAGCAGCCCACGCACCACTATCAAATCCAGTCCTGAAAGACTGGGCCTCTGGTAAGTCCATTGGGGCATGTCACATAGGTAAACGAGTTCCGTCGGCCGCCGCGCCAATGCAACTGCTACTGCGTTGGGGCTGAACAAGTCACCCGGCTGCGCAACAGCTGGCGTAGGGTGGCCATAGGAGCTGGTGCCTGCGCTGCCAATAGAGGTGGCTGTTCCCCTAGGACCCGAGGTTGTCATCCCAGAGACACGTTGGTGGCTTTGCGGCTGCTGCTGTTTGAGGCGAGCAGCGGCAGCCATGGTGTCCGTCATGGCGGCCGTGTAGGATTCCCTCTTCGCCAGAGCCAAGGGAGATAGGCTAATTTCCTGGCGCGGTGCGGAAAAAAGGGCAGACAGGCTCATGCACCTGGCACTTTCATCTGTTACCGTGGTCATCAGGCGCCCCACCCCTGGGGGCCAGGCTTAATCCACGGACGGGCTCAAGAAGCGTACCTGCGTGCCAAAGAATGGATTGGCTGTGGCTGTCGTGTAATTAGCCGGTGGAGGTGTCTGCACTTGAGCGGTATTCCATGGCTGGCTGGACGCAGGCGGCTGCCCCGGCTGTGAAGAAGCCGCCTGCCTGGGCTGCTGCGCAGAGGGCTGAGGCGGTGCAGCCCCGGGACCTGATTGTCGAAAAGCCGAGGGACCAGCCGCACCCAGCCGTGTCGTTCCTGTACTCTGTGTTGAACCCGGTCCCTGTCCAGCAACGCCTGTCCCTGCAGCGGCCCGTTGTGCACTTTGGGAGGCTGCACCGACTTGACTGCCGGTCCCGAGCTTCGACACGATGGAACCATGCCCGTCGCGAGCGGTAGATGCTGTGATGGCAGAGGTCCCACCTCCTTTTGCCAATGCAACGGCTGAGACTGTGCCTGGGCCGCTGGACCCTGCGTTCCAGGGAGCCGAGGCAGGAAGGGTGCCAGGTGTGGACGTGGGTAGCCCGGGCGGCGTACTGCTGGTGCTGATACCACCACGGGGCGTGGTGCTTCCAGATGACGGCTGACCCGCTGCACGAGGGGGTACGATGATGGAGGGTGGTGCGCGCTGCGCGTTTGCTGGGGGTGCTGAGAAGTTTTGTGGCACGGCTCCTGTTTTCATCACACCAGACGACTGCTGAACTGCGCCTGAGGACGCAGCAGAGGCCTGCGTCTTACTCCCTATGCCAGGCGTCCCTTGGCTTAGCATGCGTAGTCCCGCAACGAGTTCCTTATGCTTGCCTCTGCATAGCCGTCCAAAGGGGCAATTATAGAGGACGGGTTGACAGAGGGCTTTTCAATCAATGCAGCGTAACACCAGCCCGCAAGAGCACTTGCCGCGCAACCCACCCAGTCTGGTGTCCACCGTCCTGGTCCGCCGCAGGAGCATTTGCACTTGTGCTAACATCTTGAGGTATCTGATCTCGCATCTGTGAAGTAGGATTGATGAAGCTGTACGTGCTTAAGAGTATTCCAAATTTAAAAATGCAAAAGGGCCAAGCACGTGTGTTTGCCCACCCTTACAACGCTATCCATAACATCCGATTGCATGGGGTCAGGCTGCGTTGCCGCAGCCTCTCGTTCCTGCTTTGCACCCCGCAAGCTGGAAATTGCGCCTAGTCCCAGAAGATCATCCTTCCAATCAGGGCAGTACATGACCATGGAATTGCCATTTAAGGGATTAGCTCAATAACTAAAACTAATTCGCGTAGAGTTCTACCTCGAACTAGATTCTTGTTCCCAGTTCGTGCACAGGTTTATGAAAGTGCTGTCGAGCAAAATGACTCGTCAAAGAAAATCTGATATGAATATAGCTGCGCCATTTTCCGCATGTTACATGTACGGCGAAAATTGACCGTCCGTTGACTGTCTACCGCCATAATTTGCCATGCCTTGGCTACTTTACCATGCACCAGAGTTGCCGTATGACTTGGATTGCTTTGGGATTTGGCCTACCATAACCATATATGGGCTTGCAAAAAAATACTAGTCTGGTGAATGTAAAATTAATCTGAGAACCTGAGATCACAAACTCAGATTCAGGATTGAAATGTTAAGGATCATCATTTGAACCTGATATCGACAAGAGCTACGGAAATGTGGCTGCCCTAAAGTCTGCGCTCGAGGCCGACCTGTTCGATGCGGGGCTTCCGATGGCTCTGATTCGCATCCTCCAAAGAAGTGGAATCTTGATTGAGGATTGTGGTATTAATCTTTGCGCGTATCGGCGTTTGCTTTAACCCAGACGGTTGTGCTGTCCATGTCATATGCGAATGCCACGATAACGCAATATTGTCAACCAGCATGCTGCCCTCCTCTGTCCTTACCGAACCGCCAGGGGTCGCTGGGTTTCGCGATAATGTGATCAGTGGTGCCACAGTGCATAGTGCCTGCCCATGTATTCCCCGCATTGCGCATGCATTCCCCGCATGCGTTTCGTTAATGAGCTTCAGCACTTATAACCCATGCACATAGCTGCAGGCTCCATACTTTTGTAAATGGGCAATTGACCTCTGTCAAGTTCCTGTCAGTAAATGCGTTAGGTCTTCGCACGAACCTGCAACCCTGTGCCATCAGACGATCTCTACCAGATGACCGCTCGCGGAGTTATGACGCGGTCTCTGCCGCCTATTGAACCGCGCAGGAGCCCCGCTGCTCTTCCAGAAAGACACGAACTACATGGCTGTGCACCTAATCGGCTGTAAAACCGTGGTACGACTTCATGGACAATTCGGAGACCCTAAAAGCGCAGCTCGATGGCCTTCTGCGAAGATTCGATCAGTCAACAAAGCAGGAGTTTCAGGCAGCTGCAGACAAGTCCGAGTTGCGTGCCCCAATCCAGGCATCGGCTGAGTTGGTCAACTTGGTGGCCGCATCCATGCACATCCGAGCGGTGCTCAAGGGTGGAGGCAGCGGCCACAGCACCTCAGCAACAGACTACCTTGTCTGGCTGCGGTGTGGGGACACAGGACAGCACCAGCAGCAGCAACGCACCGATCTCTCGCGTCATGTTTATGCATGCATTTAGATCAAGGGCGACTGGCAGTTTCCTTTGGAGAGTCATCGCAATGTATGCATCCCACTTGATTGAATCAACCACCTGGGGCTGGGCCAAGCACTATAAAGCAGTGCTATGATAACATGGTAATGAGGAAGGCCTGCATAGCTTTGCTGTGCACAGGTTACTCCTGGCGGCTTCGGCCCAAACATGCTCACGCCCCTACCCTTTATAACCATTCAGGTGGGTTTCACCTTACAGATGCGTCATATGGCTGCACCGGGAGGGTGGTAGGCAGTACACTTCTGGGCTGAGGCATCGAGGGCCTAGTCAGGGTTGCATGGCCGATATTGAATTGAATTGTTACAGAGTGGGAGGCTTCTGGGCCATTTGAACACATTGTCATTTCTACGATTTATTATACCATACAGCACCATCCACCATTACCACACTGTACTACGCCATACGAACTGGAAGTCCAAGGCGGTTGATCCTGCCTTCTAGGAGCTCCCCCATCCATTCCCCCGAACATTCTCTGAGACAGGGGGTTCAGCAATCGCCACCAACCCAGCGTGCGATTCTCGATCCATCAATTGTGACCTCAACTCCACATCTCAGAAGCTAGCCATAATCTCACGCTCCCGACACTGTCGGGGGTCTCCCCAAGAATCGATCTCGGGACCTTCAACTGTATAAGACAGTAGTGTCGATCAAACCAGACCATGGCCACTATGGTTGGAGAGGGGCAGCTACCCAACGCCAGCAGTGGCAGCAGGTTCAAATCAGCTGGTCTACCTGGGTGCTGGGGACAGCTGCTGGACCTGCATAGGTGACTGCTTCGGTGCTGAGGAGCTGAGGCCCTATCACATGGACCGAAGCTGAGAGTGAAGTGGAGTGGTAAGCGGCTCTGTAGCAGGAAAGCTAGGGGGCGCATGAGCTACACGTGCCCCATGTAGAGCTTCACATGGAGGTTTTCATGGACCTGCAGTGTCTGTGTGGCAGACACTTTGCGCTAATTGCGTGCTTTAGGCCTTTGGCATGGAGTGGCGAGGTGACCTGGACTGTGCTTTGGGGCTTTGGCATGGAGTGGCGAGGTGACCTGGACTGGGTGGCCAACCCTAGGAATACACAGTCCTCCTCACTCAGCTGGAAGGTTGTTCTTGGCTTACATGGCATGCACGCTGTTATTGATGCCATCTATGTTGCCTAACTAAGGGTTTTAGGCCTTGTGTTCTTTGAGCGTATACACACTGAGATGAATGGTGATCAGTGAAGTATACGGAAAAAGATGTTTTGGTGACATGTCATCAGGGTTCACCATTGCTGTTTTCCATGTTCCGGGATTTCCAAGGGAAGGAGTTGCCGAGTGACATGCCATTTTGTCCAACGATGTCATGAAGTTCAATTTAAAAGGGCCCAGTATTATTTAAGAATTCAAAGCAAAAAGATCTAATGACTTGAAAATATGCCCGAGGAGGGGACTGTCAGTAGGGCCCTTCCTGGCTTCTCGACGGCTTCCTCGGGTCTTACACCAGTAGAGCAAATCGTACAGGCGGCGGACGAAGGTCGGGCACCTAACCATGTCCGGGGACAAGGCTTGCGAGGTACTCATCTGCATATGTTCAGTACCATCCGAAGGAATAAAGTCGATACCAGCGACTTACATTTCTGCGAAGGAAGTACATTAGCTTTGACCATTTCACGGTAGGTGTGCATCAGGGTAGCACGAGCTCTATATTCCCTTGCACAGATGAAAACATCGGGATAGCTGCGCGGATCAACTTGTCAATCACAATATGCTGAGCGAGATAAATATGTAAGTGCTTTATATTTACATGCTTTATTGGTGTAACACAGATAAGATCATTTCCTGATGTTCATTGAGAAAACGGCAACCGCAAGCGAGTTTGAAGTATTTCAAAATACGTTCAAAGGGAGTTACATCTGCATGTTACAATGTATAATATGCACCTGAAGGTTGAGCCAACAAGAGTGTTTGTGGGAAAGTATTTGCAATCATTATATGTACGGCTCCTTTCGTACAGTTTGTCCCTTCCCCCAAAAACTCACTCGCGAATGATCTTTCACCTAGATAATGAGGTACAGGTGCAGAAGTATGTCGTGATTGTTCTTTCTGCTGCCGATTCATGCAGGTCTCTATAAGGACCACGGTACTGAGTGGAATGAGGCGTTTCGCATCTATAACTTCGATAAAAGCTGCTTAGTACAATGCAGATTACAGGTATTAGATTCTTGGACTATTCGACAACGGCGGGTTGACTGGGCCCCCCAGGATTGAATGGCCCGTGGCCAGTATTCAGCGGAGCTGCCATTCGCTCATCCGTTTAGTGTGCTGGGCGCGCAGCACATGCTAAAGCCTCGGACATCCATACCACATCGCGTCCCGCTGACCCTCTTCGTTGGCATCACCTGCCCTTCCAGCAGCCGGTCCTCAACACGAGCATTGTGGCTGCTTGGACTGCCTCTCGTGTTCCTGATATTTCTGCAACTTTTTTCTTGCGGGCCAGTCTGCGAGCTTTTGCCCGTTAACGGTGCCTCGTACAAGGACTTGCTCGAGTTGTTTACGGAGTTTAGGTTTTTTAATCCGTCTCAGGGTGGCTTAAGGAATCCTGCTAAGCTTGCGGACCCGACTCCTATGTTGATTCCCAGGTACGCCCTTTGAATCGGAGCTCAAGGATTTCATGACCTTCTATTTGCTGCGAAGTCCTCAAAAGGAGTACTTGGTGTTTGCCAGCAAGCATGTAGTTCAGGTGGCGATGTGTTTTCCGTGACCGTAAACGACTGAAGGGTGTGGGTGTGCTTTTTTCGCAGAATTATCCACCAAACATACCGAACGCGTCAACTTCCTTCAGCACTGCGCGTCGTCAGGGAAAGCTGGACTCGGGTGAATGGCCCAGGTTGGCAAAGCAGGTTCTATGATGATGAAGGCTGCATTGCATTCGTTCGGAGGGAGTTCCCCGAGTATTTGGACGCATACTTATCACTCCCTAAGGATGTGGAGCGCTCGGACTTTTTCAGGTTGGTGGAGGCAGCACCGCACAGTATTTTTTGCATGATACCCACGGGGATGCGGACAATACGGTGCTTGTGAAACTGATGCCTAGAATCGGACTAGCGGGTATTAGGGAGCCGTCACGTTGTGCTTGCCACTGAAGCTAGGTACTCGCGCCTCTGAACCCACGCCTCGCTAGGTACATGGTGATCCTGCGTCTTGGGGGCGTCTATGCGGACATTGATGTTGAGCTACGTCAACCACTCGACACCGTTTTGCTGCCCACGGATACACTGGTGGTGGGGTGGGAGGCGGAGGTGGCGACCGACGCGGAGGCATTCAAGCGGCATTTCGTGCGCAGGCGCCAGGTATGCGGAGCTTGCACGTGATGCAGCACCTCGTGCATACAGACTGCACATTCTGGGTTCACGTGGGCTCAGGTTCGCTGTTAACCGTTTGCGTCGTTGCATGGCAAATTGCCTGTGTGCGCATCTTTGGGATATCCGCAACTTGCAATTTGGCTTCGTTTTACTTCAGCCATCTGTCTTCGACTGGTGTCGCAGGTGCTGCAATGGTTCTTCGCGGCGGCACCGGGGCACCCAGTCCTCCGTGCAGCGTGCGATCACATAGCTCGGTACGCTAGGCACACTTTTTCCAACAACACGAACAGGGACACGCTTGAGCGAACCGGTCCGGGAATGTGGACCGACGCGGTGCTCCGGCACGCCGCGGCACATCCGCCCACGAAGGTACGGCACCAGCGGTACACGTTTGGACCGATGCCTCAAGTAGATTGAGGAGTGTTTGGAATACAGCGAGCTCATGTGAACACATTTACAAGTCTTTATCTAAGATTGTTATCTAAGTTATTAATTTCGATATATTGATCATTCAATATTGGCATCTGACGTCATCCTGCCCTCCTGCTCTGCACCGTTTAGGCGGGTGACCCGTGGAAGGTGCGCATCCTACCGCGGGTTGCCTTTGGCGTGCACCCTGCCGGGATCGACGGGCTTACACCAGATGCCAAGGAGATCGTGGTGCTGCACCACTTCCTGGGCAGCTGGAAGAAGCGCGGTGGTTGGCATAAGCGCCGCAGCGTGCTGCAAATCCTGGCGGGTGTCATCATGGCGGCGTTGCAGCGCCGAAATGAGGCGGCTAAGGCAGAGGAGCCAATAACACCATCTGTGCTGCATCTCTTTCCAGTATCCGCGGCCTTTAATCCGCCTTTTACCATCATGACTCACCTTATCGGCCAGGGCGACATGCAGGTAAGGCAGTGAGCTGACATGGTCAGCTGGTTGGGAGCCGCGAAGTTTGAACGAAGAGCCATGTTGCCTGAAACGAGACGGTACGAAGCGCCATCGGTCAAGAGCACCGAAAGCATTACCCCCTTATCACATGCTCCCTCGTCCTTACCACATCTTTTGTACTCATTTTCCTTCCTACCCCTTCTCGCAGTCGGGTTCGGACGTCTCGGCGCACCTGACCAGCTGGGGCACCTGGCAGGCGGCAATGTCGAGACCCAGTCGGCGGCCGCAGGTTGTCGAAGCGCTGGTGGGTGCGCTCGGCCCACCTTCCCAAGGCACGGTCTTGGTGGATGTGTCGGCAGGGACGGGCTTTTTCAGCCTTGCAGCAGCCGCCCGCGGCCACAAGGTAGTTTCGTTTGAGACCAGCCCCCGCAGCATAGAGGCGTTCAGTTTTTCGATTGTGTACAATGGCTTTGAAGACCGCATCCGGCTCTATAACGTCAGCCTCGGCGCTGCACCGTCGACACTCTGTCTGGGAGAGCGGAGCGGGGACGATGTGGTACAGATGGGCGGTTCAGACCTCGGAAGTGAGGCAAGGCAAAGTGTGCCGTCTGAACCAAACGACGCTACCGCGGCGGCCACACGGCGGGGTTATGGGGATCCCTTGCTGCACGCGCTGCCGCCGGCGGAGTGTGCGCTCATGACGGTCCGCCAGACCCTCGCACATATGCTCATGGGCAGTATGGAGGCACCCAAATCAACGGCATCGTTGGCCGGACCGCAAATGGCCCAAGCAGAAGCTCACCCGGCGGGCGCTGCTGCAGGCGCAAGCTCTCAAGCCCGGAACAATGGCTCGGGGCTCCTGTGGGATGATGCATTGTTGCCGTACCAGGTCGGCGCCCTGCGCCTCTCCGCACACGGCTGGGAGGGCTGGATCTTGGACGGGGCAGAGTCGTGGCTTCAACGCCATCGCCCGGGCGTGGTGCTGCTGGAGTATGCGCCCGCACTGGTGGAACGCTCTGGCTACCCGGGGGGCGGCATGCGGCTGTTGCATCGCCTGCATGACCTTGGATACATCTATGCCGCCCATACCGGATACGTGTGCGACGAGCGGTGGCTGAATATCACCAGGGCGCTGCGAGTGGGAGGGACGCCGCTGGGCCAGCTGCCCGGCGTTGCCAACATCGGTTCCAACGACGACAAAGGCGCCGGCCAGAAGGCTGACGGGACGATGTTGGGAGCGGGATCCGGTTCGGGGGCCGGTCCGTCCTTGACGGCTACTGGCTCTTCACAGCTTGCACGGCCGCCTACATGGTGCAAGCTGAAGCCGGACGTTTTCCAGCATCTGACGGATCGGGTTCATCCAGAAGGGGCAGAGAACGTATTGGTGAGTGGGCATGGCTGGGGAATGACGTGGGCTTATCCAAATGGGGTGAGGCCTGCAGTCCGGCATTGTGCAACTTATAGGGCCTGTTCCCTGTCTGTTGTGGCATTTCCGCCATCCTAGATTGGTCATGCTAAGTGGCTGCAACCTGTTGAGGCCAGCAGGTATGGGCATGTAGTGCGCAGGGGGAAACTGACAAGAACCCTTTTGCCCGTGGCACGTTGCTTCCTCCCGGTGCAGTTTATCCACCAAACGCACTACATTGTGCGTGGTGAGCTGCCTCCGGATCAAGGGGCTGCAGAGGCACAGGCCCAGTCATCAAATTCGGGAGCTTCTGTCATATCTAGTGATTCGCAGCGTGTAGTCTCCGAGACGCAAGGCACAGTTCCTGTGCCCGGCTCCCATGCCGATGGTGCGGCTGCAGGCAGACGGGGCACAGCGATTGATACTTCACGGTTGGGGGCAACGGGTGACGCGGCTGCTGCGGTGGGGGCGCGGGCCGAGGCTGACGGATCTCATGTATTTAGTGAAACGAATGTCCTGGGTCGCAGGTCGGGTGCTGTCGGGGCGCAGCGCATAAGGGGGCAATCAAGCTAACTCGGTGATAACGCGATGTTGGTTATATACAGGGAGCTGAGGTACTCGTGCTCAAGGATAGTATTGCTTAATTATTAAAAACTGAGCAGACATGACGAGGCAGGGAAGGGGGGAAGGGGGCTCGCAAATCTTGAAACATCGGCGAATTGCTGGACTCAATTATTTGGGGGTTGGAACGGAATTATGCCACATTTGGCACGTATTAATGGTACAAGCATAATGTCGTTGGCTGGTGAACCAAGGAACCGGGCGCCTATCTTGGCAGTCGATGTGTTTACAGATGAGCTTGAGATATCGATGACATGCACCAACAAAGCCTATTAGTGTATTCGGATTCGGACACGGACGCTCGTGCCCTCCACCTACCCAAACCGAGTCTGTCGCCGCTCGGGGCCGCAACGAGTGGAGGCCGTTCCTTGCCGCTGAAAAACCTGATGTAAGTATGTGTAGTGCACAATGTTTTATTGCTTGGTGCTTGGCCGCATGTTGAACGGCTGAGCGTGAGTCTGGGGCCAGAGGTGGGTACCTGTTCGCTGAAATCTTTCGGTTCAATCCGTTGCCCTTCACGGGATCGTGGTGTATGGTTTACAAGGCGGCGGCGGCAGCATTTGCATGACATGACGCCTGCATATCCTGAACGACATGTCCCCTCGACACGCTGAATGCTTGAATGTCGTTATCCGCACCCCAGTCCCCGACGTCCTGGTGGAGTGTATGGTGTCGTACTTAAATTTCTGACGCAGGTTTACCAACCAACACAGAATGAATGTTTTGAGTGGTACATGTCGACGTTCGACGTAACGACGAAAAAGGACAGGATGCAGCCATTTTGCGCGCGTCGAACTATTCAGTCCTGGCGTTGTAATGTAACAGAATGTGTCTGTGATACGTGTTAACAGGGCATATGTCGTATGGGTGGTGGGTGACACCTCCATCATTGCGAAGCCGTGTGCAGTCCCGGTCGAACACATCTGATCCACCTTTTGCCCACACATTGCGTCCACGCACGACGCAGCCCGGCAAGGCGTATGTGCAATTGGCAGGTTTTCACCATCTCAACTTTGATTGCTACACTCTGCTCAAGGACCCAGTACCCAGCAAAGCCTTTAATTGCACAATGGTAAAACATTCCTCTAACCTTCTGTATAATTAGAGTGCTAAAGCTTGGACAAAGGACCGATACAAAAATGGCTGATCCCGTCTGAATCCAAACAACCGCCGCGACCAACTTCCCTACCTCATCGTACAGCTTCTCACAGGTCAGATGTAGTTTGGACTTAAAACAGGATAAGTGCGAATATTTTTATCATTGCATCCGCCATTGGCGTTTCCGTTGAAAGTGTCTGAAGCGGCTGCTGACTGACAGCTTTATCGGAGTTGCAGACTCGCTGTCCCGTCTCATCTGCGTCATGTCTATTCACGCGCCGAACATCTCCGAGTCCACTGATGGGGTTTTACAGGACAGTCACGATTGGCAGGCAGTCCTCGCGCGACACGTCCTGGTAAATGCTGCCAGTCCTGGTTCGCTTACTAACGATACTGCTGCGAGCTTTTTAATTTGCACCGCTACAGTCGCGCTCACGCAATCCTTTCCTAAACCTCTATTAAGATGATTGCCTGTTCACGACTGTCCGGATGCCACCGTCCTGCTCTTCGTTTCTCCACCGCGACCGCGCCTTCTGCAAGGATCTGCGCCCTGCGCTCACCACCCAAGAAGTGCTGCGCTTGCGCATGGTCAGCCGCTCCCTTCGCGGCGCTTTCCTTCACTTGGTGCACCTCGTACACGTCCCCTGGCCGACGCCAGCACTACCATCACCGCCATCCCAAACCCCAACCGCCACCCCAGCGCTGACCGGCCTCCGTCCCGGCATACCTCCCTTGGAGTCTGCCCGTGTCGCCTTCCCCCATGCAACCAAGATCCACCTACATCTGGATTTGCTGGCCTTGGTTTCGGAGTGGCCGTGCCTGGAAACCCCCTGGAGCCATCTAACCGCCGCCACCACCGTCGCCGCCGCAGTGGCAACACCACCAGCACCAGCACCAGCACCAGCACCAGCGGAAGATGCGGGGGCAGCAGGCGGCCCGTCTCGCGTCTCACAGAGCGGTGTAGGGGGCGCTGACGGGAGAGGGGCTGGCAGTCATGGCGGTGACGGTGGGACTGTAGGTGATGACCTCTGGCGAACCGTGGAGGCCGTCCGGATATCGGCCCGACTGCCACTGCGGCTGGTGTGGGGTGGGCGGGTGCTATCCGCAGCGGAACAGCAGCGACTGGAGCAGCTCTTCAAGGCGTGAGTAAGGGGGTTGTGAGGAAGGGGTTCATGCAGTGGGAAATGGAGCGGGTGATGGAGCGCGGCCCAACATCAATGCCCTGCTGACGTGTGCTACAGCGATAAAAGGGCCCAATGCGGGGCCAAGGGTTGTCGTGCCCTGCGGGTGCTGTTCCTGGGGCCGGAAGGGAGGGGAGGGAGTCCCTACCGTCCCACCATAGGGACGGAAACTCCTGAACGGCTCCCTGACGGAAGAAGTGCTAAGAAGAGGAGTGGTGGCCCGTGGGGCCGTCCCAGAGGCCACTTACCACCCATAGGACCCTCACGCCGATGGCAGGGGCCGGCCGCAGTCTAAGGGTTGTCCACGCTTTGTGTAGCTCATCTAGCCTGTAGCCTGCATTCCAACACTCGGGCGGAGCATTCAGGCGCCTCTCTGGCTTCATTGGAAACGGTGCTCGAATGGTATTCGACAAAACAACACGGGCTTCTCAGCCTGCTAGACCCAGGCAGGCAGGCAGGCAGCTAGTGCCCATCACAGAGAGGGCCCCAGCACCAGATCCCCCCACCCTCCCAGCAAGCGCTGCCCGCTCTCCGAAACCGGTATATCCCGGGGAGCGTCTCCGAAACCGTCATCGGCAGCGAAGCGGGAACTCTGACACGTGGCTTCGGGGCTGCCTGCCTGACTGGCTAACTACTGTACACAGGCTCACCATGCGACTGCTACAACCGCTACAGCCGCAACAGCTGCCAACGATACCGGGCCCTAACCACTCAAGTTCAGGAGCTCTAGGACCCCTCCTGGCGGAAGTGACAACGCACAGCACCTCGAACAGCACACATTTGGGGCCAGTTACCCAAGCCCCGGGCCCGGGCCCGCCTGCAGCGCCGCAGTGTGCCTTCCTGACCGCACCGCTTTCCTTGCCGCCGCGCCTTACCCGGCTACAGCTGGAGCTGGGCGCAGGCGAGGGCGGGCAGGGTGAGCTGTACGGTCGCCTGGTGCCGCCGCCCGGTCCCCTGACGGCGGCACTGCTGCGCCTGCCCCTGCTGCAGGAGCTATCGCTTTCTTGGCACAGAATTGAGGGGGGCCATCTGGCTGCGGTGGTGGCGATGTCCGGGCTCAGGTGCGGGGCTGGGAAAGGATGACGGTTCTATGTAGAGGGTTGGGGAGCTGAGGAAAACACACACGAACCCGAACGTCAGCCGGCAGGCGAGTGGAGGAGAGTGACCTTGAGGGCCTTTTGAAGCTTGATCGGCTGATTTGGCCGCTATAGGTGACATGACGGGTCGTTTTTTAGAAGCTTCTCGTGGCTTCCAACCCCCCGGGCCCATCCACTTGCCTCGGTTCCCCACCCCGGGCTGCTGCCACGCCGCAGGGCCTTATCCCTAGCTGACGCCTACGATGGGCCCGACGGCTGGCTGGGCGCCTGCCGTGCTGCCGTATCGCTGGCGCTGACGTCTTCGACTGGAGCCGCCTTAGATGAGGTTTCATCGGCCGATGCACTCGGCGCCTCTGGCCCGGCGGCGGCGGCGGCGGCGGCGAGGGAAGCATCCAGGTCTGCCGCCAGGTTCGCTGCGTCCTTCTCATTACCCCCCCGGGAGCTCCTGCCCGTGGACTGGCACCCCGGTCTGCTCGTCTGGCCAGTCTGGCTACCAACAGTACGGCAGCTGCGGCTCCGGAGCCCGTCCCTGGCGATACACGGCCAGCCGCCGCCTTGGCTGGTCGAGCTGCGACCAGAATCACCGCCGTTGCAGCGGGGACTGGCCCCGCCGCCGCCGCAGTTGCAGGAGTACTTCCATGAACAACTAGGCTGCGGCAGCACCTCTACTTGCGTCCCCTGCCCGTCCTCCCGTCCGTACTTCCCTCTCCTCCTCTTCCCTCCTTCCCATGCTGCGGCTGCTAGTGCCCTTCCATGCCCTGCCCCCTCGCTTCCAGCAACCCCATTGGCAAGCCTCACCCGCCTGGAGGTTGGCGGCGCCCGTCCCCCTAGGTGGGGACATTGGCACCAGAGGGGGCCCCGATCATCGGGGCACGTGCGGGAGGAAGTGGGAGTGGGCAGCCTGCTCACCAGCCTGGCGGAACACGCCCAACGGGCAGAGGCCGCCGCCGCGGCTGCGGCGGCGACGGCGACGGCAGTCCGTGTGCCCCACGGGCTGGACCCGCTATCCCCGCGGTTATCGCCACAAATAGCGGTGGCTTCCCTCCCCTTGCTGCCGCCGCCGTCCTCGCTGTCAGGGCCCACTGGGTTTCGCTCCCTGACGGTGCTGTCCTTCCAGTCTGAGCGGCTCACCGGGGCGGACTGGGAGGCGCTGAGGGTGTTGGGGGGTTTGGAGGAGCTCCGTATCAACGGCTGGACCCCGGGGGAGGGGCTGTCGCCTTGCGTCCTGCAGGAGGTGGAGGAGGTGGATCTGGAGGCGAGGGCAGGCGAGGTTAGGGACGGCGTGACGGTGGCTGAGCGGCAGTGGCGTGCAGCTGGGGAGGAGGAGGAGAGCGGCGTTGTTCAGGGCATGGAGCTCGGTTGTGGGGTGGCAAGCGCGGGTGGCAGCAGTGGTGGCGGTAGGCGGCTGGGGCTGCTTAGTTTGCCGCGGCTGCGAGTGCTGATGTTGTCGTTACGCAGCGCTGCGCAGCTGCGGCGTTTGGTGGGCGGCCTGCCGCAGCTGGAGGTCCTGCACCTGGCAATCAAGGGCGGGGCCGAGGAGGGCGCCCCTTGCCAGGACGAGGACACGCAGGCAGTCCAGGCTGCCGCCGCTGCCGTCACCAACAAGGAGGCGGCCTTACGCGCCTGGCGGCCGCTGCTAGATTGTCGACGGCTTGTGGAGGTCAATGTATTGTCCCAACGGGCCGTCGAGATGCCGTTGAGGGGCGACATGGTGGCGGCGCACCTCACTTCCGCCTGGCCCCGCCTTGTCGTACTGCAGTACAGCGCCGGCGGCTGGTCTGGTCTGGACCGGACTGGCGTCGAGGCCCTCGGACGGGTTCCGGTGGGCAGCGGACGGACAGCTCGAGGAACAGTGCATGGAGCAGCAGCCGTGACAGCAGGCTTACGAGAAGCAGCAGCGCCCTTGGAACGTAGCAGCGATGGCGGCAGGCACAAGGGCACCACCGCCGGAGATATATCCTCAGCCATCGCAGCCCATTCTCCTGCTACTGCTGCTGTAGCGGCGGCGGCGGCGTCACCCGCGCAGAAAGCAACTACAGCGCCCCCATTCACATCCTTGGTTCAACCAGGACAAGGTGCTGGTGCTGCTGCCGCTAGTGCCATTGGTGGCGCCATCGGTGGCGGTGACGAGGGGTTGCAAGGGCTCCAAATGGCGACGGGGCCTGAGGCCCCTATTTCCTCCCGTTGGCGGTGCCTGCAGGTGCTGTCCCTCGGCAGTGGGCCCCCCAGTCGCACGGGGGGTTGGACTGCACCACAGCCGCTGTTCTTGGATGAACTTCCCGGGGGACTGAGGGCGCTATCGCTGAACGGGCTACAGCTCAGGTGGGGGCCCCGCCGCTGCATTAGCAGTAGCAGTAGGAGTGGGATGTGGAACGCTGCGAGGAGCAGGCGGGAGATTGGCGCTGAGTCCCCGCAGCCCCTGCAGCTTCGTCGAGGCCTTCCAAGTGCGGCTCCGTATGCGGGTCCGGGGCTCGCTGCGGGTGGTGGTCAACAGGCTGCAACCGGCTGCAAGCTGTTTCCACAGAGTCTGAAGCTGCTGAGCCTCAAGTTCTGTCGCTGGCAGGTGCTAGGCGTGAGGTGAGGTGAGGTGAGGTGAGGTGAGGTGAGGTGAGGTGAGGTGAGGTGAGGTGAGGTGAGGTGAGGTGAGGTGAGGTGAGGTGAGGTGAGGTGAGGTGAGGTGAGGTGAGGTGAGGTGAGGTGAGGTGAGGTGAGGTGAGGTGAGGTGAGGTGAGGTGAGGTAGAGCTAGCTGCGTGCTGGTGGTGAAGAGCTCTATCATGGGCGCAAGAGGGTTGTGTGGGGATGGGAACTTGAGAGACGCCGGAGGGACGACGGATTGAGCGCTTCGGTGAAGCGGCTTGTAGAAAACCTGAACGAAAAGGCCAGCAACCCAGATATTGCAAATCGCATCTCGCCTGTGTCCACGACAGCGGTTTGCGACTTGCGCGAATGCGCCTTCCGGGCACATGCTTTTCTGGCCTCCGGAGGGTCTCTGTCTTACGCAACCGCTATGCGTGTGTCTCTTGTGACCCGCCCTCTCCCCCTAATTCCCCCCCACCCCTACCACGGGGGACAGCCTCCTCGGCGCCGTGAGCCGCTGCACCAGTCTGCTGGAGCTGAAGCTAACGTGGCCCGAAGATGACCCGCCGTACATTGTACGACGATCCCGACACCGCTCCGCCAGCATCAGCGCTGAACACCAACGCAGCTGCCAGGTAGCGGGGGCCGGCCGCGGTGGCGGTGATTTTCCTTACCCGAGTCCGGCCCCCAACACCAGTCTGCTCCACTCCGGACCACCAGGAGCCTCCGACTGTGGAGAGGAGTATGATGGCGATGGAGATGAGGAGGATAAAAGTGATGACCATGATGATGATGAGGAGGAGGAGGAGGAGGAGGAGCGGGAAGTAGAGGGGGATGGGGATGAGGCGGAGGGGCAGCAGTGGGCAAAACTGGCGGAGGAACTGATTTGGCTGGAGCGACTGGAGCTTAACCGCTGGGCTACCGAGCTGCCACTGGGAAGGCGCGGGGGGGGGCAGGTCGGGGAAGAGGGGGATGAGGGACTGCTGGTTGGGGCCGCAGAAGGGGCCAGACAGCAGCAGATGCCGGAAGGGGAGGGAAGGGGGGAAGGGGAGGTATCAGCAGGCGCTGCGGCGGTCAGGGCGGTGGCTGCGGATGGCCCCATGGGGATGGCGCAGCTGGTCCGCGGGGTGGCCAGGATGCGGCGGCTGCATTCGCTGAAGTTGGAGGACCGCGCATCGGGGCCCTGGGGCGACGAGGTGCGCTTGCTGGGGTTGCTGGGTAGATTTGTGTTAAGGATGCTGAGGAAAAAGAGGAAGAAGAAGCTGTAGGTGTGTATGCGTGTGTTTCTATGTATGGTTCATGGGGTAATGGAGGAGACCGGCGGTCCCCGTGGTGGGGGTGAGGAGGTGGGAGCTGCGAAGATTGGAGACCGGACGCCACCCAGCCTATGCAGCCGAGTAGGCTAAGAAGGCTGTTGCCGGGTGGATCGCCCTGCCCTGCCCTGCCTTGACAGCGCAGCTTCAGTTCTTTGTCTCAGCCAGGGCGTCCTTGTACTCTTGGTCCAAGTCCGGTATCACCTCCCTCCCTGGCCCCTCTGCCTCATGTCGCTGCCCGTGGTCTGTCCCTGTGTTCCTCTGGGCTGTCGACCTCAGGTGGACTGGTCGGCGCTGTCTCAGATGACAGCGCTGGTGCAGCTCGAGCTGTCTGGAGTGACCCGTGGGACTGCATCCCGGGTACTGCAGCTGGCGCGGTCAAGTTTACCCTCATGCAGGTCAGACCACGTAAGGCCAGGTCAGGTAAACTAAGGATGTGCGTGTGGCACGGCCGCTGGGCCTATTAGATGCATGAGGGATAACAGACAAATTCCTAGTGCGTAGAAGACACAAGACCGGGCCCTGGAGGCCCTGACAGTGCCCTTCGCGCTGTCGTCACATGCCAAGCTCGCTCCTTCTCCGGAGTTGTCTGCGCGGCAGTAGGGCAGGACTCCGTCCTCCCTGGCCCGTCAGCACACCGCCTGCCTGCCTGCCTGCCCGCCCGCATTGATGTCTGCACGCCCCAGGCCGCTGGTCCATGTGGACAATGAAGGCGACATGCGGGCGGAGATGCGTCGCATAGACCTCCTGTTGGGGACGGTTGCACCAGCAGCCGCCTCCGTAGAGTCAGGGCCATCATCGACATCAGCATCGTCCCTGTCCCCGCCAGGTGCAGGTGGCAGTGGCCACCCTGGCCTGCCAGCGGGACCGGGCGACGCCGCACCCAGTGCGGGATTCTCAGTTAGCGATGATGGGATGGGGTCTGTTGATCTAAGTGAGGATGTTGAGGCTGAGCTTCTTGAGGAGCTGCAGAGGCTGGAACTGCAGTTGGAGGCCGAGGGGCAGGCGGGCTAGAGAGTGAGGTGCGGGTTGGAAATCTGGTTTCTTCAGGGCGTGTCGGATGTAAAGGCTTTTATTAGAGGAGATATGCAATGGGGTGTGGTCTGGGAGGCTCACTGGAGGGTTTTGATAATCTCGGCTCTTCCTAGTTATAGGACCTGGCTTGTAACATGGCCGTACACTTGTACAGCAGCCTTCAATTTCAAGAACGAGTGTTGGGTAATGAGGAAGACATAATTATTCATATTTCGTCACAACCTGTTTCGTTATCAAGGGAAGACGTAATGACAAACCTCCTTGGCTCTTCCTCTGTTCACCTTTCGGGGCGTTTCTCGGTATGATTGCATCCCTTGACGTTGTAAAGTGCGGCGCTGGAAAATTACTTTCTCAATGATTACAAATATCTAAATACAGGCACAAGGTGGGCTGGGGGGCACTCAGAACCGACAGAGTGCAAGGTGAGCATGCTTTACCGTTTGGCTGCTTATGAATTTTGGTTCTGTCTGCCCGATTTCAGTAAAGGGGGTACCTGTCGGTGACTTCCTGCTGTGCTTTCTCAACTGCAGATGTCAGCGTTGTCTTCAAATAGGTCATTGGACTTACGAGTGCAAAAACGAGCCGGCATATGCAGCACGCCCTTCCCGTACACAGCAGCTCAAACAGCCTAAGGTATGCCATGGCCACCCTTTCGTTTGAACACGCCTATCCTGTGGGGTGGCGTCACACCGTCTGCACGCTGGCTGCGTGGCGCCGGCGTATTGTCAACCTATCGGTCTGGAAGGAGTGGGATGTTGTTGCGAAAGCGAGAGTTGATTGAAGACAGCTCCTTGCAGAGCGCCACGGGTTAACGGCTGGGCGGCGGGGCCTGGCTTGAATTAAACGACCACGTCGCAACTGCACTGCGACTATTTCAGGGTCATTTCACACCATGTCGTGCATAAAGCGGTGTGCTATTTAATTAGCGGAGTGTAGCGCTGCATGGACGCTGTTTGACTAGACGTTGACTTGCGCATGCGTATTGCCTACCTAGGCACTCTCGCGGATGTTGGACACGTGCTTCTGGTGTTGGGCTAACGCTTGCTGTAGGCCAAACAGCGCTTTCTGTCACCAGATGAGCTTCCGCCGGAATTTCGACTGAGGGAAGAGGATGGCAAGCAGCAAGCGGCAGGTGGCAGGTTGAAAGGGAAGGGCCGCCATGGCGACGAGCGTAAGAAGAAACGGCGCCGACGTTCGCCTTCTTCTTCTTCTTCCTCTTCTTCATCTGATGACACCTCTTCAGACACTAGCAGCGACACTAGCTCCGACTCATCGAGCTCGAGCTCGGATCACAGTACAAGCAGCGGCACGAGCAGAGACAGTACAAGCAGCGGTAGCAGCACCAGCTCTGACTCGTCAGATTCACGGTCCAGCGGCAGCAGCAGTAGCAGTAGCGACGAGTCGAGCAGCAGCAGCGACGACTCGAGCAGTAGTAGCAGCAGCGATGACTCGAGTAGCAGCAGCAGCGACGATTCAGACAGTGACTCGGATGGTGGCGGGAGGCGGAGGAGCAAAAACACAAAGCATGGCAAGAAGCGGCGGCGGTAGATGAGGACAAGCATTTGTGGGTGCCAGGAATTTAGTTTGCCGTGGCTGTCCTAGTGTACAGAAGGGCTTGCCTTGAGCATCAACCGCTTTCTCCTGACTTGTACAGCAATGGTACATGATAGCCATTATATCCATTAATAGTTACAATTTTGTGAGGAGTGGTGAGCCATGCGTGCTGGTGAGACCCATTTGCTTAACATGTGTGGTATATATGTGGCATGAGACACAAGCCCTGCACCTGGTTGTATCCTGGGCTGTGCATGCAAGTCTAGCTCCTCAGCTCCTCATTACGAGTACATCCTTGCACATTCAACCATATAAGACATTTAATCAATTGTAGCACACGAGTAATCGCGACGCTGATAAATTGCCGGTACATCAGAGTGCTGCAAAAATGTCCTTCGATAGGGTCGCTTGAGTTGTAACGAAAGGCCCGGGCCGCCGTCACCTCGGCACTGCACCGCTATCGTACGCGCGTCTCCGCGCCAAGAGAGCGAGAGATGTAGGCCGGGAACAAACCTTTTACCTGCCAGGGGTGGAACGTTATGAAAGGGCCCATGGGGGTTACTTAGGGTCGCATCATGTCCAGTGGATTGGTACCCATCCACATCAAGGAGCCCCACACCCCGGCAGCTCACCTATTATCCTTTAAATCGCACCACCACGCAGCTGATATTGTCATTGCTCCCGCGTTGGTATGCCTCCTGGAAATTTGGCAGAGTTGCAGGGCACGTGTTGCCGAAAGCATAGTGACGCACATTGCCAAAGAACACCGGACGCAGCAGGAACCAGCGGGAGATTAGCCATCCATCGCATGATAAGTACTAGCTGTATCAATGCTTACCCCTTGCAGTTTGCCTAACGCCCCCACGAGCGTTTGCGCACTTAATGGAGCTGAGTATCGCATGGAGCTAACTATCGCCATGGTGAGAAGCCGAATTTTATCAGTGCCGGCCTTTCACTGGGCACAGCTGACCGTAAGAACCCTCGTGCACCAACCTCGGTTACTCGTTTGGCAGCTTGCTCAGCGTCTGAGATGTCCCGAATCAGGGTGACGGCTTCCTGCGGGGAACGCCAGTTCTAGACTGTAATGCCATGCCATAGTCCCCAACAGCGATCTGCGCCCCGAACCCCCATCAACAAACAACGTACATCTTATCCGTTGTCGTGCGACCTCCACAGCAAAGCCCGGTGTGCTCATCATTATCCCCACTTGCTGCGCATTCTTTTAGTGGATTGCAAGGCCAACCAGAATACCTGACCCGGCGAAGCAAGCGCCACAGTTCCTGTTCTCCAACATGCACGTGGAAACCCGTCACACCACTGCCCTTGGGCCTTCGGCTCGTATGGGTAGTTTTACAGGTATGGGGTCACGCACCCCCAACCATGTAACACACACACTCACCCCTATGACACGGCCGTCATTAAGGAAATTTACCCGCTCGAGCTCACAAGGATGAGCCCCGCTGGACATCTAAGAATCTCCCTTCGCCAGTACCCTTCCGGAACAATATAAATACCTCAGCGCAGAACAATGAAACGTCTGTCTCGCTGTGTCAACTGCTTACCTGCTCTTTGCACACCATCGCCCTCCAGCCCTCACCCACCACCCAAACGCCTTCCTTCCACCCTGGCATGCACACCTGGTTCGTCATGACGTCCCACAGCCCGTCACTGGCCAGCATGAGGAACTCGTCCTCGCCGGTTAGACTCTCCTCAGCCACGGAGGGCGTCGGGATGACGTAGCGCTTGAGCGGCCTGTCCCCGAATGCGCGGGACACAGCCAGCACCCCGCCCACCCGCCAAGTGCCCGCCCACACCACCACGCCGCCCGCGCTCTCGATCCGTGACCGCTCCTCTTTGACGTTGGGTTTGTGGTCTACTGACAGCGCGATGGCTGTGCAGGGCGGGGACATGCAGGGGATGATTAAGTCTGAGCATGCCCTGGTCGTTACCTTCCTTATTAGTCTGGTTCGCTGGAGATTCCTTCACTGCAAAGAATGTGGGCACGAGACGTGCTTACCGCCACCCGTGGTGAGGGAACATGGTGTGGCAAGGTCATACATGGTTTGATGGCGACCCCAAACAAATGACAAGCAATGCGACTTAGGCGGGTTCCTTGGGACCCATATCATTTCCCGTGCACCCACATTCTCCTAAACGGCTCTTTTTGCATTTGGTCAAGAGTCACTGCATTCCCCCATCCTGCCTTCCGTCCACTGCCCGACGTGTCATGAGACGGCTGACATCCCGGCCACCTCCAGGGTGCACCTCCGTGGTGAAACCGCCGCCGCAACGCACCTTTCCCGCCACGGCAAAGCACTGCGCGGGAGTCCCCAACATTCGCCACCAGCAGCCGCTGGCCTGCCACGACCGCTGTAACCGCCGTACAACCATCCTCTCGACCGTTTGAGCTCTCGTGACGCAGGTACTGGTTATCCGTGGTCTCGTAAGCCTCAGCTGTGAAGAAAAGCCAGACACACACGTGGCGCGCGCGGGGCAAGTCAAGAGCCGGGGTGCTGTGTATGATGCTTCCACGCACAACCCACTGCCCATACCTCTCTGCCCGGCATATTCACTTGAGAGAACATTCATTTCCCGGGGTTCGTAGCACGGGGATATGGGAAACAGGGCCCCCGGCGCGTCTGTATATGAATGGGTGATCTTTAGCTGGGTCCCTGTCGCAGCTCCCACTCCGTACCATCTCACCTACGCACGCGGGTAGGTCGCTGACGAACTTGTTGCTGCAATAATCGTACACCGAAAGCGAATCACGGAGGGAAGGCAACATCAGGTGGGGAATCCTCAGTGGAAACTGCACTGCATACGCGAGGGAAGTGCGAGGCCTCACTGGGTGCAGAACCTTACGGAACGCGGCGAACCGGCGCTGTCGTCTTGCCTCGGCCTGGGTGGTGGCGCCATCATCCAGGTCCGAGGGGTTCTCAGAGAGATGACCTGAGAGAAGGCCTTCTGTTGTTCCGTATTACGCACGCGCTGATGCTGGGTGATCGCTGACACGCTGCTACTGGGTGGGTTTGCGAGTTTTGGCCTCGTGTCGTGTTGGGTGCCCGTAAGGGTTTGCTCCTTTTGGACAATGTGCTATCAGTGGCGGGGCCGCCGTGCAGTGCAGGGCTGTCACTTACCCATCAGCTTCTGCCCTCTGTGGCATGGCTTGTGTTGAGATCTCAATCAATACAACAGAATTGCAAATTTTGAGGCTAACCCGCACCCAAACAATTTAATGACACACCTCTGCATCATGTTTATGAACAGGTTACTCCGGACGTAGTCAGCGGCATGGGGACCGCCATGCCCTGCGCAGTGCAGCAAACCACATGTTCCCAGGTGCTCGGCATTTGAGTAGTGGGAGCAGCGAACGGGTGTTCGACAGCTAAGTGGATATTCGTTTTTACGTGTAGATGCGCCGTTAGTCTCCTTTATCACTTGCTTGTCTGGAGTGCGAGGTAGGATGGTGCTTATAGGCGATCTGGCAGCCCTTGAGCCTCGGCTCGTGTTGGGCGGTTTGCAGTTACGGGGCACGCACCATGTAACATACACACACATACATACATACATACATACATACATACATACATACATACATACATACATACATACATACATACATACATACATACATACATACATACATACATACATACATACATACACATGCAGATGCATCACGCACTTCCACAAAGGTCCGAATGCCATCAAAGTACTTGCAGTTCGTCAGCAGTAGGGGTCCTTACCATCAAAGATACCAAACAATCCGTACAACTGCCCAGTCCGTGGATCCTTCTTGTACTGCAAAACACAGCATGTGACATAATGGATAGCGTGTGCAAGCACAATTCTTGACTGTTTACATGCCATTGCCATGGAATGAGTCTCCGTACCTGTGCAGCATGGAAGTCCTCCATGCTGGTTCGTTTGCCCCGCAGCAGCGAAAAACCGTAACTCCCCTTCCCATCCTCCCTGCAGAAAGGAACGATGTGACATTGAGACGATCCCGTTGCGGCGCAAGCGCCGGGTGACATGTCTCGGTTTCTCACCGGCTGCATCCACCCGAAAGCGACGTCAGGTTACCCAGGGCGAACGCCGTAGCTGCATCCCTCGATGGTGATAATACTGAGGATACGAAGTCCATTTGCTCTTCCGTAGTAAGGCCCTGGGTCCGCTGCGCCTATGCCATATTCATTCGCGTGTAAATGAAATGCACATTATCCTATATAAGGCTTCGTCCACTTAGAGCATTTGCTTGGAGAAGAAGTACCAGGACCGGGCCCACCGAAATGGGCAAGACGAGAAGGTGTCAGCAAGGATTTGATGTGTGTTACTCGTCAAATAATCTCTGTTAAAAACAATGGAAACACGTAAAATTCTTCGCGAGTCCGCGTCCTACCCAAGAGTTCAAACAGTTGCTGTCACCCTGGTATTTCTGACTTCGTTGCCATCAGTAATGAGTCCATACTTGTGACCGTGCATCACAGGTTCCGTCGGCAAAACTTTTGGGATACGGCAGCGGTTAATAGTTTCGGAGGCGCCTCACGACCTTGCAATTTACCTTTACCCAATTACCAAGTCATGTGGAAGCTGTTGCAATATTTAAAAGAGCGGCTCATCGGTTCGGGCCCATTATTATCTAGTCAACGTGCTTCCCTGATGAGGCTGCATGCCCTTGCTCTCGCAGCTCTCACGGCAAGATATCCTTTCACAGCGCAAAGATTCAGCACATGCGTTTTTAGCATGAATGACTCAGTCTTGCAGCCTTACAGCAGAATAACTTAGACACTCCACTGTCCACGTGGCGGCCCCTGCTTTTGGATACTCGCCAGACATCTCCCTCCCCTAGATCCCCTGCCTCCCGTATTAGTAACATGCATTCTTTCCCGAGCGACAATGCACGCCACACTGCTGCCTTGGCAAGTTGCACCCCCTCGAAACTGCCCATGCCAGCACGAACCAGCCAGACATCCGTTAAAGCCAAAATATAACCCAACTTCCCTGCCCAGCCCGACGCATAAATCGCAGGCTCGGTGACGAAGTTCACGGAGCCGATACAACAGCACAAACACTGGTCCACGCAACCCCAGCACAGAACTGACAAAACTGAAGTACACTGTACATGAGGCCAGGCTGCATACCCTGCCGTGCTACGCGTCTTCGCTCCATTTGACTCCTCCCGACATGATGATGCCAATAATAACGCCGAACAACCCCAGGGCGCTGCCAAAAATTTCAACCACTAGAATCTTCACAAAAAGGGAGCTATTTTGAGCATCCGAAAGCGCACAGCTGCTCCCCACGATGCCCACGCACATCCTGCAGCAACACGGCATGGGCTTGGTGACGGAAAGAGACCAGGTGAAAACCGTCGCCCCACGCACATCCAGAAGCAATAACCCCACCCCCACCCCCATACACGCCGATACCGCTAAACAAACTGTATATTATCGTGGAGGTGTGCGAAACCCGAGCCAGGGGCTTACCCGCAAACAAGGTTGGCAAAGCCGCACGTGACGCCTGAACCAAAGATAGCGTATCCAGATGCCATAGCCCATTTGCTATATGTCACGCTGTCCTTCAAAGGCTCCACCATCTCAATTTTGGTTTGGAGAATGATGGCCACAATCACCCCGTAAATGGCCACCGCCTCACAGAAGATGACGCTGTAAGCAGGAGGAACAAGGAGCTCAAGACAATATCCGTCCGAGACCGCAAACTGGCAACAGCACGACAGCCTGGGTACCTGATCAGGTTCTTTGATGTAATCCTCGGCACCCTGATTGCCGCGCCGACCAGAGATGACCCAGTTATGAAAATTCCCCTGTAAATCAGGACATGGCTTACTACCTTTGCCGAAAAGATTAGATACAAAAATAGCATACACCTGATGCAGGTGTACATGTTAGCCACCAGCCTTACGCACTCCTTTGCTCCCTTACCAAGCAGCGCCAAGGATGGACATTCCCACCGCTAGTGCCACGCCCATAGCGGACCAGAAGTAGGGAGACATATTTCGGAATAAGAGCCACAACCAGTCATAGTCAATGAACCGGTCAGGGGAGCCGACGCTAATCACAAAGCAAATCCAGGTTATTGCACATGGTATGTAGAACCACACAGCTGGATGCGTAAGGTCTGTCATTGTTCAATAAAGTGGTCCACAAGCTTGGACAGGCTCAAGTGTTCGTGTTAGACTTGGCAGCTGCACTTGACAACCAGTGGTTCCTGCGCCAAACCCACGCACAGACGGAGATTCTACGGAAGGCCTTTCATATTGCGCCTAATCACAATTGATGTCCATGCCCAAGCTATTTCTGTTCCGTAGCCGTACTTCTGGTCGTCCAGCAAATGGCTGTACCACAGACGCATTTCTATGGGCCGTTAACGTAAGGGACCTGCAACCGTCAGTAACTTTTCTGGGCGGATGTTTCCATCCAGTGTTCACTGCAGGCCGTGTAGGAGCTGTGTGTGCTATCCGCTGTGTGTGCTGTCCGTTGTGTGTGGTATCCGCTGGTTCCTTGAAGGGCCTGGACTCTGGCCTCAGACTGCGTCTCAACATTACATCGCTCCCTCAAAACCCGGCATCCTGTCGCGCTGCCGTATAGAATATTAAAGGATAAACTACAGCAGATGCTTCTCGATACGGCTTCCCGGAAGCAGCTGTACGGTGCACAAGGTACAGTTGATCTCAGGTATCGGAGAGCGCAGCTGTGTAGGTATTACCTTAGGGCATGTAGGTGGCTTGCTATACGCTTTCCTTTTGGTGTACGACGAACCCCAACTCGGCTATACATGTAGGCTGTGTAGGGCTTTAAAACGTAACCCTGTACGGCTTAGCCGCGTGCGGCGGCATCTACTGGTGTTTGGCTTTTGTTAGGGTCGTGGGATCTGACTCCATTGCTTCTTCTTTTCTCACACTTGCAACGCTGTGCCATTTAGCTGACCCTGGTTGTACTTGGCTGCCTGGAATCTCAGGGACGGTCACCCAGATAATTCATCTCATAGGGTCTGGTTTTTCGTGCTTCCGTTTCGCGAACCATTCGTGTGTGTTGCGGCACTGCGGCACATTCGCTCACGTTGGTGTGTCATGTCAAGACCTGGTGCGGAGCACCCGGGGGCCGAGGGGAGGGCGATATGTATTTTGCCATGGCCACATCGCCTCGTTTCGCATAATTGTAACCTGCTAGGTACTTGGGGTAATTACAGGATGCTTCGACACCAAGATGCTCCTGATCAGGACCCACAGGCAAGCAGCATGTAACCATTCACAGCCGCCGGCATCGTTAAATTCGCACTTCGCGGACCTCTGAATCATGCTCCTGGAAATGTCGGCATGCGCTGCTCGAGGGTTTTGGTGTTGATGGCATGGTATTGGCGTGATACGCAACCATCGAGATGAATAAAAGGCCTCGCGAGATGAGTCGCAGCTGGCCAAGAGGCGGCGGCATCCTTTCCACCAGCAATCCGGCCCATCACGACGGCTGTCTGCTGTACATAATAACACGCGCCTTGCAGCAACATTTTAGGCGGGAGCTCCCACCGGGAGGACACCCGCTAGAGTCCGCAATGTTAACCAAATGACTCCCTGAACGACAACAGGCTCCCATAGAATGAAGACCCCACAAACAAAGCGCTGCAAATGTCAAGGCAGGTAGGTGCGCTGCGCGCAGCAGACACCGCACCGTGCAGCACTACATGAACGCAGTCTCGTATGTAAGAGCGCGGCCTATATATGGAGCGGTGGATTCATCATGCACCATACAAAGGAAGCGCTCGTTGACATATATACACATTCAAAAGACATCAGATGACACCACTTCCTCTACCTCCGGCGCCTGACTGCCTAATCAGGATCGCTCCGACAGCTAAAGCAACGGAACCCAACAAAAAGGCCACTTATGGTACCGCACCACCGCACAATGACCCGCATGCAAACAGGCCAACTACCCCAGTGCAACAAAATGGACGGTTACAACCTAAGCAAGGAATACCACCACGTTGCAGTCCAACCTGCATGGATCGCAGTCTAATCATATGCAGCGATGAAACGCGTCGGATGAACCCAGGACGCATGAAACTGTGTACACGTTGCCGTTGCTGAAGGCTATGTGATTGTATGGCAGTCTAGGGCCAACTGCAAATCTAGAAAGCGCGCGCGTTGTATGGACAAACGAAACCTAGATACATCCGAAACTGCGGAAACGTAATGATCCTCAACAGGTTCCCGCAAATGCACAAGAAATCGACGCTCATATGCGGTGTTATAATATTCAAGAACCCCGCGCACCGTTACGATCGAATCCTACTACCTTATTACCAAGGGTGATGAGTGATGTTTCAACTCAGATACTGCATACAAATGCACAAGGCCGCGGCCCAGTTCTCAGCCGTTGGTTCATGGTAATCAGTAGGCGTTCCAAAAGCGTATGCCCGCTCAGACCTCTTTCCCTATGATGGCCCAAGACCGGCCCCCAGCATGTTAACCCACGGGTCGGATAGCACGGTCTCGCATGATGTGTTCCCGATCGGTCCTCACGTGTCCCCAATCAAACCCGCGTCACGGTGTAGACCCTCTAAGAGGTCCTCCGGTGTCGCCTCCATGGGGGAAAACGGCAAGCCGACAGCCAGGAACCGCTTGAAGGAATCGCTCTCGCAGCGCTTTAGCTCCCGACTGGACTGGTTGAGCATCACATTGCCGGAGTCCATGTGCTGAAGCGACCGGCTGCCGACCGAACCCCCCGCGCCTCCACCTGCAGCGCCCATGCCCACGCCGTACCCGGAGTGTTGCTGCTGCTGGGACTGGTGGCTGTGGTTGTGTACTACCTGCTGCTGTTGGGCGTCCAGGCCCAGCATGCTGGAGCAGCCCGAGCCCGCGATGCCCATGCGGGAGGACGGGTCATTCAGGATGAGCGTGTGCTGCATTTGCCCTGTCAGCTGATCAGAATGTTGCATGCTCATCTGCATGAGGGGCGCGGAAATGCCGGTGGGGCTGGCCGCGCCCAGCCCTAGGCTGCTGTTGCTTGCGGCCGCCATACCTGCCATCCCGCGCTGGTCGGCACCGGCCCCAATGATGCCGCCGGAGTAAGTGGGCTCAGCACCGGTGGTGACGAATGTGAAGTTTTGCGCGAGGTACGCCTCGATGTCGGACGCATCCAGCACCCCGCTAAGAGCCGCTGCGGCCACCGTGTCGCTGATCTCCTGGCTCAACCGGCTGCGCGGCGTGTGGCGGCCCCGGCCTGCAAACATATCACACAAAACAAGCAAGCACTCTTCCATTGCACCTCCTTGGGCGTCCACCAAGGAACTAGTAACGGGACTTGTGTGGTACTCCAAATCAGTATTCGCCAGAACTCTCGTCCAAGACAGCACACCTGTTTCGGAAGCTGCTACACGCTTCGTCGATGACGTTCCGCAATCACAGCAGATCTCATCACATCATCGGGAAAGCCCACACGTGCAGAAAAGGCTACTGCCAAAGGTTACTGTAACGCTGTCATCCTTTCTCTCTCTCTCGCACACACACACGCCCCTCCAGAACAATCATGGAACCCCCGTCCATGCACCATCGCAAACTTACTCTCAAAGTGATACAACGCATGCCGGTTGTTGGACGTGACCTGCATCTCGGCGTTCATGCCCAGCTGCTGCTGCTGCAGCTGCAACTCCTCCAGCATCTGATGCCCAGGCGCCGAGTTGCGGGACCGTTTCCCCGTCTAAGGAACGCATGGCACGCCGGCAGGATGCATATGCGCGACAGGACCGCACGGAGAGGAAGCAGGCAGTAGTTTGAGGGTTAGATTGCTGGAGCAAGCAGTCCCCGCCACGCAAAGGCGGATGCACAATCGTCGGTGCACGATCATGAGCAGAGAATTGACGGAACGAGTGAATTGTATGGGTATTACCTTCACAACGCATGCATGATGTGCAGGACAGGCAACCAGACGGCCACATTTCAACATTAGCCGCTTCCTTACCAACTACCATCCAATTATGTCACCTCCGTCCTGCAATATCACAGCTGTTTAAAACCCACACCACTCTGACACCCACCAGGTCAAGGTGCAACTCGACAGAGGACTGCTGCATTCCAGCTGCCTGCATCATAGCAAGCTGCCGCACCGATGCTCCCGCGTCCGCTGACAGCCGCCGGTAACGGGTGGAACGCGCGGGCGGGGGCGGCAAGGTCAGGTCTGGCGGCCCACCAAGGCCGCCCATTCCCCCACCCGCGCCGCCAGCAACCCCCATTAAGCAGCTGCCTCCACCGCCAGGGCTATCAGCGCTGTTATGCGTAAACATTGGTGAGGAGGTCGCTGCCGGGATTGTCAAGAAGGGATCCAAGATGGGTTGAGTTAGTACGGCAGTTAAAGCACCCAGATGGCGACGGGCGGCGCAGACGGCACGGCAGATGATACCCCGAGATGGCAGCGAGGCAGCTTCCCTAACCTAGCAAGCAAGCAGCTCGTCTCCCTTGTATTTATTCCACGACGTCTAATTAACAACACGCACTGTTGGGCTTGACGTTGAGTTGTTATAGCATGTTGCATGTCATGGCCCTTAAGTGAAGGCAGCCCGAACCTCCTGTTCCATGCGAGGTTTTTCTTACCGAAACCAGCCGCCAGCGGCTCGCACGATACCAGGCATCGCGGAGCCCCAGCATGGCCCCACTGTTCAGAACTGGCATAACGACACACACCCATGCTTGAAGCACGTCTGTCCGGTACACGTCTGGAACCAGTTCCGAGACCGCCAGACCCGCACTAAACATGTTGAGTGCAGCCACGGACTGCGCACCTGTGAACTGGAACGGTGCCTGTTGCTGCTGCGACTGCTGCGCCCCCACCGCCTGGAGCTGCTGCTGCTGCTGCATGCCGCTATCCGCGTAACCGCTGGTGGCCTGCTGGAACATGGCCTGAGGTGTGCACTCCGGGGAGCCGGGCCCTTGGTGGTAGCTCACGGCCGAGGACCGGCGGCTCCGGGCCGAGTCCGGATGCATTAGGGGAGTCATTCCCACACTTCCGCGTCGGCCAAGCATCTGCAAGTCCAGCGTTGGAAACTCTTTAATCGCACTGGGGTTCTGATGGGCAAGCCGACTGATCGCTGGACAGCAGAGTGAGCGGCGTCCGACCACCAGTCAGTCACAAGGAGTATCGCGCACACACCGGTACACGGATTCCCACCATCGCAAAGGGCTAAAGGCCATGCGGCACTACCTGGGCGTCAACTGCTTACCCCCTGCTGGTCCCTACCTGAGTGTCCATTCCGTCAGCCATGGAGATGCTGGGGCCAGGCGCTATGCTCATGCTGGGGCCCGCCCCAATCAGGATGGACGTGCCACCGGTACCCGCGTTAGCCATCTCCTGCGGTCACACAGATGACTATTAGATGGACCCGGGAGTCCGAGGAGCAGCCCAACGTAGGGCCCAAAGCGAATGCAGCGAAACGATGCGTTAAGCAAAAGCGTCAAGGCTCCCTATAAAACATATCCGCCAAATCCAGTTTTGTAACGTGAGGCCAGGTGGTTTTTCCGTCCGCTGCAATCCCGCGGCTGCAGTCCCACTGCTCCACCCTCACCACCCGCAGAGCTGATATGCGCTGTGGTACCCTGCCGACTACTACTTCCCGTCAGCAGGCTCCCGGACAGTATTGATACCGTATCCACCACAATGCGCAGCACCCATCCTTGCGGCCACCTGCATTCCCCCTTCTTACCAGCTGCTCCTGCACCATGACCCATCCACGGTGTCCCGGCGTGTGCCACGCACTCTCAGCCAGGCCGCGCCATTGCTTCAGTGTCTCCGCGTCCTGCCCTGTAGGGCCGCTGGAAACCACCAGCCGGCCAGTGGCCGCACGCTGCACGAGACCTATGGGGCACGTAACGGCCGGCATGTCATGTTGTCGCCAGGCTCGAGTAACAGCGCATCATGACAAGGCTGGCGTGAATCGAGCAGTGGCACAGAAACGGCGGCAGAGACGACGGTTCACCTAATTCTGGCTCTCAAGGGATTACGACACCACGTAAACCTAATGAATGGCGTTGCAAAGGTACCATGTCGTGCCTCAGACACATGCGACCAGTAAAATTCCTTCCCTGCCGAGCCCCTAACCAGCATTAGCGTCGAGTCCGTAGTCGCTGGGCTCAGAAACTGAACGTGCTTCAGTCAGACCCTGCTGACTGCTGAGGCCTAATGCGCGGTCCACCTGCTTAACCCCTGCGACGTACCAATTGGTCGGTCCATGTTGACTTGGCCTTGTTTGCATGCGAAGATGACGCCCTGTACCATGTTGTCATCAGTGTACCACAGACGGTGCATCATGTCATCGTACACCACTCGCTCCGCCAGCACCTCCCGCAAGTAGTCCCACTTATGCTTGTGCTTGCCCTTCATGTTGAGCAGCTCGAGCATCTGCCGGCTCCGGAGGAAATCCAGAGAATCAGAGCAGGTGGGGTTTAGGCGACATCGGCGACACTGATATGCCACTTGGAAAAGAGCCCACTGCTGTGCCCAGACATTTATGGTACAGGATACCAGAGCATAAAGCGCGATGTCGCGAACGGACTGGTGAGAACCAGAACAATTATGTGCGATGCGGAGATGAGCAATGACAGCGAGCCCTAATACGACAAAAAAACTCGTACCGAAGCAGATTACTAAGCAGCTGACCGTTGTACATGGCCTGCTGCATGTTAAAACAAGGCGCTAGTCTCGAATAAGGACCTTAGAAGTCACCTAAGCTTGCCGCAAAACACGTGCGCTGTACATGTCGCCACTCACCTTGTTCTCCACTTGCCGGTTCTGGTCCGCATACAGCATTAACTGCTTCAGCTGTTCCACTGCAGTAACGAACAACAACGGGGAATGGGGCACATAACTAAACACGCCTTGTCAGGGACGACACGGCGCCATGTCAATTTTACACTGCGTCCTCTTAATATAGCTCGTTACATTTTTAACGGCGATCCATCTCAGGGTGTAAGACACACACACACACACACATACATACTTCGATAAAGTTGTTCCTGTGCCACCATCGCCATTTCCCTCATCGCATCTCAGACCTTAATAAAACACATAACCCGTACAATCAGCTTTATCTTGTGTTCCAACATTTCCCCGCTCACCCGTCTCAATGGAGCTGTACGGGCAGTCCAGGTGCTGGTGGATCTCCCGCAGGCGCTGTGCGGTAATGCTGCCGATGAATTTGAGCTTCGTGAGCTCGTCTTTGAAGTGCGGGTACTCGGACTTGCGGTAGTCATTCAGTGCACGCTGCGTCTTGACCTATCGTGCAGCCAGCGTCACGGTCCAGGGCACACAGGGGAACATAGGCGACTCAAGACAGCCTCTCTCTGGGCGCACGTTGCGTGGTGCACCACATTCTGGTCCGTCGTGGCACGTGGGTACAACAAGGCCCCAATCGGGCAGCCGGACACCTAAATCTCCAAAGAGGGAAAGAGCTTGAACAGCTTGAACTGCCGTCTACATATTCAGCTGAGCATTCGCGCATGCATGCCCTCGCCCGCAGTGCAGTTAGCAAAATGTGCAGCAGCCCAAATTGTTGGGAGACACACTCGCCCTCAGCACTCACGATAAAGCGGCCCGACACCGCCGGCCGAATGTTCTCCACCAGAGTCAGAACGCCGTAGCCCTCTCGGCGCACGGCACGCGCCGTGAGGCGGAAGGTGCCGAAAGTCTCATTATTGAGGTGGAAGGTGTCGTTCTTGTCCGTCACGCACAAGTCAGGCAGCTTCACCTGCCCTTCATTCATGCGCAGGTAGACACGACCGTCAGACTCGGCCTTCACGCCAGCCTGGTACGCCCCCAGCAAAATGCTTTCCTGTGTGGGCCCGGAGCGGTACGAACCATACTTAGCACAAACAGATCAGGGCAAGTCAGGTCAGCCCAAGTCAGGTCACGCACGGAACGGTGGAAAACGACAAAATTTTTAAACTCCGGAATTACTCTGAAAATGCCCTGAAAGCATTTTCGTGGGAAGCTTAAGCGTTGAGGCTGCGGCTGCGGCCTATGTATGCATCGCGCTCTCCCGTACCCTGTAACTGCGTCGGCCGCGCACATCCCGCCAACGGACACATGGTGCGCAGATTACCCAGGAGTGTATTGCAAGCCGATACCCTGACGAACGGGCACCGTGTACAACGCACGCTTGCAGTGCCCCAGAATGTCGCAACAGTGTCGGCGATGGTCACATGTGCACATGCTATGTACCATCGACGTCATTCTTGCCCGGGAGGTATTTCCATAGCCACAGGCAATCGTCTATTGTGACTTTGTTTCCGGCACGCTAAGGTGAAAGCGTGGAGAGGAGAGGTATGCATGCTCACGAATCCGCTGGCTTATGAATTTTTGTACGCAATACATGTCTGTGACGCCAGGTGGGCCCAACAACAACCCCTAGGCTGGATTTGCGCCGTGTGTCTGTCGAAGCTGGCGGCGAGATGTCCCTGTGGAATTGGCACCCATCAAATCCATTGAACACCATGCCAACGTCTCCATGCCCCTCACATCATCGTTCTTCAGGAGCTCCTTTATGTGGTTGTAATTCCCGGCAGTATTCTCGTTGTACGACTCGCCATCGATTACGGATACCTGCGACACACAGACAGCATGGGCCTCACAAGTGTCTACAAGCGCAGGTATCCCATTAGTCATCCTCGTAACCCAAATCCACATACCGCGATTTCCACCCCCGGCAAAGCCTCCGGGGCACCTGTGCGGAGATTCACCAGCTCCAAATACACGTCTGCCTCGCATTTCGATTTGAGCACCTGCCCGTCGGCATAGCACTCGTCAAAGTTGTCATCTTCACGACATTTCTTGTTCGGATTGTTTTTACAAAGCGGACACTCCTTCCGCATGCATCCGAGGAACCTGCATGATGACGCAATGGCATGCTTTGGCTAACGGGCCGACGCGCACGGACTCCTGCATGCGGAGCTAAACTCGCCGGCATCGATGAGTAAAGCGCAACGCATATGAATCCGTTATTTGCGTCTCTTGTCCTGAACTGCCCAGAAGCTGGAGTGTGCGCGCGTAAGCGAAATCATACGCTTGTTCTGTTACTCCGGGCAGAAGCACGCCAGCAAAGACCCTGCTGAACTGCTTCACCCGAGCCCCAACGTACTCCTGCGTTGCAAGGCATTGTTTAGTTCGGTTGCTAAAAAGATTTGGCCAAAATTGCTTCCAAACGCCCGACCTCAAGGACCGCACGGGAAACCCCCCGCAGCTCATCTCGAAGCGGCACTGTATGCATTTGCGTCTTCGTAGATATGTAAAAGTGCTACATAGCCGTCTTAATAAGCATGCGCAGAAAATGTCATTTCTGTGCCTAACCAGATTTGAGGGCTTTACCCTGTGAACAACGTAACAAATATTCACGTCGCACTATCTTTGTGCTCGCGGGAAGTTGACAATCGATACCCGGCGATACTATGTGCGTACGACGGCAAAAATTGGGTTGTTTTGGCCAGCCCGCCTACTTGGAACATGACTTTTATAAGGGATTTACACCTTAGGGCTCCATTGCAATCTATCTGAAAACCTATCGTTTTGTCGGCGCGATCTTATGTTAGCTTGCCGGCTCGCGACTTCCTCGCAGCGGGCAAGCGGCAGTTCCAGCACTGAGCCCCATGCCGACCAGACGATTCTCCCCACGTATGCGACTTACACGCTTAACTTCTCCTCAGGAGGTCAGAGGCAGCAGTGGATCACGTGCCGCTGACTAGAGCTAGTACACGCCAGCACCGGCTCACCCCAACATTGTTTCCTCTGCAACAAGGGGTCACAACCGAGGACATGCGTGTCATTGACAATAGTTTTGTTGTATGAGTTTTCATGCTTGGTGACAGAGCACCCAAAAGGCAAAATGCTGTCCGATGCCGTACGTGCTGTATGCAGCACTTTCGGCATGACGCTCACGGCTCATTGGCTCCCGTAATTGCATACAATGAGTTTCCCCTAGCTGTGCCACATACACACACACAGAGCCTGTGAACTGCCAGTTACCAGGGTGACCTGCTGTTGGCACTGAAGCTGTATATGTTACGCCTGTGTGGGGGATAGGAGCGCGGTTCAGGCACTTGGCTTGTGGAATACGATGGCAACCATCGTGCATGTTTGTGTGTGAGGTGTGTGTGTGTGTGTGTGAGGGGTGTGTGTGTGTGTTACACCTTGAGTTGCGTTAATCTCTTAAGGTGTAGCGGGCCAATACGAGTCAATATGGGGCCGAAGGGCAGGCCAGTCCGTATGTTGTATCTCGACTGCGCCACACGTGAACCCACTTATTCCATGGACCAAGGGAAGAGGCGGTTGCCTTCCTTATGGTGACGGAGGTAAACAAGTCCCGTACCCTCTGCTGCTGCTAAAGCGGTGGTTGCTACTTCCGCTGACCAGGACCTGTACCCGACCCAGCGCCATTGGTACGCTAACGTGGCCCAGGCGTTTCCCAGGCGCCGCCAAAACACGAGTCCGCAAAGTTGCACGGCATTGCGTGTCCAGCAATCCAGGCCTTAGCTTCATGCTGGTTGGCGGCAGCCTTCTCAAAAGTGAAGGCTCTCCGGCTACATACTTCTCCGGCTCCAGTATATCGATGGGCTGATTCATAATCGGTTTAGAAACCTGGTAGCCCCGACATAATCGCCAGCATCTCCATGATGTTGCCACCGGGTTTCGTGGCGATGTTGACATCCTTAGAGCCAACGCAGCGCGTCTGCCAATTGTCCATAACACGTACATGAGCTTCAGCCCACAGCTACTGGCTTGCACGCGTCACGGCCGTTACTCCTCTCTTGAACGCCATAGGTGGATGGTGACGGCCCCACATAAAAGCTGGATGACCCGCGCCGCACCCCAAGTGGGAGCCAAAACCCCCGGCCATTTTGCGTACTATTTCATTCTCTTAAGCTCGAACCCGACACACTCTTGCAAAGTTTGTCTTTACATTCTCATCGTCTCATTACCTCTGGAGCGCACCCGGCTCTGACCCTCAATCTCAGCCAGACTGCGCGTCGCGGGTCTCAACGTGTGGATAGGAATATATTCATGACTGCTTATTTCCAGGAAGGGTGGGGCAGGGAACGCAAACTTACATGTTTCAAAGCATCCGCTGCGGACCTTCCGCTGCGGTCAAATGCCGCGAAGTACTCACAGTTGGCCCACGGTAATCTTACCTTTTATTACCCCCATCACCACCCATACAACTTCTTTGCCATAACGGCATTCCAGTCGGCTTACGGACAGCATGATATGACAAGTACTATGCCGGCCACTGCCCTAGTCGATAAGACAAGTAACGTATGTACGTCAGGAACGAGATACGGTTTATGTCACATGATTAAGACAACCTCCCTAAGCCACGACGAAGGCTTGCAAAGTGCAGCAGACAAGCTTGACACTTGTCACAGATACACGCGTCACAGATACCGGCGTGCCAAGCCGACAGGTAGCCCCTGCCTACAACAAGACACGGTTTGGTTTAAGTCTACAACGATAACCCTCCGAAGACCCTCCCAAGGTATTCGCACAGACCTGAGGCCTAGCCTTGTAACGCTCAAACCTGCCCCTTAAACTTCCGCACTACACTTACATGGATTAACCTGGCTGCCTGCGGTGATGGCCCAAAGCCCTCACGGGTGAGCACGTCCGCGCCACTGTCAAATAGCAATCATACGAGGCCGGGGTTCCCCACAGGCTGACCAACAACAGTGCCGGATTCTTCTAGCCCAGGCGCGTATGCGCCAGCGCCCAGCACGCTCTCAGTGGCCAAAAGAGGGGTTCAACAGAACTCCAGTTTGGTCTCATCTTCACAATGGAGTTCCACAGTGGCAACCCCACGTCCCCCCAGAGAACTGGACACCGGGGTTCTCGCGAGGCCTTGCTAACGACAACACCAGGCGGCAGGACAGCCCCGTCACCGAAAGTCTACGGCGCCTGTAGCTGGACTGGACATGCGACAGTGGTTTTTGGGCGAGGCCCCGGGCGCGAAGCGCCATTCGGGGGGCCGAGCCCCCCGGGTTCACTGCTTGTCAGCCAGTCAGTCAGTCAGTGGCTTACATATCTCGCCCCGCAAAAAATAGCGTTTGAATGCTATATCCATTCTATATCGAAATGCCAAAGGAGACCTTCCAGATAAATCGGAGCGCGACAAAGATAGCTTTCCTGTAAGTGGCTGCACCGGGGCCGAGCCCCTTTTCGGCTTTGAAACGCCGCCCCCCTAGCCCGCCCCGGGGTTAACATATCTCGCTCCTTAATGTCCCTCTCCTCTCCAAACCTCACACTTGACCAACTGGATGACTAACCAGCCAACTCCCCGTCTTCACTACCAAGCTCTCAAGCAGGTCCCCCGTGTCCATGTCCGAAAGCCGAGCTGTTAGAGGCACCCCTTCCCAATGTGTGACCCTCCTACTCCGAGCTCCACGAAGCAGTAACAGTGGAGTGGAGGGTGGAGGCCTTACGTGGATAGCACATCACCGCCTGTAAGGTATGACGAAATCAAACGCCTTGCCCGGCTTCCCACATTCGTATGCGCAGTTCCGTGTGCAGCTACGCGCCATGCGGGCCTTATCACTGGCCAGCAGCGCAAAGCCGCTCTCCTGGGTCACCTGCTGCCCGTAGCTGTCCAGCGCCTCAGTGCAGGCGGCCTCACACGCTGATCGACACGTCTCTTTGAGATCCTGTCCCTCTGACTTCCTGCTCGTGGACAAGCAGGGAGGGCGGAGGAGCGGTTGCAGAGGCCACTTGGCAGGCGCGTTGGGGCACGTTGGGTGCGCACACAACCGAACTTTTGCCTGCTGGGCGATTTTCATGTGGCTCAGGTACTCGGTTAAAAACGGCACTTAGCTGAGCGTTATTCCCGCGTAGCAGATCCCGATGCTGAAAACCCTTCTAGGTGCTTTTGGTGTATTATTGCGGAGCCTGCCGTTGATTTAAATCTGACCACATGTGCGCGTCAGCCATTGCTGCTAGACTCAGCGTACGTTTTGGTGCAAAAGCAGTGCTTACCGCGTGAGGAACGTACGAAGGCGGCGAATTTGCGGTGTTGGGCATCGCGGCCCCAGCCATGCTCAGTACCCCCAACCCCCCCAAGGCTCCACACTCACCTACATATCCGATTCTTGGCATACAGGGCCTGCAAAGCAAATCATGTGTGTCCCAGGGGCCGGGAGTCGGTGGAAAGTGGGCTCAATGGCGTCATGCACGCTTACATGACTACCAGGACCCAGCTCAAGCGAGAATCCTGAACTTAGCTTCGAGCGAGCCTTTGCCCATGCACCCCACGGCCCAGAGGATGCCGAAGGACCCCTTATCCAGGGGCATGAGCTAAAAGTCCCATAGTCCAGCTGTGGCTTGTACACGACCCATATTGCATTAGTGTCCAAACGCGCTTGCAACCGGGGGTGAGAACTCAGGACCGTCATAAGGACTTCCCGGTACCCGTCCCTTCCCACCTTGTCCCCCGTTGGTAGCCCCTGGAACTGAGGAGTCTCTTGGGTCACCTCCACCGGCCCCACGCAGGCGTCCACCGTGAAGCCCTTTTTCCGGGAGATAATCTTCTCTCCCTGGAGCTGTTCAATCAGGTACTTCTTCTGCAGCCAAGGAAGTGGATAGCTATCCTTGGCGCGGTGGATTCCAGAAACGGAGAACCGCTGGAATGATTTGGTTGAGCTTATGAGCGTGGTCCCCAATGCCGGGCCTCCCGCTGACCCAGTAGTATCGCAAGTAATAACATTATAAATTTTCACCTACAAAGCTTGTTCCATAGAGAGTGAAGGGTGTGATCGGGTCCCGCTCCTCAGGAACATCGTCCCCACCGCCGAAAAAACCGGCACTCAGGTCGGCCAGCGGGTTTCGTGGAGAGACCGATGTCGCTACTCCACATGCCTGACGGGGGCCCGAAGAGGGCATCAGACCGAAGTTATCTCCTATCTACGCAGCTACTCGTTGCAGTTGACTCGCCTGGCGCTGCACAACCTCGGCGGTTGGATGTTTACTTGCATCAATCGGGTCGCCAAATGCGTGTGCATATGGGGTAATCGAGAGAACTGCAACTGCAATTATTGCAGTCGAAGCATCTGCTAGTTGCTTTACTGGCCTCCAGCTGCCTTGGTCGATAGGATGCAACGCAAACGGGATACGCCCTGAGGATGAGAAAGACCGCGCGCGCTTTCCATGCGCCGCGACCGATGAGGAGTGGCTTTTGTGTGGCAGCATTGCGTGACTCGCTGTTCGTTCGTGGACGGCAATGGTTGCAGTAATGCCTTCAAACCAAACGGCCGTGCATCGCCGTACAGGCTTTTACCTATAAAATTGCATATACACAGGAAAAGGATGTGAAGATAACGTGTTTTCGATGTCTCAATGCTTGAATTGTCCATAACGAATTCCGGCTTGACTACGCCGGCATACGTTTCAGGACGCTATGGCTAAAGATACAAAGTCTGCACAACCGGCGAAAGCAGCGAAAGCGGCTAAGCCTTTTCTCAAGTCTGGCACCAAGCGGAAAGGTGAAGGCCAATCGTCGGCAGCGCCGCCTGCGAAGCGTGCACGGGACGAAAATGGTAAAAGTCCCGATGGCGAAAGGCAGAAGAAACTTCACACGTAAGTTAATTTCGAGACTGGTTGCGGTGTCGCATGCTTTCGACCACGATGCCGTGCTGTCTTACAGGAAGGACAAGCGAGCCGTCATTCGTGAGAAGAAGCTCCAACACAAGAAGAACTGGAATGTAATCCAGGTACGGGCTTTGGCCGCCAGTCTTGCCCCCAGGTCCGCCGCCTTCTGCGGCTGGACAAGTTGTTCCCGGATCCCTGGAGCTGCAGAGGAATCCACTTTTGCCTTGGGTTTTATACGTCCCTTGTACCGATAGCCGTCAAATGCCCTAGTCGTGCGTCATGCGTACCGAGCCTATCTATACGCTGCAGTGCGCGGATGCACGCTGCAGTGCGCGGTGTGGATCACCTTGGTTATTATGCACTTACAGCCCAGGGCTTTTCGGAAGATCCGTTGTGGTGCATTTTTGGCTCGACACAACAAAACCATGATGCGACTGTGTTGTCGGCACCCTTCAGGACTCGGTGTACTTATGGGAGAAGCTACGTCCAAAGGATACGTCGGATATCGAACGCAGGGAGCTGGTGTCGAACATTTTGAAGAAGGTGCGTGTTGGTTTCGAGGATGTTGCTGGTTCCTGTCCTTAAGGGGGTTAAGATTGCCAGTTAGTCATACCAATTGTTCGGTGACACGTATTTTCTGACCTTGCAACAGGTGAAGGGCAAGCTATTGGAGCTATCCAACCACCACACCGCCAGCCGTGTCATCCAGTTTTGCGTCAAGTACGGTGGTGACGTTGAGCGTCGTACGGTTATGGACGAAGTGCGTGCCAACGTGGTGGAGCTCTCAAAGAGCAAGTACGGTCACTTCCTTGTTCGCAAGCTGATCAACACGGCAAAGAAGGACGAGGTGCCTGGTGAGTGGAGAGGCGGAAGGGTTTTTAAGCCCCAGGCGGCGCGGGCTAGGTGACGCCCAAGTTTGATAACACTCGCAATCGCACGCAGAAGATGTGGCGAGGATTAAGCGTATGCCCAGCAAACCGTTGGTCTGAACGCCCCGAGCGCATAACGCAGGTCGTGAAAACCACAGCGGTGTCTAATACCGTGCCGTTGTGGTTCATGAACTTGCGGACATAAAGGGCCTGGAGTGCCCGAGCTGTGTCACACTGACGGATGTCTCGGTGGTCCGTACGGTCCTCTTTATGCTCGACATAGACTTCCATAATTCACGACGGGCAGACATTGTTTTGCTTAACTGGCGGTTCGCAACTATACCACAGTCATGGATGACGTACCATGCAGACAGCTGATATGTTAAAGTCAACGCAGGACATGTGTCACGTGCGTTTCTCGTCCGGAAATATCGCATGTTTAAGCCGACAAACTTCAACATCCATCACAGGTCTCGTCCGGTTATTCCGAGGTCACGTCGCCCAACTTCTGCGTCAGCCTTACGGTGCCGACGTGATTACCGATCTATACGACGTGGCGAGTACGGCGGACCGTAATGCTCTATGTTCAGAGTTTTACGGCAAGGAGTTCGTGTTGTTCGATGGCATCTCGGGCGAGGCGGGCCGCTTGTATAGCCTAAAGCAGCTCATGACGAACTCTCCGGCGGCGAAGCAGCGCGCCATCATCCAGCACATGACAAAGGCGCTTACTCCTATTGTGGAAAAGGCGCTCTTGGATCCTCCAATCACGCACAGGTAGGCAAACTGGATTTGTTATACTATCACGTCGGCATCTATCGATGTCACAACAGCCCTGCATATGTACGAACTTGGGTACAATGGGCCTGCAGTGTACTGGTATGTCACTACTGCAGGATTTGGGTATCATTGACGCATATGGTCTTGTCTATGTGGGTTGCATGGCAAATGTTCTTCTGCGCGCAGCTCTCTGTGATGACAACTTTGTGTCCCAACAGTCTGAGGGGACTTTGGTCGGTACCCAATTCTGCTGAACTCCGAATATCATCTTTCGGGGCTGAGAGACTGCTGCTCGCGTTCGCATATCTCACGCTATCATATTAACTACATTTAAAACCTCTTGAAGAGGTTTTGGATTCGGTGATGACAACTTTGTGTCCCAACAGTCTGAGGGGACTTTGGTCGGTACCCAATTCTGCTGAACTCCGAATATCATCTTTCGGGACTGAGAATCCAAATTTTTAAAGTGGACCGCACCTCATGGCCACTCCCAAATGCATTCTTTGAGCTTCGTCTCGTCTCTTTCCCGCGTTAGCGCTCGTGGCTTAGCCTTTGCCTCTTGCACTCGATGTTCAATGATGACAACTTTGTGTCCCAACAGTCTGAGGGGACTTTGGTCGGTACCCAATTCTGCTGAACTCCGAATATCATCTTTCGGGGCTGAGAACATCGGCGTAAAAGAAGAAGCTTTGCACCAGAATTGTCAAGTCCGTTGCCTGAATCCTTAGTAGCCTATGGTTATCGTATTACGTGCGCAAGCTGCAGAATCGATGTGTTTCGTTTAGCACGCCGCGCATGCTTGGGCGCTTGCCTTTGAGTTTCTCCACTTTTGCTTGTATGACTCATCGGGCACCTTGCTGTTTGTGTATATACCAGGCTGGTGAAGGAGTACCTGGAGTGTGCTACGGGGCTGTCGGTAGAGGAGGCGGTGGAGACCCTTTCACAAACCGGCGAGGCAGTTCTGCGTATGGTGCATACCCACGAGGGTGCGGCGGCAGCGTGCATGGTACTTGCATACGGCATGCCCCGTGATCGGAAGCGCGTGGTTCGCGCCATGAAAGGTCATGTGGCGGCGATGGCGGCAGACGAGTGGGGCCATACGGTGCTGTGTATGGCGCTGGCGTGCGTGGATGATACTTCACTTACAAGCAAAGTCGTTGTTTCGGAGCTCAAGGTAGGAGGGAAGCCAAAGTTGGAGGGTGACCTCTCGTATGCGGTTGGCTGCGTGGCAATCTACAGGTGGGGGGAAGCCGTCAAGGTGGGGATTCTCATTGATGACATCCTATGTCGACGGGCGGTCTGATTGCCTGATGAATGTCGACACGGAGCGCTCACAAGGCGTGTCTGAGAGAATAAGCTACTTTCCCATGAATGTATTCAGTGGCGTTGGTTCGAACTAACATAGCAATCCTTTATTGAGCATACTAAACAGCACTTCAGTACCAGAGACGCACTTCAGTGCCAGGCGGAGGCGTGGGAAGTATACAGTAACGTCCGGTTGCAGTTGCAGGAAGTGGCCATGGTCGTTGATGAAACCATTTGTCGACGGGCGGTCTGACCCTCTTGATGAATGTCGACATAGAGCGCTCTCAAGGGCGTGTCTGAGACCTGGGCGTGATAGTGCTGTCCCCATGCATGTGCTAACATCTGCGTGGAGGCCGCGTGTATGTTGTAAACATTTGTCGTCCGACATAGTCTAACACAACTCTTCACCTTGACATGTGCTGTTGCTGCCACAGGAGTTGCTGCAAGAGGGCGTGCATCAGCCTAATGCCGTGCGGGTGCTGCATCAGCTGCTTTCACCAGACTGCCGCCGGCATTTTCCGCCTGCCATTTACGAGATGCTTCATCCACCCCAACGTGTAGTCAGGGGCTCCACTGGCAAATCCGTTACGGATTTGGAGGGCGAGGAGGTGAGCAACTGACGTGGGCTGACTGTTCTGCTATGGTTTTGGCCTCCCATGTCCTATCTTGCCGCGATGGGAGGTGTAGGATCTCAGGATGGTCCTCTGCCCCCAAACATCAGTTGATGGTGCGTTTCTGAGGTGTGGTGCGTTGCTGTTTTGTGTACGACAGGACGAGGAAATGGACTTCGGTGGGGCCGTACCCGAAGATGACGCGGACGAGGACGGTGGCGAGCTCTTCTCAAAGGAGGCTAAAGGGAAAAGTTCAAACAAGCCGAAAGCGCGTGGCAAGGTCTTAGCTACCGGTGCTGACGAGGACATGGAGGATCCGGCGGACAAGACTGGTGAGTGCATAATGATGATATCCAAGAAGCTGCTGGATTTTTCCACAAAAGTCCCCAGTAGAGGCCAACGACCAGGCCACGACACCATTGTGACATTTATAGCTGTCTTGTGGCAGCGCATGCTTTCTGTTTGCTCGTGTGACACCTGGTTGCCCGGTGCACACAGGAAATGGTGGTACCGCCGAGGTCGAGGGGGTTCCCAACGAGACCGACGATGCTGCAGCTGAACGAGTGTTGGGTGCCAGCAAGAAGGACCCCCGGTTACGTCGCCGGGAACTGCTGGGAAGTGGACCTAAGAGCCTGTCCGTCAAGCTGACACAGGTAGTGGCGGCAGAGGCGCCGGCACTGTTGCGATCGCCACACAGTTGCGAGCTGGTAGTCGAGGTGGCGAGAGGCGGGGAATCAGGTGGGCGAGGAACCGGCTTGACTTCCAAGCCGTAGATGCTGTGGATCGCGTGGGACCCTGACCTGACTGTCGCCATGGTATTTAAGATGGCTGTATGTCCCATGCAAGTCGGTGTGCTGACTGTTTAACATCGTTTATGACCACCAACATACAGGTCTGCTGTTCGAGCTGGAACCTGATGGGGTGCGTTCCGTTCACGCGGCCATTATAGAGGATGCGGCAAGGTCCCCCGAGGATGTAGCAGCGGAGGCTGGTGTTGAAGAGGACGCCCCGGAAGCGCCGTCAACATCTGGGCGTGAACACGTGTTGCTATCTTACTATTCGAGTCGCGCTCTGCGACGATTGCTGCTGCTGGCAGCGGACGAGCAGCCTGCCGGTGCTGCCGGTGCCTTCGCATCCGAGATATGGGCCAATGCCCTCAAGGGGCGTTGCAAGCAGTGGGTCGGAACGCATGCTGAGAAGGTCCTGGTGGCACTATTGCAATGTGGAGTGCAACCTGTTGTGACAGCAGCGACAAAGGAGCTGAAACCGCTGGTAAAGCAGCCACTCGAGGAGTGGGCTGGCAGGTTCCTGGGCCAGAAGGGCAAGGAAGGCGACAAGCAAGTGGAGTCTCGGTTGGAGCAAGGGGCAGAGCAGGCGACCCAGGGGAAGGTTGAGGGACGGAATGGGAAGTCGGATGGAAAGCAGTCTGGGGCAGCGGAGGCGGGGAAACAGCGAGGGGGCCTGAAGGAACCGAAGATGAAGTCCGGTGGTAAGGACAAGCGTGTTGGTGCGGGGCTAGACAAGGGAAAGGTTATAAAGGTGAAACGGTAATTACGAGAGCAGGCAGGTGTAACTAATTTGCAGGTAAGTAAGTGCCGAATTAGGCACATCGCACTTCAAAAACTTATCCTGGAATAATAGATGGAATTCATCCGACTCGGTTGACGAGACGTGGTCTCAACATGGAAAAACGGCGGACAAAAGGCGATAGGGTTAAGAACTGACAATGTCATGCACCCCGCTGCCAACACGATCATTTTACCGGCAAAAGCACATGGGCGGTTACTGTTAGGGTTTGGTTGTACGTGCTATGTGAACGGAACTGTGGTCAGTGCAGTATGGTTTATGATGTGACTTGGGTGGTGCAGTGACACGTAAGGAGCGTGTACATATCTACAAACTAATGTAAATGTTGGGCTAGACGTGTCCTGACCCATCCAGGTATGCAATATGCGGCTTGCCGCGTACGTGGTGAAACATTCCATTCACCGGCTTGAGGCATTCAGCTGTTTGTGTTCGATAGTTAAGGTGTAGAAGTTTTAGCGCCAAATGACTCTGGTTTCGAAATCTGTTCTTCTGCCAGCTGCTTCAGGAGGTACTGTGCCAGTATGGCACACGCCAGGTCTTCTTATCCAACACTAATGTCAGCCACCATACATGTACATGTCGCCTTTGGGCGGGGCCTCAGGATTCGTGGGGCTCCTGCTCCTGCTCCGTAACGACAAAACATATCGCACACAGCAATATATCTCGCCAAACTGTTCAGCATTAATGGTAGCCTTCGTCATCCTCTTTACAATAAAGACTTTTTCTTTTGGCGGAAAAAAATCGTTTGCGTTTGACCAAATATCACGGGCTCCATGGAACAACCTAGAACAACACAACACGTTTCGTGCTGGTTGGGCATGCCGTGACCATGTTCCCGCAACCACTGTACCGAGCTAAGGACCCTTTTGGTTTTGCAAAGGATGAACGTTTAATTGAGCTGTGCTTTCATGCAACAAATAGCCAAGAATCAGGAAGTTTGAGGAGGCGCACTCAACTGCAATGCTGCTGTCTGCTGTGCGGCGGCCAGTTACGTCAGCCGGCATGTGAGGTAAAATGACAGCAGTAATATCCGCTCCTTTTCGCGATGGGCTCTCCCTTTTTCTCCTCCTTCCCTCTCGTGCGGGGAAGGGTTAGGGGGGCCGGGGTTGGGTTGAAGCGACCAGCAGCAATTCTCGTTCGTGCAGCTAATCAACCGGCCTGTAGGGATTGAGGGAGACCGCCCTTTTTCCGCTTCGAGGAAGCCAACAACCCACTTGTCCTTTGCGCACTTTGTGATACCAATTGCTTCGGACAGCCATCCACTAGCCGATGGGGCCCCGGATCATTTAATCCGTTACACTTTTGGTGTAACGCACAAGGGTAACACATTATTAGAGTCTGGAAAGCAGTTGCGTAATCACTAACCTGGTCAGTTTAGTTAACAATCATTGCATGACACATTGAAGGTTTCTACGGGTTGAAAACGTGCCAGATCGCATTATAATCGATGCGCAAGGCTGCTATCTCCTAAGAGGGCAACCGGTGTACATATCCAAGATCCAGTCTGCATCCTGCCGAATGCATCGAGCTACCGCCCGCAAGCTACACCCCGTCTCGTCGCCAAACAGCCGCATCCCAGAGACCTCTCTTGACCAGATGCCTCACAACTCGTCCTCGGCGCGAAGGAACTCGCCTGCGGATGGATACGCGACACCGACAACATTGCAGCGTCATTAACCTCAGGGGCAAGCTTAGCACCTACGAACTGGCGAGGAATGCCCTCTTGATGTGTGCCGTCCTAACAAACCACCGCTAGCCCCTGACCCTTTCTGAACTAAAATGCAGGCGTAGCACTCATCCATGGACAGGAATGACTAGGACAGAAGGTTGGACGCTGATGCTCTGCCCTGCCCACTTGCGACTATCAGAATGCAGGTGCTAGCTAGCACTAAACCAGCGCCCATCCACGGCCTACACATTACAGGCCTAAACTAGCTGAGTGAGCCATTCACCTATCGAACCAGCCCAGTCCATACGAAACCAGGTTCCCTCCTCACCGCAGTCAGCCTGGTGGAAAGCCACCACCGAGTTCGGATCTAGGTTGCGACACTCGTTGGTGGACTTGGCCGTGACACCAAAGCCCAGAGGAATGTCGGCCATGTTATAGATTACCACACCCGTGTAGGTGGGCGTGTTCTCTGTGATGCGGGCCAGGCCGCTCTTCAGGACATTGTTCCCGTACAAGAACTGCATCTCAGCGGATGGCTTCACCCAGATCTGTGGGCAGGGAGCGAATGGCGTAGTGAATTGCCACAGTATCAGGAGTGTCAAGCTGGCCACATCAGCATCGGATGTGTAAACATGAAACAGCACAGACGGCGGCCCCATTCCAAGTCGACAGAGGGCATTGCGCGACTCGTCGCTTCCATGGCCGCAGTGTTACATAGCCAGGCTGCATTTCCGATGTACGCTGGATGTCCCATAATCGGATTTGATGCCTCAGACAGTGGAAACAAGTGCGAACTGCATTGGACAACATCTGCGCTAAGCGGTAACCCACCTTGTATTTGGCATATTGTGAAATGATGTCGAGCGCCCCAATGGTCAGGCGGAATTTCCCTGTGTGCGTCAGCTTCCCTACGCATGTCCCGAGGGCGATGAGCTTGTCCCGAGCTACCTGTGTACGACGTGTGTATGAACGAATGTCAGCGAGCGTGCTCCCATGATCAATTGATAGATATCCCGTATCGGCATACACTGCACTATGCTCCAAAGCTCTGGGTATTGAGCCTTTCCGGTAGCCCCACAAAAGTGGATTCTGACGGCAAGGCCAAGCTACACCCGCCTGATAGTCCCCTATCCGTACTTACATTTGTGGCCTTTTTCATGAGTTTTTCCTTGACGTAGTAAATCCTGCTTTTGTGCAATCGAAAACAGTACGGCTCGTTGGGGCGGTCGATTAAATTTTTGATGTTCTTTCCAATAAATTTATAAAGCTTCTCGAACACTGCTTTTGTCTCCTGCAAGTATTGTACTCAAGCAACGTAAAGTGAGTACTGGGGAAGCCATGGGCCCATGGTCCCAACTGCCGGCGGCGTCTCCAACACCACTAGCTGCTACGTGGCCCGCACATTCCCACCTCTTCCGTTAGCGGTCGCATCGTAAATTTTGACTTAAGGTTGAACTGACTGCACAGCGTGGAAGGCCCCTACAAGATGATGAATTACAATCTATGCAATAATTGCTCCAAAGTGTTCACGTGCTGGTAAAAGTTAATTGAAGGCAAGGGGTCAAGAACTGGCGAACACCGTGTACGAGCCCAGAGTACGGATTGTCAAATAATGGAAAAGACATGTGCACCGGAAAGGTATCATAAAACCTTGCTAATAGACCGCTGTTTAAAACGTGAACCCTGATGCTACTTACATTTAGAAGGGCGCTTACTCTTGACTGAGGTTCAACTCCACGGAAATGACTGCACTGCTTCCACCTGTACAATATCACATCGAAACGGATGCAGAACTTGAATCCAAGCTGGCTAGCAAGGGATTGAAAGGTTGGCAAGCATGTCAGCATGGCCCATCGAAGGTTCGCATAACAATCGGCTTACGAATATCCTCATCATGGCAGTTGTGGAGATCTTCTCTGAGTGGTGCGGGCCATGCAAAAGTGTTTTGCCTACCTTCCGTCGCATTCGGCTCGACAGAGACGATGAGAACGCGCTGCTGTTCCTTACGGTACGCTGTCTTCAGGAATAAGCACTTTCTGCACCTTGCAGATATCACATTGGCTCCCCTTTTCTAGGTCTGCGCGGAGAAATGCAATTTCCTCGAGGCGGCCAAGGAGCACCGGGGGAAATCTGAACCCCTGTTCTTACTATACCGGGTAGGACCTTGCACAGTCAGAGTTTGTAACTTTTCGCCATACTTGAATCGAGGGTTGGATAGTAGCGGAGGGAGAGTGGGTGCACCCTCTTCCAGATATTTTACGTGTGGAGGAAGAGGTGTATCATAGGGTCACGTCACGCTTCCTGGGTTAGGTTGGCTATGCCACCTAAATCCCCGGTGGCCGCTCACCCACGGGTGTAACTCTGGCCCCGCCCTTCCGTATGTAAATCCTTGACAATCGCAATTGCTATGGTTCGAATGCTGCTATGAGACGTAGTGAGTTGCCGTGTGGTTGCACCCCTCTCCCGCGTGCCGGCTCCCACGGTTGATGACCTTCACAGAATGGGCAACTGAAAGCAAAAATTGAAGGGGCAAACACACCTGCCCTAAACCAGCAAGTGTTAACACTCACACCGGCAAACGCGGACGTGGATGACCTCGAGGTAAGGGCGAAGAGGGTTTCCCCTGGCTTTTACCATGTTGCGACTGAATGCAGCCCCGATGGTAGGCGGCAAGGCGTCTGTGGTAAGCCTAGGAGCAACTCTTCTGGGGGGCATACACAGATGCCGTTCGTTGTGTTCACGGTCCCTTCAAGGGCCTGAACACAAATTGTTGGGGACATTATGCACACATGGCTTGCCAGGTATCCCTTAGACGAGCCCAATCTTACAAGGCGTTGTTCTATTGCAGGAAAAAAAGTCGTCCTGACAGTTGTGCACCTTTTACCATCTGCTGCTGCCCCTCAGGAGAACCCAATATACCTTGCAAAGATGGAACGGGAGCGTATTGCACGCGGCGAAACGGTGAAAGACTCTAAGGGCGGCAAGAAGGGCAAGAAATGAGAGCGAGTGTTGACAGCGCGTGAAGCTGCGTTGTGCTTACGTCACTTGTTAGGGGCACGGGGTTTGACCGACCGGACACATGACTAATACGTACGCTTCAATGTAGCGATGCAAGGCTTGCACTTAGGAGTTGCGGGCTGGCATTACCCTGAGCTAGGTGCCTTCGCAAGAGGCACGACAAGGTCATTGAGACCTTGCGTTAACTTTTCTGATTCAGATTTTTCGGCTGTGATTAATAACCCAGTATCACGACTATCCCGTAGATTATTTCCTTGTTGCATGGTATATGAATACCGGGCCGTATCTGATCGTGCTGGATGTGTTTAAGCACGGGACGAGGAAAAGCCGAACGCCAGGGCCCAGGCGCCACGTTCCCAGCCGATCACAGGCGCGGTGCTGCTGCATTATAAGCCGATGCACCCGAACTCTGTCAGACCGATGTGGATGTTGGATCTGCGTTGTGTTTGCCCCCTGGAGCGCGGGCTGGCTCTGCGCGCATCCTTCCGGTCTTAATGTCAGTTGAATCGTACTTGTTTCTTAACCAGGCAAAAGCTGAACCTAGTTTCGCTGTAAAGCGCTTGCTACTCTAACACGCACGCACTGCAAAGGACATGATACCCGCAAGGATGAGAAGATTGCCAGCTGCACTAGGTGGAACTAGGATCATCGTGTGAAAAGGTACTGCTTGAGGCACCAACGACAATGGGACCAGGATGATGGCCTCCCCGCCCCAAAGCGAAGCCAGCTAATGCTGCCCTCCCAACAAGCCAGAGGACAGGAGTAATATCTATAGGATAGTACCGCATTGGAGACCAGATGGCCTCATGGTACAAAAAACGCCTGTGCCAGCAAGGCATATACGTTGTGGCGTTTCGAGCCACGGCGCACACGTTACGCAACTAGATCCGGAAATTGCCCTAGTGCGCCCTAGACGTCGCCGCAACGGCAGGTGGCTTGCCTCAGTGGGGTTTTAAATGTATGGGACCAAGGATGGAAATCAAAAAGCTTATGGAGAGGCTCGGCTTCAGGAGATCGATGTCCTTGATTACCCTGTATGCTGCCACCTGCATGAATATAAGATACATATCATGCAAAATGATTACGTAACCATTTTTAAGAGCTATCACGGGATTTCCTTTCTCTCCAATGTCTTGAGTTCTACTGCTGTACCTTAACTTCTCTGGATAAGGGAATTTCTGGCTTGGAAAGGTACTCACAGTCTCTTGGGTGTTCCTGGTTATTGTACGGCAATGCTAACGGAAAGCTGCCCAGCAAAACGCCATCAACGACACAAATTGCTGTCCTCAGAAGTTCGATTGACATATAAATAAAATATTAGCTCAAAATAAAACCAGCATTTATTGAAAATAAGCATTGGTCATCGGACTGACTTGCAAATGTGTTTTACCTTGCTATAGGGGAAGCGTTTGCAACCAATTTACACACAGGCATTATACACCAAGCAATTCAGCTATATTCCTGCCTAATATATCCTTTGGATCGGAAGAAAGCTTACATCACATCCTCGTGACTGTCCGCATTCCAGCCGCGTCCATTCAGCCATTCGACAAGCCTAAACTTGGTTGAATTCAACACGACTGATTCCTTGAAAGGTGTGATGCATACTTTTGGTGCTCATCACTCACCTTCCGGGCGACTTGCTGTCCACCTCTTACGTAAGTGGTGGCTTTTCCCATCCCTTTCCGCCACAGGTTCTCCCAAGAAGATGGGTCAGCCCAAAGAAGAGCGAGAGATTCAACCGTTATACATGGAACTACGCCGTAGGCCGCTGAGGCGGCAACTGCCGGCACCGCAAGGGCACAAGGGTGCGTGAGTCTGCCTGCATATCCCTACCATAGCTTTCGCAACATGCAGAAGCTCTTTGCCACGACAAGATAAGATATTAATGCAGGCAAGCCTGTTCGAAAAGGAGTGGGCGTACCTCCGGCCGATTCGAAGGAATGGACGTATCACCCTGCCAAAGTGTTCGTGCCAGGCAGGAGCTTTGTGTCGACCATGTAAGTGCCTCAGTTAAGCATTTCACGACTTAAAAGCACGTTTACGAAGGTCATACTCTGCCTGCCCACATGAACTTCAAGTCGAACGTACCTTGCAAATCTATCCGTTCGGATCTTCTGTAATAGAGTCTCGAGGTACCGCCTTGGCACACATATACGTTCCAGCATCCTTGCCAGACGTTCAGGTTCCCACTTCATAGCGTCCTTCATATGCTCAAAACGTGGGAAATCCATATCAGATCTGATTTCGCCGTACACCGGACAGTACAGCAAGGCGCGCCTCTCATCGCCAGTTCTGTGCGGTGTACCATTTTCATCTTCAGGAGGCCAATTATACAACAATGCCCAACGACCGAGGTGGCGCCGCTGCACACATCGCTGCGGATGCATAACCGCTCCCATGTGTCTCATCTGTACGGAGGCGGCGTTTCTGTTGCGGCTGAGGTAAGTTTGGTAATCAATCTACCCGACTGTTGGACTCTCTTCCGGTTGGATGGAGGCAACCACCATGCCAATCTTGGCATGCAGGACTCGGATTACAGGCCCACAAGGCGGCTGGGTGGCGCCGGACCCCAAACCGGTCGCGTGTTAAATTTGCAAACGGATGAAGCGGAATCGTCGGTGCCGCCCGATTGCGGGCTTTTGACTACAGCACTCCGAGGTATGTACGGTGCGGCAATCGTTTTACAGATTTTCATCTTCAGGCTGTTTCCTTTCGCACGCCATCGTATTTGATGCTAATCATTTAGTTGAATACTGCCGTATGCCATGTCCGCGGGCGCAGATGTGTTGAGAACATCAAGGCCGACGTCCGCACCTTCGTGTTTGCACGTCGTGAAGAAGGGGTTGACCGCAGAGTACAAGAAAGCCCGTGGCGCGCACGAGGATGCAGCACACGGTGGACAGTTCAGTGGCACTTCCCAGCAGGTACGCAACAAGTTTCAAGGATGCATTTTTAAGGCTGCATTGGAACACCACATGGCTCTTAACTAGGCCATGGTGTGTTATCATATGAACATCTTCAAGGTATGTCTAGGTGCCTGCAAAAATACCAATGTACAAAGGGCTGGCAGAAGGCCTGGCTTCTGTCAAGGCCTAACTTCTGTTCCCGGAAAGACCTGGGTTCAAATTCACCTGCCAATGTCATGGGTGTTTTAGTGGTGTTGAAGTGGGAGATGGCCCCCCATGTAGTGGACGGTATGGGATGTGATTATATCAACGCTGTTTCTCCGCTAGATTTGGTTGGACGCTGGTGTGAGTTGCTGAACCCAACGAATACATTCTGAAATCGGATGGGGTGAATGGATTAGAGGGTGCCGCTCTCGCAGGGGAGAGCAGGGACTGCCTCGGGAAAGCTTAACCACACCGTAACAACATCGTACAAATTCCCTGATCGTTGTTTTCTCATGTCGTACGGCCACAGGCAACTGCGAAGCGTCCCGGTACCGCGCAGCCGGCGTGCTTTGGCGAGGTCCTGGTGCAACAAAACAGCTTCGTCGACCGCCAGATCTGCTATCATATGAACAAGGTCCGGAATCAGATGTCGGACATTATGTGACTCCGAGGTCTCCAGCTGCAGCAATAATGTTCCCTGTGACATACGGCCTTCTTATATATAGCTTGTATAACCTTCTTGTGCATAGCACCACAACAGCTACCAACGCAAGGATGAGTTCCAGGGATGGGATATTGGGCCGGGCGGTTATTCTGTTAATTGTCAGGGTGCTGTGATGAACGTCAACGTAGTTCTCTTCTAAGATAATGTCATTCTTTTCATTCTTTTTGAGGTAACTAGCCAGCGACGTGGCCTTTGCAGTGATGGATTGAAACTATTTGCGCACAGGACTTTTAATTGGACTTTGTATAGTCGACTCCTGACGATGCAAATCATATGCACACATGTTGCAATGCTCGTTAATGATCCGTTGATGTGTATGGCTGAAACAAGGTGTGGAGTCCATCTCCAGCCCAAGTCCGGCCTCTTTTTAAAGCCCCTGCTATCAAGCCCCTAATTAGCGAACGACACATCAGGGCCACGAAATTTACGTAGTGGTCGGGATTTGAAGCAGGTTGCTATACGCACCGCCGAGGCCATAACAGTATCCCTATGGGCGATGCCAGGGAGGCAAAGCATCTTGCACCCTGTGTCCATTTTTCCTCTGCAAAGCTTCGGTGTTTCCCTCCTTGCTGCCGTTCCTGTAGTTACAGCTCATAGTTCCCATAATCCCCCATCGCCACGCGTTGGGATGTAGGCGATTGCAGTCTGCGCGCCGCCAGATGGGCCAGCAGAAGCAAAATAACCCCATGAGCATGAGGGCCCCATGCCATCCTATAGCGCGGGCCTGGTGGAAGGGCGGCTTGCCGTTTCCGTTGCGGACGCCGGCTGCATGCCGGGAGCCGCGAATGGTGATGGGGCGCCCAACGCTGCACTTAGGCACCTAGTAGCATGGAGAAGTTCTGTTATAAATCCACTCTTCCTTACGAACAGCCCATGTGCAATCATGCGCGGCGAGGAGACGTGAAGTCACCATTGACAATTTCCGTCCACACGTTACAATTGCGGCTCCCCCTCAAAAGCGCAAGCAGCTGGTCGCTTAGGCGTCTGGGACCTCCAGACTGCCGTCATTGATCTGCAGGAAATTAGGGTGCAAAAGCGGATATGAACAAAACAGGGAACGGGTTTGATAAGATCTAGTCCAGCAACTGAATTCACTAAGGTTGGGTAAGCCCGTGGAATCCATTGCCTATGCATAAAAGCCTGCCTTAAAAGGTGGCACTGGTAACGTCTGAGAGGTGCAACTATCCACGCTGTTCGCATAGACCCTGCAAAACTTGGGGACAAAAAACTTGTTTGGGTTTGGGGATGGAGCCAATTGTAAGACCCGCTCGCACCATTTGGGGCTTGCCATCCCGAACCAGGCACAAGACTCCACTATACACTCACAAACCGCGCGGTCGTGCAACCCCTACAAACACACAGCACTTCCCGCTACGCAGCGCTACAGTTAGAAGAACCAGACTTTCTCGTCTCCGGATGCGGGCTGTGAGCTAGCCGTAAGTGCCAATCGCAACTTACGATGTCTCCGGGAAGAGGACTGTGGTGCCTTAAACTAAGGAGCGATCCCGACAGCGAATGCCGCCTAAATGACCCCCCCACCCGACCGAGGCAACACCTTATTTCACCAGCCAGGACATCAGAGTCGATGAATTGCAAACAATCCTGAGCGCAGACATCTTGCAACAAACACTGAACGTGATCTTATCCTTTGCTAGCCCAGCTGTTTCCACTCCCGGCCTAGTCCCAGCAGCGAAAGCTGTAAACCCATCTACAAGTTGGTCCACAATGCTCGCCGTATTCAGGCAATGCGCCGGGTAGCTTAGGTTTACACCCAGCATGCCATAACATTCTCGCGGTGTCCGCGAATCATGCATAATACACAGCTCAATACCCTGGACGGCAGACGTCAAAAATACATGAGCACCGTTCAGTGACTGAACGGCCACCGCGCATGTCTGTTCCCCGCAATTCTGAACCCCATACCCTTATCCCAGGGGCCCCCCACACCCCATCCCGGAGTGCCCGACCCTGCACCCACCGCGGCAATGACATCGCGCGGGTCCTTGCCGTCCACCTTGCAGCCCACGGACACTGCTGTCCCAAGAATCTCCTTGCAGCCGTTCGCCAAGTCCTTTGCACAGCTGCGAGGCCGCATCACGCGAGCAATCTCGATGATGTCCGACATCGTAACGCTGCCAGAGTGCTTGATGTTCTTCTCCTGCGCGGCGCAAAAGACCAGTAACTGTTGGCATTTCCTCCCATCGACACCATCTGGGTTCGAATGGAGGGAACTTCCGCAAGAACTCTGCTACAAATCATCCTCTCCCTCCTTATTATAGAAGTAATGCTCGTATTTGCTGAAAGCAGAGCTGCTGTACATGCAGGCGGTCAGGCTTTCCTCATGCGCCGGCGGCTGCGGAGCAGTAGATAGCTTGTCTGAAAAGTGCTCCAGCGGCTAAGCCCACCTTCTTGCGATCCCGCGGTGGCTCCTTAAGAGCCTTGATGACCAGCGCGGCCGCCGAGGGAATGACCGAAATCTTCGCCTGACGGTTCTGGACCGTCAGCTTGACGGTAATGCGAAGGCCCTTCCAGTCCTTGGCTGTCTCCTTGGCGATATCCTCACCAATCTTCTTGGGCGACAGACCCAGAGGACCAATTTTAGGAGCCAGCGAGGAGGCGGCACCAACCTCGCCACCCGTCACACGCACGCACACCTCCACCACATCATTGGGGTCAAATTTTGGCGGCATGGTGCTGAGACTACCCCTAAGGTGAGGAAAGAGAGAAACAATGTCGCGTCGAGGCACAAGTCGACCGTTCCTGACGCATCCCCTGGAGCGGACCCCAGCCAAAGCAGAGTTTTAACTTGGACTAAGATATGTGTATACCTTACATAGCAATACTCAATTGCATAACAGTTATGTATGGTGCGAGCTTGCTTATCCTAATCAAAGATGTCTTGCTGAGAAAGTTACCAAAAGCTTGTCCGATATCCCACATTCTCTTCATCTTTACAAATCTGTAATCATTCTGCATCAGTGCATCAGGTTGCGTCAAATGGCGCTTGGGGTGTCGCGCCCTTTGAGTACGATAGCGCTTCGTGCAACCGTCTACAGTTCAGGCAGTGTTTTCGAGGGACCCATGCATGGCGCTGGCCCAGCTGCTCAACCGGTTTAAGTGCCCTCGCAAAGAAACGCTTACTAGGGACGGCCTCCTGCGTCGCACGTGCCATCAAATCGTGTCATCCTGCGCCCCTCTGCTAGCTTGCTGCAGACATTGGTAACTGCCTCGTGATCTTTATTGGTTATGATTGGGTGTGCCCCGGTACTCCGGGTGTTCTTCCCTTGACACGCCGTCAGAGATTAGCTGGCTTGCGGCGGTTCAAACAGGGTCTTAGTGAGGTGCGGCTGAGGTTTCGCTTGTGGCGACTCAGGCAGGTTACAAGGTTGCTGTTTCCACGTCTTGCTTACGCGGGATAGCAATTCTGGGGGTTCACCATGGGGAGGCCCAATGCGTTACGTGTTCCAGCGTAGGCCTCTCCCCGGGGCAATCATAAAGATGCCGCGAATCGGCTGATGATCAGTTGGACGCCCTGCAGGATCGTCCTGCTGGGTTTTCTTACTTGGGCAAGCGATCTGGAAAGGACGATAATACAGACTGCAAAGACCTCTATTTGAGCGACAGCTTCCCAAGTTAGGTGGTTGCCTAATTCCATGGCATCTCGTGGACCCCATCACTTCCAACATTGGTTAACATGCATCAGTTGTGGGGCCGGGTCTGCTCAAGGCAGCCCTGCGTGAACAGCGGACGTGCATTGAAATAAAAACAGAGGAGACGCGTCTGCAGTACACGGCGTACGGAAATGTGCCAGGCAAGGGCACACGAGGCAAGGGTTGTCCAGGAGAGCAATGTGCACAGCGTGTAAACAGAGGGGGCCTTGCTCGGACTGGTCCCCTTTACAGCACAATCAGTTTAGGACGTTGTTGTGCACTAGCTTGGGTACATGAACCTGTCATACGACTTGTTTGGGCAGTGCGTGGCACACATTGGACAAGAACTTTGCCAGTTGAACGAATTCATATTTACACGAGGAGAAGTCTGTTGGGCACGGGAATTGGAGCATCCCCGCTCTGCACTTGCATTCACTTCCGCATGCCGAGTCCGTTCCTTTTAATTTTGTTCCTCTTCGAATGCCTCCACCAGCCTCACTGCCACCTGGCTACCCCGCCGAGTGAAATGTCCTCGTCCTCGGTCACCCCGCCAGCATGCGCAGTACTCCCAGCCATTTCTTTTGCGGTGAGACTGGAAGATGCACGATGCGTGCCGTACGCTTCGACCCGAGGGGCATGCCGCTGTCCCTTCGCACCAGCACAGGCTGAGTTCGGTGTACGGCACAGGCCAATAGCCTATAACTATGAAGAGCTTGCCCGAATAGTCACTATTGGTGCACCATGTAATCATGTACACGCACAAGCACATATACAGCGTGTACTGGAGTGCTTTCCGGCCAACCTCATCAGATGGATCACCGCCGTAAATCCCAGGCCCTTCAAGCCGTAACAACAGACACACAGGTAGAAGGCACCGCAGCCTCAAAGCACACGCACAAAAATACTAACTTCCTGGCCAATTTTCCCCCTAACTCCGAACACAAACCGTCCCAATACACAAGTCTTCGCTCTCAAAAGTCTCTGGTACACTAAAACGCGCCGCTGCCAGTTCATGGAATAGCAGCGCGCAAACTCCGCGCAAGGTCCTCCATGGCTTGGAGACCCTCCGCCTGTTGAGATCGGGAGGGTTGGCGTCTCATCGTCACAGAATGAGAGGCGTGCTTGCAGTGGGATTGAGGAAGGCACAGCATCCTCGCGAGTCATCCTGCCTGGTGCACACCCGCCTCGGAAGATTGGGCACAAAAGTATCGTGCAGGAACGTGTCAATCGAACTAAGTGACAAGGGTTTCAGTGTTCCTTAGAGGGCGTCAAGTAGCTGCTACCGCTAAGAAAAGCTGAAACGAGGCCTTCAATAGAACGTTCTAAAGCAAAAAGTGCCTAGGCTAGTGGCGCTGCCCAAACGGTCGCCAGCGCACGACAATCAAACCGCTACACACAGACGCCGTGGAGAGTCTTGAGACTTGAGAAGGCAGATACGGACGAGGCTAACGCACGGCCATCTGCGGGTGGATGCTTACCGGGGACTTGGCTTCACCCAATGCCTTCACAAGGGCGCTTCCGCAAATGACGCCGTTGGCACCCCATGACACAATCTGCTTCGCCTGGTCCGGGCGCGACACACCGAAGCCCACGCAAATCTGCAGTGAAATACACCATGAAGGGCAAGTGCAAGGCTGGGACGGGAATACCATGCGCCAAGGATCTGTAATGTAATGTTGGTACAGAGCGGGAGGCTTCTGGGCCACTTGAACACATTGTCATTTCTATGATTTATCACCATACAGCACCATCCAAGGATCTGCAGCCAGGATAGCAACACCCTGAAGGATAACGCTCTGAAATGCCATCCTTGCCCTGCGTCTCCCGCATTAACGCCTCAATCCAAGAACCTTGGCTACAGTCTCCCACTCCTGCGTTTCCTCGCCCCGGAACCCCCGCCGGTACCGCACAGTGTACCCCAACGGCTCACCGGCTTGTCCGTGACGTCCTGCAGCGTGCGCACCAGCCCCTCCACACGCGACTCCACCTGGTCCTTCATGCCCGTCACCCCCGTCAGTGAGACCAGGTACACGAAGCCCTGGCTCGCCTGCGCAATCGCGCTCATGCGGGCTTGTGGTGTGGTAGGCGTTGTCAGCAAGACCAGCTCAATTCCCGCAGCCTCACATGCCGCCCGTACAGCCACCGTCTCCTCCAAAGGAAGGTCTGGAACCAGGAGGCCTGTGCGGTCGAGATGGAAGGAGAAGAAGAGAAGGCAGGGCATATGCCCACGAGGAAGGGGGAATAAACGGCAGTCGAACGGACCGTGGTTGATACCGTCGTGTGAGACAGTTACGTTCGGCACTCTCTTGTTTAAATTTCGTAATTTTGTGGCCTCTGGGGTAATCGCCAGAAAGAAGGCCAGGCCTGGCCTGGCCCAACGAAGGGCACAGGCATAAAGCCTTTGGGACGCCTGTGCAATTCCCAGGACAGTCTTGGGTCATCGCCAAGTCACATGCGCTAGAACGCCCCTGTAGGTGTTGACCTTGGGAACACTGTAAGTGAGAAACGTGGAGCGGCGCAGACCTCGTGTCCACTTGACACAACCGGCAGCGCCATTCAATTCATGGCAGCGCCCCGCAGCAGCACCGACCGCACCTGATGCGCCCGCCTCCTTGATCGTCTTGCAGAACTTGTCGAGGCCCTTCCGCATGATTGGGTTGAAGTAAGTGAACATGACCAGGGGCGCCTTCATGGCCGGCGCCGTCCTGCGAACCATCTCAATGACGCGATCGAGAGTCGTGTGCTTTTCCAGCGCACGAGTGGCTGCGCCTTGGATGACGGGACCATCTGCCAGCGGATCCTACATAACGCAGAGGAGCAGTGTACACACAGCGGAAAGCCCATGCGACCAGCTTTGTGCAACTTGCGTGCAAATGATGCTTGGACAGCAGGTGTTGCGAGCTTCTGTAGTGTGTGCGCATGTGTGTGCTACATCCGCTGCTTGTACACACAATTACCGGTCCCGCCTTAACCAAGAGGTTCCAACGCGAAAAAGACTACACATGAAGCCGGTGCAGTAGCGACAGAAGTACGACAGACGTGCAAATACACACGTGAGGTAAAGGAGGAGAAAAACACCACCAGAACGAAATCGACACAATAGCACAAAAAACACTGCTAACAGAAACAAGCCGGGCTGGAAGGGTTTACGGACCGACGGATAATCGCTACCCCATCCTCCGCGTGGATGCACGTGGTGGTGAGTTCTAATACCCAACACCAGAGAGCCGCCGCCTGGCCTGGGCTTTCATCATATGATGAATCAGGGGACCGACATCTTCCCCATATCTCAAATGGCTTTGATAATGGCTTTGATAATGGGCTGTTAGCAAGGACTGCCCAGAAGGTCTAGCGTTCCGCGTGTAAATCCCGAATCCCAGGGCAAACCCCTGGATGATCTTTGACTTCAACAAGTCTACAGGAGGCCCCTTCGCACGACAGCCATGCAGCGGTCGAGACGTGTCATCGCCCTACGCCCACACCAACCTTCCCAGCGTACCGAGTACGGCACTCCAAGTTCAATGACATCTGCGCCAATCTCATCCAGCTTGCGGAGAGCTGCAGAAGTCGTGTCGAGATCTGGGTCCCCCGCGCAGATAAAAGGAATGAACGCGACCCTGCAATTGGCAGGCGACGCCGCCAGGCAGAATGCTAAATATTCTGTTGTTTGCCTGCTACCTTTGTGGCTACACAAGCATAATACCTACTTTCCCTTGGATTTGAGTTCATTCAAGGTTCCTGACACTGATTTCGTGTGGACCGTCGCAGCTGAGCACACTGCTATGGGTCGGCGTAGGCGTCCAGCAGACCTAGACGAGAAAACTTGGCCGCTCTTCAGGCAGCGCTGCATGATCATTATACCAAGGCGGCCGCAAGTATACAAAGAAGATGTTTGTTTACGCAAGATTCAACCAAGGCGCCTGACCCAATCTGTCAATTATGAAGGATATATCCAGGATTAACTTATGTTATCACGCTGCTGTAAAAACGGTGCCGATCCGTACGACGAGCGTACTGTATTCTATTGATTCTTGCAGCAACGCGCTTGATAATACTAATTGCATCAGAAATCAAAAAAGAGGAAGAACTCTAAGCCATTTCCTGGCATGGGTCGGTTAGTATCGGGTTACTGGTGTTATTTTTCAGCCAGTCTACAGAAGGTCCAAGGCTACCTTGGAAACATTGCCATGTTGTTTACACAGAACGCACCAAGGCAGCTTTGGGGGACGGCCGCCAATTACTAACAGCTGCGGTGATATCCAACGCACAGATTAGCCAGCACTCCTGTGTTATGCAAATGGTTGTGAAAACCGTTAAACTGGCTCTGGCGTTGTTCACTATGGTAACCATGGCGTTGTTCCTATGTACTAACATGTTTCGCAGCTGCGGCTGACCGGCTGACGGAGGTCGAAGGAGAACGCCCCCTGCTGAATGGCGAACGGAAATGCCACAGGTTCTAGTTGCCGGAGGTTTGCCAATTGATTTTTGGGGCGATATTAGCAAGGTTCTGTTATGGCGGTTCCTTCGCGCTTGTTCTGTCCAGCGTAGCAAGGCAAAGCTAGACTTGCTTCTAGCAGTCATCGACAAGTAGAAATAATGCATACTCATAAGGACGTCCATTCTATTAAGGTTGTAATCACGCAGATACACGCAGGTAGGCACTGTCGGTACTGTATCTGATATTGGCAAGGTAACTGGACGGACCATCGCGCCTGACACTGCAATTACCACCAGGTCGATGCCGGCCCTTCAGGCTGTAGAAGCCTTCGTTGTCAAGGCCAATGTGCAAGGTGGCATTTTAAGTTGCTTTTTGACGGTACCTGGGCCTCACTGCTGTTTTGCGCATTTATGCATAAAGAGGTACGATTGCATCACGAGTTTGTATGCCCTATTTCTGTCTAAGAACAAGCGACCTCCTGGTATGGAAGCCACAAGCAATAAAGCGGGAGGTGCCGTAACAGGAGCAGACTTACAGGACAAAGAGATAGAAACGCAGCCTTAGTGGCGCTTTTTATTTACGACCCAATAAAAATGTGCTCTTGACGACTATTGTACGCTGTGTCACGTCCTACACTGAAACCTTACCCTGACAGGACTACTGGACGCCTTGCACTCCGTCCATACCTTCATTCACAAGTCTCATTGATTAGCCTGTGACTGGTTTTAGATTATCAAGCCATCGCTTCATCGACATCGGCCCATCTATATTACTACCTGACCTTGCGGCGCACGTTAAGCTATTTTCCATCTTAATTGCAAATATTCAGTTATAAGATACTCTGTAAAATCTTACTTTTGTCCATGTCTCAAGAGGCAAAGGCCGGCAAACCGGTTGGCGCGACGAACAGGACCATTGCTGCCATCAGGTTCCATGCGGTACGGGTTTCCACCCTATTCTTACTGCTGCCAGTTCAAAAAGTCGTTACAAAATGGGCTGGCATGACCGTTTGGCTGCTGATAGGGTTGGCTTGTTACTTACGATGCGCCTTTACGTGAGGGTTTCCTTTGGTGGTTTCACCTCCGAGCATCCCCCCAACGAGTTCCCCTAGTGAATGCATCTCTGATGTTACTGTAGCTTTTGATTCCAGAAACTCTACCAGCTAATTTTTCACTGTAACTTTGGGTATTTAGCCATCTACCTCATGACCTTGGATGCAGGAACGTGTGCGAGAAAAGGCGGGTGACGTTTCTCTGAATTCAGACCACAATGAAATTCTGGGAAACATGGTGGACCTTCACCACAAGGTAAAGCGATTCTGCATATGATGGGTCTTGGATGATCTATAATGTGGGAGGGGGGGGGATAGCGTAAGGGGTTCATCGTCCATTGGCCGCTCGTTGGTAGGGGCTCCAGGGGGCCCAAGAACAGCGCCACTTGTGGCCGCAATAGTCCGCAGCGCATGGGCCCCCGCATAGTAACAAACAGAGAACGCGCGACCAGGTCGTTGGCTATCTGTTACCAAATTGGAGACGGAAGCAATGGGCCTAAGGAAGAGGCTAATCGCCGTCTACTTGTCTTGATGCAACATCAACTATTGTGTACGGTGTACGGTGTATACGCATGGCCGAGTCGTACGAGGTGTGTTTGCCCCTAACGCTCTTTTAACTGTTTTGCTTTCACCTGTCGGCACGGGAGGTGCTTTCCGCAATCGGATGTTGGTTCGTGCCATGAAGCCTTTTTCTTCCCTACCTGGCCCTTCACCAATCATGACAGAACATGAGCCAAGTGCGCGCCAGCTTGCTCAACTACCGGCCTTGCGAGTCACGCAGCGTGGATCAGTACATCGATTGGATGGATGACTTTGTTGACGACAGTGACGGCGAAGAGGAGCCAGCCGACAGCCGGGACGACTGTCTGCAAACCCGCAGCCCCAACTTGTCCTCACTTCTGGACTCCTCGGACACGCAGCTTCCACCCGCTCGCCAAGGTTCCTCCATGGTGGCCAGGAGGGCAGTCCAGGATGTAGACCCGGTATCCTTGTTCCGCCAGATGCGGGCGGGAACAATGTCACGAACTCCATCGCAACACATACCGGGCTGTGTCAAGGGCGCGTATGCCTTCCTGGCGCCGCCTCCACCAGAGCCCGATGACGATGCAGGTTAGGCAGTAGTGTTGGCGACCAGGGGTTGGCGACGAGGGGCCAACGTGGGGCTTGAACGGGCTCTGCTTCAGGAGGTCCTGCAGATCTGCACTTCGTGAGATGTGATGAAACAGCTTTGGATGCGGGTTTGCAGGAGTTCATGTGCCTGATTGTTGGGGTGCTTGCTGAAAGGGGATGGCTCTTGGGTGTGGCTGACATTGCAGCTGCCGCGGTACTGCAGAGTCCAAGACGGACTCGTCTACGCTACGCGGCAAGTCGTTCCTCGCAAGGCCGAGCCAACGGGCAGGGGCTGCATGTAAGTGGATAGATGGGAGCACATTTTGCGAAAGTTGCTGGAGCTATTTGTATCAGCACTGTGCCGTCATGGGTCCCATGCTCCGCCCTCGCCGCAAACTGCTGGTTCTGGAGTGCTCACTTGTGTGATATTGCTGGGGCTGCTTTCGTTGGCCGCGCCACACGGCTTCCTTCGTCGCATAGTCGATCTGGTCTTCTCTGTCCTCCCTGTACGGTGAGCAGATGACATGCTGGCCCAGATCCGCGGGGCAAACTGGAACTCGGACAACATGGCAGGAAAGGTGGGTTTTTTGCTTCGGTATTTTCCGCCTTTTAATGGTCCAACGGGGCGTATAAAACTTTATACGTGCATGGGTAACAATTCTGAGCGGACATCCACTTTTGCAGAGCTGCAAGTCCACACCAGGTAAAGCAGCTGAGCACTTTCCCATCACATCGCCGCGTTCCGAAATACGGAGCGAGGTGGTGCTAAGCAGCAGCTTGGGCACCTCGCTCTCGGGCACTGCGGGGACAGCCGGCTCAAGAAGCTTCACGGCAGGTGAGGTGGTGGTAGGTGCCTAGCAGGGACCTCTGCCGATTAATCCGCTGCCCAAGGGCTGATACGCTGAGCATTGCAGGCTGTGTGCAGTTTATACCACCACCTAGCATTAGACATCGGGATCCGCGTCCTCGCTCCGATCTTGCAGGTCCAAGCAGACGAGCTGGTGCTTTGCCGGGCGTCAGCGTAAATGTGCCGCCTATTTTGATGGCGTCGGGTGACTTTGACCGGGTGTCAACCGGCCAGCTGGCCAACAGCGCATCGTCAGGGGGGTTTCTCGACAGGCTAAAGCACATATTGAAGCAGTGATGACGATGCTCTCCTCTTGTTCCCTCTCGCTCACGCACACTCGGGATACTGGGAGTGTGTTGGGGACAAAGAAAAATGGACGCGGTTGTGGAGATTTCTCTTATGAAGTACTCTGTTGTTGATTTTTTCTTAGAGCCACAGAACGATGTAGCGTAAATAGCATGTGTTATAAGCTGTCCGGAATGACCGTAGTAAGGTGTTTTGTTGTGCTGTTAAACAAGCGGTCTGAGTGTATGTTTCCAGGCCTACGGAGTTAGTAATGAAGTAGCCACAGCTACTGGTTGACTTCACTTATTCAAGGCTACATTTGCAGATATCCGGTCAATTGCTTTGCTTGGGCCCTTTGTTGGCCAGTCAGTTGCAAAGGTTTTGGGGTGTTGTTGACGTGGAGGTGGTTTCCACTGCAGGGTTTTGGTTTAGGAAGTGCACTAACGGTACATAGTGGGAGGGATCCTATTGCAAAGATTTCAATGGCGCCTCGTTTTTGTCCTGATGACGCTTACCTCATCCAATTGATGGAAGGACACAATTTTCTTTTAAGTTGCTTGCCGTTGCTTATATTGGTTCGGCTATGGATTACAGAAATCGCGTTAAATGTTATGCTATTGGGCTGCGTTTGAGCTGGGCTCTTAGATGCTACTGACTTGATGACGGGTTTTTCAGGTTCTGCGACTGTACGTATATGTACGGCGTTGTGCATCGCACATACGAGGAACCGCATGCAAACCTCTTGCATATCATAATTGACGCCACGTAAGCCACTGCAGTCGCCGTGTCATTTTTTGTTGTATTGCGAAATTTTGAATCCGTCTTGTGGCCATCGCTGCTACATTGATCTGACGTTGTAATGCGCTGCAAACATCAAATGCCGTGTCGGTGACGGTCGTCGCATCTACCAAACAGGCAGGTTGAATTTGAGTTTGGTGCGTGCGGCCGAGGCAGGTAGGAGGCCCAAGTGCGTATCAACGTGCTGCTATCACAGGGACGGGCAAGCTCTGACAGAGTCCTAGGGAGCGAACCAACCGCTTGATCGGTGGTACGGGCAGGACTCCACCTGTACGGCCAATTGTCATGACGCGGCTGCTGATGGGGTGCAAAGGACCAAGGCTCGCATTGCACCCCCTGCATGGCTGGTGTGACGTGATACGCTGACGTTGGAATCTGCCTTCACCGCACCCTAGCCATGGAATGCATCTTCGGCCGGAGCACAATATACAGCCAGCTCTCAATTTTTACCGAGGGTTCATATAGGGGTATCACAGTGGGATCTCCCTGCCAAAGACTGTTGTATACAAGAAGCCCATGCAAGGCTCAATGCAGCCGGCATTCTTTGGCGTGCATTGGGGTTTTCTGACGCGTGACGATGCATGTCAATTCATCGGATTCGTACACAGCAGGTACCTCCCATGTTGCCCTCGGCTGCGTTGGTCCTGCGGATGCCACTTTGGCAGGAACGGCATAAAGGTCTCCCCTTCGCTCCCCTCCGGTCTGCGCAGCCGATGACCGCTACAGTCCTCTTAGCAGCTGTGGTGCTGCCACACTGCGCACCCCCCCCACAGGACAAGGAACCGTGAGGGTCCGTCCCATCCCACTTCCTCCCATACACAAGTCGTGAACGAAAGAACTTGGCCTTAATAACCGGACAGGCTCTTACCTGATATTTACACGTAGCCATCGACAGCAGTATATGCACAACATTTGGCGATGTGAGTTAAGACAAAGCCTTAGACGGTGGAATGTCCCATGCAACTCCCGCCATCCTGCCGGATAAATTCCGACGACCCCGGGACCTAGCACACAACCCCGGTGACTACCGATCCCTAGCAGACCCATGCAACAACAGTTCGAGGGGCCCACAGTGAAGTGTGCTCGTGGTAGCACACATCTCCATTGCGCCTAGGCCCCCAGCTTGCGGGATGAAACAAAAAGCTGGCGATTCATAACTTTCATTGCGACAGCCAGGAAGCCATTTCAGCCAGGATTCAAGGATTGACCATTGGCATTCACTACCAAAAGAAAGGCACCACTGCCTTGCGCCGTTTCGGGTACTCGCCCTTGAACTTCTCTTGGTACCAGTGGTGATGGTGATGTCCGCGGGGGGCCAGGTTGCAAAAGGTGAACAGCGCGAAAGCACAGGCCGGCAGGTTGCCGGCAGCCAAGGCAAAGCCGATCCACTCCAGGATCTCGGACGCATAGTTGCCCGCTGACACGTACTTGAACATACCCCCCACCCTGCGGCAGATCAGTGCCCGGGAGAGATGGGACCACAGAAAGAGGAAGCGTGGTGTGCTGGTATGTTCGTACAGGCGCCTGACGCCTGACCGAGACGTTGAGGGACGGGGAGGGGCTCGGCCTGATACCGCTCGCTCATATACATGTAAAACATCACATGAGTGCCGTACAGATGCATATCCGCATCATGTTGTGTTATGCAAGTACCCCAGATGTCCAAAACCGGAAAACCCAAAAATGAGAGCTAGTTCAGCGGCTGGGCACCTCAAAGAAAAGGTGTCAAAGTGCGTTGCGTGAGTGTTGCGAACCAAATGTGATGGCATCAACCTACTCGGCTGACAGCGCTTGGACATTGTTGTTTGGTTGATTGGGTGCTCGTTTCCTGATTCCCAAGGCCAATCGAGAACATACGGTTTGTTCCGCCACTCACGGTATCTTGTAGCCCGTTTCGCCCGGCTTGCGCAGGTGGATCAGGATCCAGTCTGCTCGCATGACGTTGATCCAACCGAACAGCCACAGTGCCAGGCCGGCAACAGCCCGTGGCGTCCAGATTGGCACGTCGTCACGCATCTGGCGTGCAAAGCTCCAGCCCTGCAAGGACGATAATGTACGTAGGAAGCTCGTTCGGAGTCTTGCTGATACAGAGCATGTGCCAGAGTTTTGTACAGGAAGGTCATGGCCTCATGGACTGGTAGAAATGGGATGGACGGGGTTGACTTACAGAAGTTCGCGGATGGACATGCGTTCCGCAAGGAATTGCTTCGCATTATCAGTGAGGCACAGGTCAGCATACTAGGGCCAGGGCCGTTTCAATGCCGAACTGTGCGGACTGGATGCGGCCTTGGCATCCTGTCGTTCTAATCGTATCGCATAGTTCCTTCCGCCCTTGCCATTGAGGCTGTTCGAAAGGTGCTGGATAACGCAAAACCAGAAAGGGTCAACAGCTCCCTACATGCCCCACGGCCTCCCGTGCCACGCAGCTGTACGCGTTGGCGGGATACTCGTACAAATGGCAACACTAGCATCGCGTCTGCACGCATACGTGCAGGATAGCAAGGCAAAGGCCTACATTATCCCTTCAAACAAAAGGCTCAGTAGCTAAAACCCTCACCTGCACGAAGCCGTTCCATATGCAGAAGATTAGGCTCATGGCCCACACGCTTATCGGAGTTGGCTTTCCACCCCGAATCAGGAGTGGGAATGCGACCGCGCGGTACACGTAATGCGCACAGAAGGCGGCCGCAAGCACCGTGCGGGAGCTGAAGGGGTGCTTCAGCAGCCCCGGAGCACCAAACAAGAGGAGCATACAGACAAAGATCGTGGGCGATGGCAGTTCCTGAGTCTACAAACAGACATGACCAGGGGAAGCCACGTTATGAAGACCTTCGGTCGTTCAGCAGTGGTACATAGAGGTCCCTTACCAGCCATGCCACACGGGCATTTAAAAAGAATCCCCAACCAGATCGCGAATAGCGCCCATACGGTGCCGAAATTCCAGAGATTAGGGCTATGAAAACAGGAACTGCTGTAACGACCATGCCCCATGTCGCGATCTGATGCCACTCCTCAAGTGCAAGGTCGAGACCATTCTTCCCGAGAAGAAGGTCCACATTAAACATACTATACTTCAAGTGTTCGCAGTGGTGTTGGCCTCAAGAACAACCAAGGAGCAATGGGGTGTTTCGGTGCGAGCCCACACCAACACGCGGCAAGGCCCCCTCGACCTGCGCACTTGCTGTTAAGAATACAAAATATTTGCTCTTTGATCCTAGGATGATAAGGCTTGGTAGGCAAAGCCGGCACCGAAATAAATTTGCGGTGAAGTTATGTTGTGTGCGAACCTTATGTATGTGTGTGAGTAGGACGTGGTACTGTATGCTTGCGACAGATTTGGCAGTAATCCACATGCGAGTATGCCTGGGATAGCAGCGTAGTGGCTCTTAGGGTCAGCCAATATGCGCATGGCGCCACTTCGCAATGAAGGGCGCCATAATGTTAGCTGCCGGGATCCAGGACCTGACACAGAAGTGGCCATTCCCTAGAGCGAGACGTAACTGACTGGCAGCATACGGGATACGGCAACTCCCCCGGACTTTTTGTCTTACGGTGCCATTGTGTAATTTACGTTCAGCGAAGCAACCTGCACGCTTTGCTACACTTATTAGGCGGATAACTAGCACAGCTCTTAGCAAGAGCTTTGAGGAGATATAAAACGGACGAGTCGTGCAGGTCGTACGACTTGTCCCAAACCAGTTCGTCCCAAAACCAGTTCGAGGGCTGACTGGACTTAACTGGAACTGACACTATCCCACGGCGCAGCTATTGTCCGCCTGGCAATATTTCTAAAGGTCTTACCTTTAGAAATATTAGGATTGCGCGCAGCTTCATGCCAGCATTTGCGGCGATGTCAAACATCACTTGCGAGGGTCAATGCAGGACATTGTGTGTAACAAGCCTGGATGAAAAACACATCGGAGGCGATGCATCTCCACCCCGGTTTGACACGGGGTCGAGTGGTGAGTTTACGAGTGCGTTAACTCCCTGCCTTAGATAGTCGCACAAGGCTATGACTGGCTGCACGGGCGCCAGCGCTTCGCGGCCTGGTCTAAAGACGCGATCATCCTGGCTTTCAACGGTTCTTTCACTTCAAGGATCATGAAGTGTCTGCAGTACGGTACTACAATCTACTTTCCAAACCGCAGTACGGCTTTGTCGCCGGCTTGCTGCTTCAGGCGGCAACAGAGAATTGTCAGAAGTTATATTGTTGTTAATCTTTTTTCTCCAACTTAGTCGCAATAAGTCGCATGTAGGCACGGACAAACATAATTGAAGCGTTATTGTCAGTTGGTACAAGCGAGCAAGTTAGGAGGGAACCCCAAGCCAGTTTATCGGGAATATCATCATCAATTTGCAGCTTAAAAATGCAAAGTGACACTGACTGGGCTGTAGAAGCCGTGCAGCATGCCTCATCCGCGCCGGATTTCGCAATTCAAAAACTCCTATCAGGGACACACCGCAAGCTGCTGACGGTGCGTGTGCAGGAGACAGGGGGTCCACTAAGCTTTCCTGTGTGCCATCACGAACACCCGTTGTGTAGCTTTGAGGTTCCCAACCTACACGGTCTCGGCCTGTCAATTTTCACAGCTTAGCGCATTTTCCTTTCTATTCTTAATGCCCCCCACCTTCAGCTTGTGGTGATAAATGACGGCGCACGGGTGCTCCTCGGGCTGAAGAAGCGTGGGTTCGGTGCTGGATTCTATAATGGATTTGGTGGGAAAGTTGATCCGGGAGAGACCATCGAAGAAGCAGCGCAGCGGGAGGTGAGTGGCCTGCACGCAAGATGCCCGCCAGATCGGCACGCCTCCTACCTATCCCAGTAGGACCGGCCAGTAGGAGCAGGCCAACCCGCGGGTCTTAAGGTGCTCGGTTTACATCTCCCGCACGCTTACAGCTTCAGGAGGAGGCCTGCATCACAGCGGAACTGAAGGACGCAGGTGCGTCATAAGGTAGTTGACAGCCAGGTGACCCAAGGGTCGCTACTGTTACCCCGGGTCTAACTCGCTGACAGCCACGAAAGCCGCATCATGGCCCGAATGCTCGTCAGCCCACAAGTTGTGCCGACGGGCTGTTTCGGGCTGTTTCGGGCTGTTGAGCAGAACCCGCGGGTGCTCCTGTCCTGCATGGCCTCCACCTGTCTGCAGGTGTGCTGGTCTTTGTTTTCGACGACCAACCGCAGCCGTGGGAGGTCCATGGTAGGTGGCCTACCGTAGGGGGTTGGCGCAGATGGGCCAAGCTTGGATCAGCAGGCAGCAGCATAACGAGGGTACGGGATGGAGAATGCGTGCAATATATCTCTATCCTCGCCACGCACATATGGTCCCAAGTCATGGCTTTATTTTATCGTATGTACTGCGGATTCATCGAAAATCATCCAAAATCCATTCGTACATCGGGCACTCTTAGCATATGCTTTCGCCCTTACTTTGTGCGAGGGCGTACCACAGCTTGCAAACGGGAAATGGCCAACTGGGAAGTTGGGTGGACGTAACAAAACCTGCAAGTGGGCAGTTGCCCCCTGGGGACGTGCAGCCACGTACGCCACGTCTCGGACAGCCCCCCACGCCCCAGTGCTGCAGCTAGCATGGCGCAGCATCCCACAACGCCCGTCGATACGGCCACTGCCTGTGCTGCTACTGCTACTGCTACATCACGTTGCATGCGTTTCATGGTCCTACAGTGTTCACTGCAAGCTCGTATGTGGGCGAGCCGGCGGAGACGGATGAGATGCGGCCCCAGTGGTTCACACATACCGATGTGCCGTTTGACTCCATGTGGGCTGACGACCTGATCTGGTACCCGTACCTACTGCGTCACGAATACTTTAGGGGCGTGTTCGCATTTCGGCAAACGACCAAGCTGGCTTGGCACACGATGCTTCCACCCTCACCGGACAGTTGAGCTGGCCTGAGTCACTGTCAAAACAGTGGTTCCTGTTATGTACTTGCAGAAGATTGCCAGCGCGCCCGCATGCCTGCTTGGCGGCTAACCTGACGCGCAGATGGAAGTGCCCGTGCTAATGATTATGGGGTCATAACCCAGCGGACGCCGGTGTAACTACGAGGTTCCTGTGTGTTTCCCTAAAGGAGTCGGAGGGAAGTATGCAAAGAAGGGCCCTGCAACACGGAGACTGTGATTATCGAACAGAGATATGCGGCACTCCTGGGATTGCTTGCGTATGTCCAGCATGCATCACCACAATGGATCCACGGCACCGATGCCTGCAACTGCGCCGTTGTTGTTACAGCATACGTCTGTGCCTGTCACGCGGTGTTTCGGCGTTACAATGACTGGACCAGGAGCGCTGCGTAGGTGCTGCTTCCTGTAATATCGAAACGCTGCACTTCAAAAACGTCACATGAGCGATAACGTGAGAATGTCAAATGCAGTTTTGCACCGAAATCTGTTCTCCACAGCGTACAAACCGGCCCCGCAGTCGTTTCAGTTCACACTATTTTCCGCAGCCTCTTCCAGCACTCATGCAATTCTTAATTGAAGAACATCCTAAAGCTTGTACTTTAGCATAGCAGACCAGAGGAAGCAGCAGCGCCCGCAAGAACCCCGACGAGTACTTTTAACTACAAGGATAAGTTTGGGTTTAACTATGCATTAGAAAGATCAAGTGAAACAAACTCTAGGACATTACATGCATCTGAAGCTTTATATGCCCTCAGAAAGGTCAGGATTTAGCGAAGCGGTACGGACTTGAGGCCGGGAAAGGGACGTGACAGGAAAGGTCGCAGAATGCTCTCTAGAATTGAGTTCGTGGACATATAATTGTGCGAAATGGCTATAAGGTTGTCGATGAGGGGTCACAGGGCTGTGCGCGTGATTTCTGCTGCATGGTTCCGTACACAGAGGGCCGAGTACAAAGAGGACGGCAGCCACTGAGGGAGGATCAAACTTACACCACGGGAAACGCTAACCCTCCTTGTAAAAATATTCGTTATGAATCTAATAGTGTGTTGTGCCTAGCCGCCACTTATCATGAACGTGAGTTTGTGATGCTTGTGCGACCGGATGGTTCTATGGCTTTCCTAACCGTGTCCCGCTTGCCTGCACAGGTCCGCGGTCTTTCTCGTCGCCTTTGGGTCTTCAATAAGAAGTGGCCAGTCCAGCTGCACGTTGCGTGAGCGTTTACTCGGCGTCCTGGGCTTCAATCACGCTTCTATTTGTCAGTACTTTCTGCCTCCGGCTCCTACGCGGGCCGATACCTAGCCTACATTAATATGATGCATCTCCGACGCTCTCCAGCGTGCTCAAGCCATGCACGGGCGGCTCCTGTGCCCCCGTGCCTGGTCCGCAGCGTCAGTAAGCGGCTGCCTACCATTCGCGCCGCGTCGGCACGCCTACGCATGTGCGTGTCCGTCCGCGCCGTCAACTCCGACGCATTCCGTCCGAACGCTGCGCCACCTGTGGCTCGACCTGCTGCACAGCAGCTCGCTCCGCCGGTTAAGCAGCATGATTTCCTTGTGATTGGAAGCGGCATAGCTGGACTCACATATGCCTTGAAAGTCGCCGAGCATGGAACTGTGGCCATAATCACCAAGGACAACGCCAACGAGGGATGCACGCGCTACGCTCAGGGCGGTGTATGCGCAGTGCTGGATAAGAGTGACAGCGTCACCGATCACGTTCGTGACACCGTTGTTGCCGGCGCCTTTCTCAATGATTTGCAGTGAGTATATTTTACAGTTACTAGGTTTTGGTTCGGAATATGGGAACCTGCGCCTGAAAGTTGTGATTGGCGAAGGATTGACACACTGCCCAACTTTGCTTGCCTGGATCTGAAAATGCATATTTTTACTTTTGTTCGACAGCTTGCAAGCCCTATTAAGCCTGTCTTGTCACCTATGGTAAAACTAGAACTGCTTATAATAACGCTGATTGATGGCAATACTGAAATTACGTTTGTGTATTGACGTCTTAGCTTTCTTCATTGACAATTTACCTTTTTCTTGCTCTTCCAGTTAGAAAAAAAAACTGACTTGGTCACGCCGTATATTCCTTCCTCTCCCCAGGGCCGTGGAGGTTGTATGCCGTGAAGGGCCCGCCCGTGTGCTGGAACTGGTCGAGCTTGGAGCCGAGTTTTCACGCAACCCAGATGGAACCCTTCATCTGACCAAGGAGGGTGGGCACAGCAACCGCCGGATTGTGCATGCGGCTGACCTGACTGGGGCTGAGATTGAGCGGGCCCTCCTGGCAAATGCTCGGGGTCACAAGAACATTACTTTCTATGAACATCATATGGTCGTCGATTTAGTCGTCGATGAGTACGGCGGTGCTTTGCACTGCTTTGGTGCTGACGTGCTGGACCAGCGTGCAAACACTATGACAAGGTGAGCCTCCTACAGCTAGTTACCTTGTGTTTAATTCGTGAGGACTTCCTTTGAGAGATGTTATGTAATGATGTTGATGCGCACTTTGGCCATGAGACTGAAATGATGAGGACGACGAAAGGTGCGTTATTTCGTGTGTATGCATTCCGTTGCGTTGAACGGCTGGGGACCAGCGCACAACCGTTTTTATTTGGGCATCAACTGCTGATGGATTTTAAGCTTGTTGTTCGGCTGCCCCTAACCTTGCTAGGTTCTTGGGCCTGGCGACCATGCTGGCGAGCGGTGGCGCGGGTCAGGTGTACCCTAACACAACCAACCCTCACGTAGCCACGGGTGATGGCATTGCTATGGCGTACCGGGCTCACGCTAACGTCAGCAACATGGAGTTCGTGCAGTTCCATCCGACCGGTCTCTATAACCCGTCCGGGACCGGCAGCGCATTCCTAATCAGCGAGGCTGTGCGCGGGGAAGGCGGCATCCTTTTCAATATGAGGGGTGAGCGCTTCATGGAGCAGTACGACGAGCGGTTAGAACTGGCGCCGCGTGACATCGTTGCCCGGTCCATTCACGACCAGATGCTCCGCCACGGGAATCCACACGTCCTACTGGACATCAGCCATAAGCCGCGGCATGATGTCCTGCACCATTTCCCAAACATAGCGGCTAAGTGCATGGAGCTGGGTATTGACATCACGCAGGACCCAATTCCTGTGCTACCAGTGCAGCATTACACGTGCGGTGGCGTGAACACAGGACTACTGGGTGAGACCAACGTGCAGGGCTTATATGCGTGCGGCGAGGTGGCATGCTCGGGTCTGCACGGCGCTAACCGACTCGCTTCAAATTCCCTTCTGGAAGGGTTGGTATTCGCGGAGCGTGCGGTCAATCCGAGCGTTGCGCATGCCGAGCACGCCCAGCGCAGCTGCAGTCGCCAGCTCCATTACGCAGCGGCCAGCGCCGACTTCCGTGGCCCACGTGGTGCTCGCGAGCTTAACAGCGCGCTGGCGGAGTGGGTTGCGACGCGCCGTCAGGAGCTGCGGGACATCATGTGGCGGTGCTGTGGAATAGTGAGGAGGTACGCCCTATACATTAGTTGCGTGGTAGAATCCATTGGCTTCAATACGCTGGTGCATTTATGGCATTTATAACCGCGATGCATGAGTTTTGTGATAGGTCTTTTCAGGGACATGGTTGTGTTCCTCTTCACGCATTGGATGAATATTGGTTATGACTTGAAATCAAGTATTACAATCTGAGGCAGATGGGTTGGATTCCGGGTACCATACACACAGGTCCAAGGAGCTCATGGCCGCTCGTGACTACGTGGTCTCCCTATACATTGAGGCAAAGGCCATTTACAAGAATTACGGTGTAAACACACAGCTTGTGGAGCTGCTGAACATGGCCACGGTGGCGGAGCTAATGATTTCATGCGCACTTCAGCGCAAAGAGAGCCGCGGCCTGCATTTTAGTGCCGATTACCCGTTCATGGATGAATCACAGCGCCGGCCGAGTCTTATCAACACATCGTTCAAGTCGCGCTATGACCTGTCCCCGTACATGCGCAATGTGCCATCTGTGCTGCCCGCTGGCACAGGTGGCCCGGCAAGCGCGGCGCAGCCAAAGCGTGTAGCTCGAAAGCAGGTTCAGAGGGACCGTGAACTTGCTGTGCGTTCCACTCCACAGGACTTATGAAAAGCTGTAAACCAAGGGAAGAGCATGCACCGTGACCTTGCGGTTAGCGGCTTCATTACGTGACGAAGTAATAGGCGGTGCTTGATTCTTCTGCAGGCCTGAGCGTGTTGATGAGAGGCACACGACTGTGATGCCTGGATTGGGCAGCAGTCTGAAAGTCAATTCATGTATGGTATGTTGACGGCTGTAGTTTGCTGTGGGCGCTTTGGTGGTGCAAATCTGATGTGATTGCGATTGTACATGCTAAGGAAATGTGTATGGAAATGTGGTGTGCAATCTTAGCCAACGATATTGTGCAGGCCGTACTGGCTTGTAAGACGTCTGTTGAGAATGCACAGCAATTTCCTTTTCAGAAAAATAAGGAGGTCCGGTACTGAGAGCAATTGACGAATTAATATGCCCTGGGAAGCTCGGTAGGGCTTCGTAATCAAGGATGCCGGGGCAACGCAGGATAACCCATCGGACGCGTCCTGCTGGGACACGGCACCGCAATCGATGTCCACAGACCTGAGCCTGGAAGGCATCAGCGCCTTAGCCCGGTATCATTTTCATCCCCAGCCTGCCGGCAAACCAAGAAAAAGGAAGAGATATAAAGGACCGTCGAGCATCACCCTTCATACATCCTTGTAGGTAGGTTACACAGGTGACCTGCCTTACACAGGTGACCTGCCTCCAACACACAGAATAACTGAACTAAACGCAAAAAAGCGAACAGCATCAAAGTCTCAAAAGTGTGCTCACCAAACCCTCCACCACCTTGGAAGTATTCCCCCTAGGGACCGCTGCCGCTATCCCTGAATCCCTTACACCCCTCCGCAAGCTCGATACAAAAACGGAACAGGCAACGCAACTATGCCGACAGTCACACCACCACAGCCTGGAACTCGCAGGCCCAATTATTATCTGAACACACAAAGTCCTGGATGGGACGATTGCTTGACCCTCCAATGAACAGTTTGGCTCATCGGCGTAGGGGGCCCCCTCAGTTGCCCACCCCCCAACACACGCCGGGCTGCAGCCGGAGTACTCTTTAATGATACTATGCTTTATAATAAAAATTGCCATTATTTATATCGCTATTGTTGCTTTTGATGGCTATTTCATATTTTTGTATTGTTTTTTACTTATGATTCCCGTGGCAATGCCTGGAGCCCCACAAACAATCCCGCCCAGCCCCTTAGCCACAGCACCTACACTTCAACCCTGCCTCTTCCTATCCCATCCCTTCACTGATCCTGTACTCATAGATTTGCTCATGTATTAACACACACACACACACACACACACACACACACACACACACACACACACACACACACACACACACACACACACACACACACACACACACACACACACACACACACACACACACACACACACACACACACACACACACACACACACACACACACACACACACACACACACACATATGGGTAACGGCTCAGTTATCGTTTTGTGATATCTGTTTCTTTGGACAGCCTTCGACTGGTCCTTTAGCCCCGGGCTCATATGGGCCCGTTACACCTTCAAAGGTTAACACACCTCCAGCAAGGTATAACACACACATACATGTGTATATATATAAACACACACACACGCAAGCACGCATGCATACATACATATATGCAGGCGGCTGGCAGAGGTTAAGGCCTGACTTCTGCTCCCGGAATATCCGGGTTCGGATCCGCAGCCGATTTCTCGGGTGTTTTAAAAGTGTTGGAATGGGAGGTGGCCCCCCATCTTATGGACGGTGTAGGACGTGATAATATCAACTTGCGAGCTGACCAGGAACTAAGTTGAGGCGCCGTTGATCCGCTAGATTTGGTTGGATGCTGGTGGTGAGTTGCTGAACCCTACGAATACATCCTGAAGTCGGATGGGGTGAACGGATTAGGTTGGCCCTCTAGCAGGGGAGAGCAGGGAACTGCCCCGGGAAAGGGGGCCGCTGGTGAAGCTTAACCACCCTGTAACGACATACATACATATACATACATACACATTGTGGGGTTCGTTGAGTCAAATTTCCAATCATAACCTGGTGTCAAAATCCCAGTTACAAAACCCAATTTGCCATCATCCTGTCCACACCGCGTACAGGACAGGCCTCACAAGATGCTGACCTTACAAAAATAAGTAGTGCGGTTTGAGTTGTGGTATTTGACTTAATCCTCTATTCCATGCTTCCATAATCGGCCGTGAATTGCAGGCTACGAATCAAAATGCTGTGGGACCTGCTATCCCGAGGAGGGCTGCTTATAGGCCCGGCGGAGGTTTTGGCATACAGCAGGCACGTTACGTAGCGAAGAAATCCTTCAGGTGTGCCATGCTGTCAGCTCTGTAACGACGCGCACTATTGCAACCCCGTCGATGAGGACGTACTCTTTGGCAAGGTAACCACTTAGGTGCACAAGCGTCCGGTACACAGCCTCCTCGCGGGATCCATTAGCGCGGTTGGCGAAAAGAGCGATGACAGCTGCAGGAGGAGTACAAGATACTAATTGGTTGTAGCAAGCTACACTTACCTTAGTATATTTTAAAGCTATTAAAGTGTGATTAATCACAGTAGCGGTACGGTCCCGTAGTTACGAACCATACTCGTTAACTGTACGAACTCGCTTTCTGTTGCGCTATCACAACCTAGCGTACGACAGCAAGACTCCAGGAACGGAGATGGCGGCAGGTGGGCCGCATTTAAGCCACCCTGGTGAAGTGCTTCGGCCAGACAATTTCGTATCACTATACCAGTGTTCGGAGTTCAAGACTCTGCTGTCACCGTTCTCGACGTATGTCTTCGACCTCCGATTTCCCGTACCGCTTCTCGCTTTTAACACTTAGCCGTCCTTCGTGGTCGAGACCCTCTCCTTCCACGGCTTTACAACCCAACACTTCCGCTAAAACGCCTAAGGTAAGGGACGGCTGTTACATTCGTATAATTTTCCAGGGATGGTCACCGTTGGACCCACGCGCCCACCGTGCCGTGCCGTATCGTGCGTATGGCAAGGCATACACAACTGTCAAGTCCACCAAAACAATCCAGATAACTGGCGTTCGTATGGAAATTATGCAAAGCTTGATTTTTCAAAAACAACGTACCACCGACCCATGGAAAGGTAGCGTTAGGACCAAAGGCGATTCCCCAGCCCCCACTCGTCCCCACCGCAGCATGCCTGGACGTTCGTGCCATGCGACTAGCGGTTAATGGTTAACCACCCAGCCTTCAACTCAATGCGTGCATATAATCTGAAGTATCCAACCGACTGTCATCAATCGCGGCGCACCCATCGATGCCACAAGACATCGGCAAACGCCTGTTGGAAAGGTGTCATAGTGCCCTCGTTTTGCAGGATGCCGAACACAGCGCAAATTCGCTTTATTGTGCTTATGGTCAGGATTATGTGCCGAGGGTCCTTCCGGCGGACATTCGGGCGCGTGCGGGACAAATTAACGGCTCGGGTGGTCCTAATCCTGCTGAGTATTGAGTTTGGGGACCGAATTTCCGTTTCGGGAATATCGGTACAGCACGCAAAATCCCGAAGAAGCGTTTGCCGATGTCCGGATCGCACCCAAATGCACTCGCCGCCAAAAACTGACAATGGCATTGTATGAAGTGGTTAATGTTAAATGTTAAACCTTTACTTTTGATGTTGGGCACATAGGGAAAAATGTTTTCCTGGAAAAGTTCCTGGGAGCCCCCTACCCACCCACCACTGCCGTACGACAAACTTCGGAACCCATAACGTTTGCCCGGCAAATGGAATAAAACCTTAGGAGCATTTGGGACTTTCGAATCAAATTGGAATCCACCCGTTTTCAGATGACTCCGTGCCGGCGATGGTGTATGTGTATGCGGAAGATTTGTGCATTTTGCATAGCTTGCCGACCATTGACCAAAGTTATACAACGACTGCAATGCCAATCGCACCCGATCACGCCAGTACATAAAAATGAAAAATGGATGTTGCTGCACCGTGAGTTAACTTGAACTTCACGGAAACAAGCATCTTGATACCTAAATCGCAATTGACAGCTCGACCTCAAAGTGCGAACAAGCAAGCCCAACCCGCCGGCATTGCCATGTGACTGTGCGGTCAATCGCAAGTGTCAGTTACTTGTCTATGCACAATAATTTCCTGCGCGATTCGCTGATTTCGCTGGGTGGCAAACACTCCTAAGCAAAAACAAATCTGGTTCGGCGCAGGGCAACATACCCCCTAACGCTGACAGCCACCTGAAGAAGCATCGCTCTTCGCATGTATAATGCACCCGATGAATCAATGTCAGCTCCCATGTTTGGGGACGGGATGCACAATTCACCATGGCCCGTGTTTGGGGGATCTTTAACCTAAGCCTTTTTGTCATCTGCACCTGGAGTGTTCCTTGCCTACTGTGTAAACCAATGCGCGCCCTGTACACGACGTTATACATCCTCCGTTACATATCCGTTGGATATCCTCCGTCACACGGACCATCAATACGTGGGGCATTCGTAACCCACCCTCCATACATAAGGTCACATGACCACAAGCTGAACATAGCACCATACCCTTGTAATTTTGAATCTGGCCTACAGATTTAAAACCGAACCGATAACAAACAGACAAGCCCCTGTTTGAAGGTAGCGAGAACGGGGAAAAATCGCATAATTCCTGCCTACTCTGCCCTTGGTTTTCATACAAGTCATAACACATAGACGTATCATATCGGTCCTGCTGGCCTGAGAACCTAAGTTTTAACTATCCGTATAGATTGCAACCACTCCGGTATGCATGCTAAAACGCTGCTGTGGCAGCTATTCGCTGCCGTGCTCAGCATCCTGGCCACTAGCTACGTCGCCAAACCGCCATTAGAAGGCGACGCTACAACCACAAACTTATCTTACTATCGGCATCTAAAACAGCGAGGTCACAAGTCCCAGCGTGCCCCCAATGCTCAAACCATCGATCACGGCCGAGATATCAAATCCTCGGGAAGTCACGAGATGCAATGCAAAATTCTTTCAGCTGGCCCACGGCCAGCGCACCAGGCAATCCTTACATAACATGCCATGCATCCGCCATTCGCTGGCGCTTGACTTCAGGCTCAACAGGCCTCACCACTGGCAGGCTGCGTTTGCTGCGGCGCAATGTCTTTTCCGGGTGGACAACCTTGAATGCTCGGAGCGCGGTCGGTTTCCACTTCGCCTTTTCGTCACCAAGGCCCAGCTGTCCGCTGTCGCCGCGACCCCACATGTACAGCACGCCGCGACCAGTGATAGCTGCGGAATGCTCGTCACCACACTGCACGGCCACAACTCCTGGCATTTGCACCACCGTGCGAGCGAACCGGCACCTCTCCTTGCGATCGCCTTGACCAAGTTGGCCCCAGGTGTTTGCACCTGCGTAAGAAATCGAGGAGAATGGTTACATTACATCGATCCATCAGCCCACAATTTGCAACCCGCCTCATGCAAGCTAACCAGCTGCTGACTACATACCTGTTGTACGAACCTCCATGCGCCCATTGTTTAGAACAAGCACCAGGGTGTGCGATGCGCCGCATGAAACTTGGACGGCGCGCCTGCATTTACCGTCTTCTGGGTCCTCTCCGTTCAGGTCCACGCGAGTTGGCGTCCACCGATCCACACAATCGCCAGTACCCAAGGCTCCATGATCGTTGCGGCCAAACGCCAGCAGTGCGCCACCGACCGTGAGCGCCATGGAATGGTAGGCACCGGCAGCGATAGCCGTCACCCTGCATCCAGGAAGTAGGTTGTGTAAAGACCAAGCCGGGGACGCGGCAAACAATACAACACACGACGTCAGCAGGATTTTATCTTTTACCCCTACGCTTCTCCTGTAGCCATTAGCTTCAGTACTTCAGTCATATGCTTCACAGTCGCCAATCGCTAACATTCCTACGACGTAACAGGGAAAACCTAACTGCATCGTGCGATGTACGTCAGATGCCCGACTGTGAATTAGGCTTGAGCAAGCTGAAACGATCACGTCGACACACCTTGCGTCCGGAGAAAGGGGAACTGGATCCAGCTCAGCAATCTTGCGGGGCTGCGGTACCACAGAAAGTGCCGGCTGAAGCGCCTTATGGCCGAGCTGGCCGTATCGCCCGTCTCCCCAGGTAAAGAGCGATCCATCCGCAGCCAGAGCCATAGAATGCGTGACGCCAGCGCTGGCAGACACCACTCGTACGCCCCTGGGATTTGAAACGAAATTGTCAATCATTGCTATTCAAAGCTTAGGGGAATCATCAGCAGTTACGCCTGAAACAGACAAATGCAGGATTTCATGTAGCATGCTGTAGCAGCATACACGGAAGCTTAACAATAAAAACAAGATGCATACGTACTCGAGGGTTGGGATACGTGTGAGGCGCGGACTGTCGACAACGCCACCTAGGCCTAGCTGGCCATGCCTCCCGCGTCCACAACTCCAGAGTGCCCCGGTCTCAGCGATGGCCAGCGTATGGTGAGCACCTGCTGCAATCGACACAATGCGCGTCTGGACCAGGCATTGCCGAGGCACAGGCAGCTCAAGCGGGGACCACTGGCCAAGTCCAAGCTCGCCGCTGCTGCCCAGGCCCCACATAAAGAGCTCTCCTCTCCGGCTGATCGAGGCCGTGTGACTGCTCCCGCATGCCACAACAGCAGGCATGGTCTCCTCTTCCATATCCGGATTGTCCTGTCCGGGAAAGGAGAGTAGGTTCCAGTGCTCCTTTCCAGCTTCAAGAGAGACCCAACTCTTTCCGAGCGAGCATTAAACTTACCGAGCAGACCCTGAATCCAAGCGAAGCGAGCCTTGGGAAAGAAGTGCTTTCGTGGGTGCCAATACCCAACTGCCCGTGAAAACCTGTGCACAAGTAACGAGGTTTTGAACACACCGTCGCGCATGCCTAATGCATGTCCTGACATAGCAAGTACGTACCTCGCCCGAAGGTAAACAGGGAGTGCTTGCAGTCGCGGCTTGCGCTTGTATTGGGGTCGTCTGCAATTTCCGCTGGTACCAGTAGTGCAGCGGTGTGGTAGGCACCGCAGGAAACTGCGGTCGCCTGCGGTGGCAGGAATACGAGGAGTTAACCACGCTCTAACTGCCAAGAAACCGTTGCCTTGCGCTGGCCACGGCTGCGATGCCCACCTGCGCCGCTGCAACACTTTGACTATTTACGAAGTGAAGCAGAGACAGCGTGTGCTCGCCTTCCCTGCAGAAGTTGAAGCTCGCAACGGTGAATTTCAGTGGGTCGCCAGAGGACAGCAATACAAACACTTACTTGCGATTAGGCTTCAAGCCCCGAGCACGTGGCACTGCTTTCAGCCGCTGCTTGGCGATACGGTCGATGAAGCTAGAGCGTCGAAAATATGTGCAGGTCGTTTCGAGCATGCCGAGCTGGTGAGTCGTGCACAGGTTCAGGATGTTCTCGACGAGCTGCAAGAGATAAAGACAGCAGAAAGTGAACATGTGCTCGTTATTAGGAAAAACTTACCGAAGGGCGAACAAGAACCGGCGGCTGAACCCAACGACCAAAGAGCTGAACCCCCTCAACTTACCTCATCCGGCAGCAGAGACCACAACCCGCACTGCAAGTTTGCATCTGCAAAACCTTCAGGTTCGCCCAAAGCAGCAGGCTCAAGCGTAATATTTTGTGGGGCCAGAAAGTAACAGGTAGGCCGCTCCTGAACTGATGACGGAGGTTGTTCATGCTGCCAATCCTGCGACGCTGCGACTGGCTTGTTACTTTCAACCCGTTTTGCAAAGCGCTGTGAACGGCGAAGGGGCGGTGCAGCGTTGCCCGTGTTGGTATCCATATCGACTGTGGGTCATGGGTCACAAAGGATAGGCGTCGGGCGCAGAAGGCAGTTGCGAAGAACGTCAACACCGTTGAAGCTCAAAATTATCTCCAGCAGCTGTTTGGCAAAAGTTGCCAGCCAGGGAGAGTCTTGGGACCGAAACTTGTCCGAGGCAACAGCAAAGCTGCGGTCGGAAAAGTAGCACTAACAAGCACAAGGACAAGCCTTACCCGTTTCAAGCTTTGCTGTTAACCCGAGGAACTGCTTGCCTTCCGGGTCGCTGGAGGTGTGGAGATGGCCGAGAAGAGACTGTTGGAGCTGAGTTCAACCCTCAAAGCTTATCGATGCAAGGTTACCTTTAATTAAAGTTGGAATAAGTTGGGTTTACCTCTACAGCAGTAGGGGCACCATCGTTCTTAAAACTGACACGGGGGTGTACGGCTGCAAACGGTGGTGCAGCAAGTGACAGCAAGCTAGCGCCCGTGCAAAGCCTTACTTGTGCTTGCTATTTAAAGGGATACATTGAAGATAAATGAAGGTGTTGTCACTGTCTCTAGCCGTCCGAGCATGGATTCGTTTCCTACGGGGAAATGGCGCTCTACAAATAAGGGGGTTGTAAAGCTTACTCCGTAGATCAACGCCTTTAGGACCAAAAACCAAACAAAAGTATTACTATAATCAACGATGAGGGGAAAGCTGCAACGTTATGGAGGATGGGCATGTAGGGTTAAGGCTTGTTTGTTCATTACTCTCCTAACGGGAACACGTTACTGGTTTGATGAAGTCCACGCGACGCAACGAGACATCTTGGTCATGTACAGCTTCGCACCAACCGACCCTGAGTTCGTGCGCAACCTTGGGTACTTTGTGAGGGAAGCCATTGAAGGTGACACACGCAGTGACTACATTATCATCGTGCAGGAGTCCACTGAAATGCATGTAGGTTATGGCATCACGGCGGGGGAATTCCCAACCTACGGTCTTCCAATCATGCATGCGGGTTGCATTATACCAACAGCATTGCTTCCATTACCCCCGATAGTTTGCGTGAATTTCACAACGTGGGAGTCCACAACGCGACCCTGCACTCCCGGTGCCTCCTCAATGGTGGACCTGTTGTATTGGGTATCGCCACTGCGCAAGGGCTTTTGTTACACCTAATGCTCAAGGCCACCCCCCTCTGGCGATACAATCCATGAAAACATAATTTGGATTGTCCTGTTCAAAACAATCTGTAGCTTTCCACGGTTGGCCTTGGCAGTGCCGATGCACCCTCGTAGATTGTGCAGGGGGAACTGCAGGGGTTCATCTGTTCTTAGGCACGTGGTGCTCATCCTGTCTGCTAATCGACGTGCGCACGAAAGTGCAAATACATATGCAATTGCCGCCTGTTTATGTGCCTCAACAGTCAGACAAGACACCGAACTTGCGTCCTTTGCTATTGTGTCGTCGGTTTACATATGGATGTGTGCTAGGCACACTGCGACCTCGTACCGCACGCTGATCCTGCTTAGCCGTTCACGTAATGTCCCGGCATCATGCTTCCAGGGCGGTGATAGGAGAAGGCCTCTTCGAATGGCCTCCATCCTGGCGTCAGCTAGCCATGACTAACTGAGATTCCGGTGCTTTATCTGAAGAGCCCTTTCCTGGCACCTTGGCTCTGGGCACGACCACCCACGGCATTGATATGCGGATTTACTCTTGTTGATTGCTTCTTTTTATTTGCGCAGAATGCCAAGCTACCCGATCTGCCCCGTCATGCGCGATATGTCCGGCATACCAACCGTTGTTATGACTGGGGCTCCTATGGCTGGCTTCTGTTCACTGGCCGTGTGGACGCCAGGCGCTACAAGTTTTTCTTCTTCATCAATTGCAGTGTCCGGGGTCCGTTCATGCCCGTCTACGCTCGGGTACGCCCCAGTGCTTGTGCCGTGAATTGGCTGGGGTATGCGGTGTGGTAGCTGTCAACGTTAAGGCAGGATAAGAACAACCAGCAGCTCAATGGTGCTCCTGACATTCCGCAGGGACATATACACTGGACGCAGCCGTTTACTTCCCGCCTGGTTGGGGACGTAAAAATGGTGGGTCCGACCATCAGCTGCGAGGGCAGCGCCCTTAACGGTGACTTCCGCGGCAAGTGGCGCTATAACCCCCATGTGCAGTCTTATGCTGTCGCGACCGATCGGGTGAGTGGGGCAGGGTACCCTTGTGGATTTATGCGGAGGCGCCCTTTTGTCGATGGCACTATAGCAACGGAAGCGGTGGCAGTACGCGGTGGGAAGAGAGGCGACCCTCAAATGGCCAAGTGCTGCTTGGTCCTCTACTTGTTCGCACCCTAGCCCAGCGCTCGTTTTCTTCTTAGGGTCAAAGTAATGTGTGCCCTCCTCTTGACTAGGTCGGCTTGCAAGTGCTCCTGGACGATGGTCGCGTCTTTCACTGTCACAACAATCGGTGGAACACCATTTACTATAGCGAGTTGGGTTCTTCCACTGCCATACTGAAGGCTGGTTTCAACATCGACTGCCTTATGACCAAATACCAGAAGATTGATTGGCGGAAAAAATCGAGCTGGGGCTGTAATGCAAGGTTCGTAACTGCTGAATAAGGCATTCCAGGTCCGTGTATGCGCGTTCGGACACGGAAGTTGTGGGGAGCTGGCAATGCCGTGAGATGTGTTGTGGGCATTACGACGAAAGGTGTGTGGAGTGCGTAGATGTAATGTCGCGCCTCTAACATGCCATATTGCTTATTACTAGGGCGTCGAAGTTTTACGTTTTCACCGTACACAGGTCAAGTCCTCAGTCCGAACTGACCTACGACGGTATAACGTTGGACCCGCTGGAAGTGATGTTCGTAAAGGTCAAGGAGTTCCTGCTGCAGCGCAACGTCACCTACGCGTTGAGGGCAGCCCAATACGACTCATGGCTGGTGAGGGTTTCTTGTTTCTTATATGGTGCCTTATGGTATGGCCATACCCTGCGTTGTATGCGTGTGTACCATATGAGATGTGTATATTGTTTGGGAAGCCGCGCACTGCTTTAGTAGCGCTGCGTCGGTTAATGTATGTTGTTGCGTATGGTGCCGCCATGCAATGGGTAGTCTGTGGATTGCAAGAGGGTAGTGCCAAGTGCGCATGGCCAGCCGTCTTTTGACGATTTCGGGGGTGCAAAAAAGGGTCTTTGCGAACGTACTTATAGGATATTGTTCGAACCCGATGTTTAGCATCGCTCACTTCTGTCGTGTCCAGGAGGCCGGGCCGTCGAAGAATCGTTCCGTGGTGCTGTCAAACAAGTACGCGGACGACGAATTTGCATACAAGGCCCCCCGCATCCTCGTTGCTAAGGCGCGCGGGCCTAGCTGTTTCGATATGGATTTCTACCGGCAGCGAAATCCGGACCTGACGGGCATCAGTTCGGACACTGCGGCGTGGAGACATTATACGTTCTATGGACAGTTTGAGCGGCGTCCACACAGGTAGGCCATTAAATCATTGTTGTATTCAGAAGCCGGCAAATCCTGCGGGTACTGCGGGTCCGTACCACAGTACCCGCAGCCGAAATTCGGCTTAAGCCCCGGCTGCGGTTCCCTAATGACCAAACTTTTACCAAAAAGATGTGACTTGCAGCCTCTATTGGGTCCCGTAGGGCCACGCACTGAACTGGAACTCTATGTGGTCTGTTAGGTTTACTGACCGAAATTATGCCCTCCCGCAGCCGTAGAAACCGATTTGCCGACCTCTGGTTGTATTCGCTGATAACGGGTCAGGCAGTTAGGCTCACGGGTCACCATGATCAGTGCCGGTACCTCGTACTTAACCGTTCATTAACCATCCAGCGCGGGAGTTTGACGACATCTGCGGCGCATTGCCCACCCTGGCCAACTGCCTTCCCCGTGACGGCCCCTATGGCTCGCGTTCTAATCCTAGAAATTTTCACGCTTGGGCTTCCGTAATCTCCTTCCAACGGCAAATCTTTCCCATCTCCGGGCTTTCTGAATCCTGCACACTCCCAAGCCCTTTTGCACAACCGAGTCCCGCAATTGCAGCTGAATAGCTGCAAGATTGCAAAACGCACACTTGTCCTGCGTGTTTTTTCCATCAACAGGTTTACATGCCCTATGAACTATTCCAAGTACTTCAAGAACTGAGGGTGATGCTTACTGCAGTTTATCCTGGCGTCTTTTGAGTTGGCCAGTTGGCAACTGCATGTACGGCAGCGGACTTGGCTATTCTGATGGTATCTATGGACCAAATCATGACAACGTAGTTTTGTAACAATATAATGATAAAACGCGTGAAATATGGCGATGCACGATGATTTGTGTTTAGTGTGCGCGGACCCATTAGAATTTACAGCTTTTGGTTCCTGCGGACACAAGGAAGTCTGTTCAAGATGCGTTGCCCGCATGCGCTTTGTGCTGAAGGATCGCGGCTGCGTCTTTTGTCGTCAGGAGAACGCGCAGGTGTACTTTACCCGGTTTATGGGAGATTACACAGCACGTCTGGCGCCGGAGGAGTTTGAGAACTTGCAGGTGGGCGACTCTTAGCGTGATTTTACTTATTGATTTCTGATGGCCTGACCTGGCCAGCCTGAATGACCTGGCCTTTGTGTCGCCCGCCGCAAGGCCCGCGCGGACCGGCGTGAGCTCTTCGCGCTGCCTGAAATCAACGGTTACTTCGACGACGAGAAGCACTTCCAGGAGATACGGTACGTGTTTTCGTTCCTGACTTGGCAAAGTAGTTGAAGGCTTGCAAAGGCGGTCTTTTCGACCTGCAGGGCGTTGTGCGGGTTCACTCACCCTATTTTGGAATCTGGGGTTGCCAAGAACCCCCTAAAGTTCAACAACTTCAACTCGCTTAAGCGGCACATTGAGGGCACATATAGCCAATATTTCTGCGACGTGTGTCTCAAGGGCCGAAAGGTGCGTGCGCGGATACCGTGGGCTGCGGGGAGACATGCCCACAAGATGTCTGGGGTGTGAAGGGGAAGGTGTTGTAAAAGAGGAATGACCCTGTCTTAGCTCTGCCGGGAAGGAGTTTGGCCGGGCAGTTCGACTTCGGCAAAAGCTGTTTGCATGCATTTTTGGGGTTTATGACTAATGGCGATGACGGGTTGCAGGCATTCCTGCTAATCCTTGTTTTCCTCCTTGCATCTACCAGGTCTTCCTAAGCGAGCAGATTCTGTACAGCAAAGATGCATTGCGCAGACATCAAGAGACGGGAGACGAGTCGGGACCCATGGCGGAGAGCGGGTTCAAGGGACATCCATTATGCAAGTTCTGCCGCACACGTTTCTATGACTCCAACGAGTTGTATCGGCATATGGAAGGCAGCCATGAACACTGCTTCTTGTGCAGGCGGGCTGCCCCCGACAAATACGTCTACTACCGACACTACAAGGTTGGTCTCGGTTGCGATGGGCAATAAGCCTTTTTCGTTTGCAAAAGAACGCGGGGTACGTGTCAGACAGCCTTTATTTGCCGTTTGAACGTGGAAAACGGGTGTTACATGTATGCTTGCCTGCATCCCGTGGCGGAGTGCCACGTGTTGGGCTACAAGAGACCGCTGCATATCCTTGTGTCACTCTGACGCCCCTTTCACCCCGCTTTGCTTATGACTGCACCTGCGGACGGATGACACCATGTACGGCTAGGAGCTCGAGGGTGAGCGGCGTGGAGATGTTTTTCAGAAGCCAGTGGGTTCGTGCCTGAACCGTTGTGAATCCTGCCTTCACTTGGTGGTGTGTGTTTCGTGAGCAGATAGCATGGGCATGGTCGTGCGATGCATGATATGGTTCAGAGCGTGGGCTTGCTTTCGCAATTATGCAGCTTGCCAACGAAGTTACAGTTCGATGTTGTGCGGCGTTCCTTGTGTGGCGACGCTTCTTTGCAGATCACTTCACCAAGGAGCACCACCCGTGTCCACATCCAGTCTGCCTGGAGCGCAAGTTTGTGGTGTTCAGCACCGAATACGAGCTGAAGGCGCACTTCGCGTCCGAGCATGGTGATGAGGTGAAGATGTCGGCAGCTCAGCGGCGTCAGGCACTTGCAATTCCTTTGCAGCTGCAGTACCGGTCACGGGATGACGAGGAAACGGAGCCGGGGGCCAGCGCGCGGCTCGAGCGGGCTGGTAAGGGCTTCCTCGGGTTTTGCGCTGCAGAAGTGGATTAGACCTGCTTTGTCGATTGGCTTGCCTGGATGTACGTTTGTATGGCATAGCTGAACAGGCACGTATCTGTCCATTGCGCTTTGCCAATAGGGCATCAGCATCATTACTTGGAACATGGTGACATGGTTTTCCTCCTCTCTTTCACTGCGCTCTGGATACCTGCTTGGAAAGCCATTGTTATCGGCGGTGGACACAACATTGGAAGCCGGGCGGCCCGCAATGGCCGCGGTCCGTCTAGCGGGATACACCACAGCCGCTCAGAACCCCAATTTTTCCAGACAGCGAGCACCTCAGGGCAGGAAGGTGCTTCGGAGGTGAGGTGGGGTAGAAGCCGCTCTTTTTGAACTGGGGTGGGCGACATTGAAGCTGGGGAGGAGATGTACGTTGGGGCGGCTTCCTGCCCACGACTTGTGAGGGTGAAAGAAGAAGGGTTACATTATTACCGGACATTGCACACACTGCGTGTCCTCGATGTCTCTGCAGGTTAGCAGCGTCACATTCACCGCTGAGGATTTCCCGGCACCGCCCAGTTCTCAGCAAGCAGCTGCAGGGGCATTGGGTCGATGGGCGGCCTTCACTGGCGCGCAACCCAGCGCCGGAAGCCTGTCCGAGCACGACTTTCCGGCGCTGCCAACGCTGTCTAAGAATCAACGGCGTCGCATTAAGGAGCAGCAGCGTACACTGGCGGAGCGCCTAAGCGCAGCAGCACAGCCCCCCCGCGTACTGAACCGTGCTGGGCCAGGGCCAAGCGGCACCAACGGAGCAAGTGCAGCTGGGACGAATATGCCAGCCAGCAGCTCGGCCCAGGTAATTCCGGGTACTGCTGATTTCCCGGCTCTCAGGCCGTTGCAGCAGGCCCCATTGGCAACGCCACCTCAGCAAGCGTCTTTACGGGCGCAAATGCAAACCATAAGCGCCTCACCAGCCACGCGTGCGGCGGACGTCGTTGCTCCCGCCCCTGCTAACCGCCGCCCGCCAGGGTTCGGGCAGGAAGAGTTTCCAGTCCTTGGCGGTGGTATGAGTGTGCAACGGGTGTCACCACCTCCGTCGTCGGAACCGCCCGCTGCATCATTGGGTGTCCTCCCAGGACCTGCGCTGTCCCAGGCTGCAGTGCTCAACAATTTCTTCATGCGTCCTGGCTCTGCCGCAGCAACTACGTCAGCGGCAGCTGCAACCACGCCTGCTCTCGGGAATAAGTCGGATGCAGCAGCGCAGCTTAAAGCCGAGGACTTTCCATCCTTGCCGGGTGGCAATAACAAAGCCGGGGCCAAGGCACGTGCAACGAAGGGCCAGGTCAAGGCGTCCTCCGAAGCAAAGACCCAGACAAGCGCCAATACACCGGAGCCTGCTGTTACCAGCGCCTCCGCTGCCCCACCTAGCAGTGGTGCCGGAGGTGTTTCGGACAGCCTTAAAGCAGCGAACAAGGCGCTTGTTGAGCGGATTAAGCGCCAGCTCAGCGGTGCAGCGTTTGACACATTTCGACAGCAGAGCATGTTCTTCATGCGGGGCGAGCTGACGGCGGAAGAATACCATGATTATATGGTAAGTCTTCCTACAATAGCCAAGCTGTCTTTATTACGTGCCTGCGCAAAAACAAGTAGAGTACTGGAACTTCGGTGTGCACCGGGATGTGCGGGATCAACCCACTGCGAGTCATAAAACCTGTCGTAGATGCAAGAACCTATTTGGGCGGGTTCAACCCAATCCCGCTCTGTGTGCTATTTTCCAGGTGAGCCTGGGCTTGCTGTCCCTAGTAGCGGAATTGGTATCTCTCTGTCCAGATACTACGAAGCGAAGGTTGCTGCTGGAAGTGCACCGCGCCTTCATCTGCTCTCCCGCGGCGCAAGACCCGGGGCTGGTCGGTGCCGGCTGGATGCCCCCCGAGGCGGCGGTGGCAAAGGCCGATCGTGTCGCTCAGCAGTCGGCATGGAGCTGCCAGCGCTGTAACCTCTGTAATGCACCTGACCATGGCCGATGCGAGGCCTGTGGGAGCTCGCGGCCCAGAGAGGAGGAGGAGCTTGCTGCAGCCACAGCGGCCGTGGCACTGGAGCCAGTACAGGCGGCTTCAATCGTTCGGGGCGCCATGCAGCCGGCGGCAGCGATGCCGTTGAGCGCGCGTGTGCCCATGACTGAATCTCCAAAACCGCCGCGGAATCCGCCAGCCGTGGAAGATTTTCCACCGCTATTGACGGAATCTAGTCGGCGAGGCTCAGCAGCGGCAAGCGCGGCAGCAGGAAATCGCACAGAAGCCACTGGCGGCGATGATGGGGCGGCTTCATCGTTAGGTGCAAATTCGGCCAAGGGGAAGAAGGGAAAGGGCACAATGATGAAGATAGGCTTGCCGGCATCCGGGGCCGGCGGAAGCTCCGGAAGCCGGACGCACCCGCAAAACGCCTGGACGCAGCCAGCTCTCAAGGCGAAGGTTGCAAACTCTTGGTCGGGACAGGGAGCTGGGAAAGTGGCTAAGATGCATGGAGCAATCAACGATGCTTGGGATTAAGGGAGTTTAGGCTGTGCTCTGGGTTTTACGAAGCTGCGCCGATAGGGCGCCCCATCGTAAGAAGCTCGCGCGAGAACTTTAAGCGTGGACCGCTGAGGGGGAGAGCGTATAGCTAGATTCACTGCTAGAATAACTGGTGTCTGGGACCCCGCTTGCCGTGTGCCAAAGGTTTAGGGTGCCTTTCTGGTGTGTTGTTGCACAAAACGACTAATGGTAGTGGAGGCATGCAGGTTGCGTTGTGTTATGGCTTAAGTTGCACAACTTATAAGCTGTGCGTGATGTGCTGTTGGACGCGAGGCGAGAAGACTGTGTGTGGACGACCGGCTTTCGGAATGGGAACATGATGGAGCCGTATAACTTGCCTTGGTACAGTGCCAATGAACTCTAGCATAAGGATGGCCCTGTAACGTGGCTGAATTGGGCGCTTTTGGTCCCTACCTTGCTGATCCGGAATGAGGAGTGGCTTTCATTGACTACCGCTCACGGACGGCATAGTGAAGTCACAGAACATCATCTCCATACCAAAGATTCCATCTTATCTGCCGTACAGCGGTCAATGTTCTGGCCGAATGTCAACACAATCTAGGTACCTATTGAGGCTTCACTTAATTGGAATGCTTCAGGGCAGCACACCCGGGCATTAATCCGATTAAAGATGCATACACACGGAAAGAGAAATGGTACCAGGTTGGAGTTTGGCTAGCTCCATTTGCAGTCCAACCCTGGGCTACCTACAAGCTTCGACTTCCGGTCGGGTTGGTGTACGGATATCGTGCAGCCAAAACTAAACTTTCGCATCTATCGATTAAAGTTATATCCATCCAAACCCCACACTGATGCGGACGTGTTACGCGAGAATGCCTTTCATTAAGCTGTCATGGCGTGCTGAACAAATTCCACAAGCAGAGCCCTCCCCTGCCATGGAGCTTGGACAACATAGGCATTGAACTGTACTTTACCAATGCTCCATGGGAAACGGAACTAGTATACATGAAAACAGTGGAGGAACAGAGTGGTGGGTTAAGTACTGCCGGAGCGCATGGCGGAGCCAGAGAAGCAAGCAGCTTGACGAGCTTCTTGGTGAGCGGAATATTTCTGTGCTGGACATATGGTGTCTGAATCGCGGAAACGGCCGGTGCATGTCAACAGTCGTTGTTGCCGCTGCTGGGTGGGACAACCATCAGCTAGAAATTTTTTGTTCAAGATGAAGTTTTCGCGCATTCTGCCCCCAATTATGCCGTAAGCAATTGGGCTTGGCGGATAGATTGGTATGTAGTCGGAAGGCCAGTGCCCTCCTATTGTCCTTGCCAGAGTCATATCCTAGAATTTCATAATGCCAGTAAGGTTGAAGGGCATTGGGTGTGTGTTAGCCTTGCGAGCACTTACGATTGGGTAGACGCATTTGTACGTGTGTTTGGCAACACACTATATGATCTGACTTGTGTAACTCTTACAACACAGGCCGGTTCGTCGTAATGATAAGTTGCTTAATGTACTTCCGTCGATGGACGGTAAAGACTGAGAGCCGAACGGCTCGCAGCAGCGACGTACTAACGATGTTACTGTCGCCACTCTGACTTTTCATTACCAAGATGCTCATAACACCCACCTGCATGTCATGCCGCCACCCGTTTGACAAACCCAGGGCTGCAGCGCCCACCCCTACGGAGGGGCCAATCAATAACAAACCTTGACGAGCTTGTGAAGAAGCTTACACAGGTGGGCCAACCGCGAACTCCAAAAGATGGACGTGTGCACTGCACGTGCGGCATTTGTGCCTAGGACTGCCCACCACCCCCGCACCTGCAACAGGAGCCCATTCCCCTCCTGACGGACTCAGAGGACAACAATGACCTTAAAGCAGCTATTGCGAAACTCAGCAGTGGCAGCATTTTGCACACTGAAAAGCGTGCCATCGAGCGCCTGCTGGCCCAGCGCTACGAGGATGCGCTTGCTATTGCCGCAGCCGCCACCTCGGAACAAGGCGGTGCAGAAGCGCTGGGGGGAGCCTCCGAGGTGCTTCGACAGGTGGGGCCGCACATACACGTCACGCTCCTTGGGGTTGAGGCGACGGTGGTACGGCACTGAACATGGACCCTCGCGCCGGCTTGCAGTTGCGTATCTCTCTTAGTTACATGAACAACGTCGCCTTTATAACAACAGAACGCGGCCACTGAAAGCTTACGCATATTCCGCCGTTGGAATACGAAAGTTTGGAACAGATTATATGTGTGTTTGTTCCTGACGTACAAGTCTGTGCACTCGTCTGGCGCTGGCACCATTTCAACCCAGCGCGCGCGGGCGTCTCCTGCCGTGCATGCGCGATGGAGCGCATCTACTCGGTTGCTGCGTGGTGCATCTAGTTTTCTTGAGTAGTTGCCTTATCGCTTAGGGGTCGTACAGACGGAGGGGTACCTGCAGGCAGGAAAGTTGTGCTTGCTTCCGTGGGTGGTGGGGGGCGAGCCTGGTTACCGAGCAACTCTGCTTCCGAACGCTGTAGATTAGGCGAAGCTGCAGCGGAAACCTGTCAGTACTGACGCTATGAACTCGCGAAATTACTCTTTCCGTCGCACTCCTGCGGCTTACTCTAGCCTTGTACGGTCCAGCCGTACGCACCAACGACATTCAACCGAGTACGCTCTCGGCAAATACACAGAAAACCTTGGTTTTCTTTCGTTTCACTCATATACCCTACAGTTATCCGGTCATTCGATGACGGCGAACTTGTGTAAGTGGGCGGCCTGCGTGGGCACCGGGATCTGCTTTAACCTCCGCTTGCGTTTTCCGCAATATCCTTTGTCGGGGTATGGCCGTCAGGTGCTGGTCGTCTTCCGCCAGAACAACCTGCCCACAGAGCTGGACCGCAGCGGCTTGGGGGAGCCGGCGGAGTGGCGGGTGCGCACCCATGAGCAGCGGCGTAGGGTGTTCCTAGTTGTGCGGTCCATGGTGCGATTGAAGCGGGAGGTCAAGCGGCTGAGCGCGCCCATCACAGACCTTGGCTGGCTGGTGCCGGTGGCGGCTCAGGAGCGGTGGGGAGAGCTCAAGGCGTTGGCAGCTAGGTACCGGCAGCTGGAGGGGGAGCTACTGGACACCGAGGTACGGAGGGCCGGGGACAGGACAGGGGTAGGAGAGCGGTGGGGCCAGCTGCAAGAAACTGGGTTGGCGTATCAGCCTTGATGATTGGCCCATTTCCCTTCTTTGCCATTCTTTGGGACACGTCAGAAGGTTGGGATCTCGGTGATATGGCACGACGACGGTGTCTGTTTGCGGAATTCACAGCGAGATGGAGTTGGGGGAGCTGCGGATGGTGCGCGTGGCGCCCATCTGCACCAGGCGTAGATACAGCACTCGGCAGTCGTTGGGCGCTGGTGCCTAGGGCCCTAGGCTCCCTGACTGCTCCCGTTCCATGCCTCGCAGGTTGCTGTCTCTCAGCTGGCGCAGCTGCGAGACGGAAACGGAAAGGCGCCGGCATCTTCGCGGAACACTGCAGGGGGCCGAGCTTCCCCGCAACGGGCCCTGCGCAGCGGGCCAGGCCGCAGCGGCGGGCAGGGAACAGGGGGCCGCGCGGTCAGCGAGTCGGGGGCCATGAACCTGCGATCCAAGCCGCGTACCGCACTCACGGCGGACCCACCCCCTCCACCGATAGCGGGCGTGCGTGGCGGCCGCCGCCACGGCTCCGTCCCAGAGTCCACCAGCGGCGGCGCTGGCGCCGGCAGTCAAGCCAGCACGCCCCTTCTGCTACCGTTGACTTCACCTGGGAGCAACAGCGGGATGGCCGCGTTGCGCACACCACTGAACGGCAAGAAGGGCGGCGCTGGGGGGTCCGACGGTGTGGTCATCAGCAGCGGAGGCGGCGCCGTGGGCCCTTCGGCAGCCACGTCGGCGCTGGTGCCCACGATTTCGGCGCAGCGGTCCGGCTCCAACTCAGCTCTAAGCGGCCTGTACAGTACACGTCTGTCGATCAGCGGCGGCAGCACCACTGCGGGTGGTGTGGGCGCGGCCGGCGGTATCCTGTCGGGGACGGTATCACTGCCGCCGCCCAATGGTGTCGGGTCCGCCGCGCATGCCAGGGTGTCCGCACCTGGGACGGGGCTGGGGCCTGCTCCACCTTCGTCAGCGGCGGCGGTGGTGCCGACCGTTTCACCCAGGTTCTCGCAGCGGGATCCAACACTGTCGCGGTCCGTGGCGACCCTGGGCTGCACGCAGATGGGTGAGTGCACGAGCTGGGTGCGGTGTGATCTTGGTGAAGCAGGTGGCAGCAGGGAAAACGCCTTTCAATGGCCGTCACCAGTGATGTGACATCTATTATAGCATGGAGTGGGGGAAAAGGGAGGAAGCTAGCCGTAACGGAATTCCAAACCGTCACACGAACTCTCGCTCTGTACGTCCGCCGTCATACCCACACCACGCCCACACCTCGCAGCTCGGCAACCATTCCTCACCGGCGACGGCGGCCCCGTTCCCAGCGCCCTGCCTCGCGTGGCGCAAATCTTGGACCTGACCACGTACAACCCCAATGCACCACACAACATTTCGGTCCCCTTGGAACCCGAGCGCCGCCCCTCCTCTGTCAACACCTCAACCAGCGCCCCAGTCAGCATGTTGTTATGCAATGAGCAGCAGACGCCCCTGGCTAGCCCCACGACACCAACCGTGCCACGCAAGCCCGATACTGTGCCAAACGGCACCGGCAGTGCAGTCCAACGCAGTAACGGTGCCGGCGCCGGTGCCGGAGGCGGACGGCCCGTGGAGCCCTCGCCACCGTCCGCGCCCCCACCCATCGCCGGCGCGCGCCGGCCGCTGGGCCCTCTCTCGCACAGCTCCCCTGCACCCCTGACGATGGGGGCTGCGGCCGGTGCAGCGTTGGCCGTAGTGCGGTCTATGGGTGTAACAGGCCATGGCGATGCAGCTGGTGCGGCCCCGGCAGCAGCGCCGGTTGGGGGTGCGGTCGCAGCTCCTCCAAGCGCTGCTGGACCGCCGGTGCTGATCCAGGACGGTGAGTCCTTGGAGCAGGCGCTGGGGAGGTTCAAGCTGTTGGCGGAAGACACCCGCAATGCGCTGGTGGACACGGCGAGGCAGTTCCGGAATGTGGTGGACCTGTGCAACAGCGCCTGGCCAGATCAACGCTGGTGGCTGGCGGCCCACACGCAGGATGACGCGGCGCTGGACACCTGGCCGAGTGAGACCGGGGCGTGATACAGTAACAGGGACAGGCGCTTCTAAGCGCCTAAAAGCGCAGTGCACATTTATTAGGTGTTACGTCTTGGCTTCTGTATACGATGTTGCGTGATCCTGCCACCTAGCGCGGGGTGCGGATACGGATTTCTACGTATAGAGTGCATGACCAGTCTTGGCCTTAGCACCGGCCGGCGTGCAGCGGCTGCAGTCCTTGAGAAAGTTAATGTTGAACCGATCCTGAACTGGTCCTGAACTACACAGCTGACAACTCACAGCATTTGGATGGGAGTTGAGTTGATGTGGCGATGTGGCGATATGCCACACCCGGTAATCGCTGGCCACTGTAGCAATAGGAGTTGAAAGAGCAGCCGTTCACGTGGCTCTCCGTGTGCGGATGCCATGCATGAAGCACAGCGGTCCTTCACTGCTTTCCACAGCAAATCTAAACCCAGTCACCGCCGCCGCTCCGCTCGCAGCCTCCGATGAGTACGTGGTGCACCGTGCGGACATGGTGCGCTGCCTCAAGGCGGGTGCGGTGGCTTTCCAGTTCATGTGCTACTCCGACGAGCCGCTGGTGGGACCCACCGGCAACCGCTTCGACCTGTGGACCAGCGACCCCTGGGAGGTGGCCGCGGACCTCCTGGGATCGGACAGGGTGCGCGTCGGCTGGGGCAAGCGGAATGAGGGGTTCGCGAGTGCGGGAGGGTGCAGGCGCCCTTGGCAGCGGTGACGTGCATAGGGGTGCAGGTGCCACCTGCCGGCGGCCGCGGGGTGCAGTGGCTTGGAACTGCGCAGCGCCATGGCGGCTAAGGCAAAAGGCGCAGGTAGTGGTATCAAGGAAACGACATTCGCGCCGAGGGACATCCGAGCCTTTTTTGGACTAGTGGCCAGGAGCCGTAGTCCTATGCACTCGCGGGTGCTTGGGCCAGGCACAGGGCTCAGGGCCGCAGCAGTTTGTTTCATCCGTATGTCCGTCTCGCGCTTTCCGTTCCTTGCATCTGTAACGCGATATGACAACGTAACCCTGGGCTTTTGCTGCATCTACTACTACCCGATAAGGGTCGTTTTGCTGCCTGGTCTGGCTCCCGCACGCGACTCGCTCGGAACTCCCCTTCCCCTGTTTTGGCCCCGTGCGCTTGCTGCAGCTGGGTGAGGCACAGGGTTCGCCGCAGCGGCCGTCCGGCGAGCGCATGGTGGGGCTGCCGCTGGGTGTGCGGGTGCTGCAGCAGCTGGCCAACAGTGTGGCGGAGGCGGCGAGTCCTCAGGCGCTGGACTTGCTGCCCATCATCCTGCACATCAGCGAGCGCCAGCGGGAGGTCATCGCGGCGGACCTCCTCCAGTACGACATCTACAGGTGAGGCGGCCCGAGCAGCTGCGTAGCTGCTTGACCTCCTGTGTGGTAATGGTGATGGCGCCACGGAGTGACGTGTGGTCGCGGGCATCGCTGGGACTCTGGGTCAAAGCGACTGGGCTGTCGGGTATAACTTAGAAAATGGAAATGAGTGGCAGGTGGGAGAGGAGCTCAGGAACGAACTAGGGCGAACGAGGGGAGCTGGCGAGGTAAGATAAGGGCCGCACGCGGAGGTGGGGTTGCCGTCACGATGGCATTGCGCCCATAGGCCAGGGTATGCTTTTTCCCGCGAGGCGGGGTGTTCCTTGGCAGCTGAAGCCGCTGGACGCTGCCTTATTGTTCATGCCGCCAGTCGCGTCTCCTGTGCGACGACGGAACTGTCCGACCCGGGATCCTCAACGCGTCTTGTTGGTCACTGGTTGCGCACAGGCGCCTCCGTAAGAACCTGTACATCGTGGTGCAGCGGACCCATCCCGTCATGCGCTACAGCGCCGCGGACCACGCCTACCTGCCGGCGTCCGACCAGCCCGAACACACACCTGGGACCGGATACTCCATGCTGCAGGTGGGTTTCATTCGTTGTCCCGCTTCCGGCGACACAGGGGCAGTGCAGGGCTGCAGGTCCTGATAGCCGACTGGCTGATAGCCAGCAGCCTGACGGAGGTCGGCGCCTGATGTCGTGTAGCTCGGCGTTGGGCGGTCCCTGTGCCGCATGAGTCATATATGTATGAGGCACGCAGTCGCGCGGCACTGCGGAAGTACGTCTCCGTCAACACGGTTGCTTGCCAGTGTGGCTCCAGGGCCTTGTGCAGTCGCAGCTGCCACTCAATGGTTTGGTTTGGTTTGGTTTGCCCGGTTAGTCCGGTTTTGGCGAGATGATGATACGGTGAGGGAACAGGAGGGTCGCGATGGGGAATGGGGCCTTAGTCCTCGCAGCCGGATGGCCCTTTGAACGGCGTTTTGTGTCCTTTGCTGCGGCCCCTTGCAGCTGCTGTGGCCGGGACATGCCTTGTACGTGAACGAGTCCGGCGAACTCGAGCGCCTGCCACACAGCATCATGCAGGAGCTCCGAGACCGCTCCACCGAGTAGGTGCCACATCAACAGCGAAAAAGGGTTTGCGAGCTCCTGTGAAGCTCCTGGTTATTCCCAATGCCCCTTGCAACCAGGTGTTGTGGCTGAGTCGTTGGCTGGGTGCTGGCAGGTTATTATCGCAATGCAGGGTCTTGCGGTGCTTGCCGGGCCTGTGGGGCTTGGCCTTGTACCCCTTGTACCTTTCCGTATCGTTGGTTTGGGCCGTGTCGGGTCTACTATTCACCCGGCAACTTGACATACATGAACTAGATGCCCGCAACGGGGTGCCCGCCGCAGGTGGTTTGTGAGCCGAAGCGGCCAGGACTTGTCGTTGCTGTTGGAAGACGGGCCGTTGGACATGCGGAGCCTGGCGCACATTTCCTACATGGTAAAAGGGGAGAGGCGGGGAACGATGCCCATTTGCGGTCACCAGGACTGCAACTGCATCTCTCTGAGTGTCCCGGTCGGGAGCGTGTGAGGGTGGGAGCCTCCTGTACGCCCGGCTGTCCCCCGCCGGTATCCGACAGTCTTTGAGCTCGGTTCCTTGCACACCTGATCCTGGCTTGGACCTTGGCGGGTCCGTGCCGCTGTCAACCGCTGTGATGTCAGGCTTTGCCAGTCGTGGTCGAGTAGCTCACGTTCCGGGCAATCCTTTCCGCATGCATGACAGCCCCTCTCACCGGGCGGGCAACCAGGGCTACGGGCGGGTGGGTCGGAGGGGTCTGCGTGCAAGGGGTAGCGGGCAAATCAAACACGTGTGGCCGACCGACATCTTTCCGGTCCAATCAACCAGAGTCTTCTCCTTTTCCTGAGAGCCCAGACGCCCTGAGGACAAAACTCTTTATCGCTCATCTCTGCACCCGTGCATTTGCGGCCCGCAGTGGAACACGGCCCACATGCGGTACAGCGTTGTGGTGGAGGCGGCATCGACGTATGTGAAGCACCGTGACATGATCCTCCAGCACGGCAGCGTGCTGCTGTGCCGCAAGCCCAAGGTTTCCGGCATGGTGGTGGGCCGTCTGGACGGCGCAGTGCGGGTGGACCGCTACGGCGGGGCGACCAAGCCCCAGCTGCCCGTGGTGGAGCTGCTCGCGTGCGAACTCAACAGCGCCCACATGCAAGAGGAGCTGACCCAGGTGGCCACAGCTCGAGCCACCGCCACGTCGGTAGGCATCGGCAGGCAAGTGCGCGGTGGGTTGTGGAGGGATGGCCTGGAGGTGCGCGAGTGTGCGCTTGGGCAACCACTCTGCCAGGCAAGGAGCTTACCAGCATCCTCCCGTCTTCATCCTGCCAACCCACTGGGGCTGGAGGCCTGGAGATGCGTGGTCAGCTGCTCCCAACTCAGGCCTCAAAAACTCTGTTGCAGGGGTCGGCTGGATACCATGCTCCTGCCTACACACCCTTTCCAGCTTCCCATGCCTACAAGTGCACTTACCTGAATCCGCAACTAGTATCTACATTTTTACGGCTAAGAGCATTCTAAAGGCGCCCTCTGCTTGTGGCACCCCAACGCAATGTACTGGCTTTCAATCATGGAGACGCTGTACGTCCCGACCCCGTACCTGCGCCACCGGGTGACGTTGCAGGTACGTGTTCCGGTTCGAGGTACTGTCGTCTATGCTCACCGGACCCACAGTCCTGCGGCCCAAGCTGCTGCCCATGGTGGATGCCAAGGCGCTGCGTGCCATCGCTCCAATGCTGCGGCGTCGCTCCTCCCAGGCTGTGTACGACGATAATGCTCCCGGCTGGTCGGCGCTGACGGGCGGCCAGGCGAACGCCATGTTCCCCTTCCCCACCCCCGGCGGACTTAATGAGCAGCAGCTGTCGTTCGCTGCGTCTCAGGGCTTGGATACACTGCTGCTGCGGCTGCACCTCTCAATGACGGACCTCACCATGCATCACGCCAGCAAGGTGGCCGCGCTCAAGGCACACCGCCTGCCTGTTTTCGTGCGGGGTTCGCAGGCGAGTGGGGGCAGTTGCGAAGTGGTACTCGGCCCACGGGCACGGAAGAAGTGCCAGCCCGGATGGAGGGAGTTGAGGAGGTCTTTCATCTTCAAAGCGACCACAGCGAAAAGCGGTTCCATGCATACGGCGCAATCAGGATTTACGCATGCTCACGATCGTTACGGCGGCCGGTCCGCCTGAGGCATTGTTGATTTTATTCGGGCACAGCGAATGGGTCCCATGTAGGAAGTTGATTTGTAAACCTCAGCCACCATGGCACCCTGCACACCACCTATTGCGTGCCTACTGGCCCTACTTCCGCAAAACCGTTGGCCCGTAACTGATTCTTGGTGAATAAGCAGGATGGTCAGAAGCTGGTGGAGGTGCTGGTCGCCTCCGACAGGGACCTCAGCGGTGCGGCGGAGCGCCTAGCGGCCAAACTGCCGTCGTTTACGCGCCAACAAAAGCCCGGGCAGAACATCCTGGTGTTTGTGCAGGTAGGTGGGTGGGTGGGTGGGTGCCAGACACGGCCATGCTCATTTGGCAAAAGACCTCAGAGCTAGACGGCATAGCGCTACCCTCTATACCTTCAAAGCCGAGACGCACCGAGTGGCCTTACGTGTGACTTCTACGCCGCATGCCGCATGGCACGGTTGGGATGTCACGCCAAGGGCAATGGCACTTCCCTTTAATAGGGCTTTACTGCTCTGCTGAACGCCCTTGCCGCCCTGTGTCTCCCGGCCTGTGCAGGACAACAGCGTCAGCCTCACAGCGACCAATGTGGCAGCAGGGCTGGTACGGCGCGAGCGGGGTGATCGCGTTCACCTGGTGACTGTGGTGCCAACGGAAGCGCAGCGCAGCGAAGGGACCGGGCTCATGGAGCGACTGCTGAAGGCCTTCCGCACGCACGCCGATGTTACCACCCACGTGTTGGTGAGTCGTCTGGCTGACTAGGAGGCATACACGTGCAGGGACGCAAGGTCAGGGGTGGGAAGACAAGCATGCGGCTCCTTGATAGCGCTTCCCTCATGTCGCACCCGGCTGCATGGACTGCTGATAGGGCCGAGGATCAACCCGGGCCGTGGTGCCCTCAGATGCGCAACCTTAGGGTCAGAGCTTTCCGAAGCCTTCCGGCCGTACACGGCCTTGCTCCAGGAACAAGCTGGAAATCGGGCGGCAAGCCCGTGTTGTCGTTTAAATTCAGCTGTCAAGCAGGTGGCATATTCGTGCCTGTGATTGTCCCTGCCTTTGTGTCCAAGGGCGGTTCGTACATGTGCACTCAATGTTCCTGGCGGTTCCCCTCCGCCGTGCAGAGCCAGGACGGGCGGGGGCTGCTCGAGTGTCTTGGCGACGTAGTGACTCAGCAGCGCTGCGGCCTCATCGTGGCTGGCAGTACCTCCATCACCGCCGTCGCGGTAGCCGCTCCGCGCAACGTGCCGCTGGTCCTGCCTGGAGTGGCCCCGGGCAAGCAGCCCGCTACTGCGCAGGGTGCCGGTGGAACCGCCGGCCGTGGCGGCGGCGGTGTTGGGGCACAGGGAATGCAGGATGATGGCTCTTCAGAGGTGTTGCTATCCTCCGTGGCCCTGTCCATCCTGCGAACGTTTTCGCTGCCAGTGATCCTAGTAACCGCCAACACCAGGACCTACCTGAAGGTGCGGCCCGCGGTTGCCAGGATGGTTTAGCCGCGCTGCGATTGGTCCACGCATCAGTCACTTCTAGGCCTACATCCGATTGGTGCACCGCTGTGAAGTGCTATCGTTGTATGTACAGCATCTCCTTTCCTTGAAGGGTGTGTAGCGTCTTCGTTTTTTGCTGCACCAGCATATCCCAGTTTTCGTGTGCGGAAATATCCCGTATGTAACCTCGGGCCGCGCATTGAGTAACAACCTCTCTCGTCCCTGTTGTCCTTTGTACCGCTGCCCGGTTGCCAACCCCCGGCCTCCAGCGGCATGGCTTGGACCCTGTGGCGGGCGGAGGTCGCCCTGCTCGGCACCCGGTTGGGGGTGTGGGTGGTGCCACTTCGGGCCGCCTTGCTGCCATGGTGGTCGTGGAGCGTCACAGCAGGCCGATGATGCATCATCTCGCACGCTGCCTGCTTGAGCCGTCATTGCGGCAGGACACGCTGACCCTAGTGCAGGTGCTCGAGGGGCAGAAAGGCGGCAATGTAGTTTGGCCCCAGCTAGTATTCTTCGTTACAGGGCCCTAGATGGAGGCAACGTTTTACTTACAGGAGGTGTCCCGCCGTTGTGGATAAATTGACGTGCTTCTGCCTGCCACCTGCGCTCGAGGATTATACAAGTGCGATTGTGTTATCAGACAATACTGGCGAAACTGCACTTGCCGTGTGTCGGCATTATGTCGGCTCGTCCTCATACAATGTTTCTTTGTCAGCATTCTCGTCCTCTTAGCAACCCCCCTCGTTTCGTCCGCTGCCGCGTTTGAGGCGGCCGCGTCCTTCACATGTGCTTCCTCCTGCCGGTGCCCACGTTAATCATTTGCGTGGTCCCCGCCAACCCACCACAGGTGCTTCCACCGGGCATGGCTCCAGGCAATCCAGGCTACGATCCCAGCTCTATTCATTGCGTTGCACTGAAGACGCTCGTGGCGAACTTTGAAAGCATTTCTGCAGGTGGGCGGGTCCCAGGGCCGCTACCCGTAGGCCGGCATCCCCTCCTCCGTGTGGGCGCAGGGCTTGATCCTTGCCGGATGGGAGCGACGATGCAATAGTGATACCGTACCTGAGACACGGCGCTCCTCGGCATCGGGCTTGCACGTGTCTTGCCACGTCCTTTGCTATAGCCTTTCAACGATGACCGCGCAACTCTGTTTGGAGAATGCACAATGTTTGGGAGTGCTCCCTCGTCCGTTGTGAGGACGGTGCTTGAGCCCTGGGTCAACGAATGACCCGCAACGCATTGTTGGTTGGATCTCCGTGTTAATTTCGTTGTTGTTGCTCTTTCGCAGCCAACGACTTCCACACGCCGAACAAGGTCTTCACCCAGGGCGAGTGGTACAGCGCTCTTTGCATCGCGGCTAGGGATTATGGGGCTCAGCTGCTGTCCGTGCAGCTGGCGCCAGGTTCCACCAAGTCCTTGCCGCCCTTGCTGCTGCAGCTGATCCGGTCCGCACCTTGTCCGGTGCTGGTCTACCCGGAGAAGGCTATCGTCCCTGGGGCGTCCGAGCTGACAGAGGGAGAAGTGAGTGACTAACTAATTAGCGATTAGCCAGCAGCTGGCGCAAACTGGTGGCTTTATGCGCAGCATGCAGGTGTTATATGCTGGGGACTGGCGGGGTTGCGTGCGACTGTATAAACTGTATAACGCACAATGGGTTTTCCCTTTTGTGCAATAGTTGCAGGCGTTGCGCTGGCGGATGTGGGTTTAGATTACGAGCAGGCGTTATGGCATGTGTATCTGATGCTTCGCTAATGGCATTATCCTTATGTATCATGCAACGTGCGCCTGGCGCATGACGCTGCCTCAAATGGCAGGGATGTTTTGGTTAAGTTGAAATGCTCACGCGGCACAATGTGCCGCACCACGCATCGCCTTAACCTGAGACCTGCGGTGACGTGCCTCAGCACTACATAGTTTGCACTGCATGTACGCTATGGGCCGCTGACTTGGGTTTGCCGGGGTTTGCTGAGCCTGTGTGATCAACGTTTTTGCGCAGACGCTTCCTACTCGGTAACATTTTCAGCCAAACTGCGGTAGAACTTTGCGAGAGCTGTGACACGCGCCAGACCGCGCTATGCTGTGTGTGCTATTTTGTGTTACATGATTGGGGGTGCGAATAACAGCGAATGGCTAGTACCTGCAAGTCTGCCCGAAACGAGCCTGGGGTTCAAGGGCTTCCTGTGTGCCGCCTGCAAAATGGTACTTCATAGGGGACTCCTTAACACAGGAGACGAAAGGTGGAAGAAAAGGGAAGAAAACATAGTCACATGTGGCAAAACGTAGGCCAGAAGTAGGTAGGTTAGTTAACGTCCCAAGGGAATAGTCGACGCCACGTGTGAGGGCGAGTGGGATGTGCACGTGATGTAGTGGTTGTCAATTTAAGTATAACCCGGTGGCTTGACTGAATGGAGGAGTCAGCTCCGGAGGATGGACGTCCGTTTGCACATGAGGTATCCATCCAGTCCATGGCCTCCGGCGCCACACACTCAGCCGAGTCCATGGGCAGCATACACAATTGTCTCCTCTGAACGGTGCTGGTATATAATCACCGTTAGCCATTACACCTTCAACATAGCCATGCCCGCTCGCCCTGCCGCTTTTCGAGTGTAATGGTTTCAAGGTTGCAGTTGCAAAGCGGCACTACGGAAGCCGCTCCCCAACGCGCTTCTGTACAGCGGGATCAGTCTAAGGAAAGGCCTTAAACAGGATGCTCTCGGCGTTTCAAACAACAGCGCATAGCCTCTCCCGGCTATCAACACGAGCGCAATTACCCATACGAATCAGGCATGATACGATCAGGCACGTGCCGCAGAGAACCTTCGAGCAACAACAGAATGCCTCCCGTATGCGACGACTCCTGCCAACCACTTAAGGGGCCAAGGGGTTTTGGTTCGAAGTATCAAGCAGCCAGGGGCCCCAAACAGCACATGTCGGCCGAGAACAAACCAAGCACTGTCACCTGCAGGTTCCAAAGACCTCATTTCTTCGTCTGAAAGTTCGTTCAGTTCCTTGGCGCTAGGTTCATGCATAATAAAGTTACTTGGGAAGCACCAGAAGTTGCTTGGGAGGCACGAACAATAACATTCGACTATGCACTTTGCTTATCACATCTCTGACGGGCTTTCTCACGACGTGCACGCACAAACAAGCGAGAACGCGTCTGTTCTTGCCAAGAGGAAAATATGTAACCCGTGGTCGTGGTCTCGCCGTGGTCTTGCCAAGAGGAAAATATGTAACCCGGGGCTTTCTAACGTGTGCACGCACAAACAAGCGAGAACGCGTCTGTTCTTGCCAAGAGGAAAATATGTAACACGTGGCCGTGGTCTCGCCGTGGTCTTCGAAGCCGTATCACGAAGCATCCGCCGTGAATCAAATGGCAAACGGCGCGGTTGGTAGAGCCGGTAGCTCCGCAAGGCAGTCAATGGGCAGCTGCTGAATCCAACCCTTACATCTCAACAATGCTAGCATGTCCTCCAGCATCGGGATGGAGGCCAGCGTCGCGGCTGACCCTACTAGCAACAGCTTGGTCCGCGCGCGTGTGATGGCCACGTTAAGCCGCTGCCAGTCGGCCAGCAATCGGCCAGCACTGCGCGCTGCATTGCAGCGCACGAAGGACAGCAGAATGGCAGGCTTGTCACGCCCCTGGTACTTGTCCACCGTCAACACCTCCACTGCGCCGCGGCCATCAGCACCATCAGCCTGCCAATCCCCTGCACCATCGCCTGCCCCCACATTTGGCGCCCCCACCGGGGAGCAGAAACCAACACTTGACAGGGCCTGCTGCAGAACTGCTACTTGCGCCTTGTAAGGGGATGCGATCCCAATGTCGTGTGGTGGCAGCCCCGCTGTTACAAGTGCAGAAGCAACGGCGTGCACGATGTGCACCTCCCCACGGTTGACCATGCCGTCCTGGACAGCCATTTCGCGGCAGCCCGCAACATTGTCCGTGTCCAGGAACACAACTCGGCACTCCGGCCTTAGCAGCGACGTGAGCCAGCCGGGCAGGGCTCTCTCGCGAGGCCACGGAGACGCAGGCGAAGCCCTCACTGTTGATGAGCCGTACGAACTGAGGTTCTCAACGTATGGCAAATGCAGCATGGCTTCTGCAACGGTTTCGTTGCCGCAAATCATGCGTCCGTTGTAGACCAGGGTATTGCTAAGGGACATAATGTCCGCGGCCATGCGGTATTGACTCCGCAATGTGACAACCGCCTGTGCCACGGGCAAGAGGATGGGCACGGTCATTGTGTGTTGTGCACGTTTAAAGTAAAGCTCCGATGTTGAATCCACTTGAGGTGGTCAGGTTGCGGACGTGACTGTGTTCACTGAATTAGTGCTTCATCATGCATAAATAAAGCATGGCCATCAACTGGAGTTAGCCAGCATGAAGAGCACTTGCGACACAGTAGAGAGCCACACATACACCCTGGTAACCCTGGGGCTTACCTGCGGATGCGCCTCAGACAGGCGGCGGAAGAGGCTGATGCCCAGTCCCCCCTGGGAAGCCTCCCTGCTCACTACTAGGGGACTGAGCTGGTAGTGGTCCCCCACTAGCAGGAAGGACCGGGCTAGCGCCAACGCCCCGATGCTAGCGGGTAGCGTTATCTGGCTGGCTTCATCCAGTATGCACACGCTAAATGTGCGCCCGGTCAGCAGCGAGCTGTGCACCGACAAGCACGTGCAGCCCACCTGAAAAACAGCAGGGGACACGAGATACTGTCTGCTCAGGACTAGACAGCTCCATTAGAAAGCTTCCTACAGCTGTGCGTCCTCACCGTGCTGGTCGACGTTTTCCCCGTGCCTTGATGGGACGACAGCGTGGCAGGAACAAGTACGGACTAACCTGGTTTTCCCCCCCAGCCTCGGAAAGGTTTTACCCAAGGGACGACACGATGGCCTCCTGTAGTGCTCAACTTACCACGTTGACGCGGCCCATCAGCTCCTGGAGACCCGCCACTGAAGTGTTGGGGTGGTGCTCGCCACCGGGCATATAGGGCCGCACGGCAGGATGGACCGCCTGTGCTGAGCCCAGCCGCACGAACGATACTGGGCTGCCGATCAGCTTCATGAGAATGTTGTCCACCGCACTGTTGGTGTACGACGCCACCAAGATAGTTGCGCGCGTTTCCACAAGTGCCTGCAGCGGGCGACGGACACATCCGGTCAGACAACATCAAAATGACACGGCGAAGGCAATATTGACGCGTTTCCGTTGACCAGCAAATCGCAATTTTGCAGGACGCATGGATCCCTCCGGATCCATCGGAAATAAGTTCAACTGTACAATTTCAGTCCTATAAGCTTTGAACATCAAGCGCTGCAGCGCTGATTGGAAGGTAAGTGCCTGCCCGCTGAGGCACTGAGTCGCACCCACGTACCCTGATGATGTGCACAATGGTCGTGGTCTTTCCAGTGCCCGGCATTCCCAACAGGATAGCATAGTCCTGCATCATGAGGACACGCTGAACTGCCTCCTGCTGCTCGCCATTCATTTTGTGGGCGTGTTTGCTCAGGTAGGCGTTGGCATGCAGTTGGCTGCCGACCGAAGACCCTGTGTTCCATGCATTCAGTGGGACAAGCCCAGGACTGGTTACTATAACGGACAGTATTGCCTAACAAGAAGAACACGGAGTTAGCTTAAATCTCCCATTCTCCGTTTTCCGTCACACGGACCAACTTACCAGAAAGCTGTGAGCTTACGCATTGGCTGCTGAGGCCGTGGCCCTGGTGTGGCGGCTCCAAGTCAATTATCAGCTTGCGTAGTCGCATCAAATGGGCTTCACGGCGCGCCTGGACGGCATCGTGACCACTGCCCTTTCGGCCACCCGACCACCCAGCTCCCGCTCCAGGGACGCCCAACAGAGATAGGTTCAAGCGCAGCTGTGCGAAGAGGGAGGCCGCTTCTTCACGGTCAAGGCGCCATGCAACCCGCTCGCTGCTGGCCCCACACGCATTGCAGCCGCTCAAGGCTGCCGATGGGAAGCCTCCAGTGTTGCAACGTCCACACGTGGGGCGCGGTGCGTCGCCGAGCTTGAAGTACTTCAGTTCCTTACGAGACGCCACTGTAAGCGTGTCCTGCTAGGACAAGGATTTGTTATTTTTTCTGGATTCAGAGTCAAGTTCAAAATGGATTTGGAGAAAAGCTGTCATAACGAAAATGCTCTAAACTTTCCAAAGCCCCACGTCTACACTCCTCGCTGCAACCATCCAAGCCCTGCATACCATGCCGTTGTGCACAAGGTATAACCTACCTTCGTGACGTCAACCACGGTAACGCGAGCTGCCGCCGCGTGTCGCCCGTCCACACCCAGCAGCCCCAGGTCCCCGGGTGCAAAACCCGAGCACAGGAGACCTCGGGGGCCACTTTCTGCGTCTGCGGGTTCCGCCGTGGACGCCTTGCCCGGGCCCGGGCCATCGGCGGCTTTGTCTGTACCTGGCTTGCGCCGGAAGACGTACACGAACTTCTGTTCCCCAGCATCCCCCATGGGCGGCAACTCCCGCTCCAAGAGTAAGTGCGCTACGCAGCCGCCTAGCTGCTCTCGCTGCGCACCACTCAGTGCCCAAACCTGTGTCACAATGTAAGGGAGCTGTTCGTGGATCTGATACGAGAATAACACTTGCACCGTGGGCGCCGCACGTCGAAACGGTGGCCAAGCCACACGCTTTGCCTTGGACACAAGACCTCATCGCAGCTTGACTAGAGAACGTTAATATAAGTTGTCCTTACGTGAGTAAGCCCACGCCAGCGTATCACGACCCATAACGCATGTTGGCGTAGATGTACAGGCCGCAAAAACATGCGATACTCACATCTGCCCTGCTCGCGCGAAGTGCATGCTCCTCCAGGTCGACCAGACCAACCCAATGTGCGAAAAACGCTGCGCTGGAAGGAGAGACAGTCGACAGCTTCTCCCGCAACGAGCGATGCAAGTCCATCTCTGCCAGCTGGGTCGTCACCGCTGACGCCGCCCGCGCATCAGTCTGCAGGCCGTCGCCATTCGTGGCAGCCCCTGCCGCTGCTGCAGCCAGGTACAGCGCGCACGTGGCACTGACGCTGCAGTACTCGCACTTGCGGTCCGCATCGGAGCTTTGCAATGGCGGCGGGGGTTCCCTTGCTGGACCCACCAGGTAGGCGGCCAAGCGGTTCCGGTGCATGATGAGCGAGGCCAGCTCGTGGTGTACATAGCGGACGGCCTGCATGGTGGGCTTGTTGCTGTTCCATAGCAGTGCCGTCCGCACCGCCGTCTGGTAGCGGTCCTCCATCAGCAACAGGTACAGGAGCACCTGGCGGAAGAAAGGCGGGCAAGGTATAGCTGTTGGGTTGTCCTCACGAAGGTGACAGGAATGTGTGCTATTCCGCGACCACTGCGAATGCACCTGCTTAGCTTCCAAGAATGTCGACTTGCTGCCTCACCTGGGCCCTGTGCTCATGCCAGTCTTTCCCTGTCTTGAACTCGAAGGGCACAATCACTCCAGGGCCCGCAGTGTCCAGCTGCTGTTCCGTGAGCTGCTGCCGGGCATGTGGCCCCGCGAGCTGCATTGCGCCAGGTGCTCCTTTGCTTGCCGACCAAGGGTGTTGCGGCTTCCCTGCATTGCTGCACCCATGCAGCTGCGACAAACCCGCATTGGTATTAACGGCCGTCATCCCGTCGCCGTTAATCATGCCCCCTTGCTGAAGCCCTTCCGTTGTGCTTCGTGCCCGCATGCCGTGAAAGTGACTAGGCTCCTGTTGTGACGGCCGCTGGGGCTCGGCATTGCTCAGCTTCACGCGGAGCGACGCATCGAGCTGGCCCTTAAGGCCGTATTTTGGCGCCCAGATGCTCTCCTCAATGTCCAGCACCTCAGTCACGCGGCAGAAGGTGGGCGCGTCCTGCCCGACCGATTCAATCCGCCCGCCATGCGGCGCCGCGGGGTTAGGCGTCACGTATAAATTACACCAGGCTACTATGCCGTCGAGCTGCTCTACGATGTAAGCCAGAACGGTCGACTCGTCCTGTTGGCTCTCCAGAAGCTTGTCCGTGTTGGAGGAGAGGATCGACCGCGCCTGAGGACATATAAAGGGCACGACCAGACGACCGACGGAGCGACGCAAATCCCTGCTTTGAAAGCCCAGAAATCTTCACGGTGAACAAGTTTACATCTAGGGAGTTTCAGGCTAACAGGTGTGACATCGGGTGCACTAGCGGTTTGGTCATGAACTGCCCAAAGGATGCGTTGTACCGGTCTTTAACAGAAACAACAGTATACCTCAGACATCATGACGTTTTTGTCCAGCTTTCCCCCAATGGCCGCTTTGAGACTCCGTTGCAGCAGCTCATGCAGCATGCTGCCCATGAGGGCCTTCTCCCCGCCTGCGATGCTCGCCACGCGATCCTGCAACCACGCTTGGCGCGTGCAGCGGATCGTTGTGCATACGCTGGTCCCTGCATTGGAGGACCGTGGGGTATTCACCTCTAGTTGCATAGGCACAGAAATATACGATGTAGTCCCATACGGGGTGTGGAAGGCGTGGCTCACCTGACAGTAGGACATCGGGGTGAAGGATGAGCAGACCCTCCGTCGCACTGACTTCTACGGTCATGCACGCCGGACTTGGCAGCGTTCGCCCGCCGATTACGTTGACCGTGTCCCCCGGCACAATCTCCTGGTCCGCCCACATGTCCCGCAAGCAAACGCGCACCTCGGCACCCTGAATTCGCATATGCCCGTAGGTTGACAGTGCGTTATCTGATCGCGCTCCACTTAAGTCAGGAAACCCGCACAACATGGAATGCCCTGCACGACAATATTTGCCTTACTTTGTATTCGTTGAAGCACCGCAGCACCTTGTCATGGCCGCTTGGCAACTGCTCCACCTCCAGCACCACGAAGTGCACTTCCTCGCGCTGGCCCAGCAAAGGGACGGCCGCCGATACGGCAGCTGTGCTATACTTGGGTTCCAGAGCTGTCCGTGTTTCGTTTTGCTCGCCACATTGCTCACCTATGCCAGTTGCCCTCTGTAGGACTGGCATATCAGGGGCTAAAGGGGGTCTTCCTGAAGGCTGCAGATTGGGCGCATGTTGCTCCTGGCGCTGCCGTGCGTCCGACTCAAACTGCTGCGACTGAGATAGGACTGGACTGACCCCACCTAGATGTCTACCCGAGGGTGGCGCCATTGCCACCGCCGTGACAAGGCCAGCGCCCGGTGTGTTGGGTTGCTGGCCAGTGGCGTTTGCTACCAATGCGTCAACGTCAACGTCTCCCCAGAACTCGTCGTCGTCATCGTCGGCTGGGGCCGGTTGAGCTGCTGGCAGCCTGGATACAGCCTGCGCTGCTTCGCCGGTTGCCGCAACTCTCTGCGGTGCCACGGAGACTGGCCCTTCAGCTGTTGGCGATTGCAGCGTTCCCGCGTAAGACCCCGTTGCCTGCTTACGGTTCGCCGGTACCGGCGACTCCGCTACCTGGGAAGGCATTGCTAGCGCATTGGCGAATGCCAACGGCTGGGTTGCGAGATCCCTCGCTGGCATTTGCGTCCCCGAAAGCGACTGGGCCGCTGGTGCCAGGTTAGGCATGTTCAGTCCGGACATAACGCACTCGCCTGCATGAACAGGTACTTTCGTTTCCCTGACATAAGCAGTGTTAGCAGCGGGAGCCGCAACGACAGCAGGGTAAGTGTCGCCGACTGGTTGGGTGGGCATCATAACCTCCATGGCCGGCACAAACTGCTGGACGCTCCTAGCCGTCAGCCCATCCACTGGAACTCGAGTATGATCCACACACGCGGGGTCAAGTCTCGACAAAGACGGCTCAAGTACATTATACGTCAGCCGAATCGTTTGTGCTCCAGCAACGACCGCGCCAGGTCCGCTTCCCATCACTGATGCGATATGGCTGGGACCGCCGTGAGCTGCTTCAGCATCCAGACGACAAACTGCCGCAACTTCCGGACTGGATGTGTGCTGCACCGTGTCAGTGTTGGCAGCAGGCAGTGTGCCCGCTCCAGCGCACATGTCCCCAAGGAGAACCGCCACAGGCTGCGATGGTGCAGAGGTGCACCGTTGCTTTACCATCAACTCCACCTGTCAGCCCGTCCAATAAAAACCAATACCCAGGTGTACAGTAAATTAACAGCCCGGCTTATGTGTACAAGGCAACAATTGAGCTAAGCAAGGTGGAATGACAGCCCATGGTCCACACGGCTCGCCTCATTACCTGGTCGAGGATGTCGAGCAGTGCACGCCGCTTGTTAGCGCCCGATGCTTTCCCCGACGCCCCGAGCTGGCGCTTGCCACCAATAGTGAGAGCCGAAGGCGTGCACATTGCCGGGCGCACGATATCAGCACTCTGAACAAAGGCCCCCCCCCGGGCACGCCTGCGAAAAACCCAAGTGACGCCGCAGATATGTTGGACTGCGCGTAGCCAACCCATAAAGTGTACCAGGAAAGCTCAATTAGTCCGGCTGCGTTAGACCTGCCGCCCTTGCAGACCCTGAGGCCACGGAGCTCACCTGGTCGCTCCAGGTGTCTTATAGGTGTCAATGCTTTCCAACAAATCCTGGTTGCCCAAATCGCTGCTCCCAAGCACAGCATCAACGCCAGCTTTCTCGGCGAAACCATTCCTTGTGTTTGAAGCTGCCGCTGACCCAGCGGCGGTTTCTTCACACCATGGCTGCAAGTCCCTGCTCTTATGTGACTGTGAAATAGGTGCCGACGTTGATGCCGCCCTGCAAAGGGCCACCCAAGGGGTGGTTTAGCCCCTTGCTGTAAGCACGGGTAATTTTGCTTTCCTTGCACTGCACCTGTGGCTGCTGCGCCTGGCAAGGAGTTGCTCCACCATGTCGTCAGCTGGCTGTGGCACCTGGGCGCCAACGTGGATCTCGACATCGGGTGCACGCTGCACAGCCTGGATGAGGGTCTTCCGAAAGCCGTCTTTGCATGCCTGTGAGTTTTCCGCCTGCTGCTGAGAGGCGCTTTCCTGCGAGCCGCTTGCCCCCTAAACCGCATAAGAATGCACAATGCATCACAAATCCTGCATATGTAACACCAGAATGTACTACAAGGACTGGAGATAACGCACCTTTTGAGGTGAAAACGCAGCGGTGGGTGAGCTTGCCCACACTACTTGCAGCCCTCCATCATCCGCGTCCTGACTCAGAAGCACCTAATATGGCGACACGAGGCGTCGTTAAACGTTTAATTTTTAGGAATCCCCTGAAACTGCTTACATTGTCCAGCAACTGCTTGCCAGGAGTTGAAGGCCGGCCTCCCGTGACCCGCACGCCAGCAACATAGCGGCCATCCGGGATAAGGTAAGCGTCCTTGTTTGGTGCCTGCAATGCCGTATAGGGTGTAAAACCATTATAGGGCAGTTGCGAAGCCGGTTTGCCGCCTGACTAACCCGACGCTCCAGGAAACGCGTGATGTCCGTGCCAGGCCTTTGCTTCGCTGCACCGACTGACTGCTTCTGCAGTAAGGAAGAAAGAGCTTGTATGTAGGTCAGGACTGTGAGCATGAGGTGCTTCACTTGCTGCCATGCGGACCTTTCCCATTTTCCAAGTTAGCAGACCCGTTCGGAAAAACTTATTTTTTGCATAAATAACTATCCTATAAATAAGCAATGCTCAACTGGTATATCTCATTAAAGTAACTTGACATTCAGCGGAGGAATTGCAACGAAAACGAGACAGCTTGCACGGCAGCATTGTACTTCAGGATCCACACATTGCGACCGAGTGAGCGCCACACCGTGCCAATTTGCATGATTTTGTTCACAATGAAAACTTTGACATGTTGAAGAGCCCATATTGATGTGGTAATTGCAGGGGCATTTCTCTGTGTAATTCTTTATTCTTAGTATACATAAGTACGTGATCCAAGGTGTAGCCTAAGTGTTTCAAGAGGTACATTCTCGGTAGCAGGACGGAACCAGAGAACGGTTGACGCAGGGCTAAAGATCAGTGTACGCCATGGCGCGTTTCTCATCAGTGAGTTGCAGTTTTGCGCTATGAGATCGCGTTTGGCTTTGACAGTGGTGTCCTATTATCCGTTGCAGTTGGAGGAGCTTCGGCCCTCTCCCATGTTCATATGTGCATTGGTGTTTGTCAGTTATTTCTTCGTCACCGCGGGAATAGCGTATGACATCATCAATGAGCCGCCTGCTGTTGGTGGGCAAACGGATCCGGTCACAGGTGAGATGTACGGTATGTGTGTTTTACCCTCCGCTGTAATAACCACATAATACGCCTTGCCATGCCTGCAGGGGCCGTGAAGCCCATGACATTTATGCCGTACCGGATGAACGGCCAATTCATTCTTGAAGGCCTCAGCGGTGGATTCTTCTACACCCTCGGAGGTAGATTTGCATAGTGGGGCCACGCTAACCGGTGAGAAAGTACCCACTGTCTAGCGCAAAACACCCTTGCCCCTCAGGTGTCGGCATTATCTTACTGGATCTCAGCCGCGACAAGAACAAGAGCGTTTTGTTTCGCAATTTTTACCTGCTTCTGTAAGTCGGCTTCTGGTTATATTGGACACAGGTTGACAGGTCCACGTGAGCACTTCACATCCACACAATTTTCCCAAACGCAGGGGCTTCGCGGTAACAGTCCTTTCGTACTTCGTCTGCCAGGTATTCATCAGGTAAGAAAAAACCACACAGCAAAAAAAAGAAAGGCATAATTGTTGCCTCTTGGGGCCCTGGTTGTCCTAAGTATAGAGGTGCACGTAATCAGGTTCACCTGTTCCCCAGCACCCGTACTGCCTAGCCTCGACGGGGAAATGAAGCAGGAAAAGAAAGTGAACACCGCCTGCTACCCTCTGCAAACAACTGCCGACAGCTTCTCAACACTATCTTGCGACGAAATTAAATTGATACCGTACGTGTGTGTCCATGCCGCAGGATCAAAATGCCTGGATACATGCGTTGACCCAACGCGAGGTCAGCTGCCTGATCATAATTGCTGGGTATGCAATGTGAGCGCTCGCCCTGGCGCATATCACTGCCTAATATTATACAACTGTAATCGCGTTATGTGACCTGGAGCCAAAGCCTCGTTATGTTGCGACGTTAACCTAAAGATGCGGTTGTTTCATAGGCCACCACGTTTTGTACAGCGTACACGGCGCCTGGCCGTTAGCTCTTAACACGTACAGTATATCCTATGGCCCACACGGTATCAGCGATTCCTGCGACTTGAGGAGATGGCAAAGCTAAGCGATGTAGACTTTTTCTTCGTTGTGTTCGTTGGGGCAAGCTGGTCCGGAGTAATGAGGATAGCCCCAGTGCTGCCTGCTGACCGCGGGATGGACAAATGCCGTGAGCCCACAGCGCCGTTGGCACCCAAAACAGGGTTTACGACCGGGGTTGCCACACTGCTCGCCAGTACACCCCCGGAAGACGAGGGCCGGCCAGAACTACCAGCCGATGGAGGTCTGTGCCTGACAGCTGCGTTGACATAGCCGAGAACGCCAGCTGAAATACGGGGAGACACTTCAGCAGGCGGTCCTGTAACTATATCGCTTAGTGGGAACTTGAACTCTGTCACTCGGCCGCAATAAACCGCCGCGGTCTTAAAACTCGTTGTCGGAGACCGTAATGTTGACTCAACAGAGCGAAACCGCGATAGCGCCTGCACATCGGCACGTAGGGAAGCCTCAACAGTTAGGATGTGTTCGCGCCGCTGTAGCTACTGACAACGCGCGCAATGATGCCCATGCTGTAGTCAAATACAAAATACGTGTCCACGTCTTCACGCTGTGAATGCCCTTTGCCATTACCCAGGCCTGTAATCTCACAACCAGGCGCCCAGCGGATGGCTCCATGGCATTCGTTGAGCCATTTAAGCCATTGGTCGTTGTAAAATGTTGCTCAGCGTGAAGGTGTGGAATGTAACGAAGTGTCTGGCCCTACGCACGCTGCTACGTGCGCTAATGGCAGTCATGGTGGCGTAAACAGCCATCTGTAGTGCAATCATGCGCGGACACGTGCAAACGTAGCAATTGTCGTCTTCAGCACTAACGAAATTGTCAACTAGTTACCGGTGGCCAGGCAACCCACCGAAGCAGCTGACGAACTTGATCCCGGCGAGGCCGTCCGCGTCGCAATCTCCTCGTGCTCTTCTTCGCCGTCGCTGTCACTAGGTCCTTCAGTCACCGCACACGCTGCATCCGAAGCAGCCACGGCAGCCACCGCAGCAGCGATGTCGACGTCCTCTCCATCTTGCACGGACTCTGCTGCAGCGTCTCGGATGCCCAGCGTGCTCCCAACTGAATGGAGCGGCGACTGCAAGACTGACGAAGTGCTGATCTTCACAGGTAGACTCGTGCTCCTGGCCAAGCCATCATTGCTCGTCCTACCCAGGGGCACAGCGCTGCGCCGTGGTGCAACGCCCGATGGATTTGCAGCGCTAGTAGGCGCCGAGCCGTGCGATGTGATGACCGGCAAAGATGCGTTTGCGTGCCGTGATGGCATGGGCGCCGGTGGCAAACGATTTCTGCCGTTTGCGTTGGTGTTGCCTGTGGAGCGGCCGAACGCGATAGGGCTAGGGTTGGCGCCCGTGGTGGTGCAACCGATTGCGCCAGGTGCTTCTCCGCTGGGGTGAGCTGGCGGGCGCTGTCCTGCAGACATTAAATGATTCGCAAGGTAAATCAACGGTCTAGGCCAGGCTGGCAGGCACAAGTTTGCCCCACAACGCTTCGAGTCGAGCTGCAAAAGGGCAAAAGATGGTTACCATAGAAGAACTTACTTTGTCGGCGGGTGGAAGTGTACGCCGGCGATATCCTGAGCGTCCCTGAAGCGATCATCGCACGGAGCTTCTCGACCGCCACGTCGCTCATGGCCGGCAGATGTGCAGCCCTTGTTTCAGGAGTGGCGCGAAGCACAGTAAGAATCCAGCTACGGACACCCTCGAGGCTGCGGTGCTCACTGAGTGGCAATCGACTCCAGGGATTGTTGCCCTCCAAATCCAGCGCAGCAATCAGGATGGCCCTGCCCACACCCTGCCCAAACAGATTCACCAATGGAACCATGTCACAGAACCCGACGCTTGCACATGCAGATCGGCAAGTATACAACATCGCGCAATGCATCACTGGTTGTCAACGCTTATGCCTTACTTGCCGTAGACGTGCAAAAATAGACAGTTGTCAGCCACCAGCACCGGGCATCCTTGCAGCGCAAAACGCAGCTGGAGGCCTGCAATACCCCTTAGCACGGCCGCAAGTGCAAGTGGCCCAACTTACATGGAATGCACCGACAGTGAACTTGGATGGGAATCGCTTATTGCATGGCGGGGATGCGCGGCCGCCATGGTCCCCCGACGCGGGTGCCACCACGTTTAATGTGCGGGCCGTGTTATAGTTGGCTTCGATTGTGTACAAATGCGTAAGGCCCGTTTCCCTGCAGCGCCACAGCCACATTCAAGCGGATGCGTTCAGCCGTACGATGCAAACAGTTGCCAGTGGAGCTTGACCATCGTTTATGTATATCACGTCGGCCGTGCAGGCTGCTCCGCTACTTCACATCCCAATTGGATTACGCCCCTCATCGCTTAGGCTGATGAAATGAGCTGGGATGCTATAGACTGGGGATTGGACACGGCTGTGCAGAGCCAACATTGCCGGCAAACACCGTGGTTCCTTACTTCAACGCGTCCATCAAATGTCCTCGCAAGTTAGCAATTGATGCCTAATAATTACGGAAGTTGTTAGGTGTGGGTTGCTGCCAAACAAGTCCAATCCTTAGGTGCCCGTACCTGTACAAAGCCACCCGGCCGGCACCCTCCTTGGACGCGCCGTCCTTGTCGGCACGAACCATGTTCTTCTCCGTGTAGTTGCAGCCCATGAAATCAAAGCACGGATTGTTCAGCGCCACCAGCTTTGAATACAGCAGGCTTTGCATGTGGGCGTCACAGTCCTCCAGAGTGTTGCCGTAAATGAAGACGCCTGCGGTTCACATGGATATGGGTGTAGGAAGAGACGCCACGCACGCTATAGGCAACGAGCTGCTCGTCGTCTCGTATGCAATTGCTTCCTTCACAGTGACACGAACCTAGGCGCACCGGCTGTCTTCAGGCAGTCAAAAGCCCAGCGTTAAAAAGGTCCGTGTTCCCTCACATGAAACGGCTTACAGACCTTTCTTGTTAGCATGTCCATGCAAGTCAATGTAAAACTCCAGGACATTCTGCTGCGCGTAGTACATCAGCAGCGTCTTGATGGCGTAAACGCTCGGCTGCGTCTTCTGCGGTGTTCCCAGTTTCAGTTTGGGAGGGCACGACATTTACCAGTTGATCATCGTGGTTCTATACCTGCAACTCTCGCCCCAGGTTTTAAGTCCACAGACCCCCGAGCGCCACCATGCCAGGACTAGGGCCCAAGAACCTTGGATGGGCGTACCTCGTCAGGGATCCCCGTGTAGAAACGGTTCAGGTTCTGGCCCAGAGTGTCTGTACGGTAGTTCCCCACCGCGACACCATCCGGATTCACAATGGGCACAAGCTTGAACACGAAGCGTCGCCTCAGAGCGGAAGCTCGGGGGTCCGAACGGCGCAGCAAAAAAGCCAGCATGCCGTTGAACATGTGCGTTGCGGGCGTCTCGCCGGGATGCACCCTGCTGGACACAAAAAACACTGTTTTGTCGCGGAACATGGCTGCAGGGGGCCCCGGGTCGTGTTCGAAAACCCCCGGCAGAGGCGGTTCAACCTCTCCGGATGCACCGCTGCAGTCCGTAATAGTTAGCACCTCCACCCGCCGACCCTCCAAGGATCGTGTCAACAGTTGCCGCCGGTAATACAACCGTGCGCCTGGCGAGGAGTCGCCGCCACCGCTGCTACTGCTGCACGCTTCACTGGTGCATCGTGCACGCGCCCCAGCAGCGGCGCCAGCCCCAGCGTGGGTGCTAATGGGAGATGCGCTGTGTACGATTTGAGACGGTGATGCTGAATTGAGTGTTCCAGCATCATTCGGGCGGAAGCTGGTTTCGGCTGCATCACGTGCATCGGCCGCGTTGCAGGAGATAGTGCCGTTCTGCGGGAAGGGTAGCTGCTTGTCCAGGTGGTCCAGCATCTCCTGCGTAGGCACCCAGGATACGATGTAGGGGCGCGGGATGGTGCCGTCAGGCAGTTGCATTAGGAAGCAAGGCCCTTCGGCGAACAACAGTCGCCATCCTCCAAGGAGAATAGGGCACCAGAGCAGGGCATAAGGATTGTTGTTTGCCTTGGTGACCTGCCTGCGTCTCTTGGTAGCTAAACGGAATAGCGAATGCAAAGAGCGTTTCCTCCTCGCTTTCGAAGCGGTGGCAGAATCGGAGCTGAAAGTCATCACCCTCTCGCCGGTACGTCACTCGCAACCTGGTGTACGAGAACGAACAAGGGTGGTCACAGTACAATGACACAGTGCCAAAACAGTCTATGCCAACTCACATAGTACGGCCGGATGTGTGTGTATATGTGTGTGTGCACATGGATGTGTATATTGCACATACACATGCATCTGGGTGTACCCACGAATGCAAGGCCCCCGGGACAATGACTCACTTGAGCGGCTGCCATTCTGGCTGCGAAGCACACCAGAACACTGGCCGGTAGTCCTGTGAGTACAACCTGCTCTGCTTGTTGAGGTTCAGTATAATAAGAATTATGAGATCGCCCGTGTTGTGTCCGGCAATGCTGAAGTAAAACCATGTCCGTGTCGTCTTTTCGTTCTCAGTACCCCCACAATCCCTACGCGTTTGCAGCAGAAACTCGTTCGCAACAAGACCTTGCTCCACGCTAGCCAAGTTTGCTGAATCGAAATCTGCCCGAAATACATATTTGCCAACCTGCAATGATATCGGAGAATGCTTGTAAGCAAAAGCGCTGAGTGGTGCACATGTCAAGCCTGACCAAATGCGTATGGTTCAACACACCCTCCAGATGTCATCGGCTTTAGAATCCACCGGCGGAGGTATAGCTGTCGGAAGCAACACAGCAGCATCCTCGGGGTGCGGTCGATCGGAAGAATATGTCTTAACGTCTAGCGGACTGGATTGAGCTCTTCGAGGCCCATGCACAGTTGCCATAGAAGAAACCAACATACATTTGATAAGTATGCTCGCCAAAACTGTGGGGTGCTTTCACGTAAAAGCTGTCATTCATTACCGTTCTTGTGACGCTGCATAATTTCACACATGCGTCGCTCTTTATAGTACATCAGCTCGCGAGAACAAATTGCATAGACCGAAACAACCCACCCTGCTTGCCTAGACACGCATTCGGTACGACGGTTCGTTAACGTTTCCCCTAACCGCGCCAGAATTTACAGCTTCCTGGCGCGCAGAACGCGTGAATTTGACAGGTTTTAATAGTTCTGCTGTGCTTGTGCTGGTGTATTCATGGCAAAAGTCCTGTAGTTGAACCAAGGGACCAAGCTAAGCTCTGCTACCAGCTGTAATAGGGCCATTGTGCATGGAAAACACTGACTGAAGTGGGTCTCTATTGTCCACTGAATCAACTGCTTAGGTTTGTATACTACCGTGCTACGGGCTGTTAGCTGGTTTGGTTAGCTGAACAACGCGCCACCAAGCACCACCGATTTCACCGAAAAAAAAACAGTCGGTTGCATCAATATTCAGCAAACTCAAGTTGTTAGAGTGAGGCTAGGAAGGCCCATGCGCACCACTTTCTGTTGACATTAACAGCAACGTGCTACATGGGTATGTAAGCTGCGACATTTAAGGCGACAGCAGCAAGGGCACAATGTGTACGGACAGCATCTCCCGAACAGAAGCCGATTATGTAAAGGATACCAATAGCCCTGCTAAAAATTATAAATGCCTTGTACAACAGCATTGTGGCCTGTACAGCAGCTTGGACTGACTGCCCCACTCTGCTAAGCAGGGTACCGCCTAGACGACACATTAAATTTCTTCGCGTCCTGTCAGGCTCAAATACATATATACCTGCTTCATCCGAACGCAGGGTTAGCACGACCACTATACGTCGTTGACATCTTCTGGGTATCGGCCCACCCGCGTCAAACCGCGTACGTACCCATGTTAATCAATTATGGTACATGAAATTCAACACTCTAACGAAATCAGCAACTTGTGCTCACTCGCCAAAACACTGTGCTAAGTCACGGCTTCGAAGCAACTGACGTTTGACAACTAGCACCACATGCAAAAAAAAATATTACCTTTCGTCTCATTTCCCCGTCGCTGCGTAATTGACATAAATGGTTGCACCCAGCAGCACGATCGCGAATGCCACCCGCACATACCACTTGTCAGGTAGCATTGCCAATGGATCCGGGGCGTCCAAAGAGACACGATCCCTGTAGGCAATATCGCACCACAAACATGCATAACAGGAAGGAGAGCTAATACGGTGCACCATCCAACCTGTGCAGCATGTGGATGAACACTAAGTTGAATAAATAACAAGCTGCATCTCGGTGGGGAGGAGGCGGCGGCACGACCAAGGCACGTTTGATGATGAAAAGCATGCCGTTGGTGCTGTGAAAGAACGGTACTACATGACCCACAGGTCCCCCCCTGGAGAACAGACCCAGGCGGTGATGGTAATAGGAAAAAATGTCTTGTACCAATTCGCCAGGGGACCCGCATGAAAAAGCCGGATCCTGGCAGCCCTTCCCGCCGTGGCCTATGCTGACTGGGACGCAAGAAGTGAACTGCTATAATCTTTTGATGTGTGATTGAAAGTCTCCCTGAAGGAGCCAAATGGCGGCCGGCATGCCATGGTGCAACGTCAGCCACAGCATGGCGCCAAGGGGATATAAAAAGCTGCCAGCACATGCAGGTGACCCACCAGTAGGTCTCGTCCTTCTTGGTTGCTGCCGGTGGACGGTTGTACTTTGGAGAGTACGACGCCCGCCTGCAATTCAAGCATTCAAATATGAGGGTGGCAAAATCCAATCCAACTGCCCGCTTGTCGTCCGACACTGTTGGCACTTGGTTGCACTTTTACACTTCCCAGGCGCCAAGATTGGCCAAAACGAGCAGTGCTTGCAACAAACCTGCTGTATCCACTTACTCCTTTTGCCGCCAGCTATCACTCTGAATCAAGGGAATCTTGACGCGCTCGTCTTCGCTTATTTCCAGGCGCGGAGCTTCCAAGATATAGCGTAGGTCAGCTGCCTGCTTCTTGACCTGCAAGAAATAGCCCCGGAGCCCCGCCTGAGTGTATTTTCCAGCAACGCCAACCCCCCCCGGACCAGCAGCGCGCACCCTAAGCCCGCACCGACACATTTGCGTGGTGTCCCTACCTTCCGGCTAGGGTGGCTTGCCTCAATGTCCTTGTATAGCTCGATGGCGTCCTTCTCCCTCCCGCAGGCCTGCCACATTACAACACCATGCACCACCCAGGAAAGTGAAGAACACAAACATTTGTACAGTCCGTCTGCCCCTTCTTGGTTTTATCGGGCAGACACTTACGTTAACCGCACAAAAGAGCCCTGGATCCCATTACCTGGTAGGATAAGCCCAGCCAAAGCTGCGCCTCTCCTCCCAGGACAGTGTCCGCACCCACGTCCTTCACTGCCTGCTCCAGCAGCCGAACCGATGCCGGGTATTCGCCGCATTCATAAGCCCGTTTGCCCAGTTCGAGATTGCGTGCGAGCCGCTCTTTAACGGCCTCCTCCTCCGCCTTGAGCTCCGCTGCGCGCTGGCCGAAATCCCGCAATGTCCCACGTTAATGTACGAGCGTGCGTCACGTAACGCAGCTGTGCCCCACGGACACAGCCTGCCTGCCCGGATGCAGCCGCCTACCTTTGCTAACTTTTGTTTGATCTTGTCCTTGTACACCTTTTGGGCTTCCGACAGGCCAGCAGTGCTGCTGACGCCGAGCTCGAGAGCCAGCAGCTCGTCCTCATCGAAGCCCTGCTCCAGGCCTACCATGCACACAGGGCAGTGGCAAACGCAAACATTGACACCGGTGCTTACCACATCCACAATGGCTGAAGCGCACGACCGTGTTTCACCTAGCAAGCAGTTGGCACCTATGCAGTCCTGATGCCTGGGAATGCGCATAAACACCTGGCATTGCCATGCCGAAGGCGAAAGTGTAGACTAAGTTGGCCATACAACAGCACAAGCGAGAACCTGCAGGGTTAATAGTGACGTGCATGTAGGACACTCCTACAGGTGTGGTATCTCGAGGTGCGTGGTGGAAAGGAGGCTAATGCAAGTGAGGTGTTGACAAGGAGCACCACGGTTAGGTACTCTCCTTACGCCAACACTAGAGCACTAGAGCAGATAGGATCTTGCTCTGTGCCCACATTGCACGAACCTAAGACCACGCAGACAGTGCATCCCACGCGGAAAACATATGCATGCATTGACTAGTCGAGCGACTGCTGACACTTGTGGGGTGGGCTGGGGGGACACGACACCCAGCCTGCCTGGACGTACCTAGCTGGTACCGCCGTGCTGCCTGATCTAGGAGGCCAGGATTAGCGTACTTGCTAATGTCTGTGAAGAGGCCAGAATTTGAGCTTCTCGGTGCCTCAGCACGGCACACGATGAGTGGCCTGTAGCTGACTCGAGAGGTCAAGCAGAAGTAACGCCCTCTGAGCATGTGGATTCAGAGATGCGAGTCCTGAATTAGACCTTGTCTATGGTTACCGAGAAATAATGCAAAAATGAAACATAAATGATTCAGAAGAGATACGCAAGGCCGGCGTTTCTGCAATGAGACAATCTGAGCGCAAATCAGGCGCTTTAGAAAAGTCAATACTGTCTAATACTTTTACATAAAAAATGATCTCCGCGACTTTGCCTTCGGAGCCAGCGAGCGTGCTTAGCAGAATGCAACACACAAAGCGTACAATATTATTGGCTATGCAAAAATGTTCTGAAAGAATAGAGGTGAACAAATTGGTACCGGAAAAACGGTTCACAACACTTTTTACGGAATCGTACTCGCCACATCAGAATTAATGTTCTTAAAAGAACTGCGTAGTGCTAACGTTACCCATTAATCCTGCATTTCCGTGCTGAGCCCGCAAGCACAAGAATGAGCGTCACAGCGCTGTTTGAGCCTATTCGCTCTTGGCTCTCATCTGAGAGCCTGCAGTCATTTGTAAACAGCCACCACCAGCAGATTATTGCTCTCCAGAAGGATGCGCCGGTCGGATCAGCTCTGCAGGTAGGGAGTCGAACCCTGTATCGGGCACCGCGGCGGCGCTCGACTGCAGTTTTGTGAGCTCTTGCTGGGTCATGATTTATCAAATTTTAGGACTCGAAACCGTGACGAATTGCATCAGCCTGTTCATGCTTCAAGCTATGCTTAGGCTCTGATCTGAAACTTTCGGGTTGTAGATGCCGCCATGTTTGTCGCAAAGCCTCAGCCTTGCCGTTTCCTATGTGCCAAGCATAAGTTGAAATTATGCCATGATCGGAATCACGGCTGTGCGTTTGTATGCAAGGGTTGAAGAGCCGAACACTTGTTGTTCCCGGTATTATGTAGGTCCTGGCCGAGAACAAGATCCTGAGCGTCCCCGTGCTGGACGAGGAAGGCGAATACCTCGGCGCCTTCAGTGTTGGCGACGCTCTCCGCGTGTTGATGCAGGGTACGTATGCCAGCTAAGTGTGTTTCGTCTGAGCGTGCATGCCCGTATGTTCTGCCTTGACGGATTTTACGTATGCCCGAGCAATGACATGGAGGCGCTGAACATATTGTAACATTTCCACAGAGCTCGAATCACAGCTGGGCCATGGCTGGTTTGACCGCCTTGCCCAAATCAAGGCTTCTGAGCTTGAGGCCATTGGTAGCAGCCTGTGCAGCAAGAAGGTTTACACCGTCACCCATCGTAAGTATTAAGGGGATGGCGGTTTAAGAATTCATTGCGACCACAAGATTAGAGCGCGTACACCTTATCGCTTGGATGCCATCAACCTGGGTTGCCATCCGATGCGACTGATTGTCTTGTCCGCAGCCGGTGACCTGTGGCTCAAGGGTGACTCCAAGACCACTGTGCTCACCGTCATCAAGGAGGGCTTCCAGGTGCTGGAGCCGAAGGTGAGGGCGATCTTTAGTTCGTCACCCTGAGTACGCAGTCAAACGGGTCCAACTAAAATTGTTAAAATGTTCTGATACCCGGTGGACTAATTTCAGGGTCATCATCGCATCTTCGTTGTCGACCCCGCGAAGGCGCACACCGTGACCGTCCATGGCTCCACGGTCGTCATCAATATCAAGGTGTGGCGGTCGCTTAGACCCATCCGCTCTTCTCGAACCTCATATTTGTGCAACCTTGAGGGAGACTTTTGTTTAATCATGTGTTCGAAATCATTTCCAACTTGAGACGTTCTACGCTGATTTACCTGGTTGCCCTGCAGCCCGGTTCTGAGAAGCCTGAGGCCAGCGGACTTCGCCCGACGGACATTGTGTCCCAGCTGGACGTTGTTAAGCTGCTTTCGGAACACAAGGACAAGCTGGAGCTGGTTATGACTAAGACTCTCGAGGAGCTCGAGATCTTCGAGGTGTGTCAAGGGAACTCGAGTGCCTTGGCGCGACACCACCTGTGCTTGCTGAGTAGTGAGGTGCAACGCCCTCAAGGCCCATTAAATGTCCAGCAGCTATAAACGCAGTGCGGGCTGTGCACTACCGCCTGTGCAGTGCGGTTGTTCAGCTGTATACATGTGATTGTATGCACCGTTGCTGTGCCGTGTTTATGACTCACTGCTGCACGCATGCGGGAGCGTTCTGACGGTCAATATGCACATCATGGTCAACGTTGGTTCTGCAACTCGGTTCAATGTCTTGCAGGGCTCCGTCTTCACTATCCATGCATCCGCATCGGCTCTGGAGGCCTTCCACCACATGGCTCTCGACCACAAGTCCTGCTTGGGCATTGTGGACAACACCGGCAAGCTGATCGGCAACGTGTCAGTGAGCGACCTGCGCTTCCTTGGGCCCCAGAACTATGGCCTGCTGCTGTCCACGGTTGCGGAGTTCAGCGTCGTCATTGCAGGGAAGGGCCCCTCGCAGGAGGAGGCCATTAACGGTGCTCGTGTCGCGGTACGTAGATTTTGTGCAAATATGCCCTTCAGCTGTGAATCGGGTCCCAGTCTTTGGCTTCGTCAAGACCGTTTTGGTTATCAGGTTTGTGAATTTCTTTTGTGCTTACTTCGGGGTGCGTCGTGCTTTTGTATGACCTGGAGAAGCTTGTTTATCTTAACAGTACTTGCTATCGTCGTTATCCGTTCACCTCTTGCGCAGGGAGCTGCCGACGGCAAATGGTCTGAGGTCCTGAAGGATCTGCCGCTGCCCACGCTCAAGCCCAGCGGCACCTTCGGTCAGCTGCTCGGGACAATGGCGTCAGAGAACCTGCACCGTCTCTACATTGTTGACGAAGACGGCAAGCCGGTCTCCATCGTCACTCTCACGGACGTGCTTCGGGAGATCATCAAGCCCGAGCCGCCGGTTCACCACTTCCAGCGTATGGGGACTAATGACCTGCCCGACGATGATGACGACGATGACGATGATGACGAGGAGGAGGAAGCAGAGGAGGAGGCGAAGTAAGGAGTATGCCTGAAGACCTGACCACAGCTGAACGGTTTAACACGGCTACTTAAAGCCGGAGCCGGGCAGAGCTGTATGAAATTGATATGAATAACTAAAGAGGGCTGCAGCTTTGCGCATGGAGGCGCGCGATAGGATAATCTTGCCCTTAGGGGTACACTGCAGCCCAGCGAGTTCCAATGCTGGCCGCATGTCCGCCTATGTTTGCAATGGCAGTGATGTTATGGGGGGGTGCATATGTGCAGATGTTTTAGGAGTAGCTCCTAGGCAGTGATATTACGGCCAGGGTTCTGTGCAAGCGCTGCACATACAAGTACAACATTTCCTGCACGATTAGGACTGGGTGGATTGCTCGGTCTGCTGTTGCTTCATTGCATAGGTGTTTTGCTGCTGTCGTTAGAATTTTTTATTGCGTGCACCGGACTTCACGTTCTGCAAATGCTAATGCGCAAGTGTGGGCAGCTGGGCAAGCATCATAGCTCAAATAAAGTTCTGGCCAGCGTGCTATATTGTAACCGTGTGCCTTGCGCATTTATGCATTAAAAATTAAAACGTCAGCAAAGATTTGTCAACGACGCTGTGCAAAGCTTATTTATGATGTTTGCAGAGAGGAATGATGAAGCTCCGCATAACGCTTTTGCCACCTCCTGGCGTCCCCGACCGCAGCCAGTGTCAGGAAACCGGGTTTCCTGGTGGACGGGTAGCAGACACACATACGTCATCCAAAGAGCAAGGGGACAATGGAAATGTAAGAAGTTGGATGATATTTTGCCAGGCTAAGGAATGGGAGCCTAAAAAGGGAGTGCTTGAAATGCGGGAGCAAAATATGAGCTATTACGGCACTGTTGTGCCTTGGCTACATCCGTCTTTTGAGACGCTGCGGGTCGTTCGGGTTCAATCTCTTCACGCTGAGCTGCTGGTGGCGAGACGCTGGCGGGGCATCGCCGTTGCCCATCTCGGCGTACGAGCACCTATACCATCGCACCTGATGCGTCAAAACGTAGATTTAATTGTAGATCCTTATCACACAAAGAATATTTGCTGGGCCTGGCTGGATGGTGCGTATGTTATTGGACAATTTTATAGTTTTGCATTCCGCTGCGCAAGACCGGAATCCAAGATAGCACAGGGAAATCACGAATACACATCTACCACCTTAATAACCTTTTTCCTGACACTGCTTGGTGTGCAATGTAACCAATTACCGCTGACTGGAACGGTTGCACCCAACCAACCGTAATCTGGGCTCGGCACACGCCATCGCTTCATCATGAGCACCAATTTTCGAAGGACTGCACTGGGTGCTTGCACCACGGTGGCCGCTGTCTACGCGGCTGCATTTACGGCAGTACGGGTGCGCCGCTGTCGGCATGCTTGCCCAGTTGTGGCGTTCGCTGGAGGCGGTGCGGGCTCTCACGTCTTCCCAGCAATTGCGATTGCAGAGGAGCTTCGAAAGCAATCCGTGGAGGTATGAGCGGCGAGGACGCCTACGTGCACTCGGTATGTAATCGGCCCACCGTCACTAAGCCAAAGTAAAAGGCAAATCCTCCATCCCACCATTGACCTCCCTGATGCATTTTCACCTGAACCGGACATACCACCCAACACGCTTCAGGGCAGCGTCATAGTCGCTGCCGTTCAATTTATCGCTGGACACTGCGAAGGGCAGTCTATGCCGCCTCGGAAAATAGCACATTGCCGATGCGCGCCCGCTGCCTTGTGCGTGGGCGCCGGAGCTTGCACTCATAGCCCATAGGGCGATTGCTGCTCTCCGCGGTGCCGGATGCCACATCAGACTGCTTACCGCTGTTGCGGATCCACCCGCCCGTCCACCCATTCACGGGCCCATTAACCACAGGCGGTGTTCCTGGGGGAGTCACGAGGACCTGAGCTGCACGTCGTACCGCAGTGCGGCTTCAAGCTGTATTGCATCTCCTCGGTGAGCTTGCAGCGCCCCCTGAAGAGCGTCAGCAACGCGCTGAACATATTCAGGTGGGCGAGGGGCCCTGGAGGGCGCGGAGGGGGCACAGACGGGATGTGGGCGAAGGGGGCTCGAGACCGCCTGCCCGTAGGATGCTGTTGACGGCATGTGGTGTCATCGCCCATTAGCTGGCTGGTTTTGGGTAAAGGGTCAAGGATGAAGGGCAAGTACCTGTGTTCTGTTTTACCCTTTTTTGGCGCCGTCCAGGTTCCCCCTGTGCGTGGCCCACAGCGCCTGGGCCCTGGTACGGGCCGGGCCCCATGTGCTGGTGGGTACAGGGGGCAAGGTGTCCGTACCGGCATGCGTGGCCGCGGCCGCACTGGTGAGCAACGGCAGGACGTGTATGGGTACGGGCGCGGGGAGAACTGTTTCCAGAGCGCGGTATCCGCAACCTAGGCAGCGGCGGCACGGGCGCACACGGCGGGCGGGATGGGGGGTCTTTTCTATGGTCACATGGTGGTGTGGTGATGGGAAGGTGAGGGAATATATATATACATATATGTTAGTTAGGAAAACACGGAGGCGGATGAAACGTTCTTCCTTGATGATGATGAAGATGCTGCCGGCGGAGGGACCGCCGCCGCTGCGATGTGGGAGCCATCCGGGGCGCCGGGGACAGGAGGGCCCGTGGTGAACCCCCTGACCTGGTGGGGCGCGGGCTGGCCTGGGAACTGTCACATTTTTCCGTTTCACCAGATGTGGCTGAATGTGCTGTGGCATCTATCGGCCGCTGATGTGCACCAACGCCCCGCTCTCTATCTCAGGGTATACCACTGGTCTTGTACGAGCCCAACGCCCAGGCCGGGGCTGCCAACCAGGCCCTGCACGTCATCGCACGACAGACACTGTTGGCGTACGACAGCGCGGCAGCAGGGCTGCGTTACAAGGATAGGTTCGTCCCTGAGAAGGTCTGACGCCCGCACCGCACCGCATCTTCAGCTTCCTGGGCGCCATGTGAACTGTGTGCCCTGTACACGCCGTATGCACGCCCCCGGCCCCCGATGCCCCGGAAACGCTGGGTTCTATCGCTGTGTGTGTTGTTCTGCTGCGTGTTGTTCGCTGCGCCTCAGGTGTGTGGTGGTGGGTCCTGCGGTGCGGAGCGATGTGCTTGACTGTGTGTGGGGCGGCCAGGGGGCCGTCAGGCGGCGGCGGCGGAAGGCGCGGGCGGCGCTGGGGGTGACCGGTCGGGGCACCCGGTTACTGCTGGTGCTGGGTGGCTCCGGGGGCTGCGGGTACTTGAACTGTGCGGTCAACAACGCGCTACCGCAGCTGGCTGGGGTACCAGGTGGGCCGGGGTTGGGGCCCTGCCCGGTTCGACTGGGTGCTGCTGGAATGGTGGCGTTGGTGGTGGTGGTGTTCTTGTCGCTAGTGGACGGTGGTGGTGGAGGCGCATGCTGGCGGTTGGGAGCGATACGGACGGGAGCATGTGTCTTGGGGAGACTGCCGTTCACTCAAAAGCTCAATTAAAACGTGTAGTTGGGCCGGAGGAAAAAGGTGGCAATGCTCAAGGAGTGCTGTCAATCAGACACGCACACGGCGCGAATGGTTGCCGGGGGGGGATAGGGCCGGAGGGGAAGAGGAAGGTGGAAATGCGCGTATTGAGGCAGGTGGGGCAGATCAGCAATATATCAGAACGTGAGCCCCACCGAGGTGGTGCCTTTAGGGGGGAGAGATCGGCTGAAATGCCGACCTGGGGCTTTCCCCCGTGTCGGCGCCTTGCCCAGCCGGCCATCCAGAGGGCGATGAGAGCTCTCCAGGCTGACCTTTACCGCTGGTCGCGACATCACACAACCTTCCCCCCAAAGCCTCTATCCCCCTATAGTCCCTTCAACGTTCTTGTGTGTCGGCCATTGTTTATTTGACTTAAAGAGTTTTATTCCCCAAACCCGGTGGACCCGTTGTGACTTGTTTTTCTTCGATATTCGTATTCGTTTCGCCCTCCTGAACCCCCTTGGGGGGGTTTCCTCTGTGGAACTCAGTCAGGCCCCGGTCCGGGGTCCCCCAACCCCGCGTGTGGCCCCTGCGGCGGTTGCAGGGTTACACGTCTTGTGGCAGACCGGCGCCAAGCAGTACGTGTCGTACTCTGCTGGATATGCGGCCAGCCTGCCAAGGTGCGCTCTTTGCCTTGATGACCAAAGCAGCTGAAGGCCGTACACACCCTTGTCCAGGGCCTTGTCCAGGAGTCCGCTTCGCTTTTGTTTTCTTTTGCCCGCCACATATCGACTACTGAGCCGACGACGAGGCAGCGCGGTCATTAGAAGACACCTGGGGGGATGTTGATGCCACCGGGCTGAGTGGCACCTCAACTTGAGTGTTTAAATCGTTTTTGCGCCCTGGGTTAATTTGTTGGTGACCAATTGGTTACTGTATGTGAGCGTGTTCAATGGTAACCACCTTTCAAAAATATTTTTTCCAGTGCTGTCACTCCACAAAAACACACATTTGCCCCGGCGCCGCGGCACTGCTGACTGTGTTTCGTAACACCCACATCGCGAGGGCTTGGCAACCGTGTTTAGGGACATTTTCAAATATTAAGCCATTACACGCCCATAGAATACTGAATTACTTGTAAAGGACAAGCCATCTGAGCAAGCTTTCATCAACTTCGACTCTGCGTACGGCAACACGTTCCTGAGCCGAACTCAGCAAGCCATCACAGCTTTCATGGGAAGCGTAAATTCATTTTCGGGCGTGGTCACTCCCGGGGGGGGGGTGTCACTCCCTGGGGGGGAGTCTGCGGCCCAATTTCCTTGCGACCACCAGGCTACTGGCAGTTTCATAGTGACGACCTCCTCCCGGAAGGGAATTAAATCTCAATTAATCAGTTTAATCAGTTAAATCTCATTAGTAACCACTTTTAAAAGCACTTTTATATTTGACCGCCGGATACCTTATAAGTGTGTGTATGTGTGTTCTGTTACATATCGATCCGGGCGGGAACGACCGCCGAAGCTTTAGCGGGAGGAGAGGGGCGTGGGGGGTCCCCGCAGCCCCCTCCTGCTCGTCCCAGGGCGCGCGACCCACCCTGTTCTCTGACTCACGTAATCCACGATGATGAAGGAGCGCACGGTGGCTACGAAGGCCCTCTCGCAACCAACCTCAGCCCGCCCCACGTGTGTATGTGCGGGGGGGGAGCCAAGGCGCCCCCGAGCTGCTGCCCCACCGATACGGCGGAAGAGGGACCGACAAGGGGCGGGAGGGAACGAGGACATGAGAAAAGCCTTATTTCACCCTCATATGTCCCACCCAGTCTCCCACCCAGCAGTCTCACACACGCACAGCATGCTCACGCGCACACACGTACACACACACACTCACTCACGGGCCAGTCCGTGCGTATGTCATGCGTGCATCTTTTCGTTACCGGCCGAAGCAGCGATTCTTCTCCCTCATAGCCTCGCACGCAGAGACACACAGACTCACACGCAACCTCCTCCGCCGCTGCAGCGTCCGCTGCGTACCCTTCCTGCCGGAGCCGGGTTCCGCACTGTTAGCCGCTGACCTGGTGCTGTCACGTGCCGGTGCCTCAACCGTATCTGAGCTGGGCGCGGTGGGTGTCCCCGCGCTGCTGGTGCCCTCCCCGGCCGTCAGCAACGAGCAGCAGACCGCAAACGCCCGAGTCCTGGTGGACAAAAGTGAGTGTGTGAGAGCTCGAGTGGTTGGGGGGTTGTTGGGTTTCGCGGGGTGAGAGGTGCTCGGATGGCAGAGGCACGAAGCACCAGACCGTGCTGGTGTAGAGGAGTTGAAGATCGTTAGTGCCCTAGTGCGGAAGAGAGTGTGTGGTCGAGGAAGGTAAGGGGGAGTGTCACGAAGCCGTGAGGGGTACGAGAGGCCCGGGGTGCTTGAGAGGGGGCGCATGAGGGCGCGAGAGATGTCACCATGTTGCACGGTTTACTCTATAAGGGTGTAAGTGGCGAACGGATAGTCCGGGGGATGAATACGTGGCCCACAGCAATAAGCTCTCCTGCCGGACACCTGGTCTTGGGTCGAAGGCAGGCTGGGTGGGCATGGTTCTGTGTCTCGCCCTGTGTCTGGCCGCTCCTTGCGGTTGTTGTTGTTGTTGTTGTTATTACAAGGTCGTGGGTGCGTTCCCCGTACACACCTGCAAACCACCCTAATACGAGCCGAGGGCTCAAGGGCTGCCAATTCGCCTATAAGCACCATCCTACCTCGCACTTCCAACGAAACAAGTAATGAAGGATACTAACGACCAAAGGGAATGTTCGCAGTTTGGGCAGAGGGTGCGTCGCGTTGCGTCATGTGTGTATGTATGTATGTGTGCGTATGTTACGAGTGTTGTACCGACCTTCCCAAGGGCAGGGCGATGAGGCTGTGCGTGTGGCCCCGCAGATCAGGCGGTGCTAGTGCCGCAGGTGGAGGTGGATGAGGGCGGTCTCGCCCCGCACCTGCTGCCGCTGCTCACCCCAACAGACGGCAGGCGACTGGCGGGCATGCGGTGGGGCGGAGGCGGAGGCGGAGAGGCGATTGCGGCGAGGGCAGCTGCGCTAGTAGGAGGGTCAAGCGGGGGAGATGGGGGCGAAGGGGCGGCGCTGTGCAGCCGCAGCAGCAGCTGCGTCACCGGGGCCGTCCGGTGTCGTGAGGCACTTATGCGGCACATTCGGACGTGATCGGACAGCTAGGCTAGGGGTGTATGGCTACGTATGTGAGGGTGTGAGAGCGAGCGTGTGTGTGTGTGCGTGTGCGCGATAGCGTTGTGGTAGTCTTTCCAGTTTGAGGGGAATTGCGGTAGTGGAGGATTCTGCATGTATTGGTCGCTCCAGCCTCAGCGTGGTGACTAGGTTGTCAGGCATAGGTAGGTGGTTGCCTAAATAGGCGGGTGGGGTAATCGGCTGTGAGGTAGGCGGGTAATTGGTAGTTGGTCGGCAGCCTGACAGGTGGGTAGCTGGGTTGGTCCTGGAACCCGCTCCACACACACGGAGGTCAGAGCCGGGCCAGATCCCACTTCCCCTGCCTCCCTTCATACCACACACGAACACTCTACGACATGTGTCTCTGGGCCGATATTGAAGAAATCCAATATCAGGTGTGAACAGGAATCAGACGAGGTCTGGAGGGCCAAATGACTGAGATGTTGGCCAGGGAAGCAGGATCATGGAGGTCGTCCACAGACAGGCCAGGCAGGCAGACGGATGGACGGAGTTAATGACAAGCTCGCCCGTATTGAGCACTGCAAACGTTTCCACAGGTCTTCTAGTCGATGTACGCTATATATGTAAGCGTAGCCCTGCCGATCAACCAGGGCCGAATCCCCGCATCACCACATTTGCCCCCCCCCCCCGACCGCACTCCGGCGTCCAGACGGGGGTCATGTGTGGATTTGAGCTCACAGCAAAAAACAACAGGTCGCCACAACACATGCAACAAGCGTTAATAACCATCTCAGAATCCAAAACGCCTTCAGTAACGGGCCAAAACGCGAATGAAAACCGCCAAAACGGGAACGAAAACTGCCAAAACTCCCATAACGCCTGTAATGACAGCGCCTCGGAGCATCCCCGTTGTAAGAAATAACTGGGGAATACTGCAAATTTTCTACATTCATTCTCTAAAAAAGAAAAGAAATCAGCCGATGTCAAGTGAGCTTGCCCGCTCTCCTTCCTTTTCTGCATTTGAAACACTACTTTTGTCCCAAACGTAAACTTATTTGCGTATAGTCATTCCTCGATCGGTTGATACTTATCATTAAAGCCCAGGAGCCAAGGGCGCTGCTAGAACACCGCTGCGGCGCTGCGCTAATTGGTTCCACTGAACACGTCTTTCCAGGCACGTACCGCATACACTGCGTGAAAAAAACTATGACCCGTTGGCCACGTTAACTTGAAAAGAACACCACTCGCAGTTAGCACCTAGTCAGCCATCCATCGCAAGTCATCTTTGTTTTCGTAAGCTCCACCGCTAAGCTCGTCCCCAGTCCGCGCCCTCCGCGCCCTCCGCGACAGTGTCTTCTTCCTGTGCCTGTGGACTCCTCGCGTTGTGCTGCTCCATAGACCTGGGGGGAGGCAGCGGCAACAGGATGCAGCCCAGAAAATATGATATCGTCGTTGCATTTTTTCTAGGGTGCTGTACCCGTTAACCAGCTGCAACGGGGGCAGGGTGAGTCGAACCTCAAGCCAACCAAAGGCAGTTGCTTCGGGTTGTGTCGTCATAATTGTGCATTACTCCAAGCCAACCCAGCTCAACCCAAGCATCATCTGATGCTTCGTGCTTAGTTGTTAGTACTTAGTACTATGTACTTAGCCAGCCGGGCAGCACATGACTGAGCGGGCTGCCCGGTTTTCCTTCCCCTTCAGCGCCCCCAAGCAAGCGCCGCAGACGCACGGGTCAGTGCCCACCAGAGGAAATCGTTCAGCTGTTCCATGATGGCCGTATCCAAAGACTCCACCTGCCGCATGTGTGGGAAGGCAGGGGTAGGGGGGATGTGTGGCGAGAGAGAGGGAGGGAGGGGGAGGAACCTGAAGCGCCCTCACGGCGGTTAGTGGTGGCGATGAGCAGCGCCGCCATGTCGCTCATCACCACCAAACCTACGGACAAGGGGAATCCTACTGTTTAACTTAAAACAAAGCACTGTGATGGTCCCAAAAGATGTCAACACAGTGTGATTTCTGCCCAGTGCTCAAAATAATGTAGTGCGACAAAGGGAAGGAAAGGCGCCACAAACTGTGTGGAGGGCAAAGGCTGCTGGGCCCCCAGCCAGCCATCCGACCCCCCTCCGTGTACAGGCGCAGTACCCTTTCTTTACCCCCCGGGCGATGCGCTGCCGACCGCCTTCCCCTCCCTCGGCCTAGTGGGCCCATCCCCCATCCCTCCCTCCCGCTCACTGCATACACCACATCCGCCACCATCTTCTCCCGCTCCCGCTCCCTCTCCCCCACGGGAAGAGCTGCCACACACGCGGGGTCCACGGACACGGCCACATCTACCACATCGTGGTTGTCCTTGTTGCACATGGTCACTCTTCAGGCCAGTAGGAGGGGGGTGGTAGGCGGGCACAGGCAGCAGGGGGCAGCCGGAGGCGATGAGCCAAAAAGGTGGGAGAGCGCGCAGGGCCCGATGCTCTTCTGCCCACCTATCCGCCCTAAGTACACCCGAAGGAGGCGCCGCTGTTCAGCGCGCATCCAGCAGTCCGCAGTGTCCCTAAACCCTCCCGCCGCAACCCCAGATGTGAAAGTGCCAGGTATGTCCCAGGTAGCTGCAAGACGAGGCCGTGGCAGTGGCAGGGGCACGAGACCCGGAGGGGCCGCAGCACTCACTTGGCCTGCCCCGTGAAGATCTTGCCCTCCGCGGCCGGGGTGGTGGCCTCCCAGCCCAGATCCAGATCCAGTCGGTTACACCTGCAAACCACCACATGGCGGGGCGGGTGGGAAGGGACGCTGGGTTGGGAAGCTGGGGACGGGGTGCGGCTGCTCGGTACCCTATTGTGTGCCGCACCATCACATTGTGGGCACCGTCTAGGCCGTACACGGAGATGCGCCTTCAACGGAGTGGCAGCCGATGCGAAAGCGTAAGGACAGAGGGGCCCTGTTTGTTTGTTTGTTTGTTTGTTTGTTTGTTTGTTTGTGTACATGTTGGTCGTGACCCACAGAACAGGGGGGGCAGGTGTGATAGCGGCCCCCGGCTGAAGGAACCGCGGTCGCCGGGCAGAGCTGCTGATGGCTGTTGGCGTTGGGCTGGGGGGCCCCTCCTCACCTCATGGACTTGTCTCCTTCGGACATGTCCCCCCGGTACGACAGGAGCTGCGTCGTACGGCAAGCCACGCGAGGTGTGCGGTGCTTCAGGCCCACTAACTTCTGCCCCAGCTCGTCCAGCACCCATCCCTGACCATCTTCCGACATTGTCTCAAGCGCAAAGCAGTGCTCCTCACTTCCCGTGGTCGCGGGGTTGCGGCCCGTCGTATTGCTGCTGCAGGCCGCGAAGGCCATTTTCTGTTGGTGCACATGTTCGCGACGGTACAGAGGGACGCTTCAGGTTCCTCAACTAAAGGAGAATGAAAGGACACCTAAGTGAACATATTACATTAATAGTTCCCTGGCATGGATGATGAGCGGCACCCCGACCAAAAGCGGTCGTGGTTGCTGCGCCATGTCCCGGAAACCACAGCACGCGCCCACGAAAATTGCTAAGGGAGGGTGGTCATCATGACTGCACCTTTACAGGAGTAAATAATTATCCCATGGACACACGCTGGACCACGCACCGAAGTTACGGATTTAGTCCCTGTCGCGTCCATGTTCAGCTTCGGAACCGCAAGTGAACGGGGCTGCGCCCGCTGCCCCAAAAAAGCATCTTTCATAAGATACATTTCCCGGCCCGTGCGCCAGTCAGGATGTCCTAAAAATTGAGGGCTTTTTGTTTTCGCGGATATGTTCTTGGCGGTTAGTTTTCTGCACTTTCCGAAATGTCAATTTGAGTGTCCATGCATGCTACGTTAACACAGTAATTTTAAACTGTGCAAAAATTACTACATGCCGTTACAATACCCAGCAGGCAGGCTTCTAGTACCATGTTTCCTTCGCCGTGTGCCGACAAGGACTGCATCGTACTGACGCGACCTATCGGACTCGTAAATACAAAAAATGTACAATGCACAAAGCTGACACGCAACGCTGGTGACCTTATTAACAGCACTTAAGGCTACCTCCCCCGGCACAACCTTATTGCGCCCAACCCAGCCGACGTTGTCCCAAGTATTACTTAGCCGCCTTGGCGATAACTTCGCGCGCCTTCACAAACGCCGCTATCAAACCCCCCAACTGCAGCTTCTCGCTCGTGCTGTATGCGAGACGGTGCTCGACGTCCGCCATCCGCTCCACGAGCGCAATCTTGGCATGAACTGGCATGCTGGTCTTCATAATCCACCTGCGCAGGACGAATATTAAAAAAACTCCCTTTGCTTTTTCTACTGAGCTGCTGGGTCCCCTGCGGCATGAAAACCACAAATTTACCCCCGACCCAAGCCGACACAGACACACACACACACACATAGACGCACACACACACAGACATACGTACATACATGCCAACACCAGCTTGCAGTCCCAGTGCCCAGGGCATAGGCGCCGCCACCCGCTGTCTGGCGCTCTGGTCCCCTGGCCTCTTCCCTCCAAGTGGCAGTCTCCTGCACCCCCGCTGCTGGTCTGGTTCACCTATCAATCCCCATGACCCCCAGGACTCACGGGTGAAGCTCCCGCACGACGTCCACGAGCGCCACCCCGCGGTCCACCTGCAACTGAGTCACCTCTGCACCGGCGGGATATCAAAGTTACAGCCCGAGAAAAGCAGCCGAGGAAAAGACCGAACCCATGATGCTTAGCGCGAGCGACAAAAAGGGGCGCTGGCAGCCACTCCGTCTCATGCAGCCATACATTCATTCATACATACATACATACATACATACATACATACATACATACATACATGCAGCACACAGTTTCCATGCCGAGCCCATCTGCTGCCTTCCTCACCCATCCGTACGTCCCTTCCTCCACCATCATACCTCCACCCCCACACGTCCACGACGCCCCCCAGTCAGCCACTCACTCTCAAACACGTCCGCCACGGGCTCATTGAGCAGCCACGTGAGCACCTGGCTGATGTCAGCAGGCAGCGGGTTGCCCGTGCACAGGTACACCGCCTGCTGGTCCACAACGTCGAATGCCAGATGGCAAGACTGCGGGGAGCGGAGGGGGGGTGAGGGGGATGGGGGGGTGAGGGGGTGAGGAAGGGGGCGTATCACTTCAGACGGCCGGTATCGGGCACCTTGGGCCCGGGCCAAGGGCCACACCGTGATCCCCCAACAGGGACCGACCCGATCACTCCCGCCCCCTACCGGAGGGCTATCACCAGCTGCAGCTGCCACCCCTCCGGTATAAAGCCAACAGCCTGCCGGCCCAGGCCCCGGACACCAGACCCGACCCGACCCACCCCCGCCACCAAGGTTGCACCTGCAAGATATTTAGCGAGCGGCGCATGTCCCCGTTGCCCAGCTCCACCACCGCGTCAAGAGCCCCGGAACCAAGATTCACTCTGCGGAAGGGCAGGAGACAATCAGCGAGGGAGAGAGGGGGGCCCGGGAAGAACCCGGAGGGCACGTTCACACCCCGGCCGGCAGGGAGGCCGGGAATGTTCGCCTGGGCGTATCTAATGAGGGCTCGGTGGCCAGATCGATGGAGGGAGGGATGCCTAACAATGAGGCGAGGGTTCGGTGAAGTGCAACTCCCAGCCCCCAGGACAATCAACAGCTGGACGTCCCACCGCGGTGCCGTTATCACTTGGGAGGAGGTGGGACAGCTCAGCAGGCAGTGCACCCAGGGGCCAGGGGCGTCTATGGTCGGCCAATCACTGTGAGACCGTGTAGCCGGGGAAGCTGCCCTGGTGCTCTTCCAACCCCATTCGTCACCGCCCACACCACTCCACTCCACTCCCCTCTCCTCCACCCGGCCACTCACCGCTCCGTGCTCGCCACGTACTGCAGCCGCTCATGTACGAACTGGGGGTCCAGGGGGGCAAACCTGCGGGTGCAGAGTAGGGGAGCACGGCGGCAGCGCGGCGATCAGCGCCCGCCCCTCCAATCATTTCTCAAGCACGTGTCGCCTCTTCAAGATGTATCTAAATATAACTAAAAACTAGTTACAACAGTGCTCGTGAAAATTTTTATATATACCTCAACCCCGTCCGGTACTCTCCTGATGTCATGCTTGGGTCATGCTTGGCTCGTTTTCTCCTTTCCTCCCTTCCCCCTTTCCTCTTGGCCGCACCTGAACTTGGTGCATCGAGACTGCAGTGCAGGGATGACCTTGGACACGTAGTTGCAGATGAGGCAGAAGCGGGCGTTGCGGGTGTACTTCTCAATCACTGCGACAAACCCGCCATCCACCGGGGAGGAGAGGTTGGTGTATGGAGTGACCAATGCCACGACAATGGCCGTACACGGCGGGGGCCGGAGTTGAGCCCACGCCGAGGAGGGGCCCCTCTCATAATGTGGGACATTGTGGGCTCCCGATCAATCAAAGGTCACTTCAATATGTTTACAGTGTTGTTGTTCACAAAGCTTCCAACACCCGAACAATGACTCTTGCATCAATGCCCTAGGGATGGGCCATACATACATACATTACATACATGCATGCATACATAACATAAATAGCAATTACACTTGGCCAGTGAACAAAAATGTCTGTAAAGCTATATACAGAGAGATGGACAGACAGACAAACAGACAGACAGGGAAAGGGCTCCTTCCCACCAGGGCCCTTCGCACTAGGTTTTACACAAGGTCCGGCCTTCCTCTCCTGGCCCTTTCCTCCCTCCTCACCCCTCCCCCACCTTTTAGTACGCAAACCCGCACGGTCATCTTCGCGCGTTCTATTACGACATGATATGACGTGCACTGTCCACCGATGTCCTTAAGACGGCCCTCTCCTAGGGGGAGCCCCATCTCCTATCTCAGGGCCGCACCTCGTCGCAATGCAAACTGGGCATCGTTGGTCATGGCGTCGCACTCATCCAGTATGATGAGCTTGAACTTGTTGCTGGTCGGGAGGAGGGCGGTCGGGTGGCGAGGGGAGGGAAGGGGCGCGGAGAGGGGGTTGGAGAGGGGAAGGGGAGGAGCTCCAAGCCCGCCAAGGACTCTCAAGGCCCAAACACCGGCGGCCCCCGCAGTACCCGATCTGATCTGAATTACCTGGTCTCAGGAGTGAGTGAGTGTGTGTGTGAGTGAGAGAGCGTGAGGGGACGTGAGAGCATACGAGGGTGCGAGGCGGTGTGTTGAGAGGCTCTGTAAGTGAGAGAGCGCACCGCCGCATCACATCACATCACATTACGTAAATAACATGCTGGTGACCGTTTGGCTGGCTACCACCGGCATACCGAGGTAACGTTTCGTCAGCCCAACTCCAATCGGTTAGTTGGGTCCTGTTGTAAGCAAGATACACACATACACGCAGCATGGAAACCCTCCTCGCACACCTGAAGATGGTCCGTGTGGACGCAAAGTCCTGGATCTCCTGCCGCACAACGCTGATGCCTCGCTCGTCCGACGCGTTCAGCTCCAGTGTCATATTGGCCATTGAGCTGCCGTATATTTGACGAGCCACCGCTAAGATGGTGGACGTCTTGCCGGTGCCGGGGGGACCGTACAGCAGCAGATGCGGCAACCGGTTCTCGTTGGTGAGCCGTTTTACTGCGATTGGGGGGATAAGGCCCAACCGAGTTCAGGGCGGTTGGGCAACAGGGGCAACAACGTTAGGTTGCTTTCAGGGCTGCAGAGCTCAAATAGCTTCGGATTGCGATCCCAATAGCGATAACCGGGGCACTCTGACGTCAGACTGCATTGACTGGGACCCGTCTTCCGCCGGAGGGGTCTGCTCGTCAAACCTGGTCACACATAATTTTGTGGGAGGCAGGTTTCATCTACCCCGATGGCTCGCCGCTGAACGGGAGCGGTCTTGCTTGCTCCCTCCTCCCGTCTTACTCGTATCAATAATCTGCTTGTGCGCTGCCACCTCATCCAGACTTTTAGGTCGATACTTCTCCACCCATGGCGCGTTACGGCCATCAACCGTTCCGTCCGTTCGCAACCGTGAGCTTGGAGCTGCCAAGGCCTCGTCTAGGTTGGCCATGGCCGTGATGTCTTGTCGACCGACCTCCATAGTGCTTACAGTCCGTCGCCTAAGGTAAGTCCCGGGTTGGGCGGAAAAGGCGCGCTGCCGGTCCCCCAGGTGCTTTCGACGGCAGCTTCCACGTAACGATTAGATTTTCAAATTTGGCAGCGTTCTTGCCATGACGAAATTGCTGCTACGCCTGGCAGAGGCGAGCGTATAAAACGTGATATGACTTGTTCCAGCTTCAAGTTTAATACTCAACCATGCATCGGCGCAATCGTAACAATATGCTTGCGGGAACAATCTCCGAGGGTTACGGCTTTGCAAGCTTTTTTATTGTACGACGTCCCGCCAAATTCCCGAGTAATACGCTAACAACCCGCAAGCTTACTTGGGCTGATGTAGGTACAGTCAGAATGGCTTGACTGTAACCTTTGTCTCGTAAAGTTTATACATAAAATGAGCATTGGTGCAAGAGTACCAGTTTTGGACTTGCTCCAAAAACTGGTAGCAGGGAAGCGCCTGCTTGGAGTTGCTGTTACTCAACATAGCGTTGAAGTTGCAGTGCTTGGCCCACCTTATGAAGCTGCTACGTCGGTGCGGTCGGTACCTTACTGCTACCCCTTCTCCTCCTCCTGCCATTCCTTCAAGCACGCCTTCCTTCAATCCCATAGTGCTTTGGATGTAGGACGGGCAGATTTCTTTCACCGGAGGAACTTCAGGCTGCGTTAAACGAAACGAAGGTCTGTAAGACAAAGGGAGGCCTTGAACATCTCATGTACCTCAGGACCCGGAACACAATTCTGGGGCCAGGCCCTTCGTATCCCCCCTCATATAGCACGTGCATGAGCGTGCGTTCTGGTGGCAGGCGCTCGGTCGAAGCAAAGGCAATCATTTTCTTAAGGAGGTGCCGAGCTGCACCTGGTCGAAATGAAACATGGCCGCTGTCCCACACCGCCTAGCGGTCAGGCCTTAATTCCCTGGAGCCGACTGCCTCCTCTGACTCCCCAGGGAACAGAGAGAGACAGCGATGTGGGACATGGGACGATATTGCTGTACGGTATTGGAGTGTATTGATGGCTTTATTCCTGGTGTCCCCCGAGCGGCGTATCAGGCAGCACCCGGGCGCGACCTTAAGAGCAATCCGGACTCCCTACACCGCTGCCGCTGCCACTCCCACTGCCGCTGCCACTGCCGCTGCCACTGCCATGCCGGTACCCATCTGTTATCATTCAGTTAGTCAGTGAGACCCCTGGGCTGCTCCATCGCCACCACCACCGCCTCTTTCAATGCCCACCCTCCTCATCCTTCTGACCCCCTGCGGTGTGCGGCCTCCCTTTGAAGGCGGAGGCGGTAGTGCTGGGAGGCTCGGGTGCCTTCCGTACGGATGGATCCACGCAGCTAGGTGTACGGAAGCTCATCTCGGGGCTGCAGGGCCTTGTGTACGACAGTGACTGGCTGCCTAGTCCATCTCGGTCACACATGCCCACACAGGCGGTCCCCATCTGGCTCTGGTAGGTGGGGTTAGGGGGCCCTCCCGGGGACTGCGGGCTCCCGCGACAACCCGCATGCCACATAAGTCGTGTGCGAGGTGGCTGCTGCCGGCGACTGGTCATCCAGAGCATGAGGTCAATCAAAACACCCCAGCTGCAATCCTGTTGGGAGGCGCCGCAGCCTGCCAACTTTGGGCCCCTTGGAGCAGTGGTCAGCATGTCGCCCCCCTGCCCCGGCCGCAGAGGAGAGGCCCTCCTCCGGGGCTCTCTGCTCGCTAGGTGCTACTGCACCGCCTTTACCTCCCCCTGCTGCTGCACCGCCCGGGCAGTTGCATCCTGGATCTGGACGGCTGCAGTTGGTGTGCTTTGGACGTGTCAGCATCTGGCCCCACTTGTTTTCGTGCCGCATATGATTTCCCCCTCCGCCTCCCCCTACTTCTGCTGCCCCCGCTCCCCTCCCTCCCGCTCCCTGTGGCTGCAGCCGGCGCGGTCAGGACGATGCGGCCCTAATGGTGGTGGAGCACGTGCGGGTGGGTTTCCGGTGGCCGAGAGAAGAAGGCCGGGTAGGGGGGGAGAGCAGGGGGAAGCAATCGCCGACCTGAGCAACCTGAGGAACACTCCCCCCCGGTTGGAAACCCCAAGAGGAGGAAGGAGAGAGTGAGAGGGCCCTGGGCTGTTGGGGTTTAGGGTTTTAGCCAGCCAGCTGCCTGCCTGCCTGCCTGCCTGCCTGGCTTCTAGAAGGGAAAGACACAATTGGGTTGCCCCGACCGACGCGTAGCAGCTAAGGAGCGGTGACGCCGGCCTCTGCCGGCCACCTGCACGGGTCCTGCAGCGTTGGCGGGGGGCCTCCTCTGTCGCGTGGAGAGTGGTGGGGACGGAGACGGAGGCGGAGGGGTTGGTGTACAGAAAGCACATCCTGTCACTCTGTTGCGCTGTGGGTGTATGTATGTATGTATGTATGTATGCATATGTGTATGTATGTATGTATTTGCACATCCCATCCCATGACTAGGCATTCTTTATTCCGCTATGCACTATGTCTTGCCGTACCTTGTCCTGTATATGGTTCCACACATCCACACACACCTCTCCGCAGGCTCACACCACCGCCCAGCAGCGCACGATGCTCAGGGGCCTGGCTGAGGCGCGGTAGAGGGGCAGGCTGGGGATGAACGCGGCCGCGGGGGGGATGGAGATGGGGGAGGTGGCTGTGGATGAGATGGAGATGGTTCGCGTCTGGTGCGGCCTCTCTCGCCAACCACCCTCAAGCTAGCTAGCCAGGACCCGCCCTCCGACGGATTGCTGTACTCATACACGTGCATACACATATTGGACGAACTAACGGATGTAAGAGTCCGGTGCCACTGGGGACACTAAGCCAAGGTTCGGCAGTGTGTGCGTGCCACACCCGGCACCCTAGGAGACCAGCCTGAAACCTGGGGAACCTCTTATCATATGCACTGCAGACCGTACGTTGCCGGGTATGGCCGGTAAGGCGCTCCGTTTCCCTGGTGCGCGCTGTCTGGGGGAATAGAAGGAAGAAACGGCGATCCACGAGGAATGGGATGAGAACCCCTCCTTGGCTACCGTCCGGAGAGGAAGGAGCGTTGCGTAGCTGGGAAGGAGCCGGGTTGAGTGCTGCGTGCATGATGTTCCTGAGCAGGAGATGGAGCCATGTCGTGACCGAATGTGAAATGGCGCCGGTAGTCCTGGTCATCTTCAGCGGAAGAAGGTGGAGAGTGGGAATATACATAACTGATTTACCGGACTGCCTGAGCTGTGATGCTTGTAATTGGATATATTGGTTATTTTGCTGGGTATATATTAGACAGCTGCGGAATCGTGGGTTAACGCTTCGTTGCAAACCTGTTGTGTGTGCGGTAATTTGTGTTGAACTCGTGGAACGTACCTTGGGCACAGCCGCAGTGCACAGCCGCACTGGGCAACTGATGTGGCATCTCTTGTTTTTATTATGGACTACGGTGGGTAACTTTGGACGTGCGCAAGGGTTCTTGAGGATTATGTCGGGTAAACGAATGTATGTCTCTATCCGCGGCCAGCCTCTACTTGAATTTCGCTGCCGCATCTCGTTTCATTTCTAAACATTTACTATTTTTTCGTTTGCCATGATATATTGGTTGTCATAAATTGTTTCAACTGTAGGCCCTGTTTCAACTCTGGGGTTTACCGGCTGTCTGCACCAAATTCCACAGTGTTTAGCTGGCAGCACCTTGAGAAATTATCTCCAACACCACAAGCATAACGCCACATGACGGGAAAAGTCCGTGTGCTCTTTCTTCTTGTGGATGGCATCGGCGATGTGTCGGTTCCGGAGTTCGGGGACAGGACACCGCTCGAAGTGGCCCATGTTCCGCATTTAGATGCTATTGCAGGTGAGAGGGAAGGGTAACCTTATGTATGACAGGCCATCGCTCGTTTCATGTCGCTTGGAAAGCGCCTACAGTCAGCCCATTCAGCTTAGTCAGGTCTCAGACTCACCACCTTCACCTCAAACCCTCTCAAGAAACTGCTACCAACTTTTTAATACGGCAAATCCGGACTTGACTCGGCGGCGCCCTTTCCCCTCAGCGCTAAATCCGTCCTGTCGGGTACTTACTCCACGGTGCCTTAGCCACCGGCAGTCTACACCCCCTGCCCAAGCGGGTCTCGACCATGTTCTGCCCCAACCCGCACATCCCTTCCCCACCGGGCGAACCTCTGTCTCCCCCCCCGTCCGCCAGCGGCTGGCCTGACTGGGCTGATGGACCCCGTGGAACCGGGCTTGGCGTGTGGCAGTGACACGGCGCACATGTCCCTTTTCGGATACGATCCCAGGATGTGAGTTTCTCCCCCCGGCATGGGCGCATTCGGGGGCCGGGAGGGAGGCAGAGATAGATGGCCACGTGGATGCAGCAGCGGGGGGAGCCAGCGGCCCCATCTAGGTGAGCACGTACTGGTGTTCATCTCGCGAGCAACCGCTGAGCCCTCATTACGGGTTCCAGTTGCAGCGGCCGCGACGTGCGGCTGGGCCCCCGGTACCCACTGGCAGCTTTGGCCCTCTCTAATGCACCTCTGGTGGCGGAGGGGTGTGGAGGGATCTGGGTACTCTCCCCCCACGCCACACATATACACACACACTTTCTGAGCTGTACTGCGCACTTCCAGGGTTCGCGGCGCAAGTCGTGGCACTGGCTCCGTCGCGTGCCTTAAGAGACGAGTAGCATTCCACACAGCCACCCGTGGAACCCCCTGCCCTGCCCTGTCCTGCCCTGCCTAAAGTCACTACCGGGGCCGGGGCGCCTTTGAGAGCATGGGCGCCGGTATCCCCATGGCCCCGGGTGATATCGCCTTCAAGTGCAACTTCGCCACTTTGGACTCCGCCAGCGGCATCGTAGTGTCGCGCCGCGCGGACCGTCACTTTGAGCACGTGGGACCCGTGTTGTGCGCGGCACTAGACGGTGGGGCCCCCCACCAGGAGGGTTTGGGGAGGGGGGGATCATATGCGATAGCGGTTGAAGGGGGTGAGGAGGATCGGTAGGCAGTGAGTGGGGATGGAGAGAGAGGGTTGGGGGTCGCGATGGGGAAATGCAGGTGTCTGTGTGTGAATCTCTGCGTCGGTAGGGTGGTCGAAGATTCTGTTGGAGGGTTTGACAGTGTGAGAACTTCCCCCGCTGTAACCCCCTCTCTTGGTCACATCTCCCAGCACGGCCTCCTTCCCCAGCTCGCGTGCTCTTTTAAAACCCCCGTCTCCCTGGGGTCGTCCGCCCAGTGCCTGCCTCAGCTTTCTTCCGGTCGTGGGTTTTGTTCTCCCAGCTCTCTGTCCTCCCCGAGTATTCCCAAGCCCCCTCCCCGCCTTGCCTTCCATGTATTTACTCTCTCCACGCGCCCCTACCGCCAGGCCTCCCTCTGCCCGGCTACCCCCAGCACTCCGTGTCGGTCAAGTACGCCACAGAGCACCGATGCGGGGTGGTGGTCCGGGGACCGGGGCTCACGGATGCGGTCGGGGACACGGATCCGCTCAAGGACAAACTCCCCCTCAAGCGTTCCGTGCCGACTGACGACACCGCCGAGGTGAGGACTGGTGGGAGGAGGGGGGTGCGTGGAATTGCGGGGCCGTCTGGCGGGAGGAGGGGGCTGTGGTGGGACGACGTGGGAAAGCTGGTGGCTGTGGTGCGGAGTGGTTGAGTTGAGTTGCATGCAAGACGCAAAATATCAACTGCCGACGTCGCTTTTGGGGAGAGGGGGGAAATTGCGGAGTCCTTATAAGTATGGGGGGAAGGGGAGGGGGGAACGGGTCGGCACCACACGCAGTCCGTCCGTTCGTACGGGCCATGCCCCGGGCCGGGAGTGGTTGGGCTGGGCGGGGTTAGGGTATAGCAAGGGGCACGCTCGGCTGGCTTAAGGCGGGGCTTGGGTGGGGAGGCTGGCGGTTTGGCGCTTTCAAACAATTGCGTTGCTTCCGTTCTTCTTTCCTTCACTTTGCAGTGCACACCACGACCGCCGCTTGCGTGCCGTAGCCGTAGCCGTATTTTGCGCTGCCAATCTGCCCGACATTGGCAGCTGCTATCATCGCGTCCACCATCACCACTATCGTCACCACCACGGCCACGTCATCACCGTCACTCCGCGCTAATGCCCACGGCGCGTTCGTTTCGCACCATTGCAAACCTCCCTACTGCATACACACCGTGTCCGTGTCCCCCCTCAGCCACCTGCCCTTCGACAGCGCTTCCTCCTGATGTGATGCCCCTGCTCCTGCCCCTGCTCCTGCTCCTGCTCCTGCTGCAGGCGCAGTTCACTTCGGGGCTGGTCAACGCCGTGAGTGATGCCTTCCGCGCAGTGCTGGAGACCCACCCCGTCAACCAGCGCCGCGCCGCGGAGGGTCAGCAGGTGGCCAACGTGGTGCTGCTCCGGGGCTGCGGCAGCCGCATCCGGGTGCCCTCATTCCAGCAACGACACGGCATGCGGCCCTGCCTGGTGGCGCCCACGAAGATCATCGCAGGTAATGGGGGTAATGGCCTGCTGGCAGCGGGTGGAGCTACCTCCGGAGATCCACCCAAGGAAGTCATTCGACGCTTACCAGATGGCGCGCATCAGACGCTCATACCGCCCCGCCGGAAGTCTGGAATAGGGGAAGCCCACATCGTAGCCGGAGGAAGTGCGGCACCCCAGCAGCGCTCCTTCCATGGGTTAACCGCGATGGGTTATATCATTGTGATACCGCCAGGTACTGCCAGGTATTGCCGTCATCGAACCAGACCAGACAGGAGCCGCTTACGTGACCACCTGCCTGGCCCCTTCCTGCCCCACGCGCAGGCTTGGGTATGTCTTTTGACATGGACGTCCTGGATGCCCCCGGGGCCACTGGCTCGTACGACAGCATGTTCCATGCCAAGGCTGAGACAATTTGCGACGCGCTCACGGGCGGCAACCGGCCGCCAGCACCCCCCATGAAAGCAGCGCCGCCGCTGCAGCAACAAGGACAGGGAGAAAGTGGGGGTGGCGGGGATGGGAAGGCCGCGGAACCCGCCGTGGAGGCCACGGAGGACGAGGGTGCTAATCCGGCCTGGGAGCCTGGACGGAGGGGTCCCGCAATGGAGGCTGGGGTGGCCGGTAGTAGCGGCGGCTACGAGTTTGGTTTTGTGCATGTCAAGGCTGTGGACGATACAGGCCACGATCGGATGCTTCAGAATAAGGCAGGAGGCGGTCAGGGGCAGGCCTGGTCAGGGGCAGGCCTGGTCTTAACCGGAAGCCTGCAGATTACGGGATGGGTGCACAAGTTGGAAATCAGCTGTTGCCGCTTTGGGAGTCGGCTGCTGACTCTTGCTTCTTGTGTGCAAATAAAATAATCACCCTATCCTGAATTTTTGGTTCGTAAGCACTCGGGTCCTTTTGCCGCTTCAGGTCCGCTTCCTCGAGGTGGTGGACCGCATGGTGGCTCAGATGCTGCGGCGGCTGTGGCAGGCGGAGGCGGCGGGGCGGGGCCGCTACCTGGTGGTGCTGGCGGGAGACCACTCCACGCCCGTGGTGTTCGGAGACCACTCCAACGAGCCGGTGCCCTTCGCCATAGCAAGCGTGCGACACGCAGTGGAGGTGAGGGCAGTGGCTTGTGGTGGGGGGTTCCGCTGGGGGGAGGCGCCTATCGAGGGCTCAACAGGCATATGTATGCTGCGGCGGTGGCCATGGCGATGGCCGTGTATCGGGATGAAGGAGGAGCTGCGGGTTTTAGAGGAAGTGTCGTCTGGATGTGGTTCGAGTTCAAGTGAGATCTGGTCCCGGGAGGCAAATCCTGGCGGTTGGTGAAAGCCAGGTGCTGGTGTCCAGCACTGCTCGTGTCCAAGCCTCAGTAGACTAGGAGACGTGAGACAGTCCAGTGACCATCCCAACCGCTGGCGGTGGTTCCGTCGCCACTCGCATCACTCGCGCATGTGGTAGTCTTCGACCTGCGCCTTGTGAGCTGATACGTCGCTAGTACTGAGGCAGCGCATCATCCCGTTGCCCTACAGGCCCTGGGCGGCCCGGCCTACATCGAGAACGTCCCTCTGGGCCCCATCCCGCTTCCCGACATCAAGAATCCACCGCCCTTCACGGAGCTGCGCAAGCAGGTGAGGGACCGCGGGAGAGGCCGTGAAGGGGGGGGAGGTGTTCAGGGAGCCCTCCACGCCTCTCCGCTGCACTGTTGACCTACTGACCCCTACCACCCCGGTTTCCGTCTATCGGGCCGTCCATGTGAAACTACTACAAACTACGACGAGGCTGCATCCCTCCCTTCGGGGCCTCCGTGTGCGGTCCTGGGCCCCTCCCCCTGGTGGGTGCGCAGGCTGCCTTCAAGGATGCGCGCCGCAAGGCCGCCTGGGCGGGCCGGCCATGGGATCCCGCAATGCCGGCCGAGTTGTTCGGGCCGTGGCGGGAGCCCTGGCCCCAGGCAGTGCGAGGCGATCCCGTGCGCTCCTATGACGAGGTGTCGGTGGCGCGGGGCGCACTGGGGCGGTTTCCTGGCTCTCAGGTCATGGGGTTGGTAAAGCAGTTTGCCGGGTTTGCGGCGCCAGCGTGAAAATAGAAGCGGTAAAGGTGGAGTGGAGCAACCAGTTATTGTGGCACTTCCGCCTTATGTGAGGGGGGCGAAGTGATGCCAAGGCCACTGGGGGCCAAGGTGAGGGGTACGGCTGGCGCATGAGCTGCAAGGTGCACTTACAATGAATGAATTCGGTATCCCTCACGGACATCGGAGTTGCACGGGCCTGAACACCCCTGAACACCCCGGCAGTTTAACATTACGACCTGTAACTTCTGTCGCCTTCTACACACACACACATACACTTGCACATAAACTCGTCTGTGAATGACATGGCCGTGCAATATCACCCCTGATCACAAGCAAACAAAATCGCACGCGAAAGGTTCGGACTAGGATTAATGTTTTGCAAACCTGCATGTTGTATGCCTGTACGTCTGTCGGTCCAGACAGATCATAGGCAGGGCAAAGCAGTTTTTATTGAGCCCCATTCCGTCCACGATGAATGCAAAAGCCAGCATTACCCCGCTGGCAGGAGGCGTTCGGGGAGGTCAAATCGCATGGCCCTCCCTTAGATTCAAAGCCCTAACGGGGATTATTCGGCATGTCTCTGTTAAGGTTAAGATCCCCCCTTCCAGACCCCGAAGGCGGAAGGTTAGACCATACCATACAAATGCTTGCATTGCACCCTGCTCATAGACGATACACGAATGCTATCTTAATACACATTATGAAGGGAAAGTCCGCCAACAGAAGACAAAATGCACCTCCGCTCGCTTTTGTAGTGTTACGTAGTAGCAGATGCACCAGCATGTGGACGTTACGAATATCGAACAATACGAGTAATGATGCACATGCAGCAGTGCTTATACTGCCCTTCCCAGGTCCCCCTCCAACTAAGGGCAATCCAGGTGGAGGGAAGGAGGTTTATTCGGACGTGTGCTCAAAGCGCCATGCAGCAGGTCCAAGCAATAGTCGGCCCAGGATAGGGCGGCAAACGAGAGGCTATATGACGATATCGTCGCAGCAAAATGCATTTTCTGTCCAACGCAGGTGCCTTTCAGGTTTCTTCATGTCGGCACACGCACGCACGCAGACATGCACTCCAAAAGACCCATCATGGCTATCTAAGGCACAGCTCCCTAAGGAGCCCTCGCCAACGTGAGATGCGGTAGCAACTATAGCGTACACATGCAATGCAGGTGAATAAGTATCAGTATTGCTCAGCAAGCAAGCCTTAGCAAACCAACACCAGCACCCTTCGCAGGTGCCAAGGATAGCGCTAGCGCGCTAGCAAACCGCCATGCCGACGTATGAGTCGGCTCGCGACTCAGATGTACGACACTTTCATCAGCTGAATGAACTCGTCAAATGAAATGAGGCCGTTCATGTTCTGCACACAGCAACACGCAGGTACGGGGGGGAAAGGAACATGGCTGGATATCTGTGCAGGATATCTGTGCGGTGCCACAAGAATGTCATAACAGAGCAGTTGGGACAGAGCAGCAGAACACGCGTCAATCAAGACACCGGCGCCTGCGGCGGGAAGCTTCCACCGAGTGCGCCGTAATGCTGTCCACAGCCCAACAGAGTTAGCTTCCATCTGCGGATGTTAGTTAGTCCGCCACACTGTGCTCCCCCTTCTGGCCATAACCCGTGTATAGCAATCCATCCATCCGCACTGAGTTCGTCGTTCGTTCGTTACTCCCCATCCCGACCCCGACCCCTGCACTAACGGGAACCCTAAGTTATAACGTCGTACCTTATCCGTGTTATTAAACAGCTCCATCACTTCTGATTCGTCGTAACCGAACACAGCCGAGGCCGCAACCAGCTCCTGAAGGTGGATATGAGTGCAACAAACACGAGGCAAGGCCCTTGTGGGGTCATTGTGCCTTGTGGGGTTGCCTAGTATGTACCGAACTACTGGGGCCACTCGCCCTCGCAATGGATTGAACAGGGACTGGTAATGGATGTGCTAGGACTGCCAACAGTAGAGTTTTGCGACGTTCTCTCCACCTGGGCTCCACCTGCAAGCCAAGATCTATCTAGTACCTGCCTCTGCCCCCGCGGCTACGGTGCCTACTCACATTGACTTCGAGGACGCCGTCCTTATTGGCGTCCATTCGTTTAAACATTGTGGCAATTTCCTTGCGCTGCTCTGCGGTTGGCTCAAAGGTCGGCTCCTGTTGCTCCCCCTGGGCCGGCTTGACCCAGGACAGCATCACCTTGAACTCCCGGTCGTTGGCGTAGGGAAATATACGGCGCATGTACTCGCTGAAGGTGAGCACGCAGTTTTTGTTCAAATCGATGCTCTGTGGCAAGGTAGTCAGGGAGTTAGGGAGCGCCATGAGAAGCAGGGTTCGACACTCCGTACGGGGCCCGTAAGTTTTTGGCCTTTTTTCGGTATCCCCGTAAGGGCCCGTAGGACTTTACAGTGGCCCCCGTAAGGATTTTGCGGCGCGAAGCGCCCCCGTACGGGGCCGCCCCCGGACCGGCCGAAGGCCGGTTATGGGTGCCCCCGTAAGGATTTTAAGGATTTATAAGATGCCGTACGGTACATATGCCCATGCTTAAGCTGCCGAGCATGCTTCTCATGCTAACGGCGGCTGGGCTTCCGGGCATCCACTTCAAGTACAACCAGTACCGCTATTTCGTCACGGCTATGCGCGTTCTGAGCGAAGTCATCCTTGCCGCCCAGCTTGTTCGAATCCGTGAAAGCCCATTCTTTAGTATTATGTCAGATAGCAGTACGGACGTATCGGGTGAAGATCATGTTGAGGAGCAGAAGGGATGGGCGGCCGCGGCGGCCAAGGCGCTTGGCTTTCACTGAGTGTGCCGTGTCCCCGAGTGTAATGGTTCACGAGAAAATAACGAAAATAACGATTTACAGGGCAAAAAGATGCAAAGCGTCACTTTCCACAGCGTTTCAGCCAAGGACAGTGCCCCCGTAAAGGTTTTGGGGGGTTACGGGGACCCCCGTAAGGTTTTCGGCCGGTGCAGGAGCCTGGTACGGGGCCCCCTCCGTACGGAAAATTTGGGAGGTACGGGGGAGCCCGCAAGTTTCAGGAAGGTCAGTGTCGAACCCTGATGAGAAGTGTGGGCGAATAAGAACGACGGCAGGCAGGCAGGTACGTGGGCGGGCGGGCAAAATAGCGGTGCTAGTCGCAGTTAAGTTCCTAACCATGGGGAGTACGTAGGCTTTTTGCGTTCGGGTGGCGCGCTGGCAGTGCAAGGCTCTGCTACATTGGGTGTAGCTGCCCATATTGTGCAGTTTACTGCGCTGTACGTTGTGGATGATGATGTAGGTGCTAGGGCGGCTTCTGCGCCGTTCTCGCCGTACCTTAAACGCGGACAGCGCGTGCTCGCGCAAGGTGGTTTCCTTAAACGCGCCCATCAGTTCCTTCACAGTTACGCGTCCGTCATTATCCTGCATTCCACAAGTGACTTTGTTTATGGTGGTACTTCACGGAAACCTCATCAGTCCACAGGGCAATCAGCTAACTTGCTCCTGTCCAAAGCAGGCGACGAGCTACGGCTTTTGCGAAGAAGCCAAAATAGGTTGCAACGTGCGTTTTTCAAAAACCTGGCAACTGAAGACCCATACGAGGACTTCATCGATGCATGCAAACTCTGAATTCATGCAGTGTCGCCCTATTTGAAATCGCACGCCCGCGCGACAGATAGAGCCCCGCCTTCCGCCAGTCCCCGCGTGCTCTACGCATTATTCCTGTACTGTACTCACCAAATCATGCTTATCAAACAACTCCTTGAGCTTCAAAACATCAGAGCGGCTGCAGAGGTAGAATTGAGAACTCGTTAGGGCAACCTGAACACAGCTGGAATCGACAAAACCTAGGACGTGTAACGAAGCAAGTTTAGAGGGACAAACCTGTATTTTGAGCCCTCCCCCAAGCGCTTCTTTTTGGCTGCAGCAACCTGACGCGAGAAGACACGAGCAAGCCTTCTATAATTTTTGTTTGTGGGGCGCGAGCCTGAAATTCCTATCAGGAGTTCCCCCCTTTTAATGCTTACCGCCGCTGTCATTGTCTTGCAACGGCAGGATGACCTCAGGCTGTAAGAAAACTTCTAGGCGGCAATCCTGCTGCCGACGCGTACTTGCGTCGCTCAAAAGAAGCTTATCTCAGGAAAGGTTATTCTGATGCTTCTGTCCGCATGGCTGCATGCTTCATGGTTGAATGGTGCCGTACAGCAGTAGTACTGCGACCGAATAGTAACGCTCTGACCAACTATATGCATCAGAACAGGACACATCTATAAACAGCAACTATCCTTTAAATTGTTATTGCCTCAAGGTTATTTGTTGCGAGCACTGGGACGTCTTGGCGGCCCTCGTGTTAAGAACAGAGTCGCGTTCAGTCTTCAATACGCCTTGCATCAACAGAAAGATTCCTCGCATGGTACCTGCGCCCTTGCGGCAGGAGCCGGAGCTCGCACCAGCATGAGCTCCTTTTCCTTAACTAGCGATGTCGTCAATTACCTCATATACCGCTATCTACAAGAGGCTGGTGCGCATGGGTTACATGTATGCTACCGGAGTGCATGTTGGGCCGCGTAACTTATGCTTTGCTGTCGTGCAGGTTTCACCCACTCTGCGTTCACCTTCGCCAGTGAAAGCCTGGTCACGCGCACGAATATTGACCCCAACAATGTCCCGCCGGGCTCCCTCGTCACCTTTATCCAGAAGGGCTTGCAGTACCTGGAGATAGAAGCAAACCTGGATGCGCAGGTGAGGGGGGAAGGGTGTCGGCACGTAAGTGGCAAAGTGCAGCACAGCTTTAACTTTCTGCTTTTATCCACGATAGGATGGTGAGGTAGATGGCGACTACAAGCTCCTGACCCCCGAGGAGCTGCTGTCCAATGATGTTGACCAGTTGCGCGCACTAGTGGCGGAGAGGAAGGAGGAAGAGAGCAGACCCAAGGCGCCCCCGCCCGAGAAGCAAAAGGCGGCGGACAGGGAGCGAGCAAAGGAGAAAGACAAGCCTACAGACAAGCTAGAGAAAGCTGAGAAGAGTGACAAAGCGGAGAAAGAGCGGGAGAAAGAGAAGGCACAGGCCGCAGCTGCAGCACAAGCTGCAGCAGCTCAGGCAGCGGCAGCACAAGCTGCAGCAGCCCAGGCAGCAGCAGCAGCACAAGCAGCTGCAGCCCAGGCAGCGGCAGCGCAAGCCGCAACAGCCCAGGCGGCTACAGCACAGGCGGCTACAGCACAGGCAGCTGCAGGCCAGGCGGCGGCAGCAGCAGCGCCGGCCGCTGCCGCAGCGCAAGCCGCAGGTCCATCATCTCAACCTCAGCCAGCCCCACCCAGCGGAGATGCCAGGGCCACAGCCCCTTCTACTGCGCCGGCAGCTGCTACAGCACAGCAGCAGCCGTCTGTGAAGCTGGAGTCTCGTCCTTCGTCGGGTCCCACGCCCATGGAGGAAGATAATCCACCCCCGGCCAGCACCAGTGCGCCCGCTAGCATAGAGGTTCCCGCCAGCGCAGTCATCACCCTCAACGGCCATGACTCGGAGGTGTACATCTGCGCTTGGAGCCCCGTGGAGCCCTTGCTGGCATCTGGGTAAGGTGGCCTGGGTCGCCGGGGGTTCGGGAGGGGGCGGGAAAGGATGGCACAGAGCGGAAAGCAGAAGGGATAAGAAAAAATGGAAGGAAGCGAAAGGATTGGTTGGGGTGGGAGGGGAGCTGGTGAAGTGTCATGATGGAAGAGACGCAACGCAATACCAGCGGTGTAACAAACGAAATGGGTTGCCCCGGATCCGGACTAGACGGGGCGGGGCGGGGTCGGCGGAGCAGCCTTGGCTTTGGCTCCCCGCGGCCGGCGCCTGCAGCCTGTCTGGCGGCCCCACACTAGCAGGGCCAGCAAGACCCGGCTTCAGGGGTCCTCGGGTCGGCGACCCGTCCTAGGGCCACCCGCATTGCCGTGTAGAGCCACCACGTGCTGCCCCTGTGGGGCGCTCTTCCCCCCCCCACACCCACTCAACACTTCGCGTTGGCTCCATATTGTCCGGGCCCGGGGCTGTTACCCGAGTCCATCAGGCACCCGTCCACATATGCACCCACGGAAACACACAGCACACACGGACATGCTCCATGGCGACAGAGCGTCGTTCTTCCTGCAAGCAACCAAACCCACACATGCGCCGACCCATGCGCATTTTGCGTCTTTTCCAACACGCCCGTGCGCCCCGACACCTACGCCCTGCGGGTCTGCAGGTCCGGCGACGCGACCGCACGGATATGGAATCTCGCCACCACCGCCGGGACCGCACACACCCGGTCGGTGGTACTCAACCACGAGGCCAAGCAAGACAAGTCGCAGGGCAAGGACGTGACGACATTGGATTGGAACGCGGACGGCTCCCTGCTGGCGACAGGATCGTACGACGGCCTGGCGCGGATCTGGTCAAAGGACGGTGCGTAAGTTCCTTTCGGGCAAGGCGAGGCCTCTGGCGACGCCTGGAAGCCCACCTGAGCTCACGGCCTTCGGGGCGCGGTATGATTGTTTAGGGGTTTAGTTGCCATAGCCTGGGAAGTATTTGGTTGGCGACGGGTTTGGTGCCCCTCAGCGGATAGAGCGCTGAGCAGTATTGTTGAACCTGCCCCAATGTTCAAGTGGGGCTCGCGCACGGCTTTTGCTGTGCACGCGACCAGCAGTGCCGGATGTGGCCCCGGTGGCATAACATGCTGTGGACCTTCCGTCTCCTCCGCTCGCAGGCAAGCTGAAACAGACGCTCGACAAGCACCAGGGGCCCATCTTTGCGCTCAAATGGAACAAGCGAGGCGACCTCTTGCTCAGCGGCAGTGTCGACAAGACGGCCATCGTTTGGGACGCCAAGTCCGGGGAAGCCAAGCAGGTGTTCGACCTGCACTCAGGTGCGAGATTCCCGAATAGGGACGAACAGGTCAGGTCAGGACAGCAGGGAGCTAGGGGTAAAGGGTTGGACTCCAGATGCGGCCTGACCCCGTGGGCAGCACTGTCCTCGGATATCCGCGTGATGCCAAAAAAGTTATAACAGCCGCCACCGGCAATGCTGCCGCCGTCGCCGCCGCCGCTGGCAGAGGCGCCAACCGGCGTGGGTGCCCAACCGAGGGCGTTGCAGCCCTGTAGAACACCGTGCAGTTTGATCCAGCACACAAAGCCGATGGCGAGCGTCTCGACGCAGTGCTTATTATTATCTTTTGTAGATAGATAAATAGGGGGGAAGTGAGCAGCTGGAATATGTAAAGCGGTTTTGTTTCGGGGCCTCTGACGCCCTCTTGAGCATTTGACGTTGCGCTATTTTTGAATGTTGGGGTGTCCAGGCTTGGACTGTGTGTCCGTAGACAGAAAGGTCATGTGCAGTGCGGTCAATCTGCAGTGCATGATCTGCATGATGACGCACGGGCAACTGATTCTCGGACTGGTGGCAGTATAAGGGTTTTCGACTGGAGAAATGGTTTTTGCGTTCCGCCTCACTTATATACGTCATAGATACGATGTGGTGCGCGTCCTTTCTTGCGCACAGCTTCCAGTCCCTGCCGGTAGTACGGCACGGCTGCTGAGCCCCCTCTCCCACAAGACCTCGCTTACCCTCTACTCCTGCCCCCGCACCCTCAGCGCCCACCCTGGATGTGGACTGGCGCAACAGCAACTCCTTCGCCACCTGCTCCACCGACCGCCTCATCCACGTGTGCAAGCTGGGGGAGACCAAGGCGATGCGCACGTACGCGGGGCACGATGATGAGGTCAACGCGATCAAGTGGGACCCCAGTGGCCGCCTGCTAGCGTCATGCTCGGACGACAAGACTGCCAAGGTGGGATGGAGGCGAGGGTGGTGCCCGGTGTGCGGCGGCGGTGGTGGTGGTCTGGCGCCGGATTCCGGAGCACCGTAGGAGCTTAGGGCGGTAGTGGTGGGGCGGTAGTGGAGTGGGGTGGGGTGCTGGTGGCGAGATGACGGCGTTCTGCCCATCCGTGTACTGCCCATCCGTTCGAGCACCCTGGTTTCGGCGCCGGCTTCCTTATATCTGCATTACCTCATATCTCCCCCCTGTGGACCTTTCCTACCAGGCCCTCACGACTTGTCACTTGTCGCTATGGCGCGTTTTCCCGTAGGGGCCTAGTGGCCTTTGCAATGTTACATAAGCTTCTCCTTGCCCATCCACTCGTACAGGCCACCCTCAATAATGATGCCTGCCGACCTACCCCGCCTGTTGCCCGTAGGTCTGGTCCCTGAACAGCGACCGGCCGGTGCAGGACTTCCGCGACCACGAGCGCGAGATCTACACCATCCGCTGGAGCCCCACCGGCTCCGGCTCGGCCAACCCCAATATGCCGCTGCTGCTGGCGTCCGCGTCCTTCGACACCACGGTGCGGCTGTGGGACATCGAGGCTGGCCGCTGCGTGCAGTGCCTTCACCGCCACGTAGAGCCCGTCTACAGCGTGGCCTTCTCGCCCAACGGCAAGTTGGTGGCCACCGGCTCCTTCGACAAGTGCGTTTACGTGTGGAGCGTGGAGGAGGGCGTGCTGGTGCGCTCCTTCCGCGGCGATGCGGGCATCTACGAGGTGTGCTGGAACAAGGAGGGCACGCGCGTGGCAGCGTGTTTCGCCAACCGCACCATCTGCGTCATGGACATCAGCGTGTAGGAGCACGGAAAAAATGCGGGGGGGGGGGGGAGCGGCCCTGGTTTGTGGGGGGGGAGGCCGGAGCGGCCTAAAGCTGTAGTTATTGGCGGGCTGACGGGTGTAGGAACGTGGGGGCGTTTGGCGGCTAGGGGATGCTTGGGCTGTGTGGGAGCGCTGGAAGGAAGTGGCGCGGCGGTGTCTTGTGCATGATGTTGAGGGAAGAAAGAGAGACATCGGTTTGGATGAAAGGTGGGAGGTGGCGTTGTGGAGTCATTAAATGCCAACATGGACTAGGGCCCCGCCGTTGGCGCGGTGGTTATGAGGAGGCATGGGTCAGGCATGGTACTTGGTTCCCTGTTAAATTTTGCTGCTGCTACCCTTCCCGTCTTTTACTTTGTGCTGATCTCCTCTTTTGGCAGGTTGGTGGCCTTGGCCTGACCTCTGGGGTTGGGTTTCATTTTGCTCCTGGTTGTATGGGGGAAGGCATCCGGGTTTCGTAATGTGCTGGGTTTAGGAGCGCATTTCTTTATCTCGAGGGACCATATTGGGGGTTTTGCTGCTGCGCAAGTTGACACGATGCTCGCGGTGGTACACGCGGTGTTGCCGGACAGTGCATGCACTTAATTACGCATTGATTTTCTATAATTATCGAGCATTGTGTGCTGGATGGATTGTGCTGGGGATGGTGTGCATAGGAATGTTCTCCTTGACAGATTGTTCTCGTTCGCCGTCTTGCACATGCAGAATGCCATCCATGTATGTACGTATGTATGTTCTCTGTGAGCGCAAGCCCGCGGTACCATCGGGTCACACCACAAACGGGAGGAAAGAAACCAAGAGGAACAAACATCGGAACTGGCAAGATTGAGAGGGGCAACAAAACATAACGTAACCACATTTCCAGACGACCACCCACAGCTCCCCAAGAATGTTGTTGAGGGCACCCAGCACTGGACTGGAGATGACAACTGGGGAAGTAGTGGGTAAAAACGCGCATCTCAAAATATCCACACCCACCACGTTTTGTCTGAAATCGTACAATCGATTCCCGCCGCAGACAATGTGCAATAGCTCACACATGCAGGCCGCAGCAAGGGGCAGAGGGTGCCCCAGAGCAACCGTGCATGCGCACTGGACTAAGCAGCCGCACAACCCAAGAGGTGGTCTTCCACAAGGCAGGTGTAGGACAGGCCTTCAGCACATAGCTGCGGAGGTTACGACATCTCCTTTGACACAACCGCTGTCCGGCTATTGTTAACCACAACCCCCCGAAAACTCCCAGCCAGTACGAGGACATACAGACGGACAATTCGTGCCCAACGCTGCTCATGACGCAGCCATGAAGGCCCTGCTCCAAGCCACGCCGCATCTATTTCGTATATGGCGAAAGGAAAGCTTCAACAACCCTAAAACCCAGTTTGGCCCACTGGTGTGGCCGGGGCCCCTCGTGCAAGGTGATACGGTGATACTCAGAACGGCACAACCACGAGCCCCAGACCGCCTGGCAGCCATACACTACTCCTTAGCAGCAGCTGCCTCCAGCTCCTCCTCTATCTTTTGTTGCGGCCGCGGAATCCGACGCGGCCCTTTATACGGGTTCACAATGGGGGAGTCGTGTCCGGGTAGTTTCCGCGTCCAGTTATAAATGTTGTTATCCACGAAACCCTTCCACCGCCGGTAACCGGCACAAAACTCAGCCGCCCGGCGCTCGTTAGGTAGCAGCTGAGTTGGCTCCCTCCCGTACATCTCTAATGAAGCCGCTTCAACCTGTGTACACCAAACGGATGTCCCAATTTAACACCGAACGTGGACCACGTGGATGCAGGGGAGACGGGTAACCACTGGTCGGGGGGAGCATGCTGATCGCCACAGCAGTGAGATCCTTCTAACCTGTTTCCCGTTCGGCGTTACAATGGCCGCGCCTGCCGCGACCGTCCCTGCAATTCCAAGCGTCATCCGCACACCAATGTCGTTGAAGGCACCCAGGATTTTTGAGGTATCCAGATTCATTTTTGAGTCTATGCAGCCGTAGGCGTTAGATCTTATCTCTTAGGAGACTCAGTTGGTTCACAGCGGGTTTAGTCGGTTCACGGCGGCGCATTAAAACGCTCAGTTGAGTTCGATCTTCCCCTAAGTCATCCAACAAGCAATGCCATAAAAATTGAAGCATCAAACGTAGCCGAACCTCGGCAAATCGCCTGCGGCAAACTTGCCGTGCTTGCCGTACGAACCGCCCTTGTTGTGTGCTGGTGGACCATACCGTTATGTGTTATCACAGAAGGTGCTGAAAGGTGTTACAAGGTGCTGCGTAGGTTTACCAGCAGGGATGGAAGGAATTGGACGTGGTCGTGGAGCGGTCATTCCCGCGTGGTTGCAGCAACAGCAGCAGCAACAGCAGCTATTGCAACAAAATGCAATAGGCTATACTTCTGAAGCTTCAGGGTCCGGTCAACCAACCGACTCGCAGCTGTCGGAGCGGTATGGAGATGCGCTCGGTGGGTTGGACGACGCAGCTCAACGGGCGCTGATGCAGCAGCAGGAAGAAGAGGTCCGGCAGGCAGCATTCCGGTAAGAGCTACACCGCCCGCGAGCTGGCACCCCGCCTCACCGCACCACGCCTGTGTACCGTATACGCAACGTTGCTCCTCACCCTGGGCGCGCACACGCGGCCACCTGAACCGTAGGTCAAACAAGAGACATGAGCGAGACGAGGACCCCGCCTCTGAGCCGCGCGATCCATCGCAGCTCAAGGCACGTATGGGGGTTAGGGTTCTATATGTGGGTACGGGCACCGGCAACCTGCCTGCCTCCCTTCCATCAAAAGAAATGTGGTGAAGTCTCCTTCAGCTTTCCCTCAACCCCAACAATCCCAAACAGGCGCAATACACGGCGCAACAGCTCACGATCTCCATTCTCCACTTGCCTCACAATCTCCCTCCCTCTCTCGCCCCTAGCCGGGTAACTTCCGGGGTTTACTGGTCCCCCTGCCCCGTCCGGGTCCCTCGTGTCTCTATCACGGGGGTTCACGGGACTCCGGGTGGTGAGGCCGGCATCACACAGCCTTTCGCCGCGGCTCCCCTTCCGCCTGCAGGACAAACTACTGAAGCTGTCTCATGACTTCCACAACCAGCAACACCATCAGCACCATCCTTACAACCTGTCAGCTGGCAGCGGCCAGGGCGCTGCTGCCCCCGCTGCGGCCCCCGGCGCCCCATTACCACCAGCCGCACCGCAGCGGGGTGCCGGTGATTGGACCAACTACCAGCCACCCAGCGCGGTCCTGGCCGCCATTGCGGCCAAGTCCGCGGCAGCGGCTGGTCCGCCCGGGCCCCCTGGTCCACCCCCGGGTCCTCCGAAACCTCCCGGTGAGGGCGGGTAGGGGGGCGAACGTGCTCGATTGGGGGCCGGGCAGTCGAGGGGCCTTGCTGCCGGCCGAGCAGCTGAGAGCCGCGGTGGAGAACTGGAGAGCAGCAGCAGTAGCAGTAGCAGTTCCTCGCCCGCCTGGGCTGGAGAGGGGGCTGGAAAGGGGGGTGATCAATGCGGAGCTGCTGCACGTAGCTCCGCTGTTGTAGCTACTTATTGTGTACGATTGGGTGCACATGGAAGGCATATGGTGTAGTGTGGTGCGGGGTTTAGGATGGGGTTGGTGGGGGGGGAGAAGCGCGTGGGAGATTGGTGCCTGCAGCAGCCACCTGGCAAGAGGTACAGCCCCCCTCACCCTGGCTACCCTCGCCCTCACGCCGCCCGCGGCCCCTGCCCTCCTTGTGCACGTCCCCACAGGGCCGCCACCGCCGCCCAGGCCGCCGGGACCACCGCCGCCGCCGCGGTTGCCGGGACCGCCTCCCGGGCCTCCGAAACCACCCGGGCCGCCGCCGCCTGGCCCTCCCCGACCCGGCCTCGGGCCCCCTCCAGCATCATCATCACTAGCCGCTACACCCTTACCCCCACCTCCAGCACTGCCATCAACGCTACCAGCACTACCAGTACCAGCACCAGGATCACATGACGGTCTGCGGAGGTCCGCGGCTGACCCGGGATCGGGTCCCGGGGCAGAGGCAACTACCACCGGCCGAGGGGTGTCGGTACCGCCCCCGGGTACGGAAGCCCCGGTTGAGTACGACTATGACGATGACGAGGCGCCACCGGGTACCACCTTGCCGCCGCCGCCGCGGCTGCTGCCACAGCCGCCGGTGGCGGCGGCCGCGCAGGCTTCAGAGCCCGCCAAGCCCGATTTGCCGCCGGCGCTGAAGGCGCGGCTCATGGCTCGTGGGTTATTGCCGGGTCAGGGGCAGGGTCAGGGGCAGGTTGCGGACGGGGGCCAGCAGGGCGGTGCGGAGGCCCGGACGCAAGTCCCGGCGGCGACGGCCCACTACACCGCTCCCCCTCAGCCGCCGCAGCCCTCCCTGCAGGACGAGCCGCTGCTACCCGGCTGGTATGAGGCGGTTGACCCCCGCCATGGCCGACCGTACTACTACAACCCCATGACAGGTGCGCGCGTGAGGGGGCCCCCGCCACCGCCCCCCGCCGCCGGTTTCCCGGGGTTCAGTCCAGGTGTTGCCGTGGAGGGTGGGGGTCCTGACATATGAGTTCCGGTACGCGGTGTATCCGCGGGGTAGGCAGCCCATGTTGTGCAGCTGCTGGGGGTGTTCCGCAACCCCGGGAAGCTGGAAGGGGGGGGAGGAGAGGAGAGGGGAGGAGAGGGGAGGGGAGGGCGTCGAAAAAAGGGAGGTGAAATAGGGTCGCACCGTCTTTGAGATGTGATGCCATTCTGTACAGTGCCTGCGAGGATGGATGCACCAGGGGGCCCCCCCAAGAGGGGGGAACCACCTGCCCTCGCCGCTCGGTGCGGTGTGCAGTGTGCAGTGCCAGCGGCCGGACCTCGCCACCCGTCCTCCTCCCCACACCATCATGGAGTGTGTAGATCACCGCCGCCGCCGCCGCCGCCGCCGCCGCCGCTATCTAACCCCCTCTGGAAGCTTCAATGCATCGGGGCATGGGGGGAAACTGGCGATGTGGGCAGTTTGCTTAGCAGTGTGTGTATAATGGGTGGGGTGGGGCCAGGTAGCCAGCCATCTGACCCCCCTTTGCTCTCTTCCCGCCCCTGCGCTCACCCCCCTGCGCTCACCCCCCTCCGGTCAGGCGAGCGGTTGTGGTTGCGACCCATCAAGTCCCTGCCCCGGGGCTGGACCTGGGCCGTGGACCCCGCCACCGGGGTCACCTACTTCTACTGCCCCGCTACAGGTGGAAGGGTGGGGCCCACCTGGGGTCTGAGCTTGGTTGGTTGGTTGGTGGGTTGGTTGGTTGGTTGGTTGGTTGGGGGAAGTCAGTGCGCAGTGCCGGCAACGAAACACATAGTTATGGGGAAGGTGACTGAGCCGTGTGGCTTACAGGTTACATGTGTATGTATGTATGTATATGTGTGTGTGTTTTGTCTTGTGTGAGTGTTGTGATGAGGAGTCCCTGCGGCCGCCGCCGCCCGTAGGAATGTCACCCGTTCCTGCTCATTAATCGTGTGTGTATGTGCGCCCCCGGGCCCCTGCAACGCCCCCGCAGGCGAGCGGTCCTGGTTGCGGCCCAGCCACCGGGACTTCCTCCCCTCGCCCGCATTCCTGGGGGCGAGGCAGGGGTACGTGTTCAAGAAGGGCGCCCAGGTGGGGCCGCGGGGGAGGGGGCAGGGGGGAACTGGCGGGGGGGGGTGAGGTCTGTCGTAATGCTGTCTGGATACATGCGGGGGGTTGCTAATGGGTGGTCGGTGGGTGGGGTGGGGGTGACAGGTGGTTTGCGTCCTTGGCGAGAGGCTGTTGCCACGATGGGAGGGCGTATCTTTGGAGGTTCGACTGGCTGGCTAGTCCCGCTTCACCCCCTACCCACCTACCTACCTACCTACCCTCCACTCTTACCAGTGCCTCATCTGCGCATGTGTCCGCTATGTTCTTTTCACTTAAGTGTCCTTCCCCCTTCCCTCCCCGCCGCTACTTCCCCCCTCCCCCGCCCCCGCCCCTCCCCCGCCCCAGGGTTTGGGCTACTACCTGGACGACCCCGCCCGGGCACTGGCCGAGTTCCGAGAGGCTCAGAAGGCCGCGGAAGGGGCTGGAGATGGCGGCGGGGGGGGCATCATAGGTCCTGTGCCGCGGGGTGGTGGCGAGGAGGGCGAGGAGGGTGCGGGTCCGGGAGGCTCCCGCAGGAGCCGGTTGGAGGCCATTGCGGAGCAGCAGCGGCTGCGTAACGAGTCGCGGGGTCGGGGGACGAGGAAGGCGGGCCAGGAGGAGGAGCTGGACCCCATGGACCCGGTGAGCCCGTTTGGAAGGGGGACCCCGGGGGGGGGGGTAAAGCAGGGGGGAAAGGAAGCGACCCCCACGCGGATTCACGGGTTGCGGTTCCTCCTCCGATCGCCGCTAGCTCCGCCTGGGCTCTGGGCTCAGCTAGGGACCTCCAGTGCAGGGACAGCTGCGGAGGAAGTACAGCGCACCTGCCTCTTGACGACGTTTTCTCCTCCTTCCCTCTCCTCCTAGTTCTCTGCCACCTCCCCCCCTTCTCTCCCTCCTCACCCCTTGCTCAGGCCGCCTACTCCGACGCCCCCCGGGGCACTTGGTCCACCGGCCTGGAGGGCGCGCAGCCCTCCGCCGCCGACACCACCGCGGGCGGTCCCCTCTTCCAGTCCCGACCCTACCCCGCACCGGGATCCGTGCTGAGGGCCAACAAGAAGGCGCTGGCGGGGGCTACGAAGTAGTCGGGAGGGGAAGCTGAAGCTGGGAAGCGGGTCGCTGGCAGATCGGGGTGACTAGAGGGTTTCAGGGTGGGCGTGGAGTTTGACAGGGGTGGTGGTGGTGGTGGTGGTGTCAGGGTGGTAATGCTGGTGGGGGAGTAGGTTGCTTGGGACTTGGCACTGGTTGAGTTGGGCCGTGGCGGTATTGCAGCCGGTTGCGTAGTTGTATCTGTCTGTCTGTCTGTCTGTCTATTTATCTGTCTCGGGGTGCTTGTGAAGGGGTGCTTGTGAAGGGGGTGCTAGTGAAGTCTCGAGCTTTGTTGTACTTGTGTTCGTGTGTTACGTAGGTTTGCTGACCGAAAAGTCGGAGTTAGTACCCCCCCCCGTGTGTCCCGTCCCGTCGAGAGGAGACCTCTCCGGCACTCCTCCCTCGACCCCCACGCCCACTGCTACTACTACTACTACTACAACTACTAGTACAACTACAACTGGCATTCCTGTTCAGGACGTGGCAAGGTCTCCTCATGTCGCATTCCGTGACTGCTGCAGGATTGTGAAAACAAACCCTCCAGGGACAGCGCCCCTGCCGGCTGCCTGTGATGGTGGAAGCGATGCATGCGTGTCCTTTTTGTCGGAACATACGAGCCGTCAACTGCGCCATGCTGCGGACTGGCGGGTCAACCCTTAATTACTCATGGAACCAGCATTGAACCTAACCCCCACATCGATGTAACCCCACACGCATATACCACCCAGTCTACTGAAGGTGGCCGGAGGGGGCGCTTCTGCATCTGCCCCTGCCATCATCATCATCATTTTTTCATTGTGCGGGGAGGAAGGCCACCAGCCAGCTGGCGGCCATCGTCCCAAGGACCCTGACCAGCAGTGTCCCTTCATGCATCGCCCTCTCCGCCGCCGCCGGCCGCGTTCTCGGGATCCTGAGGGCAGTTGAGGAGCGGCCGGCCGTCAGCATTTCGCCTCCTATGGCAGCGGCACCAGGACTCCCCAGCAAGCAATATGCAATGCATTGGCGCTACCATTACAAGCCACCCCTGTCGCCATGACGAAGTTATCAAACAATGCATGTGCTCCGGGTGCTCCGGGCTTTCCCCACGAACTCTCTAAACGGGCGCCATGACGTCCCCCCCCCCCCGCAGTTTTAGTGGAGGAGTTTAACACGTCGCTGGTGTGGCAACACGGAGCTCGCTTCGGCACGTAAACCCTAAATTATCCCCGTGTACCACTACCGGCATACTTCTCCATCGCGGCTCAGATCGTAAGAACGCACGCATACACATGCACCTCACCATGGCCGCCTCCTCGCTGGAGATCTTGAGCCCCATACCCTCCGTAAGGGCCAGCTCGTACAACGTACTCTTCACGGTGGGAGGAGAACGGGAAGGGGGAGGCGAGGGGAGGGGGGCCGGTGTGGGAGATGTGGTAGGGGTGTTCTCCTCCCTCCCCGCCCTCACCCGGGGTTCTGCACCCCCGCGCCCCAGTACCTCCTCAACTCCGCCGACCCGCACATGTCCTATACACACACAGACACAGACATACATATACAGCTGGAGCAGCTGCTGCAGCAACTCAATGGGGCGGCCGCAATCCGAGTCCTCCTGTGCGACCTCCACACGACCTCTCACCCACACGGACCCGCGGATCAACCCCCTAACACACCCCTAATACCCCGGCCCCCCACCCCCCCCACACACCTCCATTTTCTTCAGCGTATACTTGAGACTGTCGTACTTCTTGCGCAGGGACCCGTTCCGCAGGTCGAACTGCGGCTCGTCACCCAATACCGCCGTCAGAGGGCCCCAGGGGGGAACCACCACACCACACCACACCAGACCACTCAGCCGGCTAATGCCACCACAAAAACACGCATCGCTGCGGAACGCCGTGATGTGGTCACTTTCCGTTGTACGGTTGATCGTCCGGGAGGGGGGGGGGAGGTACGACAGCGCTGAGGCAGTGGGTCGGTTATTCAGCCCGACCGAAACCCCCAAACCTCACCCCTAGAAGCCCTCCAGTCCCTATGGCCCCGCGAACGCAGGCCCTCCCTTCACCCCCCGCCCTTCTCACGGTACGACAGCACCTGCAAGAAGCGACCCATGAGCGCATCCACCAAGTCCCGACAGCGCTGTACGGCAGCCTTATCCCGTACGGTCGCCCTCGCGATGGCGTAGCGATTGAGCTCCCCCGTGAAGTCCAACACCCCTCCCAGGAACCTGGGGCCCGGGGGGGGGGAGTTAGTGTCGGGATGTCAGGCTAATGTTGCGGCTGGGATCCCAACCTTTTGGTTGGGCAAAGGGCCAACCCCTGGACCCCCCTACACACAGACAGACAAACTGACAGACACACACACACACGGGGGCCATTCCCCCCGGTCCTTCCCTTCTCATCCCCCCTCGCACCCCTTGGAACGTCCTCCCCCCCCCCCGGGGGGCCCCGCCCACCCACCACCGCCCACTCACTCCTCAGGCTCCGCCAGTGGCAATTCGTCCGAGGTTACGAGGCGACCCTCCGACAGGAACACGGAGAAGGCCCGGGCCTCCACATACTGGGGTTGGGGTTGGGGGTTGGGGGACTTGATGTGTGCGCGTATGTGTGGTAATTTCCCCCCTCCCCCCCCCTGGACCCCGCGGTGGGGGAGCACCTGTGGTGCCAGTGATGCCCGGTGGTGCGGGGGGTTGGCCCCCCCCGGACCTCCTGAGTTAACCCACCCGGGGCAGCGCGGTGCGGATGTCAGGGACATGAAAGGTGCGGCGCCATGACGACGGCGCCAGGTTTCTCCCTCCCCCTCGCCCTCCTCCTCAACCCCCTCGCCCCCTCCCCCGCCCTCACCTCCTCCACTGCCGCCGCAAAGGATCCAGACCTCAGTGCCGGGTACCTCGCGATGGTGGGACACATCTCCCCAGCAATCACCTCTACCGGTAGCAGCGGGGGGGGGGGGATGTACGACAGGTGTATGTGTGTGTGGTGTGAAGGGGGGGAGAAGATACGTCCATCAGCTGCAGGAAGGGGTCCAAGTGGTGGCGGGCGGAGGGGAAGTACGCGGGCAGAGAGTGTGTGTGTACCTGTGTGGTAGGGAGCCCAAAGAATCCACCGCCGCCGTGTCCAAAGCCGTGTTTGGGTAGGTGGGTAGGTGGGTAGGTGGTTGGGTCGGACGTGGAACCCCGGGGCCTGGTCCACACACATACACACACACACACACACAAACACGGCAGTACAGCTGTAGCGGGCGCTCCTGCCGCCTCAACAATCCCCCTCGAGTCTCTAAACCTCCCTTCCCTCTTCCCCCCTTCTCCACACGCACACACATACTGACACACATACTGACACACATACTGACACACACACATACTGACACACACACCCGACACCAACCTGCTTTCTGCAGCTGCTTGTCGGCCCCCTCCAAGTCCCCCCGATGGAGGGAGTAAACCGCCTGCTTGGCCAGCTTCTGCACGTCTGAGAGGGCGGGGGGAGGGCGGGGGGAGGGTGAGGGGACCGCTTCAGCAGTTTAACGTCGTCAGTTGGCAGCTGACGGAATACTTCTCCGTTTTTTTGCCTCATACATATCCCCCCATCCCCCACCCGCCACCGGCCCCCCCGTCCCTTTCCTTGGCACCAGCTTCACTCGTTCGTGGTTTGTCTTCCCCCCAAACTCCCCGAAAAATCCAGGCCCACCCCCCTAACCTCACCTCACCTCACCTCCCCTCCCCAGCCCCCAGCCCCCAGGCCCCCCCACCTCGACACTTCTTTATGACCCCCTCCCGCAGTTCGTCATAGGCCGCCAGGTGTTGGCCTAGCTTCTCCCAGTCGCTGAGCAGTGGGGGGCCCCGGGGGGGAGGAGGAGTGCCATTGGGAAAAAGGGGGCCCGGGGACTCAGGGGTGGTGGCAGGGAAGGGGGAGATCTCGCAGGGCATCCGTACATCTGATGTACGGATTTCCTCGTCCAGCCATGAAATGTTTATTGCAAGGCCAATAATCCTTAATCCCATGATTGCTGCTGCTGCTGCTGCTCCTCATCACTTTATTGGCTCTGTTGGCTGAGCTTGTGTTCCAGTTTGTTGTTGTTGTTGTGGTGGTGGTGGTGGTGGTGGTGGTTAGTTCCCGCGGCGCCATCCCCCCTTCAGCCGCCCCCTTTCACCCACCAAACACCCCCCCGGGGGGGTGGGGTGGGGGGGGAACACACCTGATCAACAACATGGTTGCCTCCGACATGGCGGCGGTGCTGGTGCTGGTGCCGGGGCTTGGGGGAGTGTTGCGTTCACCCGGCGGTGCTGGTGCTGGTGCGGTGCTGTTGTTGTTGGTGGTGGTGTTGGTGGTGGTGTTGGTGGTGGTGTTGGTGGTGGTGTCTGTTGGGTTTAAGTTGGCCTGGAAAGGGGGTGACAGGTGGGGCGCGGTGTGGTAGGGGACGGGGGTGGAGCGCACCATATCGGGGGCCTTGTGGGGTGGAAAGGGGGGAGGGGGGAAAGACGAACCACACACGATTGAAGCTGCTGCCAGGGCAAGAGAGTAACAAACGTAGAACTGACCGAAAGGCGTCCGTGGCGACCGTGACCTCGGGATGACGAAGTGGAGAAGATGTCGGAAAAACTACCTACCTAAGCCGCCAGAACTAAAAAAGCGGAATAGTATTGCCAATCCGTAAAGAAGTAGTAGTGAAGGCGGCGGAAGCGTAGTAAAATAGTGCTGTCGTAAAGGTGGTATAAAGTTGCTGGCCTGGAGAAATAGCTGGTTTGCTGATGCTGAAAGGCTGTCGGTATGCAAGTGCTCCTCCCAACCCCCCAAAAACTAAAACGCGCGACCGACCCGACCGACCCGACTATTCTATTCCGGCTAGCCGACCGACGCCAACGCGATATACCAAAGAAGCTCGAACCACCCTTTGGACTCACCTGGCCAGGCAGCAGGAGCGGCACATGCGAGGCAGAGAGGTGGGAGAGTTGTGAGCAGCGAACGAAAAATACAAAAACGCATGCAAATGCTGCTGAAAAGGAGTATTAAACTTGCTGACCGGGGAAGCTGGAAATGAGAAGCCCTAAAGAACCTATATGAAAACGGAAGAAAACGCAGGAACTAAAAAACAATTGCAAAGGCGGCGCAGGACGACACAGAAGGTGTCGTACGAGATGACGGAATGACGCATTGGACGGGATGACGCATTGGACGGCGTGTACGCCGGCAGAATGCAAAGAAGGTAGAAATGGAGAAGTGGGTTGGAAAGAACGCAAACGCGAACGTTCTTTCCAACGCAAAAGAAAGGCCCAACGGAGGAGAGGGAGTTGGTAGGAAGAGAAGCGCAAGTGCGCGGGCCGGGGTCACCCGTGGCTCCCGCCAACCTGCGCGCGCTAGGGGCATGTGCATGCAGCCCCGTAGTGCCTAGTACGTGGGGAGGGGAGGGGAGGACGTCAGGTTTGGGGGGTTTGAGGCGGGAGTGGGAGATTGGTAGTGGGAAGTGGAGGGGATTCGGCGTGGAAGGGAGCGGGAAATGGTTTGGGAGAAGGAGGGGAAGGTGGGAAGAGGAGGGATTCGGGAGAAGGAGCTGGAGGTGGGGGAGGTGGAAAAGGAGGGAAAAGGAGGGAAAAGGAGGGGGAGGGGGGACAGCACTACCAAGGTGGGGAAACCCCCGAGTGCCGACTGCCGTACATAAATAAAAGTTGCACGTGCTGCTGTTGCAAAGTAAGTCCAAAGCCACCCCCAGGAGAGGCAGCTGCTCCCCCGTGGTGAACTTCATTGATCTGCTACTGCCACCACCACCACCACCACCACCGAGCTGTTTGTTGGGCCGCGTTGCCCACTCAGGGGTGTGCCGTTGAGTTGTACTCAGCGCGTTGTGTCGTCAGCGTTGTGTGGAAGGGGGTGTTGCTGCTGCCGAAGGCGTGTCGTACAACTAATAGTAGTAACCGCCCGTAAAGAAGGAATCTATAAATTTGGTTGACATGTAGATATCCCGTCATTCCAACCTCCCGGCGTGTTTTGCTTTTCCATTTTCCTGGGGGATTTCTCACGCACTCTGCGACCTGATCTAACCCCTGTGTGACATACATATGGATGGACGGACACTTGTCGCGCGCTGGAGGGGGTAGGTGCCAGTGAGGCGCTTCGACGGTGAGTGGGCGTTGTTTTGGTGGCGAAAAGGTGGCCATGGACACTCATGCGGCATGTGGGGGATCACGTCGGCAGTTATTGTCGTTGGCGGTTGGACGGTATCGAATTGCAGGCACCTCAGACAGATGGTTGCGCACCACTCACAGTGTTCGATGATGATGACGATGATGATGACGATGATAATGAGATGCAGCGTGCAAGATGTGTGACAAAAGGCTGCGGGGGAAAGATTTGGCAGCTGCCCGGTACTCGAACTTTGTTGCGGCAGGCAAGGCTCTGTAAAGGTTATCCAAATCAGCAAAGTTGTACATGGATTACGTCGTTTGACATTGCGGAAGACACAAATAATTCACCGTATCACGCCTGCAGAAAGAAAGTGTCGTCTGTATGACGGAGCGTGTCAATGACATACTAGATTTGCAATGAACCGCTGGGCTCGTGGTGCGACATAAGCGCAGTGACGCAGAAAGACTTCCGCCTTGACGGCGTTTTCAGTTGTCTATGTACGACATGGTGAGAAGTCAGACGCAAAGCAGCATGCTTTGTTGCAGAAATGCTGCTGTGCATGTCGCCACGTACTAACAAGTTTGCCTGGGCAATCTTGCAATGAGCGAAATAAGCATGCTGCGATAAATCGACTTTGACTTACATTCCTTTTAGTATAACACAGGAATATATTGAACTGTTGCGTTAGTCATTTCGCGCATGGACATCGTTATTAGGCTTTGACGACTTCTAAGGACTCCGCGCGCTGTGACTTCGGCAAGCATCTTAAGCACAGCTATAGGTTGGACATTACATCGCAACCATGGCGGAGCAACAATTTGAAGACATGGAGGCCTTCCTGCGTGTGGCCAAGGTTAGGGCGACCCATCTTGGTCATGCGGCCTCAACTGCTGATGGGTCACGCGGCCTCAACTGCTATAAGTCCAATTAATTAAGATATATAAATCGGGAAATAATTTTGTCCTCGTTCTTCCATGTGCAGTATACCCTAGTGAAGTTTACGGACATGAACACCGAGATGAAGGAGGAGGCCATGGACATCTGTATCACAGCAGTCGAGAAGTATCCAAATGATGCCGAGAAGTGCACACAGGCACGTGACACTCTTATTATGCGCTTGGGATGCTGATCCCCTCATCCGCACCCAGTACACTAGCCTGAACCCCTTTGCTGGAACACACGCCCGTGCAGATGATCAAAGACCAAATGGATAAGAAATTCGGCGCACCATGGCATGTGGTTGTGGGGAAAGGCTTCTCTTATGAGATCACGTACGAGGTAAGCAGCAGGATATTAATCGCGTCCGTTCAGGGTTCAGGAGGGTTTCTTGACTGAGCGCGCCACGCCCAAGTGGCATACACCCGCCACGACCATAGGCCGCCACAGAGGTGTATTTGCTTTGAAAGTGAGGTCCTAACAATGCGCACGCAACAACATGACAACGACAATAATCGCTGTGCATGGGTTCAACCGGATCAGCCGGATTGAAAACAAGGACGTTCATCTAATATGGGACCTGGGTCCATAAAAGTCACATGTACGCGACAGCAATCCCCGCATACTGTAACTGTGTGGACCTGGACCCGGACATGAACTCCCCCCCTGGACTTGGACGTGGGCCTCAACCACGTGTGTATCACACAGGTCCGGAACTTGCTCTACATTTACGTCGGAGGGAGGACAGCGGTGCTGCTCTGGAAGATGTAGACGTAGAACAGAAGCTGGGCGAGCCTGAGAGGCCAGGGCATATCGTGTGGATGTGGATGTGCGGCGCAGGATAGTTACATTAACCATTTAGGCATAGGCCTTTGAGCCATAGGCCCATGCTGACTGACGTGCATGAGGGGCACGTATGTCTCAGGGTTTGTTGGCAGCGGTGGGAACGACTTGCGGTGGACCTAGCCGTGTGCTGTGCGTGGGAGCAGGCCTTTCCTGCACCTTTAGACGTGTTTTCAGGAATTGTAGCTTGGGGTTGTGCATGCATGGCCTGATGTTCGGGGCATTGCAAGGAGGCTTGTCTACCCACGGCCATGGCCACTTGCCGGGTCGGTGGTGCGAACGGTGTATTGGGGCTGCGGATTGTGGCTACTATGGCAAGCGTTCACAAATGTAATTAATTTCGGGTTGTGAACTTGTGTGGCCCCCTGTCAGTGGGGTGTAAAAACGATGACAGTACGGCTACCTGTCGCAGTACAACCAAGATGACTTGTTTTCTTGCTCAATGGAAGCAGTTGTACTTGTAATGATATTCTATTGCGGTTGTAGTTATAGAACAGGTACCCGCCAGGCTTTGATTTTTGCAGCACATAAGAGAGCTGGCAGTTCGAAGTTCTGACAGTCAAAGCCATTGCCCAATTTTAAAGAACTTGCAGCTTGTATTATTAATCACCTATTATTGTGAACTACATTACAGCCATGGATGATGCAATGCCGTTTCAGTCCGGCGGTATTAAGGAGGTCGTATATGAGAACACCTACATTACAGACCCCGAAGGCTACGGACCCAATACCAAATTCGAACGACATAAAGTCCAGGCGGTTCTCAAGCAGGTGCTTAAAGAGCGCATCGAGAAGCAAAAGTATGACCCGGTAAAGGGAGCGCAAATATCCAAGCAGCTGTCAGACGACTTACGGGAGAAGGTGAAAGCGTTGGGATATGACAGGTAAGCTGGAGTCGATACCGGGGATATGGTGCACCGGGGTGTCGTGCGGCCTACCGGGAACATAACTGTGGGTGGAAAACGCGCGCTTTTGGGGCTTGTCCACGGCTGATGGCACGTGCATTTTGCACCGCACCTGACCGGACCGTGCTGCCGGGTGATGCTTTTGGGGGTCCCGACGTACTGTGAAGGCGCGCGCGTGGTCTTGGTGTGTCGCACGCGTTGTCCACCAATCTGCAGAGATTTCACGGGGGGCCCACCTCCACTAGGGAGGCCTCTTCCTCTTACCTGTAGCCCTGGACGGTATCATGGTAACCCCCATGCCTGCCCACGCATCACCCAGATGACGTGACCCACATGGCGTCTCCGGCCTGTTGGGCCAAAAGGCGGAAACGTGCTGGAAGCCCGTGCAGCTGTGTACGTGTGTGTGTGTGTGCCGAAGCAGTCTCAATCACATCCACATTTGCTACACACGGCTCTTGCTACAGACTGCGCATAACTATCAATCGATTCCCGCCGCGGGGGACCTTCCGTCATGGTACCGCCTCGGCTCTCCACGCCCTGTACAGGTACAAGCTCGTTATCCAGGTCACGGTGGGGCAGAAGCAGGGCCAAGCTATGCGGATCATCTCGCGCTGCCTGTGGGATACGCAGTCAGACAACTTCGCATCGGAGTACTACGAGAACGAAAGCATGTACTGCGTCTGCCAAGTCTACGGGTTGTATTATGAGTAGAGCAGAAGAAGAGTGCGCCGGAAGGAAAGGGGGCGGACACCACCATCGTTGTGGGGCTGGGCTGGGTTGGGCTGGGGGGAAGAAGGGGCGATGTGGTGGGCAATTACATTGTGCATCGAAGGGGCCCCCGATAGCTGTGATGTCCGGATGAATTCCGAAAGTAATAATCAGGACGAAGGCTTCGCAGGGATTGGAAGGAGTGGAGGGTTCTCGACGGTGTGCATTGCATCGAGACGTCCATGGTTGGACATGTTTTGCACTTGGGTATGTTTGGCACCGCGGCCCATTAGCAAAGTATGCGCATTTTGGGCGGTTGAAAAGGCTATCCTTGTATTTGTATGACGTGGACTGTATAGCTCAATGTCGGCCTAAGGAAGACGGCGCGATGCTGCGCTCCATCGACCTACTCTGCGTGCGTGTGGCCCCCAACCTACGCGAACTTCCGTGCCCATGGTGACTGTTGCGTGCGAGTATTCATGCTTCCATGCGGCGCAGCTTGTAAGGGCGCCGCATCAGCTATGCCGGTGGCTGTGGCTGTGGGGAGACGCGAGGAGGGGCATGTGGATTGCATCTAGGTCGACAGATTCCCACTTGCACGCCTCCTTTAGTCTCCTTAGACCTCAATTTCCCCCGAATTGGTTAATGCTGGTGCTTCGATACGGCCAGGCTTCAGTGTGCGGTCGACATGCCGTACAGGCAATGAGGCCAGCTTAGTTTAAATCGATGGAATTCACGTTTTCCTCCGTGCATGGATGATCTTCTGGACCCTGTGTTGGTTCCGAGGAGAGAACATGGGATTGCGCGCTCTTTCGAATGAAGAACATCAACCTCGAGTCGTCGAGGACAGCGACGTTCCCGCAGTTGTTGAGACTTATCGTGCTTACATATACTCGCTTTTAGTACCAATACTGAAAAAAGCGCTCCTCACTCCCTCGTCTCTCTGGGTCAGAGCTCTATTGCTGCCGGCGTTCGCTTTCTACTTATCTTACCATCCAGGAAGCGCGATTCCGTGGGCTGTTGCTCTGGCAACGTTTGCGGCGGTCCCTTTCATCGTAGCGGGGTTCATTTACCTGCAGCTCTTACTTATCATTCGAAAGGGAACTGAGGACGACTTGACAGACAAGCTGTCTGGATACTACAGTGAATCAGGATCGCGGTTTTTCGTAATCTCGGCAAACGGGCCGGTCCTCGGCTGTGTTGGCGTACGGAACCGGACGGGCGGCCAAGCGGAATTGACATACTTCGCCGTCAGGTGTGGCAGTCTGTTCAATAATGGGGACTGAAGCCCGCCAAAAGATAGTTTTATGTTACGGACACAGACATGAAACACCGACGACGGACCTGCTGTACGTGAGAATTCCTCCGTGCATCGGGAATCTCTACCCAGCGGTTCAAACAGCCAACCAAAACCTGCATTCGATCATCAACAGAGTATGGTGGAGGCCATGCAATGGGAACCCGCACGCCTGGCGAGGATGTTGGAACGTATGTGGGCTCACCGAAACTCAATTACCCCCTTTGGACGCTAGTCTGGGCTGATGTGCGGTGTTTTTTCCTTTTCTCCGTGGCTTTTAGGCGTTGTAGTATTGCCCTTGGGCCTTCGGCTCGTATGGGTAGTCTTACAGGTATGGGGTCACGCACCCCCCAACCATGTAACACACACACACACAAAACCTGCATGCTTAATCCAGAGCTCGATCCGCGAACAGTACACGGCTTCCTCCCAAACCTGCACATGCGGTCTTGGCTTCCTCCCGTGTCCCCATCTGCCAGGCCCGAGCTTCCCGACCAGGCAGCATTGGCAGACGCCCTGCTGTCGGCCGCTGTGCCTCACGCGCGGAGGGCGGGCTTTGAGGACCTGATCATCAAACTAAACTCTGCCGAATTGGAGCTACTTGCAGCCGTGAAACGTGCCGGATTTGGCAGAGAACAGTTGACCCGGATCAACGCTTGGTTCCATGCCCACCGGCTAATGTTGAATTTAAAGAAGCACCGATGAGGGCGGCTGCTCAGTTTGCAGCCAGTATTCTGAGTGCGTACCTCGGCACGGGGAATAAGTTTAGTTGAATGCGAAGGCTTTCAACCTGATTGGATGCAGCTGGTGAGTGGCTTTTACAAGCGGCATGGCATACTATCCGTACCCAGCCTCAAGCCCGCAACCCTGGCGAAATCGGTTGCGTGCAACTATGCCAAGAAAAAAGGCTGGCAACGTGCTGGCCCACGGCTTCCGCGGATTGCGGCTGTTGGGACGACACTATTTCTGGCGTTTTCTCCTTATGCGTCTTTGTGAAGGTTGTGGTGTAAAGGCAGGGATTAGCCTTTATTTCGGCACCCCGGCGTTCAGCAAGTGTGGCGATAGAGGAGCTCCGGGGGTAGCCAGCCAGGGGCCGAACGGCCGCCGGCGTTGAAGAGCTTGAAGTGACAGGAAGGCCATGATGATGTCTGGTTCCCACAACCTGCCGAGCTACGGCATACCTCTCATGTTTTTGTCAATTACGGTGCTTCCCGTATAGGTATACAGTAAAGGGATGCAATGACCTCGGGGTAAAATGAATTGATCGTCGACGTCTGAGGATCCTGACTCATCTCTCGAGGCCGACAGGACCCAACAGTGTCCAGTTTGCTCAGGGTATGCAAAACGACTGGCCTCCTGGCCTCCACAGGAACTGTCCGCCAGGCGCACCTCCGAACACAGCTAGTTCGCTAGGGTCGTCGGCTTTCCGAAATGAAAGAATCAGATCATAACATTGTCCGATATTCCTCCCCATTATTATCATCATTTTAAGCATTGGAAGCGCTACCCACATTTTGTCTTGATTATTACCAGCTGTAACAGAAAGCTGTATGCCAACAGGAGTGCCCCAGATGCACATAAAGAGCCAAGTGCAGACCAACCGCTGCGCCAAACCGGAATCCCCGCCCCATGCTGCCGGTAAACTATCCCACTGCGGCCCAACCGACCCCGCCAACATCTAAGGGCTGCCGGTCAGTCGCAACACGGCATGTAGGCGCTCTCAACAGCTTAGCAGGGGAGAGGGTATGATGACCTGCGGTCGCGTCAAATTGCATGGCCGCAGCAAAACACCATTGCAAGCAAGAAACGGTAAATGTAGCACCTCAGTAAAATTGTGGCGGATAAATATAAAGCGAATCGGATTAGCACGAAGGCCCCAATGACCTACAGCCCCTCATGCATGGCCACCCTCGCATGCAGCTCCCTAACCCATGCCCACCTTGGCAGCGCTGATCACCTCTGCGACACTTCAGGTAGGTGCAGCTTGTCATGAAAGAGTGCACCCGCCTGCGGTCCCCAGGTCCGCACGGCCCTTGGAAATCCTATATCATGTACCCATATCGGAAGCTAAGGAGCTCAGGCCACGTGGCCATATCCACGCCACGCCAACTGCAAGTCCCGACTGAGGCGCCGTTACAGAAGATTTACTTCATATTGGGGCCCCCTCCCGGTTGGTCCCCCACCTTCCTTCAGCCCTCAGCCCGGCCCATAGGCCAACCAAGCCAACCACATAATGCTCGTAACCAGTCGCCATCGACGCCTGGCTAAAAAATTCCGTACTACAGTGCATGTTTGGTAGTTGAGTGTTGTGTCACGTCCAGTTCTTGCACGTGGCCGTCGACAGGTGAGCACTCTCACGCAACGCAAGCCCCGTCATGTCGCATCCGGTTCGCTGTACAGGTTACCAAGTATGTATGTTCCAGCCAAAGTATCCACAGATACGGGGCACGCTACGCCAGCTTCCAAAGGGAGTGGGCCGGGCTAAACAGCCCAACCCCGGTCCCCGCACATGAAGTGCTCCAAACTCGTCCGCGGCAGCACTTGCAGCTGCTGCAACAAAATTAGTAGTTCCACAGCAGCATCCGTCAGTCCACATCCAGCTTAAAAACACGCTCATGCACATGCGGCCCAACAGCCACCACATTTGTAGGCACGAAGTTTCCCGAGCAAAGCCTTACACCCCCAGCTCTCTCACAAGGGCTTTGTACGATATCTCTGTACGAATCCGAAAATCAGTAGTAAAATCGTGAGCCTGCGCACGCATGCATCCCGTCCCCGTCCCGTTCCTCGAAAATAGGCGCTGCACGCCTATCACGCGGCCCCCAAGCCCAAGGACCGCCCTTGCTGCCACCCAGCAAGAATGAACTAAGGGTCAGTGCGTAATCTTTAGAGCCGCCCCATTCGAGGGCAACGCACACCTTGGACCTTGACACAGTCGTTGGAGATCACACAGGCCGCGACGGGAAAAGGCAAACCAGCCAGCGCGCCTCCTGCGCGGTGGGGCCCCGGGCGTGCAGCCCACACGCTGCAACCCTGCGGCCCCAACGGGGGCATGCCGCCAGATTCCCATGACATCGCAGCCGTTCTCTGACATTCGAGGCATGGCAGGTTGCCGCCGGTATGGTTCCGGCAGCCGTTCTGTGGCTGCGGTCCATTTACATGATAGTGCAGCAGCCCTGCTTGGCAGCTTGCGACGCCTGTTCCTGCAGCCTCGCCTGCGAGGCCCTGAGGGCCTGGATCTCCGCGGCCTGCTGCTTCGTCTGCTTGATGAGCGTCTCCTGGGCACCCAACAGCACATCCAGCGCCTCCTCCACCACCTCCACCCGGTTCAGCAAGCTGCCCTCGGGCGCGGACCGGACGCTAATACCATCGCGTGCGTTGAGCTGCAACAGGCATCATGAACCGGAGAGAAGAAGGGGCCCGAGGGAAGTGCAACTGATAGCGCAACACAACAGGCCTTGTGGCAGAAGCGTCCAGTTTTGCGGCCGGGGCATCATCCGCCGGGGCCGCAGTAAAAACAGCAGCAGGGTGATAGAGCGACTGGGCCAGGATGAGCTGTACGTGCCTTTCTAATGTGGAAAAAACAAATAGGCCCGCATCTATCTATGCTGGACCACTCATCCGCCCAGTAGCCTGCACATATGCGCATGCGCACATATGCGGTCCCATCCCACGCGACTCGTTACAGCGGGTCACGTTATCGTTTTGACGTAGCCAGCATAGCAGTCATACCTTGATTTAGACGGCGCACCATTACTGAGCTTATCGGTAGGGGCTAGCCGCTCCCAAACGTTCCCCCCTGCCCACCTTAATAGGCACATCTTACCGGCGTCCGCTGTCGATCCGACGGCGATGGCAGCATTGCCTCGATGACTTTGACCCGCTCCACCAGCGAGCGGCTGCGTGCCTCCGCAATGGAGGCCAGCTGGGCCATGGCCGCCTGAGCTGCGCTCCCCGCTGCTGCTCCATTGCCCACCTCCGCGGCAACTTGCTGTGTCCCGCTCCCACTGTGAAGGATCATTGGAAGGGCATGTACAGTACACCATCAAGGCAAAACCCCCGCCTGCCCCCGCTGTAATGAACGAGCTCCGAGTGCCTCCCTCCTCCTGGGGGAAGAATAAAGCATGGGGCGCTCCGCCGCCCCACGCATTGCTCTACTTATATTTCCCACAAGGAAACGGTGCCCGATTCTTCCACATGATCCGCATCCCTCCAGCAACCCTGGTTCCCTCGGGGACCCTCAATCCTCCTTCCCTCCCCCCGCCATTCCCCACCTCAGCCTCCCAACTTGCATAATATTCGCCATCCCAGATTGCACAAGCGCCAAGCAGCGCCCTAATCCACACAGGCACACGCACTTCCCGTGCTTTCCCTCCCCCCCACTTACACATCCTTACAGCCTCCCTACAGCAAACCATCACAGGCCCCAGACCCACCTGGTGCTTCTCGCCGCTATGCTGGGCTGCGGCGTTAGGAAGTCTCCCGACAGGCGCTGGGATGACGACGCCTGCGGCAGCTGCTGCTGTTGCTGCGCCGGCTGGGGATGCGGATGGCGCCCCAGCCGTAGCGCTTCCAAGTCGATGTTCATCCGAGCCATGAGCTCTGCGTCATTCCAGGGCCCCACGTCGTCCAGCAGCGTGCCCTTGGATTGGCCGCCCAGGAACTCCGGAATGGAGTCCATGTCCATGTGCTTCAACAACGCTTCCATGTAGTTGGGTCCTAAAATCTGTTTTAAGGGACAGGCGACGTCGAGGAAGAACAAGGGTTGCACCCTAGCCGGGTGACTGACTAGGGCCTGAGGGAACTGGTTGGCGGCCCGACTTGGGGCTACGAGCGCTCAGCTCTTTGGTCACCTCTTTATGCTCTCGACACTCAACACCAGGAACCAGGGCACTTGCAGCAAAGCTCCCACAACCGTCTTTGTAGACACGGAAACAGAGACTCGATGCAACGAAAGGATTTGCCTAGGTGGGCTAGTAGCCGCAATCCCTGCCCTTGGCACTGTGGCCTTGTGCGACGCGCCAGCCTATGCTCTACCCAAAAGTTGCAAAACATGATAATATCAGCCGGAGCAACCGGACGCCCAACCTGCCAGTAGACCTTCGGATGCTTCACGGATCAGGGTCATGACCCCGGGATATAGCCGGGAAACACAGGCCACGCTGGCGGCTATCACGGCAGCATCAAGCACGGGCCCTCCGTGTAAGCCGCTGGAATGCAAACGGCCAGGGACTGTACAGCCCCTTCGCTTTGGCCCCTTACCCAACTGCGCACCTCAATCTTCTGCTGCGTGCGCACATCAATCATGCCCTTTACCACTGCCCACACCATGCGGAAAATGGCAGGGGCGTTGATGATGCAAATGTGGCCCAGCATCTCCGGGTAATTGTCCTGATCCGTCTTTGTGAACTTCAAGAGCATGCGCTTGACGTCGCCCGTGAGTGCGCTGATACCCACCCCTACATCGGGCGATGCGGGGCGGACATGCAGCACGTTAAGAGATTGGATATAGCTTTTCCCTTAATGGCACAACCAGCTAGTGAGTAGCAGCTCGGCGGTATAGATTTAGCCCTAGTGAAGCCCGTGTGACCTTGATGTGCCTGTTGTGGTACGTGGCCGTGGTGGGGTGCATCAGCTGCTGTAGGGGCATGTCTAGGTTACCCAGTTCGCACCTCGGACATCCATGATGCCGAACGTCTGGTCGATCTTCCGATTGGCTAGCGCGCTGCACACGGGCATGATGACCTTCACGCAACGCTCATACTCCTGAACGTGGAATTTGAACATACGCTCCTCCTCTGTGCAGTCCATGATGGCCGGCACGTTGATTTTGCCAATAAGCTGGATATAAACAGGTCGACCCTGCGTAAGGCGAATACCCAGGTGAGCGCGTGTGGGGGCCGGGAGAGAGGCGAGTATTTCTGGAACCTAACCAAGTTGCGGAAACCCCAGCAGGTGTCACCCCCAGGAGTTCGGGATCCCGCCCCACCTGCTTATCTAGCTTGTGATAGCCCTGTGGATAGGCTTCCAGGAACTTATCTCGCTCCGTAAAGTAGAAGTCCTGTAGAATGGTATCAACCTGGTGTTCCTTGCGCCAGTTCATGTGATCATGGAACATTTTTGTTGCCTTCTCGATATCATATGTCCGCGCACGTAGAAAGCGCCGCAGCATGAAAAAGTCTACAAGCAATCACAAGAGGCAGTTAAACTCCTTTCAGGCCTAAGGCACCTTCATACATAGCCATATGAACAATAAAACTGCACTTTTGATAACTGTTTTACAATTTAACGATGAAATCCTCCAAAGTAACCTGCTGCCTTCACTCGCCTTGCGTGTCGGGGTCCCATAAATTCTCGCGAGCAAGTTTTCGTCGAAACAACTCCACATACGTCTCCTGCGAGCCATGTCCCAGTCTTGTCTCAACTGCTATCGCTGACAGTTACCATCAAGCCCATAGCTTTACCTGATGCTCAGGACTCAAGCCCCAGTCATCAACTTTGCCCTCGATAGGATAATCCTTGGAGCCCTCGAACCCGAGGATGACCGTAGGTGGTGGCACCCTTGGTGCCATTGCCCTGTAAAATAGTTTCTCGTAGCTGCCCTTTTCGTTGGGGTGCTAATACATAAATTGAATTATAAAAATGGCTAGTTTTAGACTAAGGATCATGCAATATCTTGAGTCTGAATGGTGGCCCCCGATGTTTGATTTTCGCGCCCAGCTTCCTCGTCTAACGATGCCTACCACCCTACACAAGCAACAAACAGATTTCCTCATCAAAAACACTGTGGTCAACACTGTGCTCAGGGCATAGTTTGTACGGCTTCTACCGCAGGTGGAAGTGTGACCTCTTCCTAACCGTACACACGGATGCCTGGCACTAGGTTGTTTTCCAGGCTACCCACGAGCCATAACCAGCGGGAATGAATCCTTTCAGTAACTAAAAATGAAAGTTATAATAGTGACCGTTCGCGACCGTAAGTTGATATTCACGGGCATGTCCGCACAGCTCCGCCCGGTCCTTTGGATAACATTATAAAGAAAGGTCACTTTGCGTCCGTCGGCAGTGCCTCCATACCTCAGGCCGTGGCCCTTTAATCCAGCCTAACTTGGTGCATGTGCCACCCCCTTGAGTACGTAGATTTCCAAGTACGAGTTCACGGCAGCGCAACCACAAAACATATTCGTACACGTGGCCTGCAGGGATACGGCACCAGGGCTATTATACATAATCCTGCGTGCTGTGATGCATAACGCGATTTTTGCCCGCCAGGTGTACGACATGCGCGCAATGGTGCGTGTTGCTTAGTCATCCAACTGACCACCTTCCGTGTCCCTTAACTGGCCCGTATCCTCCATCTCCCCCTGTCCTTGTCGCCTCCTCCACACAGTCGCTCGCGGGGCATTCGCACGTTTACCGCAAATGAAACCAACAACAACATGAACGGCTGCTGCTCTTCCCCCTACCTCTCCCAGTCGGGCCTTACGCGGCCAAAACACGTTCAAGTGCCATTCATGCTTGAAATTTGATAGCTACTAAAAAAGACATTTTCTACATCTCGCCCAATCATTTGCGCCCTTGCATATGGTTAGGGTTTTGGGATTTCTCGCATGTCATCTATATCCGCCACAGACCTCCGTCACCAGCGCCACGGACGCTCCACGGCAGTAACGCTCGCAGCGACAAAACACACAGCTCGGGTAATGAAACATGCGAGCGGGCGCTGCCCCCCGGGGTGAACGAGCCGCGGAGTATCCTCGATCCCTGTGGGCCCCTTGACCCCCCCATGCTGATGGCCCCCAGCGGCCGGATCAAGGAAAAGGTTACTACTACCCTTTCCATGCCATGACGTGTCGCAAGCAGGGAGCGTGTGTGTTTTTGGACATGTTAAAGTGCGGTATGTCAATAGCCAGGTCACACTAAAGCACGGAATTATGCCTGGACAGTACGGCGCAGTACGGCAGTCATGCAGACCACAGCAAGAAAGAGAATAAGGACCCATGAAGGTGCCGCCGTTGAAGGTGCTCCACTACGACATTCTCGTCCCGATGCTCGTACCGTGGGGTTTATTCCACAAGTAGGTGAACAAGTAGCACTATACCAGGAATTAATGACGTTGCACCTTGTACCTTGTTTGTGAGGTGCTGCTGCTGCTGCTGCGGCGGCCGCGGTCTTGGTGCCGGGTCGGGCTGGAGCCCTTCATGGAAGGTGAGGCCGTGTGTGAAGGGTACACGCGGGGGCGCAACAGTAGCAGTAACAGCAGCCGCAGCCGCACGATGGTTTTCCCCTTCGCTGGGCAGCCCGTCATCTTGGATGCGCCGAGCTGCTAAACAGGGTAAGCCGGGCGTGTGTGTGCCCGGTGCCACCACTACTCAGACTGCGTCCGCCGCCGCCGCCGCTATGAGGCCGATCCGCCGCCGCCGCAACCACCTCACACAACATCTTCTATTCGGAACGGAGCTCCGGGTCCGGGACCTGTTGCTGTTGCTGCTGTGCGATGGTGGCTGTAGAGCAGTGCCGTTAGCACCTGCCAAACGTGATCCTGGTCTTGTTGGAGCCCCCCCCGGCGGCGGCACCGTGCCTGACATCACTGACCCTAGCTGACCATGGCGGGGGGAAGCCCAATGGAACCGCTGGACCAGCAGCGCGTGCGTGAGGATCCCGGGTTCCGGAGCCAATAGTTCGGATCACGTGAATGCACACATACCAGGTCTGCTATAAGCTGCTGCTGGTGCTTGTTTGCGGCACGGGGCTATGTATCAGGGGCAAATGCCTGGCAAAGGAATGCCGAAGAGCACGAACCGTTTTACGCTGTCCCAACACGCCAATTAACACAGTGTCCCCCCCTCGTGGCGAGTGCATGTGCACCTGGAACCAAGGCCGTCATCGGGTGGTTCACACACTGATAATACACTCTTTCTGAAAACATAACAACAAACATGGTCGTCGTCTTCCGAACTCCCCAGACGATTCAGCTCCTGCGCCATCACAGCTGCTGCGTACTTAAGTACATTATACATATAAACATAGGAGTGTTCCTGTGGTGGTGGCGGCGTTCAACTGTCATGATCCCGTTCGCGCGTGTGTATTACAGCAACATTAAAAACGCAGCGAGACTTGCTCACGCTGATTACCATGATAACTCGTCGAGGGAATGAATCCACATACATCGTCGCAGCGACCCGCGTGTAGCTAATTAAGTGACAGTCGGCTGCTGTCCGTATATTATATTATCTCCATACGGCCGTGCGTAAATCGCAGCCAGCACCCGCGATTGCTATTGCTCCCCACCCTAGAGGTAACAGTGAAGAACCTCCAGCTGGGAGCCAATCGAACGCCATGCAGCTAATGCTGCGTTTGGTAATCCGTGTGGAAATTGGGCGATGGCAAAATCGAATTTTGAATTGTTTTAAACCGAAACTCACGACGGGCTCTGCGCAACGCAAAACAGTGATTCTTCACTGACATTGTGCACATTAATGACCCCACCCCAGCACGCACTGCCGCCCGCGACACGGGTTAGAAGCCAAGTCAGTCGCACATTGCCACACGGGTAACCGAATAATAACTAGGTGGCATCATCCGGGTGATACAACCAGGCCATAAAATTAAAAATGTCAACATCCAACAACCATACAACAAAAATTAGCCGGGGCGCCCATTACGGCTGTTAGGCCCCTTCCTCGCCGCCCCAGTGAACTGCCAATGAAGGCAACCCTCTCTACGGGGCCCCACCGTATAATGAAAGCCTGAAGAATCCCAACCCACTTCTCCATCGAGTTTCCCAAGCCAGACAAAGACGCCGCGCCGCGCCGCGCGCCTCGTCTCCGCGAAGAAGCATGGAGCATGCGACTGTTGTATGCACAACGTGAAAGATATAACCTGGCAACCAGCCCCCCACATACGCGCGTAAATCTCTCTCTCTCTCTCAACACGGAGTCTTTACATTGGCAACCTACGGCCCCGTTGACCTAAGGCCTTCCGAGTGTACAAAATTGGATCGCAAACAATGTCGCACGCTGCACGACTGCTGGTTTGCTTGGCGACCCTCACACCAACGGAGGCCAGGCAACGGCAACTGCAAAACTTAAAGCGCAACAAAAATACTCCTTTCATATGCCGAGCACTTATTCGGGCTTCAACAAGCAAAAGAAAAATTTTACCAAGGGGAAACAAGCCAAGGTCGCACTACTATGACGGGGCCACCTCGGCATTTGCCAGGCTGTGACCCCCGATGATGATGACATCTTGGCTGCACTCATTTAAGAAGACCAAAGCGATACAAGACCTGGAAGCTTTGGGATGATATACATGGGCAACGAACAAAATTGGCAAACCTTCTTTGCTATCGTGCATGACAAACCTTGCATGCCATGCACCCTTCATGCCGTACACCCTCATAAAGAGATATAGTTGCCGCTGCGGCTCTCGGTGGCAAACAAACTGTACAAAATGCCACACCACATACGACATGCGATGTCCTAAAGTACTACAGATATCTACATGCCGAATCCTAAGTTGTGGGAAGCTGTGGGAGGCATATCGGACCCGCCTCCGACTCCGAAACTCCTCCCACGCCAACACCACCGCAAACCAACTGCGCAGAACAGTGGCGCGTGAATCAACATGAAGCCATGTAAAGATATATGATGGTGCCTGATACAGAACGGCATTTCGTTCTAATAATATGGCGTGCGTGGACCCGGGCGACCGCCAACTGCCGCTCGGGAGCTCATTCCGCTACCGTACCCAGGCGATGGTGCCCGGACGACTGCAGCGCCTTGAGAGCCACGTTGCGGTACAAGTCACTGCCGTGCATACGGCGGTCGAAGTAGCCACCCTGGCGGCCGATGAGGCTGCCGGTCGCGCCGTTGGCCACTGCGGCTCCCGCCTGGGCGTCGTGGCTCCCGTCACCACCACCGCAAGCCAGATCCCCAACGCAACCCCTGTTGTTGTTGCTGCTGCTGCTGCTGCTCTCCGCGGCCGCACCCGCAGCTGGACTGGCTGGCTCTGAAAGGGGGGCCCGGCCTGCTGCTGCTCCAACGACGTCGAAGCGCCAGACCGGAACTGGCGCCGGTGGCTTCGGCGGTGCAGCCGGCGGGCCGCCCACATCGAAGCGCCACACCATGCCGCCACTCACTCCCCCGCCCGAGGACTGACCGCCGGCCGCGATGCCATGAATGCTTCCCCCCTTCTGCTGCTCCTTGGCGCTCTGGCCATCCGCGAATGTGCTAGCCCCGGCGCTAGCGGCCTGAGCACTCTGGCGGTCCACGTCGAAACGGAATACGATGCCCCCCGGCGCCTGTCGTGGGCCGTGCTGCGACCTGCCGTTGTTGTTGTCGGTGGAGCGCACAGATCCGTCCGGGCGGTCGCTGGCCTGGGAGTGTGTGGATGCCTCGCCGGCCAGGCCCGCGCCGTGACGACTGCCTCCGTGGCGGCTCCAGTCTCCGGTGTTGCGCAGGGAGGCGGCCAGCATGCCGTTGAGGCGGTCAACAGAGCCGCCATGGACGGAGCCGCTGGACAGCGAGCTGAGGCGGTCGTCGTACAGGTCCAGCGTATCCATGGAGCCGACCTAGGTCGACACAAGCCCCCAAGTCAAAACACACACACACAAAACAGGGCGTGAAACAGTGCGGCTCAGTGAAACAGTGCGGAAGCACTTGCAGTTGCAGTTGCGCTTGCTCCGGAAGAAACGCAAACAGGACAGGCGGCGTCCCAAGGGGAGGAACGATACTGCCACATAGGGTATGATAGGGTGTATGATGCGGCGGGCTCGGTACATGAGACATGGTCTGCGGCTGCCTGAGTGGGAGAGGAGACTTTTGTCATGTACACGTACACGTACATGGTGCCAGCCCCCGTGGGCCATGCCCCCACATGGCCGCATGTGATATCCGGTCCAGGACAGGTTGCTGAAGGAACTGAAAGCGCACGGATGCGACTATCAGTGTATAAATACACACACACACACACACACACAGGGGCTCCACGAGCCTGCAGGCGGCCAAAGACCGACTGAGGAGCAGCGCTGATAATAGCCCGTCACCTAATCCAGTCCAAGCAAGTTTACTGAAGAGCCCAATCCAAGAGTTTTACCGAATTTTCGGCACCCACACACCCACACAAACGCACACCGCATGACGGCACACACACCTTGAGCAGGTTGCAGAAGGCATTGAAGTCGATGCCCTGCTCATCAGACGCGCCACCACCGGGATGGAGCACGCCGCCCCTCGCCCCGGCTTCCTCCAGGGCCAGTTGCAAGGCCGACTGGACTTCGTCGGGAGGCAGCCGCTCGCGCAGCGCTGTCAGCAGCTCATTCACCTCCAGCACTCCGTCGCCATTGGTGTCCATCTCCCGAAACGCCCTGCACAGCACACCACCACGCACCACCATGCGGAAAAAAGGCCAAAGACCTTTGCTATGAGCCCCCGTTGCAACATGGTCAGAAAAGCCTCCAGGTCAGAGCCCCCAGGGCCCCAGGAATGGGCACTAAGCAGCCAACCAGCGCAGAGGAGCCGCCCGACGCAAAAGGACGCAATGCCTCCCCCGGACCTATTGGGAGGTATCCGTGGCTGTAATGGGCTCTCAGTGAACCTCCTCGCCCCTTTCCCACTGGCCCCACTGCCCCTTACCTCATTTCGCTTCCACATGATCACCTCCCCCCCTCCCCCAATTCAATCCCCCCCTGCCCCACAGGCCCCTTGCCCCTCAGCGGAACGGCGTCCCCACGCCCTGGCCCCACCCGCCGCCGCCACCTACTTGGCCGCCAGGTCCAACCAGAGCTCTGTGTGGTTCTTCTGCAGGTGGCGCCAGTCCATCTGGCTGGCGGCAAAGGCGGCCTGGTCGATGCCCCCCGAGCCCTCCAGGTCCACTTGCTCCATCAGCCGGGACACCTCACTGGGGGCCAGCTTGAAGCCTGCGCCCAGCGTGGGGCCGCCATGACAGGCCGGGGGTGAGGGGAAACAAGCGAGGTCAAGAGGTCGTCGACCATCAAGGTGAGAGAGGCGTTATGGTTGTGCATTCACATGTTTCAGATCAGACCACCGAACGACCCGTCTTCTGTCCCCATGCAGCCGCGGCACGTAGGCGGGGAGTCCACCGCAGGCAGGTCCACAGCTCAACCCAATAGCGCGAGACCCGAGACCCCGAGACCCCGACAACCCAATACCCAGCCGTTCGACTAACAGCTCCCGCAATCCCGCAGGCCCAGCCGCATCACCGCACTCACCCAAACGCTCCAGCGCCTCTCCCAGCTGTGTCTCGTCCAGCACCGCGCCGCCCTTGTCCAGCTCCATCTGGGCCAACAGCGACTGCAGGCTCGCCGAGTCGGGGGTCGATACGATGGGGCGGCCCGTTTCCGAGATGTCACAGCGGTCACAGTCGCGATCCAGCTCCCGCACCAGCTCCGGGTGGCTGAGCAACTCCGCTGCGATGGACTGCAGCACGGTGCGCTTCAGTTGGCTGCCGGCAGCGAAGCGCTGAATGCGGGCCACCACACTCTGGTGCAGCTTGCGACCTGGGGACAATGGAGCCACGACATGGTGGTGCCAGGGGGATGGGGGCAGGGACAGCAGATCCGGGGCTGGGGTAAGGGAAGGGACTTGACTTAAAGAGGTGATGACGCGCATGCAGCTGGCAGGCGGGGCAGCCGGCAGGGGGCCGAGGGCACCACCCCCACAGCTGACCCGCAAGACCGGACAAGCCCCTCTCCCCCCGGCAGAAACAGCCGCGTGCGAGGACGCATCGCACATCGCACATCGCAAGCCTTGACTTGCGGCAGGACGTTCCAGGACATCGTTCCAGGCTAGACTAGACTAGAAGCTATTGCTGAATTCACAACCTGGCCACCAGTGGGTGACTGACTGGCGATATTGCCTTACCCGTAGAGCGCTCCGAGGAGTTGCCGCTGAGCCAGGGGTGCTTGAGCGCCTCCTTGGCTGTGGGCCGAGCAGACACATCCCGGTTCAGCAGCAACCGGCAGAAGTCCCTGGCCTCCTCGCTGATACCCGACCACCAGCGCTGCTTGAAGTCCACGGAGTCATTCATCACGGAGCGCCTGGGAGCGATACACAGGAGGGACAAGAGGCAGACACAGAGAGGGAGACAGAGCGCCACGATAAGCCGATAAGCCGAAGCAGCCCGCCCCACCCGGGACAGTCGCCAGCCGGGAATTTCGGCACACGTACTCTCCCGGGTCGTCCGAATTATTGAAAGCAGGGTAAAGGGAAACAACGTAAAGTGTAAGAAAGAAACTGGCTGTACTACAGCTGCATCTCGTGGCCGGAGGGTGCAGTGGGTAGCACTGATAGTTATAACGCGGACCCGTTGTAACTTTCCGTGCCGCTGTTGTTTTTTGGTTGGGGACGACGCAGCGCCCCGGCCGGCGCCCATCCTTTCGGGGTCTCTGTTGCCCAGAGGCCGCCCAGGCGGGAGGGGCTGCCCGGGCTGGCGGCCCCCCGCTCTTACCAGACAGCGGTAATTGCCGGCGCGAACGGGTTCCTCCGGTCATCGAAGGGGAATTGGCCAGAAAGCAGCTGGTACGCCATGACGCCTGCAGCCCAGATGTCGCTGGCGGGGTACCAGTCGCCACGGAGCGTCTCTGCGGTCCAGAGGGAATGTGGCGCCCACCGGGGGGAGGGGTTGGAGCTAGTGTGTGTGTGTATGGGGGGGGGGGACAGACGAACCACGAACGAGTGAAGGTGCTGCCAGGGCAAGAGTGTGTGTGGGTGTACGGGGGTGAGGAAGTCGTCCGGGAGGCTCGGAGAGGCAAGCGGCTGCCGCTGCCCCCTGATGTGGCAGTGGCGTTTAAATAAGTGTGCAGTGGCGGGCGGCGGCGTAAAGAGACTCCTCGCGGCCGTAGCGCACAGGAAACGCAAGACCCTGGACTTCACCGCCACACCAGGAACGTGGGCCAGCAAATTTCAAGGGGGGTCTGCAGCCGCCACACCGCAACCGCCACACCGCGTCTGGTCTGGGTTGACACTACTGCGATTCGCGGTTTAAGGTCCTGGGTTCGATTCCTGGGGAGATCCCCGAATTAGTCGGGAGCGCGAGATTATGGCTAGCTGCTGAGATGTGGAGTTGAGGTCACAGTTGATGGACCAGATTCGCACGCTAGATTGGTGGCGATTGCCGAACCCTCCGTCTCTTCGGGTGTTCGGGTGAATGGATGAGGAGGGGTCCTAGACGGCTGGACCCGCCGCCTTGGACTTACAGTTCGTATGGCGAAGTATAGTGTGGTAGTGGTGGACGGTGCTATAAGATGATAAATCGTAGAACTGACAATGTGATAAAGCGGCCCAGAAGCCTCCCACTCTGTAACATTACATTACATTACATTACATTACATTACACCGCAACCGCCACACGGCAACCGCCACACCGCAGCCGCCACATCGCAGCCGCCACACCGCAAAACTTCCAAGCCATAAGGAGTTCTACCCATTCCGACGACCCCACTCCACCTCACCTGGAGCCATGTACCAGGGCGTCTGCGTGGAGGGAGACCGCGGAATCATGCACAAGGGCAACAGGGAGGTGGAGGAACGACGCGAGCTCGGTTCGGACGTCATGCACGTCAACAATCAGTAAGTGTGGTTGATAAACATATCAGTGAAGCGACAAAGCGACGTCGGCGTCGCCGCAGCGTCGGCGCCCCTGGCCAGTATCCTAGCAAAAGGAAAAGTAGTTACCCTCACCCTCCTCCTCCTCCTCCTAGCCCCCCGGCCAGCCAGCCAGATCCCGCATGCTCACCCCCTCCAGCCCCAGGTCCGTCCGGGGCAGATGCTCAGGGTCGAATGGAGCCGCAAGACCAAAGTCAATGGCCTTCAGCGGAGCACGGTCCTCGTTAGTCAGAAGCATGAAGTTGCCTGCACATCATCATCAACAACATCATCAACGTTATCATCATCAACATCATCAGCAAAACAAAGGCGAACAGCTTATAGCCCATGTCTTCATCCAGTCACGTATACGAACAACTACCGATGCGATGTCGGTGTCCTGAGCTCAGCAATGCACCGGGGTATGTGGTCCAGCGGGGTATGTGGTCCAACGCCCGCTTTTTATAAACCTCCACATTCCTAAGGTTGCACGCTGGCAACGGATCACAGTAACAGGGATCCGCACCTGGCTTAATGTCACGATGGAGAATATTCTGTGCGTGGCACTGCGCCAGGGTCCTTAGCACAGCGCGCATGAAGCTAGCAACCTGGTGGACATGGTAGGTAGGTAGGTAGGTAGGGGGCTAGAACGAATCAAGATGCCATGTTTTACATTTCAAGACCGCATGAAACATGGTGACAGAAAACCATGCAGATTGCAGTGCTGCTACCGCCTTCGGGGAAAGGCCAAAGACGCAGTGTGTGCAGCCCCCCAGCTACACGTGCGACAAGCGCTCGCTGTACGGACTCCAGCCCTTCGCAGTTGGGTACACGTGCTACCTTGCACCCCATAACAGGTGCGGGGTCGATGCAGTGACCGCAATGTCCTGCTCTTCCCCGTCCCCTCGCCCCCTCGCCCCCCCGTCCCCGTGAGCGGTACGCACCGTGCGCTCGCTGTAGTGGCTATCGCCGATGCGGTGCCATAGCTCGCCGCCTCTGCAAAGCTCCATAACAATGTGAACGTGCTCGTCATCCTCGTACACATCCTCAAGTTTCACAATGTTGAGGCTTCCCTTCAGCTTTGTCAGCGCGAGGACCTCCCGACGGATACTGCAGAAAGGCAGCGGGAGAGGTTCGGGGGGTCGGTTTTGCAGATCGCTTTGCTGACGTTGCCGACTCATACACCAAGGTGGTGGTATGAGTATTTTCAGTTGGAGCTCACCTGTCAAGGTGTCCCTGCTTCTTCTTCTCCGACGCGTCCACCAATACCTTCCGGATGGACTTGCAGGCAAACTCCTCGCCTGTCTCATGGTTGACGACGACGCGCACCACGCCATTCCCGCCCTTGCCAATTTCGCCATTGAATTTGTATTTGTCTTCAATGCCCACGGGGTAGCCAAGGTATGAAGCTCTGCTGCTTTCGCCCGCCGCGAGGGTCTGACTCACTGACACCGCTGCATGCAACTGTAGTGCTGCAGGAGCTAGTGGTGTACCGATGCATGTCCAGGGCGAAGCGCATGCCGAGCCCGCGCCCGGTCGAGGTGGCGCTGAGCTGGATCCTCGGCGCCCGGTATGTAGAGATCCTAAAAGCCGCGACAGCAGACCTCGTCCACTTCGTTTAGACGGATGTGACGACTGCTGCTGCTGTTGTTGCTGGTATGAAGCTAAAGGTGTCATTTCAAAACAGGTCTTCAGGTCTTTGAACCTTTGTAGCAAACTTATAACGAAATCTAGGAGTTTCTGCTCGTCTTTATCCTCAAGAATGAAAAGAAGTCTGCAAAGCAACTTTGGGTCTGTCAAGAACGCGCGTGAATCCACGTGGTAGGTCAGCTACGCTAACTTCCCGTTTATCATAATATATCAATCCCGCATATGTCGCTTTATTGAGTACTTTGCAGGGACAGGGTGATCAAGACGTAACGACACGCTAGCATTTCCGTACTGTGAAAGTACCCTGCAGGGTCCACAGCCTCCCATCGTAAATGCTGACGCAAGCAGGTCGCTCCGAAAGGGTCATGCGATGGTGAAATGTGTGTGATCTGTACCAAAGCAAAATTGTCAAAGGCGCAGCCGATGGGCACAGGTGCGAGCGTTATAACTACCTCATTCCTAAGTCGGCTCCGCAGCATTATGCTCTTGCACCAGTCTCGTCTGATTTCAAAAGGCATACACATCCAGGATGAACACACTTAACAAAAGTAGCTTATCGATGGCCGTGCAATGTTGCGCAACGTTGGACTTCTCCAAACTGAAAATCCTGACTGCTTGAACTACTGACAACAGCATGACCACATCTGGGACTAAATGTTCCTGTGATGCTGTTGCAGTGCGCAAGCGTAGCGAAATATCCTATGTCATGTCATGTAACAATGTGCATATTGAGCAGGGTGTTGATGTGTCGCGTACAAACGCCTGTTTAGCTTGATTATGGGAATGGCGTGCTTACCAAGGGCTAGGGCGAGGATTCACAGAATGCCCCACCACGGTGACCGAGATGTTGAGCCCACGGGGCCCATGACCATGGTTGGGAGGTCACAGATCCTACTGTAGATCCTCAGGTCTCCTAAAAATGGGGGGGCACATGGGGGACATGACCTAAGAGATGAGGGACTTGCGCCTCGATGTGGGTAGCTTAGCACGTCTTTCCAGGAAGCTTGTTAACGGTTGGATCAGACTGGATCCTGCTGCTGGATCCACGGTTGGATCAGATTGGATCCTGCTGCTGGATCCACCTCTGGATTGAAGGCTGGGACCCGGCTAGAGACCTCACTCGGGCCAGCTCGGGGCCAGGACCTAGGTAAGTCATCGCCGGGTCGTCGCCAGGGCCAGGGACCGGTAACATCATCAGTCTAACTTGCACGAATGCTGCTGCTTCTGGCCCGTTGTCATCTGCCGTGCGCGTAGTGGAGCCTGTAGCTCCCGAAGGTTTGGGGTCAAGGTCGCCGCATCGCCTCCGTCTGTGTCCTAAGAGAACAATGCCATTTCGTTATTTTGCCATACTGGGAAGGTCTGGGACAACAGTCTCAGGTGAGAGGGCTGAACGGTGAGGGTCGCCCAGAGTCGGCTGATATCCGTTGCCGGCTTGAGTTACTATCACCAGCTGCCTTTGGGGCTTGGAGGCCATTTCCGCTGCAGCCACAGGCGCGAGCAGCAACGTCTATGCCTCACAAGAAGTAAACAAATTCCGCCGTCGCGGTCGAGAGCTGTCGTTTTCTGCGCCCAGGATCGCGTACCTGCCATCCTACCTGTCATGTCGGCAGGATGTTAAGGTATTACGGTCTGGCACCGATGATTAGTAGATCAGGAAATTACTGAAAAGATATTCAGTCACTGATGTACTTTTATGCCCTGTACTTTGCGTCTAAGATCATGTTTGCCGGTGGTCGTTATATAACAGCTTGGAAAACTAACCCCTGAGTGAAGGAGGCATGCTCCTTGAGCTTATGCATTTGTTCAATTGCTGTGCATGAATATGCTATAAAAGGACATTTTGCGCATCATTTTTCCGAGACCGCTGACCCCAAGACTATAAAAATATACCTATTTGCCGAACTCCATGTCCTTGCGGGGCGTTTACAATTTTATTCCTCTTATACGTACCTTGCGCCTAGGTTTGTTTGATGCGATGTTCTGAAATTTTGTGCGGGGGTCCCTGGGGGCACAAATGCGCGACGCGGATTGGGACCAGCTCTTCTTGCAATTTATTAGGAAAAGGGGGTAAGCTACTTTGGCTGCCAGCCAGCTGATTTAGCTGTGAAGCGCCCAGTGCTAAGTGTCGACAACGGTGCTATGCAGCCTTCGCGATGTGGAAACCGCGTTCGCGCGCTACGTAAGAACTCAACCCCAGGAGCCGGAAGACGGCATGTCGGTATCGCAGCACGCCGAAGTACCGCAGAATCTAATTGAAGAGTTAGCCACATTTGCGGCGGAAAACGACGCGGGCGTGTACACAGACACCTTCGAGCGCCTCGCGACATGGGTGGACAATTCGCTGGACATGTACAGGGTGAGTGATGCAGTGCCCGCGCAGAGCGCGGGAACACGGAGAACACGGGAAGCGATAGTCCTGCAACGGCTCCGGATGCCATACGCTCAAACCCTAAATCTTTGAAGCATCCAGTATATTCCCGGGGAACGCGATTGCAGCTGAGGGTTTCCGACGTGCATGTATGTATGTATGTGTGCATGGTTCCGCCACTGCGTATTACTAATCACGTGTTGTGGGTGTGTCGGTCGAACGGCGACAGGCCGCTGGGAAGCTTTGCACTCGTGTCACAGCACAGCAGCCCTCACTGTTTGGGCCCGTTATGCCAGGAGTGGATGGATAGATCAGGACGGCGTGCTGCTGCACACCTTTTAATACAACCACCTCTTGGTTGGTTTGGGCAACGGTAACAACGGCGGCGACGGCGGTTACAGAGCGGCATGCAAAACAGGGTTTTCCGGGTATTCCCCCTTCCCCCCCGCCCCAGAGCCCTCCACCCTCGCGCTCCAGAGCCGCCCTGGCCCCGGGCGGGGGCCCCGGTCTCGCCCCCAGGGGTCCATAGGGCCCTCTACCTGACTCCCCGCCCCCCCCCTCCCCACGGCATTCCCTCGATGAGCCCCCACCACAGCCCCACCCGGGAGGTGCAGTCCACAGTCACACATGTAGGTCATACATAGGTCATATCGTGTCATGTCAATTCTACGTCACCGGCTTTCTCCGCCACCACCACCACCACCACCACCACCACACCTTGCGCACGTGTCAGCCAGCCGGGCAGCCAGCCAACCGGGCGGGCGGGCATGCTGCCCCGGCAGGACGCGGGGCCCAGTACCAACA